AAAAGTTACTTTAAGATTACTTTTTTAAAATAAATATATAAATATAAGCTTAATAAAAATAGTTATTTAGTTTTATTTAAAGTATATATATATATTTAAAGGGACTTTAATTACTTTTATAATTAAAAATATATATATAGTTATACTTATAATAAAAACTTTTAAGTAATAATAGTTATTACTACTTACTTTAATTTAAAAATTATATAATTAAATATTATTACTATATTCCTAAATATTAAAAGAAAGAGATAGGAGTTTATTTTTATAAACTATTAGATAAATTTAAAGAGAATAAAAGTATATTAAACTTAAAAGCTCTATATAGGTTAAAAGACTCTTTACTTCTTTAATATAAGAATTTATATTAACTTTAGTTAATTTTAATTTAAAATTATCCTTAAAAAGCTATATTTTTTATGTTTAGAAATTAATCTTATAGTACTCTTTTATATAGATAATATTCTTATTTTATATTTAAAGGAGTAATAGATTAAATTTAAATATATAAAGAATAAAATTAAAGTATAATATAAAGTTAAGAATTAGAGGCTAATAGAGTAATTTCTAAATATATAAATACTTTAAGATAAGAGTAAATAAACTATTATTTTAATCTATAACTTATATATTAAAAAGTTATTTAAAAGTTTAACTTATAAGATAATTTTAAGGTCTTTTATATACTTTAATAGTATTTAAAGACTTTAAACCTTTTAAAAATAAGCTTTAAAAGAGAAAATTAAAGTATATTAAGAATAGATAAAGTTTATATTATATACTATAATTATACTATATTTAGATATAGCTTTTATTTATATTAAACTTTTAAAGTATTTATAAACCCTAAATTAAAATACTTTAAGGTAGTAAATTATATAATTAAGTATTTATATATAATTTAGTTTTTAGGGATTTAATATAGAGAGTATAAAGAGGTATAAGCTTTAATAATTATTAAAAATATTTTATTTATAGATAATTAATTAGATTATAAATCCTTATAAAGGTATATTATAACTTTATTTAAAGGTTTAATTTAATAAAAAGTAATAAAATAAATAATTATATTAACTTTAATTATAAAGATAAAACTATTAGTTTTTAAGCTTATTATAAAAGAGATAATAACTTTAAAAGGTTATTTAAAAATATCTAATTAAATTTAAATAAATTATAAATAATCTATTTAAATAACTAATAAACTATATAGTTAATAGTATATAAAGCTAAAAACTTAATATTAAGCTATAATATATTAATATTTAATAAATATAGTTTAAATAAGAATATAAATATAATAGCTTTAATATAATATATTTAAAAATATTAAAAATACCTATTAATAAACTTATTAAAATACTTTTATATATTTATTTTAAGTAATTTAAAGCTTATTTAAACCTAAGGATATATAGAAAATAATAAAATAATAGTTAATTTAAAAGAGTTATAAAAACTATATCTTAAACTCTTAAAATACTTAAAAATTTAATTCCTAATTAAATTAAAACCTAATATATCTAAAAATTTATAATTAAAATATTTTTATTAAATTAAACTAACCCTTTTAATATATTTAATTTATATAAAATACTAAAAGTATAAATAAGGTTAGAAAGCTATATTTAAAATATATACTTTTAATAATATTTAAAGATTAAAAAGAGGTATTTACTTTTTAGTAAGGTTTTTAAAGTTATAAAAGAGTTTAATTATAAGAGTTTTAACTTTATTATTAATCTTAGTATTATTAGTATGCTTAAAAGATTTTAGCTTAGGTATTTAAGAAACTAAAAAGCCCTTCTAACCTTAAAACTAACTATACTCTTTTAAGCTATATATAACTTTAAATATAATTTAAACTTTATTATAAATAGTTTTAAACTTAGTTTTTAAGACTATAATAATATTATTCTTTATAATAGAAACAAGTACTTTATTAATTTTATTATAAGTTTTAATAACTTAAAATATAAAAATCTCTATAAAGAATATAAAAGCTTATATTTATTACTACTTTTAAAATAATATAAATAATATATACTATTATTAAAATATTTAAAATAATTAATTAAACCTTTAAAGTAATTATAAAATAAAAATCTATATAATAGGTATAAAGAATCTTATATATATTACTTTTTATTATAATATTAAATTTAATATACTCCTTATAATTAAGTTTAGTATATTTAATATAAATAATTTTAAACTATTTATTAAGTTTAATAATCTTAACTTATTAGTTAATTTTAATTATAATAAAAGTATTAAATAAACTTAAAATATACTTTTAAATATATAGAATTATATACTCTTAAAAATAGTTAATATAAATTTATTAATAGTCTTTTAATATACTTAATAATAAAGTATTTAAAAGATAACTTATTATTATTATTAATTATAATATACTTTTAAGGTACTTAAAATAAAGAGTAATAAAGGTTAAAATAGGTTTTTTATACTTATTACCCTTAATAAAAGTTATAATAAATAAACTTAATAAAATTAATTTTAAGAGTATTTTAAAATAAAAATTAGTATAAAATAACCTTAAAAATCTAAATTTAAAGTTTATTTTAATAAAATAAAGTATATTATAATAGTAGAGGTGTTTAAAAAAGGAGAATATAATAGTAAAGAAAAGAAAAAAGATTAAAAATTAACCTATATAGATAGTAGAAGATAAAAAGGTTAGTATAGAGCTTGTATATATCTAGCAGGTAAATAAGTAGGGTAGTAATAAGCCTGCAGTAACGACTATTACTAGAGGATATATAGAAGATACGCCCCTAACTTTAATTTCAAACTTAGTCTAAAGCAACTATAAAAGGCGTCACAAGGTTAGAAAGACTATTACTAAGAGACTTAGACCTTAGATAACTCAATTTACACCCTATGGACCAAATCGTTATTCCTCCACACATTCTAACTTCGACCAGACGGTGGCTGGCGGTCGCAACGGCGCAGTGGGTGTGGGCGGCCTGACAGTCGGCGGCGGCATCTCCTACTTCTCCCCGCAAGTCGGCTTCACCTGCGACACGCTCGTCAATGTCGAGGTGGTGCTGGGCAACGGACAGGTTGTCAACGCCAATGCCACCGACAATGCCGACCTCTTCCGGGCGCTGAAAGGCGGGCTGAACAACTTCGGCATCGTGGCGCGTTACGACTTTTCCACCATCGAATACGACGGCATCCTCGGTGGCAGCGTAGGCAACGACATCTCCCAACGCGATGCCGTCTTCGATGCCTTCACCAACATCGCCGCAGCACCAGACTACGATGTCCACGCCTCCGTCGTCTTGGGCTTGGTGTACGCGGCGGGCAAATGGTCTCTTTCCTCGACGCCAATCTACACGGAGCCCGTCCTGCGCCCACCCGTCTATGCCGAGCTCTTCTCCGTGCCAAATATCTCTGATAGCATGGCGATCCAACGCCTGGGCACGTTCGCAAATGAGACGGGCCTGCCGCCACTGAACGGCCTGTTCTTGACGAGCACGTTTGGCGCGACTCCAGGGTTATTAAGTTCTATGTTTGACATTCTCAACCAGACGCTGTCTTCGTCCAGCACAGTTCCGTCGTCGACTATATGGAGCTCCGCGTTCGAGCCCCTCCCCACTGTCTGTGTCGAACATGGTTCCGGCCGGAACGCGCTTGGCACCAGCTCAGCAGACGGAAACAGCATCATTCTCCTGCTGAGCGCGTTCTGGCCCGATACAGCAGACAGCGATGCGGTGCAGGCCGTCGCAAACAGTGTGTTCGCGGCCTTGAACAAGGAGGCAGAAAATCAGGGGCAGGCGAAGAGGTTTGTCTATGCGAATTATGCAGGTCCGAGCCAATCGCCGTTCCTCGGCTATGGCGAGGCGAATATCCATTTCTTGCGGGAGACGGCGGGGAGGTACGATCCGCAGGGTGTGTTTCGGTACAATGTGCCTGGCGGATTCAAGCTGTGATTGCAGACTGGAATGCTCAAGATCCGTGCTCGCATTGACCTATATGTCTTAATAACGAAAAGACCGAGAACCTGTCTGGATACTCAAGTACCTAGGTACGGCGTATACGAGGCCATATGGTCGTATCTTGGCGACATTGAACAAACATCTTGAGCTTTTACTACTGTATGAAGCTAGAGGCGCCGCATACGTTTTATATGTATGGGGATTAGAAACGAAACCACATCTTTGTGTCGATAGTGGCTGTAGATCCTCCACCGAGGATGCGGGCCCCCAGTCAAATGAGTTTCTTCGCCCAATGCTACCTAGGTAACGTTACCTAGTTGTCTTTGAGAGGGAGGGCCAACGAGTCTTCGAGTCAAACATTAGTTTTTAAGGGTACTTCAGCAAAGCTAGCATTGGCTTTAAGACAGGCGGAAAGTAACGGCTCGGTGCGAGAGGGGTTGACAACTTAGAATGCCCCGCGTGTTTGAGTTTCTCAACATACGGAGTATGCACCGGCGGATGTCTCGAACCAGTCGGTGCTGGGTGCAGGCAGTGCCGAGGAGCCGAGAATTATTGTTGTATGTGGGCTTTATTCAAAGCCTGGTTCTCAGAATTGCGGGAGAATAACGTCGCAGCCGCGACGGATATGTAGCCAAGCAAGCGCTACCTCGATTCGCATCCGTTTCTCAGCCGCCTCCGTCATGGAATTCGCCGCAGGATGTGACATGATGGGACCAAGAACTCGACATTTGCTTGTCGCAGATTTACACGCGTAGACGGGCTGCCAATAGACAGCCAGCTTGGCGGGGGTGGTAACCCACCCGCTGCGGCCCGCCTAACCCAGTCCATGATTCAATATGGCACGTGGGTGGTGGTTCTCCGGACTCCGAGATTGGCACCCTGGGCTGCCATGCGTAGACATTGCCCCTTAAATGAGGTAGTTGTTCCGGGGCGCCGGGGTGCATCTGGCCGCCAAGAGGGGCTAAGACCGGCGATCCAGCGCCAACGCGGGTTGAAGTGCTCCGTCTTTCCTCGGTATTACAGTACGCGAGTTGGCGAGATGGCAAACAACCCACAGTGGAGGGCACGACATATAAGGCCATGAATACGTCGTGTTTGGAAACGAAACGCAGTATGCCTCGTCGACCCGTACCCTGCCAGTTTACAAGTCACGGCAAGCCACTCCTTTAACCATCACCAACAAAATGGCGCCACTTTGGTCCATCGCCTCCTTTGTCACCCTCTGTGCCGCAGCACCATACGCCAAGCGACAGGCCAACTCGAGCTCATTCGTCACCGTCTCAGGTGGCCAGTTCCAGCTGGATGGCGAGCCCTTCCTGTTCGCCGGAAGCAACGCCTACTTTTTGCCATTCGGCGTAAGTGACTGATCCCCTACTCGGACGGCCCATGACAAGTTGTGGTGTGACTAACAAACAATACGCAATCCAGAGCCAGGCCGATGTCGAAGCCGGGCTCACTGCTGGAAAGGAAGCAGGATTGAAGGTCTTCCGCACGTGGGGATTCAACGACAACAACGCAACCTATATCCCCAGTGGCCTTCCCCAGTATGGGACAGGAAACGAGGGGACCACCTTCCAGAAGTGGTCGCCTGATGGCACTTCCGTCATCGATGTCACGCACTTCGACAAGGTCGTTGCCGCCGCAGAAAAGACCGGCATCAAGCTGATTGTCACACTGACAAACAACTGGGCGTAAGTGCATGGCAACCACATGCGGTGTAATGACGTGGCTAACAATCCTCTGCACAGTGACTATGGAGGCATGGATGTCTAGTGAGTACAGTTCTGCGTGTGTCTGATACCAAACTGAGATGCTGGGGATATCGATTCGGCAAATGTCTCGATAATTCGACGATCAATCAGCACAAATGGACTAACGCGCATGCTTTTCAGCACTGTCAACCTGGGCGGACAATATCACGACGACGTACGTGGCCCTGGAGACTTCTCTCTGGCATTCCAGGCAATAAGCTAACAACATATCAGTTCTTCCGTCTTCCCGCAGTCAAGGAGGCCTACAAGCGATACGCAGAGGCCATGGTCACCCGCTTCAAGGACTCACCCGCGATCTTTGCATGGGAGCTCGCCAACGAGCCCCGCTGCGGTGCCGACGGCACCCGCAACCTCCCCCGGGGGCCCGACTGCACGCCAGAGCTGCTTACGGCCTGGACGGACGAGATGAGCACGTACATCAAGAGCATCGACAGCAACCACCTGGTGACGTGGGGCGGCGAGGGCGGCTTCAACGACCCCAGCAACGCCGACGGCTTCTACAACGGGTACGACGGCGGCGACTTCGACGCCGAGCTGGCCCTGCCCAACATCGACTTTGGCGTCTTCCACTCCTACCCCGACTGGTGGAGCAAGACGATCGAGTGGACCAACCAGTGGATCAAGGACCACGCGGCCTCGGGGCGTGCCGTCGGGAAGCCGGTCGTGCACGAGGAGTACGGCTGGTTGACGGACGACAAGAGGCAGGAGTACCTCGGCACCTCCTCCAACGTCACCAGGGTGGAGGCCCTCAGCGGCTGGCAGGATCTAGGCATCGAGGAGGGGCTCTCGGACCTGTATTGGCAGTTTGGCTACTCGGACTTCTCGTACGGTCGGAACCATGATGACGGATTCACCATCTACCTGGACGAGGAGGAGGCACAGCCGTTGGTGTATGACCACGCTGCTAAGGTCAACGCACTCTAGATGAGTGGACTTTTAGGAAAATTGTAGATTGAATGTACATAACTTTGGGAAAATATGGGGACATCTGGCTACGATAACTTGCAAATAGCTGTGCTTGCCTTGTTTCAATTCCTCATGAACACTTTTCGCTCCCTGGCATTTATTGTCAATCTTCCTCACGCCGAACTAGTTTGTGTCGCGGTTGGACTGACATGCCGTAAAGCGAGTTTGGGTCCTGAGACGTGGAATGGTCCTTGATAGCATAATACCTCTACAGCAAGCCGCACTCCACGACGTGAGCTGTTCTAAAGTAGCTATATCCCTCGCGGTGCTGAACACAGCCCTGGAGCGTACGCTCTCCGCGGATGCGAGACATCATCACTCACTTGCTTCAACTCTTCGGTCCATCTAGCCCTCTGTGTGAGGAGAGGCCTACGTGCTAATGTTCAAGAAGACCACCAGGACATCCACACAGCTGCAACATCTTGAAAACCCAACATCTCCAGACGTTGAGCTGCACGTCTCCTCCTTCTCGCGTGTGAGCAGTAGTGTGTTTCCGACTATGACTTTCATCAATCTTGAGAATAGATTCATTGATAGGGGACATTGGAATTCGGGCTAGGTGGAGGAAGACTGTCGTATATTCTATGATGCACCGCTGTGGGGTAAGAGCATGGTTTAGTTTTCCCCACAGGTGGTTTTGCTGCCGCGGGCGCCGCCACTCAGCCGGGCCACTGAGTTGATGGAGCGCAACCCACTGTTTTCCGCCATTGCCGCTGCGCTCGTTTACATTCCAAAGTACTACACAAGTATTAGTAAAGCAAACCACTCATACATACGAAACTTGTATGTACTTTCTATTATAAGTTATGTATTCCAATTTCATAGTCTATGTATTGTCTGATAATTACAGCCTTAGTACTATATGTCACGTATTCCGGGTCTCTAATTCGATGATACAATCACCAACTATTATGGCCCAGGGTGCTACCCCACGACAGGACTGATAATTTGCAAGATGGCAGGGTACAACCAACTGAACGAAATCACCTCCACTCTTTCTTACTCGAGTCCGAAACTCAAAGTTGTGTTAGTCACCGCACGATAAGACTGAACCACTATACCCAAGCCGTAGAACCTTACTGCCGAGAATGACAGTGTCGTGACTAATCCATCTTACTCGCTTAGCGCAAGCTTGAACTGTAGAATGACCACATGGTGTTCCTCACGTAGCCTAAATTCAGATCCTAGAACCGCGATGCACCCTCTGTGGCTGAAACTAACGACAGTCATGATACAGAAGTAGGGACAGCGTACTTGAGAAGCAATACTAGCAGGCTCTACATCTTTTCCCGCCACCGGGCCCTAAGAGACTATTGTGAAGGCCGCCCATATCTCTCCAGGGTTTTCTTTTCCCCGCATCCTGACCTTTCGTTCTCACTAGTAGCAGTTGGCACCTAGGGGCTAGGACGCCTGTGCCCCTGGCGCGTAAGGGACCCTGGCGACGATCACGTCAAGAAAACAAATGAGGGATGGCACCCTCTATCTAGCCAGCTAGCCTCTGCCAGCTGAACCCAATGGGAGTCCGTGCAACTGCCGACCCAGTCTTTCGGGCCTGGCCAGCCTTTGTTCTTCGTCCAGGTGGCAGTATTTCAAAACCTGGGGCTCCCCGCATTCTTACCCCACGGGGACGGCCACGGGGTAAAGGAACCCCATCGAGGATATCTTCTCCACGGTGTAGTTACGGAGTATATACACTACTGTTCACCCCAAGAGGAGGGTCTCCTACATTTTTACACTCAAACCTAATCTCGCAGTGTGCCAGGTCCACCCCCACCGACATGGAGATCTCGAAGAGCGAGGGCGAGACGCCCGCAGTTTCCCATCACCCAGATCCGCGCGTCTCATCAGATAAGCACCACCATGGCAAGCAGCCCGCTATCGTGCCTATCGAGGAAGAGGCTCTCGAGGATGCCGAGCATATCCATCTATCCTGGAGGTCCTGGCTTGTTGTCTTCATCACTTGCTTTGCTATTATGGCACAAGTCTTTGTGGTGGTTGCAGCCGGCTCGGTCATCGCCTTCATAATTCGTGAACTTGGTGAAGCACCTCTGGCCGGTTGGGTCATTCAGGTACGTCCCCTACTGTTGAGCTGTTCGATACCAGGCTCTTGTACCCGGCTCTAATGTTATTGGTACAGGGCCCGCTCCTGATGCAAAGCGTCCTCTCCCCAATCGTCGGCAGGTTGTCCGATGTCCTCGACCGAAAATACCTCGCAGCTATTCCTCCCCTCATTGCGTTCGTCGGCGCAATAATCTCCGCGAAAGCGACGTCGATGAGCATGTTGATAGGCGGAGGTATACTCATTGGCACGACACTAGCAACCATAGCTATCGTCCAGGCCATCCCCTCCGAGATCCTGCCTCTAAAGTATCGTGCTCTGGCAAACGGCTTCTCATTCATGGGAGGTGCTATCGGCGGACTGTTAGTAACCCCTTCTCGACCCTTCATTCTCTCTTAAGCCTCTGACATCTTCCTAGTGTTGGTGGCCTAGGCGCCGGAGCAGTCACAAACGTCGACGTGGCGGGCTGGCGCTACATCTTCTGGATTCAGGCTGCTTTCCACGGTGCCACGTCTCTAGGGCTCCTGCTATTTTACTGGCCGCCAAAGAACCGCGAGTATCCCAAGATGAGGCTGAAGGATTATATCTGGGCGTGTGATCCTATTGGCTCCACCCTCTTCGTCTGCAGTGCCACCCTGATGCTCCTCGCCCTCGACTGGGTCGGAGGTGCGTACGCCTGGTCAGACCCGCACGTCGCAGTGCCACTTGCACTTGGGCTGGCATTATTAATTGCTTTTGCTGGATATGGCAAGTCAACACCATCACTTCCTGTGACATATCCGGACGACCACCGCTAACGACATCCACAGAGTGGAAAGGACGCACAGATGGTCTTATCGCCCACGTTTTCTTCCGCCGAAACGCGAACTTCGCGCTCTCTACATTTGCGTTTGCTGTTGAGGGTTGGATCTTCTACAGCGCCGTCAACTCCGTCGTGCCACAAATCGTGCTCCATCTTGGATTCGAGACAGACGCCTGGACAATTTCCATCAGGCAGCTCAGCTACAGTCTGCTCACCATGTTTGCTTCTATCCCCATAACGTGGTACGCCACTGCATACAAGGACATGAGATCTCCGCTCCTGGTGACGTTTGGGATCTTCCTCGTCGTGTAAGTCTAACTGACAGGGATGTACACAAACTGCTCTGAGATGGAGCCGGCTAACTTTAACTCAGAACCATCTGCTACGCATGCATCAAGCCAACCTGGAGCAAACCCCAGATCGTCTTCAACGTGCTGGCCGGAATCGGCCAATCCGGACCCTTAACACTCCTTGTCGCCTGCGTGCAATTTACTGCTCCCCACGCCTACCTATCAACAGCCACGGGCATGGCATTCTCCGCCCGTGCCATTGGCGGTGCATTTGGCTCGGCCGTCCTCAACGTGATCATCAACGGCCACCTGGCTGGCAACTACGCGCCGGCAGTCGGCAGGGCCGCCACCGACGCTGGTCTCCCCGCATCCAGCATCCCTGATCTTTTGGCGGCGTTGGAGTCCGGACTCATGACGGGAGTCGAAGGGGCGACACCGGCTGTCTGGTCCGCCGCGGCCGAAGAGAGCAAGTGGCAGTATGCCAAGGCCTATCAGCTGGCGTGGGCAAGTGTGATCCCCTTTGTCGTGCTCGCAATCGTGGCCGTGGCTTTCCTCAGGGGTGTAAAGGACTTGATGACTGAGAAGGTTGAAGCCACTGTTGAACATGTAGATGAGAATGAAGGAAAGAAGTGGGAGAACTCATCTGTGGCCGCTTAAGGTGACATGTACTACAGAGTTTATGGACATACGGACAGGATGATTGGATTGATCTGTAGCTGTTACTCGAGGGTCAATCCGATGCATACACTGCACGCTCGACCAAAACGCCCTACAGTGGCTTCATAGATAATATAGTAAGACGCTTCAGAAATGATTTAGTTTCATCCTTCGACCAATGCGCTAGAGAAATAGTTGTCTTGTGTGCTTCTGTACCTGTCCTCAGCCTGAGACGAGGAACCAAGAGACTTTTTATCAAGCTCTCATTCATTAGTGAGCATTCCCTGTAAATAAGGCTGATCCATTCCAAACGTTACTCAAAGTTTTCCGAGCCGGCTTGCCCTGGCTCGAGCTTTCCCCCCTCATACAAATGATATTCTTACGCTACCTAAGTAGGACCTGATCTTATATCTCCACTATCTTGGAAGGTAAGCTCTTTCCTGGCCGTGGCCTAGATATTGCGGAGCTTGGGGTTGTTTTAGTATGGCCATTTTACACACACACGCCTTGATAAGGTGCCTGGGATTCCATGCAAACGTTTGTCATGAAACACTTGGGCCACTACCACCGACTCGAATAATAAGGCCGAGCTCATTGCAATCTTTATCAATAGGGGAAAATATTCGTTGTCGCTCTTTTAAAGGACATTGGCTAACTGCCAAAATCGAGATATAAACAAAATCCAAGTAAGTGTAAGCCCGAGATACGCTATAGGCGGTGCCGGAGTGCCTTTTTACAGTGGTAATCAATTGATGAAACTGATACTAATATGCATTGTAATTCAACACTCAACGGAATGAGACTCCCAAAGTAACGAGAAAAATAAGTAACTATTAAAGTGCCCAAGTGTAACTGCATAGACTTGCACTGGATACAGGGACTGACACACTAGCTCATCGTTGAGGCGAGACGCAGCCACCCGGATCTCCGACATTCATACAGTGGAGGAATATTACCTAAATGCGCGGAACTTGAAGTGGCCAGGGCCACCCTCACTTCGACAATGAAAACCGTGTTCACATCAAAAGGCGTCGAGAGCAAGCTCGGACCTCGCGGCTTCCTGATGCTAATGAAAGCACAAAACGTAATATTCTTCTCATATACATGCAGTTGGCGCCCGCACAACTAGCTCAGGTATGAGGACCTACTGTGCAGAGCCCTCCCAAGGGTCTGGTAAAAGCTCCTAATAATCTTTCTTTGCGTCTACTCCTGTGTGGGTGCGGCCACCAGTCACTTTGTGGAAAAATGGAAGATTATTAACACGTGACGGGAATTCGCTCTCTATCTTTTCAAGGGCAAGCACATTCGAAGAAGGCTCATAATAATGAAGACTGATCCGTAGAAGTGTTTCTAAGTTACAGATGACCTTAGCTTGCAAGACGTTAAAGCTAGACATTCTGGCCAGTGAGCACTAGCTCCAAGGCCTATATCGGCTTGATATATACCAATGGTTGGAAACCAATTCCCAGACTGTCGCTGTACTCATCCATACTTTGTATAGCACTACTTGTATTCCTCAGGTCCCTCTGTTGAGCTGGAATAACAGTAGGTGTCCCAGAACCATAGCGTAATATGTGTTCAAGATAAGCACAAAAACTTTAGTTGCCTTGAAACGATTTTCATACCAACTTTCTAATTTCAAGTTGCTTCATAAACTGGTGTAGCCGAGCCATAGTATCCGACCATGCCTGTTCCCATCAGTGCTATCAGCCTGTCGAGATTGAGGCTGTTGTGAGCCGCCAGCAATGTAGTCTGACGCCGTCGAGCACTTTTTTCTCTTTTTATTACTGAGTCCTTGAGCGTTCACTGTATAAATGGTCCACACACGCACTCAGCATGTGGACGGAATAAGAACCAACCACCCTTATTTGTACCGGTCCGAAGCTGCCGGGATGTTCTTCGTTCAGGTGGAAATTGAGAAGCTCGGGCCAGCTCCGATTTTGCCTTCTGGGCACCGAGTGTCATGACGTCTGACTTGCCATACTGCATGTTTGTAGTGGGAATAGATGGACTTGGCGAAAGTCAATGAGCCGTGCCGGGATTGAAGCATGCCTGTCATCTATAAGACGTTCAAGTTGATGCCTTTCGACGGTGACTCCTATACTGACTTGAACATTGTACAAGCCTTGTCATGACATGAATCGTAATGGGCACACTATACGGTGAAATTCGGGTAGCCTGCATGGCTGGAAGATCCTTCTGCATTTGTGGAGTCAAGTTGACGGCTAACCTGAGAAAACAGTGCAGTAAGCAGACCGGCCGTACTACGGTCTCCAAAATAACGTCCGCTATGACGGATGAAAATCCCACTGCTTGCCCGAAGTTGGACATGGGAAGATCCTGCCAGGTCGTCCTGTCGGCTAGCGGCTCTGCTTTGGTTTGTGTGGGTGACTGAAAACGTACCACAGTCATAAATATTGCCCAGCCGTTCAGCCGATGTGGGGGTTGCGGGGACCCGCATTCTCCTCATTTTGTTTTCCTGGGGCAGACATGCCTGCAGCTCAGCATCTTGCATCCCCACAGTTCCCATATAATAGCCCCGGAATTCCCACCCCATTTTCCTTTGGCACGGCCTGACCGAACAGGGTGACCAATGGGCGGGCGGCGGGGGCCCCAGAAAACTGACAGGCCACGCGGACTCTGCTGGGGTGATGAAGAGTTGGATGAACACATGATTGAGCCATGCTTGGTGGCCTGGGGCGCCCCGCAATCTCCAGATCATCGTCCGCGTTCAACTCGCATTGCGCTGCCGACGACTAGGCTGCTCTCGGCAGGGATACCGTGATCTTAAGCTTCTCGTTAGCATGGATAGTCCGTCCTCAGCTCGCCCGATGGTTGGCTGGCGTCCTGCAAGCCCATCCATTACCGAGCACTATACCGATTCGGTTCCTGAATGCCTCGGTGCCGGGTGGCACTCGACCTACCGACACGATGGAAACGCTCGATGGGGGCGAGCACAAAATCCGATGTTTTGCCGGCAATGGAGGCCCGGGGAGCTCGTTCCTGTGGTCCCCCTGCGCGTCAAGTCCCAATCACATTCCGATGATGTATTCCGCGCCTTGGTGTATGGGGTTGATGGACGGCAACCCTTGCCATCCCCGTGACGAGAGGAGGGGCTCTCGCGTTCGTAAACGGCAGTTTAACACTATAGAATTTCCCAATGCCAAGCTGTCGGTTCCATTCGTGACCAATCCTTGGACGCCACTCACCACAATAGGCCCGAGTTGAAATTCCTCCTCGTGGGTGGGCAAAGGCCGAAGCGCGCCCTGTCCGAGTCGTATTGGATACGTCAGGCGCCGCGGGGACGGCATGGGTGGACGTGATATACCCCGTAGGATATAAAAGCAGAATACATCGCATCTACTAGCATGCCATGGGTGTGACTTGTGGTCCAGCGTCTCCCTCTGCAGTATACACCATCACAGAGCCACCATGCTTCGCTCAGTGCTCGCAGGTCTCGCCACGACGGCAGCACTCGGACAGAGTGCCCACGCTCAGTTCGTGGTGACAGAAGACACGTATTTCGACGGACAGTCTCCACCTGTTTACCCATCACGTATGTGCCAGCCAACAGAGAGACGCAGTTTTGAAGATGCGACAACTGATAAAAAGCTCCAGCGCAGCAAGCTGCAACGGGAGCATGGGCCGACGCCATCACCAAGGCCAGGGAGCTCGTGTCACAGCTCACGCTGGAGGAGAAGGTTAACCTGACGTCAGGAGTTAGCACAACCACAGGCTGCTCCGGCTTCATCGGTGCAATCCCCCGGGTCGGCTTCCCGGGACTTTGTCTGAACAATGCCGGGAACGGTGTCGGATCCGCCGACTACGTGAGCGCGTTCACCAGTGGTATTCATGTCGCCGCAAGTTGGAACAAGGAGCTGGCGTACGACCGAGCCTGGTATATGGGGCTCGAAGCCAGGAAAAAGGGCATCAACATTCTTCTGGGCCCCGTTGTCGGTCCCGCCGGACGTGTGGTGCAAGGTGGTCGGAATTGGGAGGGTGAGTACCCATTTGCACATCTCCCTCTCCCAAATCGGTACTGGAACGACTGCCCAGGTGCCTAGATACTGAACATCCCCAGGCTTCTCACCCGACCCCTACCTCAGTGGCCAGCTGGTGTATGAGACAGTTCTTGGAACACAGGATACTGGCGTCATGACTTCAACCAAACACTTCTTCGGCAACGAGCAAGAGTCCCATCGCCTCAAGACACGGACGAACCACACGCCAGATGCTCACCCAGTGTCCTCCAACGTTGACGACAGGACTACACACGAGCTGTATCTATGGCCCTTCGCCGATTCTGTCCGCGCGGGAACTGGGAATATTATGTGTGCCTACAACCGCGTGAACAACTCCGGCGCTTGCCAGAACAGCAAGACCCTCAACGGATTGCTCAAGACGGAACTGGGCTTCCAAGGTTTTGTCGTTTCGGACTGGGGTGCTCAGGAATCAGGCGTCGGCTCCGCTCTAGCCGGCCTGGACGTCGCCATGCCCAGCTCGATACTCTGGGGCGCAAACCTCACCCTCGCCGTGAACAACGGCACAGTCAACGAGAGCCGCGTCGACGACATGGCAACCAGGATCCTTGCCCCCTGGTACCAGCTCGGCCAAGACGCCGAGGACTTCCCAGAACCCGGCTACGGAATGGTTGATGACCTCTCCTTGCCACACCCTGTTGTTGACGCCCGGAATGCCAGCTCAAAGCCCACCCTCCTTGCTGGTGCTACCGAGGGACATGTCCTGGTGAAAAACACTGACGGTGCCCTCCCACTGAAGTCGGCGGAGACGAGGCTGCTTTCAATATTTGGATACTCGGCCAAAGCGCCCAATGTCAACGGCTGGGTAACACCTCCTGTAGGAGCTGCGTTCACTCAATGTAAGTGCTTGAGGGTAGAGTTTGGCCAGTTTGTTATGGTGTCCTCTAACAATCTTTATCTAGGGACTGGTGGCGCTCAATCAGCTAACTACACTGATATGTATCTCGGATTTTTCGGTGACCTAAGCATTGATTACTCCGGGATTGCGAGGAATGGAACTCTCATCGCCGGCGGAGGATCCGGTGCAGTCTCTCAGAGTTTCACCAGCTCTCCATACGACGCACTCGTCGCACAGGCCTACGAGGACGGCACGGATCTGTACTGGGACTTTGAGAACGGCGACCCGCTTGTCAACCCCACAAGCGACGCCTGCCTCGTCTTCGGCAACGTCTGGGCCACAGAGGGGTACGACCGGCCATCCGTGCGCGACGACTACACCGACGGCCTGATCAACCACGTCGCCGACCAGTGCGCCAACACGATCGTCGTGTTCCACAACGCCGGGATCCGCCTCGTCGACCAGTTCATAGACCACCCCAACATCACGGCCCTCATCTTCGCCCACCTGCCGGGCCAGGACAGCGGCCGTGCCCTCGTCAACCTCCTCTACGGCAGGGAGAACCCCTCCGGGCGCATCCCGTACACGGTCGCCAGGAACGAGACCGACTACGACAACTTCCTCAAGCCCGACGTCCAGCTCGACGGCATGTGGCAGCAATTCCCCCAGTCCAACTTCACCGAGGGCGTCTACATCGACTACCGCCACTTCGACCTCAAGAACATCACCCCGCGCTACGAGTTTGGCTTCGGGCTCAGCTACACCACCTTCGACTACGCCAACATCCAGGTCAGCCAGACCAACAGCTCTACGGCGCCCTACCCCACCGGTGCCGTCGACCTGGGCGGCCAGACCGACCTGTGGGACGTCCTCGTCACCGTCACCGCAGAAGTCACCAACTCCGGCGGCGCCGATGGCAAGGAGGTCGCGCAGCTATACGTCGGCATCCCTGGTGAGGACGTGCCTGTTAGGCAACTGCGTGGCTTCGAGAAGCCGACCATCGCGGCTGGGGAGACGGCGACTGTGAGCTTCACCCTGACTAGGAGGGACCTGAGTGTCTGGGATGTTGTGGCTCAGAAGTGGCTGCTGCAGGCTGGAGAGTACACGGTGGAGGTTGGCAGGTCAAGTAGGGACTTGCCACTTAAGTCAACGTTTAGCATTTCGTGACCTGTTCATGATGTATGAGCAGCATGTAGTAATTTCTAATGATGATTAATGATATCAGAACTGCGTTGCAAAGATCTTGCGGGTTGCCATGGCTGGGCCCAAATGCCGACTCTGTGCAACAAAACGGTGTCTGCCTCGGGGGGACATCCATCTAGCAAACCGAGGCATTTCTTCCTTCTGGCCAGCGACTTTCATTAGAGGAGTACCTCTTCGTATTCATATTCTGCTCTCTCAATTTTCGCCAAATCACTTTTCTCTCCGAGTCGTCTGAGTCCATGGGTCCATATGTGTTGAGGTCGTCAGACATATTCTATCCCACCAGCCATTGCCTCCATGACCGAAACGCCAAGCGAGATCAAATGTAGTTGGCCTCTTTGTGCTCTCAAAATGCATTTCCAGGAAAATGCTACCCAGAAGCCGCAGCCTCGAACTCGTCGCGAGACCGCTTCCGGCCAGTGTTTCCTTGGTCCTCATCCTCGTCGTTCATCCCCGCCTTTTCCAGACCAGAAATCCGGGCCTGCCTCTCGAACGCGTTGGTGTTCTTGTACCGCCATATTACCGAAGTCAGAGCCCTCAGATCTTTCTGAGACGGCAGCTTGCTTTGGAAAGGCGTGCAGGTTTTGTGGTCGTCGCCGCAAACGATATGGATTTCTCTCTCGATGCGAGATGTGAAACACACCGCACTTGCCAGGTAGTCTTCTACCGATATGCAAATTTTGGCAATGGGCTTCACCGCAGAGTCTTTGCCAGCAGAAATTTTGGTGACGATAGCCTGCATTGCGTATTCGCAAAGCCTCTGTTTGTTGAAACTCACTAAGCCTTTAGCTTTCTGTCCCGTGCATATGATAGCACCTCTGCAGCCCTCAGAGGAGTCGAATTCACGGATAGTATCTCGTAGCATTTTGATGTCCGCCTTCAACACCGTCTGTATCTTATAGATCGCAACTTTGCGTGCTCTCTTGACCTCGTCTGCGTCATGAAAAGAAAAGTTAGCTTTGGTCAACAAAGTTTCTGCAAGAATACCTACTTGCGAGATGAAGGATTACATCCTTCTCAGCCTCATATCCCTCGAGGTCTTCTTTTGAGAGAACACTGCCATCGCCTGGTTGGTAGGGTCTGAGGACAAGATTGGCGTCATCTCCTTCAGCAGCAGTTGAGACGATGTGAGAAAGATCGACTGAAGTTTTGATATACTCTTCGATGCCACCGAGCTCTTTCGCAACCCAAAGCCACTGCAGTTGAGGGATGACAGTATCGTCATCACTCTCATCCGGCGCCGGGGGCTCAAGATCGTCGAGCCAAGACCTCGCGACCGGCCACAACAGTTGCGTCATGTCATACTTGTTCGTAAGGACGGTAATTTCGAACGCGAGTTTCAGGTCGACTTCTGGAAGCTTGTGGCCCAAAGCATGGGTCAAGAGAAGTATGTAGTTCATCGCAGAAGGGTTGTCTTCTGGAAACTCGACAATCCATTTCTGTTCTCCCTCAGGTTTTGCCTCTTTGAATTGTCCATAGAGGCACCGCTTCCAAAAGGGAGCTGAACGGGACAGTGCCTTGGAGCAAACGAGGAAATGAGTCTTCTTGCTGCCGACGACGAGGGTGAGATCACCGTCGGGGTCGATCTTGACCAGTTGCTGCTGACTGTCCTGATTGTTTGCGCCGTCACCTTCTTGGCCGCCTTGAGACGACATTTTGTAGTCCTTAAGTACGGCAATGGTGCCGAAGAGATCGTTTGTGGATCTAAAGCAGATTGACCATTCGGGCAGGCTGACGGAAGGCAATTCTTGTATTGGCGTCGTGCACGGGTGTTCGTTGTTGGTTTCTGGGAGGCGGGAAGGCTTGCTCTATCGATCGCAGCTTGCTGGTTGGTCGGGGCCCGAAAGAGCGAACGGAGTGATATTACGGCACTGCCAAAGATTAGACCCAGGTCACTGGCCAAAGTTTGGCTCAGCAAAAAGTTGAAAATTGCCCGAAATATCATTGCCTCCAAAGCTTGGAAGCCCTTGTAGTTTGTTTGATGATATTGATCGGCGACGATAAATGGAAGAAACGTACCTGTTTGAAGACCGACCAAGCTTCGATTCAACTGGTCGAAAAGAGTAGAAGCTTCAGCAGGAACTGATTCTCTTGCCTCGAGAACCTGATTCTGTGAGGGCTAAGCAAAGAGAAAGGACTCGATCTCAACCGAAGTGTGCCAATAGCTGAAAGTGCTGGGAAAGTTGGTTGACAAGCGGAGGAAACTGCAGGTGCCGCACTAGCCTGCGGAGCGATCTGGCGTGAGAAGTTGAGCTTCGGAGTGCCAGTCTGTTTGTGCGTGATTGCTGATGTAGCTTTGACTGTTGGATTGGGAGATCAGCAGCGGCGCAAGCTAGGACTGTCCCATGGGGCAAACTGTCCCAGGGGGCAAATGGATGGGGAAGTACGACGCAACTTCGTCGAGCTGAAAAGCTGGAAGTATGAGTGAGATTTTCTCGGTCATCCCCTAATTCACCATGGTTGTCGCTGACCCTACGGGAAATGCTTGCGATGGCCAAGGCAACTTGTTGTGAGGGAGGAGCCGGTCAAGTCCTGAGTCCTCCGAACTAAACTTGTCTCGGCCATCTCACTGTCTGGCCACCCTGGGGCAAGGACGATCCCCACTTATTCCCCTCCCCCCATCGCATTACATGCAGGATTGGGAGACCACTGCTATTACCATAGCAGCCCGTGTTGGTCGTGCCGACGGCCAACGAGTGCTTGTTCAAATGTTGATTCCAGTCAAGAGCCATTGTGTCAGAATGGTCTTATGACCTCGTTTCTCCACAATGAAGATTTGATTTCCGAACCATACACATTTCGCGAGATTCTGGGCGCTAAACCACATATTGCTGAGGCGTGCGTAGAGGGTACAGGAGGAGGCGGTACACGGGCAGGCTGCCGTATGTGCCGACGAGGAGACTGGCGAAAAGGGACGGGCTGGTGGTGAGAGTGAGGGCGAATGTAAGCTCTCGAGCGAGGATGAAGTCAGTAACGCTCAGCGATGCAAAGTCCGTCCTCAGGTAGGTTGCGGCCATGAGATGGTGATCGCCTCGGTTGAGGTGAAAGACGTGAGTGTCAATCCCAGCAACCAGTGCAAGGAGCCCTGCTGGCCCCAAGCACCTAGGTACCTAGGTATTGCAGGATAGCTTCTCCGAAACTCATTCCGGCCTGGGTAGCATGAAACGGCAGATGATTGACTGCTGTATAACTCAGTGCTGTTAGACTAAGATCCCACACAGCTACGCGATCCCCTATCATAAGCCAAAGGTATTTTGTTCCAGACAATCAGCGACGAGTTGCTATATCTCGAATTTTACCTCTGTTATCCCGGGTGGTCGCCCACTGATTCATCCATTGACTTCGGTATCAGCTCATACAAGATCGCGTAATCTTGGAGCAGCCCTTGAGCAATTTGCGGGGGTGATCCTGCTGCAGGCTTACATTGCCGCTACTATGAATGCTGATGTAGACTATATCATTGTCCTCTGCCATCCACACGGTCCTGCGGGGACTGACCGTCCCGCGGCGCAGCTCCTCACGATAAACAGTCTCACTGGCACTGCATACTACCATTGTTCACAGCACCCGATATGTCTCAAATTTCAATCCTCCTAGTACCCGGCTCCTTCAGCCTCCCGGAGTTCTACGACACCGTCGTCAATGCCGTCTCCGCCCAAGGTCACGAGATGCGAACCCTGCACCTCCTCAGCGCGGGCCTCGAGACCGGGAAAGGCAGGCCGGGCCCGCACACGCCCACGATGGCCGACGACGCGGCCATGATCGCCGGCGAAATCGAGAAGCTAGCGCAAGCCGGCAAGGCGGTCATACTCGTCGCCCACTCCTACGGCGGCGTCCCTGCCACCGAGAGCACGCTGGGCCTGCGGCTCGAAGAGCGCCTGAGGGAGGGCAAGACGGGCGGCGTGGCCCGCCTCGCGTACATGACCGCCCTGGTGCCCGAGGTCGGAGCGTCCGCGGCCGAGGTGCTCGCGGACGTCCCGCCTGAGAACAGGGACGAGCTCACTGTCGATGAGTCTGGGTGGATGTTTCGCACTGATAGCGCCGTGGCTGCGGCCGCCCGTCATTCGTTCTCGGACATCCCCCCGGACGAAGGCGAGGCTTGGGTCCGGAGGTTCCCGCGGCACTCGGCGGTGAGCTTTCAGGGCCCGCTGACGCATGCTGGGTATACTGAGGTCCCGGTCTCGTATCTCTTGTGTGAGGGAGACGTGACGATTCCATCGAAGAATCAGAGGGCAGGTATTGAGACGGTCGAAAAGGCGAGTGGGAGGCGTGTAGATGTCACTAGCACTAAGGCTGGCCATTGTCCTATCGTCAGTGACCCGGAAGCCGTAGTTCACTGGGTGATGGATTTGGTAAGAAAGACGGAAATCTCGCTGCAGTAGACGAGATCAACACCTGTATTTAGCCATGACCGCCAACCTAGGTGTCTAGCAAATTCCCAACAATTGGGTATCAGTCTGAGGAGGAAAGGCATGGATATTATTTCGACACGAGGAAATACTCTTATCTGCTGGTTTCACTTCTATCCCGCATACGTCTAAGGAGATACATTGTGCCTTCATGCAGTGGTAAACGGTCGAGACCCAGTGTTCAAAAAGAAACACAATGCTAACACCACTGCCTACTTAATATGACTTCTATACCAAGAGCTCTAAGTTTCCACAAGTCTAGAATGCAGATGCAGCCAATTCCGCCCACTCTTCCTCCTCCTCTTATTTGCGTTGAGCTGCCTGTTGGTATGATGATCCACTCCTCGAAGTCGAACGGAGGCGACCCTATAAACACCACTTGCTCAAACGACTACGGACATTTACCACACCTCAATATCACCATTGTATGTGACCTTCTTTCCGCCGTATTTCTCCTTGGTCGAAGAGGCAATCACCTTTACCATGCCATCGCATGACTCGTCCACCGATATAAAAGCCGACTCCAGACCCAAAGCACGAGCGCCCGCGTTGCCCAAGTCGGTCTGGACCCAACCCGGGTTGATAACCCAGGCATTGAGCCATTCGTCCTCTGTGTTGATGCGGATCGTCAACCAGTTTACTGCAGCTTTGGTCGGACCGTACGCAGCGTTTGGGATTGGGGGCTGGTTGCTATTATTTCCGGGCATTGTGTTAGCTGGGTCCGGTTCATCCAACACGCATGAGGAAGGTCAAACGAGGGAAAGGAGAAAGACGATGTAGAAGAAAATGACAAGTTCTGGATAATACACTCGTCAGAGACATTGGAGCAAAGCATAAAACCACTCACGTGAGATCTCCTCCGTTGGAACCCATGGGAATGAGCTGCGGACCCTTGGTTGACTTCTTCAACAACGCCCTCGTGGCCTGATAAAGCGATATGAAGCCGTAGACGTTCGGTTCAGTGTGTGCCTTCAGATCCTCAAGCTTCAGGTCCAAGACAGGGGGCCAGATGTTGGAAATTCCGGCATTGGGGATCACGATGTCGAGGTACTCGATCCCGTGCTTCTCCTCAAGCTCCTTGACCGCGTCGAAGGCGTCCTGGTGCACGGTAGCGTCAATCTTGACCACGATCAGCTTGCTGCCATCGCCGACTGGAAGTTCCGACAGCGCCTTTGACGTTGGGTGCGCGGGGTTGCGATTGCCGGCGATGACGGTGTGGTTGGGCTGCGCGAGGTAACGCCTGACGAGGCCCTCGCCGAGTCCACGGTTGCCGCCGGTGATGAGAATTACTGTTTGGGACATGGCGATAAGGTATGTGTGTATGAAGAACGCAAAATGACGGAGGTGAGGTGAGAAGATAGGACGGGAAACTTGAGAGCTGTTGAGAACCGGTACTATGGTGCAAGTCTCAAAACTACCCGGGCAGCTGACGCCCTTGATAATAAAATCCCGAGGTCAGAATGCGTTAGGTTGACCGCACCCGACCTTACAAATCACACCATGCGCCCCACAATGCATGCATCCTTTTGTTGGTTCATCCTTCTGTTGGTGTATAGCTCCATCCATTTCATCCATGTACCTAAGTGCCAAAGCGGCTCTCCAGGGGGCAAATTGACCCGGGACAAGGGTTAGACGAGAAAAGTGACTGATCATCTCATCCCCAAATCATCATCATCATCAACGACGTTGTGTACAGTAGGTGAACAGACGACGTATCTTCTTTGCCCACTACATGTTGACATGGTATTGTTTATCGGGTTCTGCGATGGTGTCGCGCTGCCGTCACGCGGCACGCAACAAAAGGGCTCAAGACCTGCCCGGTTTGGCGACCAGGGTAAGCTCCGGATATTCAAGAGGTTCATACGGTGAATTCACTGCAGCAAAAGCAACAAACTTGCCTTGGATTCATGTGTCTGCCTCCTGAATGGATGCCATAAACAACAATGTGCATGCTTACTTGCAAAGGATTGATGTAATATACAGCACCCACTCATCAATCAACAACCGTCATTCATTATTCCCGACTAGCCTAGGGCATATTACGTGAGCTGACTAACCTTTGAAGGATTATACGTGACTATCTGTAGGACCACTTCGACCCTGCATGTTTACCTGCCTATTACATGCATGGGCTGTTGATCGTGATTGATGAGGACTACAATACGGCATAGCGGCTCACCACCAAATGCCGTGACTGACTTAGACCCACCAGATATGCAACAGGGCCAAGCAATGACTGGTGATCGCCAATCTTGCTTTCAACAACTCCCGCGCCTAGGCAATTCTTCTTCAGATTTAGAAAATGAGGCCCTCCCTGAGCGCCTCGATCTCATTGCATGGTGTACAGGTAGAATGCTGTTGATACATAATATCTCGTTTCATGTTACAGCAGGTTATGTAATCCCGATCATTACCACCAAATATAACACCCACCAGGCCATTCCAATCTTCGTGAAGTTATGACTCATTATTGACTATCTCATCGGCTTTCTATAAAATCACACAGCTGTTAAAAAGAGTAATACAGGTGACGCAGGGGGCACTCTTACCAGTAGTGGTCCAAGGTACGAAAACGGAACGTATGCTTTGTTGTTCCAGTAGTCCACACCCCAGCCCAGCATAGGGGGGCAGTTGGTGAACATGGAGCCTGGGTTGTGAGTGTTGAGTGCCGTGGTTAGGTCGACGCTCATGTCGACCTCGCACACCGGAGTATTCGACTGTAGAAAGGATTGTGAGCAACGGTTTCAAACGATGCTACTTTTCGAAAAGCAAAGGCATCTTGGGTTTTCACTCACAGCACATCCCATGTCCAGCTCAGTGGCATTGGTTATTTCGTCGGTATCGGCCTTGAACATGCACTTCTGGGCATCGACATACAGCTCCTGAGGGGTGGTCCAGTTCTTGTCGAAGGCGACTTGCAGGACACCAGGGAAGAAATCTGCGCCAACATCGCGGGCCCTTGCCATGCCGTACGAGTCTTTGCCGTCATAGTATATGTACTTGTTGTCGTTGCAGACGCCATACTTGTCGTAGCCACCGCACTTGAAGTTGCCAGTCTCGGCCTCGAGCTTCGCGGGATCGACGCCGGGGCTGAAATAAAGCGATTAGTGTCCAAAACTTGGACTTGGGTCTGGTAAGGCAGCACCACCGAGCAGGTTAGAGTTACTTACTTCTTGATTGAGAAGAACGAACGAGCCTGGACAGCCTGGTTGAACGTCCACTTCATCAACTCGCGGTACAGAAAGCTCGTCTTCTCAGGCAAGGAATCTGAAATCTTGGTGCAGAAAGCGCCTTGATGTGTCACACCGTAAAACGTGTCGAAGTCTTTCTGGATGAGCGTCACTGCCTCCCCGACGTTCTTCTGGTACTCATCGACGAAGCTGGAAAGAGAGGCCGAGAGATCCTGCCACTTCACAGGGTTCACTGTCGTTTTGGGGAACAGCAGGTTCACCAAACCACCGGGGGTGCCGCCAACAAATCCGAACAAAGACGCTACAATGAAAGCCGAGGTTCCTGGTGAAGCCAAGGTGGCGAAGCCCTATCAAATACGTGTCAACACACACTTCTCCAAATGCCTAATTGCAAAATGCTGGTGGATTTTGGGCACATTTTGAACTCACGCTGAAGAGGCCAAAGGTAGCACCAAAGATGGGACCAAATAGAGGCGTGTTGGCATTAACATCCTCGGGCGGAGCGACTGTGTCAACAATCTGTCCCACAACACCACTGGAAATAGATAAAGTCAGTCTCATACCGCCGTCGCAAAAGCACTATCCTTTCATTTGACGAGAAAAGTACACTCACATTGCTTCAGCTTGGCCATTGAGCAGGGCTTGGTGATAATTGGCGAAGTACTGGTTTATTGCTACCCGATATCAGCCTCCAATGATGCAAAATAGATTGCATGGTTTCCGGGGCAGCTCACTGTAAATGTTCCATACGGTCTAGAGCGTTGGATACGAATCAGTGATCTGGTCATGCATGTGTCTTCGAGGGGCGCAACGTACATAAAATTCCTGATATGAGTTATAGCTTGCCCCTCGCCCGCTGGGAGGAGGAGCGCAAGTGCTGAGAGACAAAACGTCGCAGGTCCAAGTAATCAGTCCAGCTGAATCGAGATAACATTGCGAAAAGCCCTTATCACCGCATTTCGCAGAATTTTTCGACCACCAGTCCTGCATAAAACAGTGTCAGTCTCAACAAGGAACCTTGGAAGGCTGCAAATTTGAACTTGAGTTTTCTTGACTTACATTCAAGTGGTCATTCATTTTCAGAACTTCCCAGCATTCTGTGTGGATTCTGTATAAAGATTAGATGCCGCTTGCACGCCCTCGCAGAACGCTTATTTATCCTCACCCAGTTGTGCTGTTCCAGGCACAATCGTCAACTGTGACTGTGGTGTTTGTCGCGTCTTGGCGGGGAATTATTGAGTCACGATAAGGTTGGGGGAATCCTGAGACCAGGGCCCTCGAGGCTAAGCTCAACGTTAAGATCGAGAATCGGGGCATTGTGGTGCAGTCTGAGTTGAGCTGCTGATGTGAAGTTAGAAGGAAATGTGGGAAAGGAATGGATTCGTTGCTCTTCACGATAGGTTGTGGAGCATTCCCCAGAATCACGCAAATGTTAATTGGCAGCCTTCTGACTTTATGTTCCCGGAGGATGACCCTGGTATTGAGCTTCGAAGAACTTGGAAGTCCGACATACCTGTGTGTGGTTCCAATTAGTGGTGCGTGGTCTCGGCGGATGTATATCAAACATTAGTCTCCCCACTGACAGCCCCTTATCGCCATCTCAGCCGCAACGCAACCTAGCATTGATGCAGATCCAGGTTCCCTACTATCCAAGATGTTCACGACCTGGTGATCAACTGTGCCCGGCCACGACTCGTGAAAAGGACGCTACGACTTGCAATAAGGCCATCACGAGGTGCACTACCCTTCATTGAGCAAAGCGCCATAACAAATGTGTTCTAGGCTATAATTCCTATCGGAGAATCCAACGGTCGTGCCGCAGGTTCCTTCGTCAAAGAATTTCATGCAAAGATACTTGTAGCACAGACCACCACGCGGCTATGTTCAAAGGGCCAAGACGGGAGCTTCTTTGGACGAAACTAAAATAGAGTCCAAAGTGGGTCCAATTAAACCATATGTCAACGACCGTTTATGCAAGCATGCATGGATTGCTGGTCCTTGCAGGATCAAGAGCACTTATCAGCTCAGGGGATGGGGTTTTAGTATGTTTTTACTGCAATGGCCTTATCAGGGTTTTCCAACTTTCAGCCTGGCTCGGTAGAGAAACGACTGCCGAGTAGAAGATCTTGTCAAAAATAGATCAACTATAGGGGAAAGTTGCTAGGGCTCGCACTTCAACCCAGCGACCCGAGATCAGCACCTGGTGGTATCATAGAAACATATTTGTGGGGGAGGATGTGGGGGAGAACCAAGGCAGCAGGCGAGGAGAAGCTTGGATGCTACCCCAGGCTACTAGTTCAGGATTGAGAATGCAGGGGACCGCAGATTTGCAAGCACGAGGCTATCTTTAGTCCGGCTAGACGGGAAGATAGTTAAATATCACAACGTCCTAGGCCTCATTGATAGTGCTCACACATTCATTAACGTTTCGTTTCAACGCTCTCTACCCGACCTTCTTTTGCTAAGCTTTCGTCCGAACCTGTACATCACAGTCTGTCTTTCACGATACTTACAAGCACTCAACGAAATTTGCGAAATATTACAAAATTTCATACCAATAACACCCACCCACACAAAAGAAAATGCATTTCCGTTCATTACTACCTCTCCTTATGTCGACTCTCTACGCCACACAAGCCATCGCGAAAGGCTATGGAGACTGCTGCCTATGCCACTACATCGAGCTCCAGTGGCTATGTGTAAAATGGAACGAGAACACCGACACACTCTCCTGCGGACTCAACGGACCATTCCCACCCGGCTCAAAATGCACAGTCGAGAAGTTCTACCAGCCACAAGACCGCCTGCAGGCAAATGTCTCCCTATACATGGGCGCAAATAAGTCACCATACAGGCTGGACCTGGGTATTAACCCTCGTAACTGCAAGCCTTGGAAGGAGTTCCCAACACAATGGACTGGCTGGGGTGCCTACATGTTCAACGGCGGAGATATCTCCGCACAAGACATGAGTGTCTGCGAGAGGTTTGGGGCTGCATGATACGGAGCGGATGGTGGGAGGAGGGTGAAATGACTGAAGGCTCTTGCTGGCTGAAGAGACAGGACCACCTTCGAGTGCTACATAATGTGTCAATAGACCCAGAATAAATTCATCGGATTAAGATGTATCGTTGAAGCTAACTTCATCCACCCCTCTTCCGCTGCGCACGCCTCCTAACCAGTCCCATCGTACTTAGGTTGGGACTGGTCACAATAGGCCGCACTAGCCACCTCCTAACCATTCATCGCTTGGTAAGGCTGACCTCAGGAGGGGCGTAACCAGTCCAAACAGGAAGAGTGATGACTGATCAGGAGGGTGTGACCGGTCCCAACGGGATGAGTAATGTCTGGTTAAGAGGGTGACCAGCCCTGACGGGCGGCTGTTGAGATGGTCCTCATAATGCCATGGCAACGAAGGCACAATGAATTCATGACCAATTGTTCGTTTACAACTACGGTTGCCTAAATAAAAGAAATGAAAGGGCTGTGAAGCTGTGTTGCTGGCGAAACAGAACATATTACACAGTAAACTAACCACTGCTCTATTTCCTTGGCACTCAAGCGTCTCCATTACACCTTTCCATGCGGGGTTGTTCAGCTACATCAGCCAAGGTTTCTTTGACAACGAGAGCGACTCGGCTGACAATCTCGTCGATGTCCTCCTTGGATACTATATACGGAGGGCATATGAGGAAGTGATCGCCAGCATAACCATCATACGTCCCGTTTGCCGCAAAAAGGGCGATCTCGTGCCCTTTACTCATACCGCGCGCGTGTAGGAGACCGTTCAGCCCGACACTGGGATGGAACGGCTTCTTGGTCTGTTTGTCAGCCACAAATTCAATAGCCCAAAAGAGTCCCCTCCCACGTACATCGCCGACGTGTGGATGAGTAGTGAGCGTGTCTCTCAAGCGCTGCCCAAGATACGCGCCCATCTCGCGCACATGGGGGACGAGATTGCGCTGCTGAATGACCTGTTGGGTCTGAAAAGCTGCGGCGGCAGCCAAAGGATGCGCCATGTAAGTCTGGCCGTGGGCAAAGCCCTGTCCGTGGCTCTGGAGGGATTCCACAACCCGGGCGTTGACGAGAACGGCCGAGATGGGGACATAACCCGATCCGAGACCTTTGCCGACGGCCTGGATATCTGGCACGATGCACTCTTGTTCCCAGGCGTGTAGGGTCCCTGTACGGCCCATACCACACATGACCTCGTCTAGGATGAGCAGGGCGCCGTATCTCTCGCACACCTTTTTCACGGCCTTGAAGTAACCCGCAACAGGGAGTGCACAGCCGCTTGCCTGGCAGAACAACCGATGTCAGTGAAAGCCGGGATCAAAAATGTCAAAGTGCGTGTATCTTTGGGGGAAACCATTTGCGACTCACACTTCCACCGATAGTCTCTGCCACGAAAGCGCACACTCTACGCGGGCCAATCCTCTGGAACTCGTCATCCAGCTCCTGGACCAAGCGTTGCACGTACTCCGCCTCCGATTCACCGTCCCTCATGCCCCGGTAAGCACTGCACGCCGAAACGCGGGAGCAGTTCTGGGAAAGCATAGTGACAAATGGATCTTTGCGGTTTCGGAAGTCACCCAACGTCAGCGCCCCGAGTGTGGCACCGTGCCAGGCCCCGGTCCGGGTGATGAAATGGGTGCGCTCCAGCTGCGGCTCAGGGAGGTGTGCGAAGTACGTCTTGGCCAATTTCATCGCAACCTCGACCGCTTCAGAGCCTGAATCAGAGTCAGTGTCTGTTCGGGCTGACGGGGGTGCGTCAAACTTGCCTGAGCCGCATAGCACCGCCTTGGACATCATACCGTTGGTGGAGGCCACCAAGAAGTCGGCGAGGTCTTCAGCCACTTCGGTCTTGTAGAAACCCGGGTGGCAATATGAAAGATCCACCATCTGCTTTATGATGGCTTTCTGGACCTCGCTATCGCCATATCCGAGGCAGGCAACAGCAGCCCCGCTGGTTGCATCGAGGATGTGACGGTCATCCTGGGTGTTGAGATAGATTCCTGTCGCAGAGGTGATGACTGGAACGGGATGTCGCACGAAGTTCTTATAGAGGAGGCTGCTGGGCCCCTCTCTCATAGACTGGCCCATGCTGACACGGTCGAGGTGAGGAAAAACTCTCAGCCAGGCACAGCGCGATTACCAACTTCAAGGACCTGGATCTTGGCGAAGTAGTGATTGGCGAAGTAGTGATGAGGGTACCATTTTAAAGGAACACATTATCAAGACGCCTAGGATATTCAATCCGTCTGAAAACTTCATCTCCAACGGCAAATGCGTGAGCATGAGCGCCGAAGGGAGGCTTTCCGAGGTTTGCCGCCCAGAAAACCGGGCCGTCTCTCTTGGCTTGCAGTTTCGGCATGGCTGTAATGAGTGCAACGATATACCCGCTAGGTACACCCGTCAGGTGTGTTCATGGTGCAGGGTATAAGGAGACAACGACCCCCGAGCCCCAGCAGAATAGACCGGGAGGCTTCTTGACGTAGTCTGCACTACGGCTTGTGTCGCCATTCATCCCCAGCGTTTTAAAAGATCTAGCCCCTCAACAACTTTGTCCGAAATGTTCATTTCTGATACACAGATGACAACTGCCATCTCCTGGGCCTGATTTTGGAACAACTGCGACTCATATATGCATACAGCCGTATCATTGGATCCTCCGAGAAATTGCCAATATGATGGACATCCCACATGTGGACTACCAATTCGATGTCATCCGTCCTCTCGCATCGTGTTCCTTTCTCGCTGAGAAGGCTCTCCACTTGAAAGGATTACACGGGAACCTGGTGGTCAAAAGACTTTCAGAGGGAACAACCAATATGGCAAGTAGAGGAGTAGAGGCACTGCCTTTGCGAGCCCTCAGTGACAACTGATTACAAGTTCTGCACTTTTAGCTAAACAGTCATCAGCTTTTCAAAATAGCGGCGCAAGACACTTCAAATGAAGGGTCGACCAACGAGAGTCATCTGCCAGCTCTTATCAAAGTATATGGAGATGGTACTGACATTATGATAGATCGCGACAGTCAGTCTCACAAACCGCCACCCCCGCCTCCTTCCCCACGAAGCACTCTTTCTGCAGGCAAAAGGAGCATACCTGTCGCCCAACCCCCGAGCTAACTCTATGATGGCAGAGGAAATTATGTTTCACCAGAAACTAGCTCGTCACCACCTTGCGCCTCCACTGCTTTTCCGCTTCACCAACGGCCACGCCTACCAGTTCATGGAAGGCGAGGCATGCTCTGCCAGCGGAATCACAGACCCTCTAATCTGGCGAGGTGTGGCGAAAGAGCTCGCGCGATGGCACACGCTGCTACCGGCTCCCCCGACCAACAGTAGTACGATGGGTCCACTGCATCAGGAGCACAACGTCTGGGCCACGGCAAGGAAGTGGCTCGAGGCCGCCACAGGATCGGCAACAGAAAAGGAGGAGCTTCGCCTTGACCTTGACTACCTGGTAGATAGGGTACTCGGGACCGACCCGCCAGGCCAGGCCCTGGTCTTGGGCCATGGTGATCTCCTGCCTGCCAACGTGATTGTACAACAGGTCGCTCAAGGCGAGTCAAATGGGTTGACCGCCTCCCGTATTCCTCCGGGCATTGTCAAATTCATCGACTATGAGTACGTGCCGACCGCCCAACCTTCAGAAGACGGGGGAGAAAAAGTCCCCGCTCTTACTAACACCCGAAACAATATCTTAGACACGCGTGCTTCTGTCCGAGGGCCTTTGACCTGGCAAACCACTTTGCAGAGTGGGCCGGCTTCGAGTGCGACTACACCCGCCTCCCAACAAAAGCAACACGCCGGGAATTCCTGCGTGAGTACCTGGCGGCCTGCAACCAAGCACGACCGGACCCTGGGCCCGCCGGGGTTCCCAGTGGCGATGGGGCCGTCGGACAAGAACACTTCGAGTCCGAGCTGGCCCGCCTCGAGGCCGACGTGGACAGTTACCGCGGCTTCCCAGGCTTCTACTGGGGGCTTTGCGCCCTGCTCCAGGCCCACTCGGCCACTGGGACAATCGAGTTTGACTACGCTGGGTATTCGGAGACACGTTTCGCTGAGTTCCGCGCGTGGCGTGCTGAGGATGATGGCTCTCGCGTCGAGGCTGGCCTCGATATGCCTCTCTGGGAAGACCGATGGGCAAGGGAATAGTACCTAGGTACCCAAGGTAGCAACGCTGTACGAGGAAAGGATTTCTTTTTTCTGTAGCTGAATAGTTCATCTCTTCTCCGGCTGTTGTGAAATTTGCTGCAACTACACATGTGCAAGTGTCCACCGTGTGCCCCCAACCGAAAGCCGTGCTGCAACGTCCAGGTGCGGTGACCGGTCGTCTAATGAGTGGCTGCCGTTACTGGGCATAAATTTGCAACCGCCGTGCCACTTTTTCCGTGCGTGTGAATGGTATGCAAAGTATTCCATATCGAGAATCTACAAAGAATTCGGCCTTTGCCCACCTTCGCGCACACGAAGAACGCGTTGGGTGCCGTGTTGTTCACCACGTGTCGTGACCGCCTTGAACACATGTTTCAGCTGCGTGCAAATGGAAATGTGTACTACGTATTTGCCAATCTGTGTTTATCACATCCGTGTATCCGTTGACGTAGGTGCAGGGTCCCGCTCCTGCGGCGTCGCACCCAGGCAGAACGGTGTGGTTGCAGCCGGAGCTGATGAAAATCACTCCCAAAATACTGAGATCGTGGGTAACACCATCACATCCGAGTCCAGGCCCGAAATAACCATTTGAGACCTGCATCTTCGGATCCTCAAACCTCACTTGACCCGGATTATTTGAAAAAGTGTAACGCGACAGCATTTGATGCTTGAAACTTGATCATATTCGAGGCTGCCCAATGGACAAGCTCTGTGTAATTATCAACAGAGGCATCCAGGTAGAAGGGAAGATAGGCAATCAGCCTCCTCGTCGATCTGAGCAGTTCTCAAACTGAGGAGCTATACTGCTAAAAGCTAGCTGATCTGAATCGTGACGTAAATTTCTTGATACAGCGTGACCGACGCGCATACGTGGGGGGACAGGCGTCAAGTGGTGCTATCCAATTCGATTTGACTCCAGAACGAGATGGCCTCACCTCTACGTAGGCGAGGACCGAGTCTTCACGTCATCCAATGAACTGCCAAGTCCATACCATCTCGTACAGAAATTGTCATCGTCGTGATACGGCATGTCAAAATACTTGGTGATCGGATCTGCTCCTGACCATTGTGGTTGCCCTTGCCCCCACCCCCAAGACCATCTTAAGTTGTCCGTTGATAGGTTTTCGATGTTTCTACCGGAAAGAAATTTGCATTATTCAAAGAAACCGACATCAGACTCTTTTCCATCAGACAAAAGTGGGTTTACGCTCTCAACAAACACAATATGAAGGCAGCGACAGGTCTTCGACGCGTCGTTCGGGGCCTCGTTGTCTCAACCGGCGCCAAAGCTCTTTGGGAATCCCACAGGGACCTGAAGATCCTGATACTCTTGCGCATGGTACGCCTGCTGGGTCACGGCGGCACCACAATGATACTGGCCGTCTACCTCCACGGCCTGGGTCTCCCGGACTCGGACGTCGGCTTGTTCATGACCCTGACACTCATCGGGGATCTGGCCATCAGTTCTGGCCTGGTTTACTTAGGCGATGTTTTAGGGGTCCGTGTCGTGGCAGCCATCGGGTCGTTGTTGATGTGTGCAGCTGGAGTGGCCTTTGCGAGCCTCACTAACTTCTGGCTGCTGCTGATCGCTGCTATTTTTGGCGTCATTAGTCCCAGGCAAGTACTTCTATTTTTGCTTGGTGACACTGAACCTCTAATTGAGGGAACATGTGATCTTCGTTGAACTGACGTGTACTAGTGCCAACGAGATCGATCCTTTCAAGCCTGTGGAGGAGTCGGCAATCTCCCGCCTCAGCACGACTGACACTTGCAGTGATATGTTCGCTTGGTGGTCCATGTTGGGCATGTTCGGCACCGCAGCCAGCAACTTACTCACTGGATTCATTGTCGACTACCTTCAGAGATCGGGATACCCTCTCCTTGCTTCTTACAAGATAGTATTTCTCTGCTACGCAGGTATTGGCCTGACCAAGCTTCTCTGTGGGCTTCTGCTCAGCTCTGATGTTGAGCTGCGGCCTATAATAATATCGGATGATGGCTCAAAGGCAATTAGCACAGATTGTAGTGATGAGAATCATCAGTACAAGGACATGGAACAACATACACAGCAAGATTACGGCCACGTGGAGAGGGCTGAGGAAACTCAGCCCCTTCTCTTCAACTCGACGACGAACCATAATTATTCTACCGCACCATCAAGCCCCGCCACGTCAAGTCCGCCGCTCCAGGCTGAACCGACCAGCATTGCCGCCCTGCCGTCAGACCTCGCAGCCAAGAAACCCATGTTCACACCCCAGTCCCTCTCCTTCATGACCCGCCTGTCCGCCTCCCTGATCTTCGACTTCATCGGGTCCGGCCTCGCCCAGATATCGTGGATGACCTACTTCTTCAAGCGCGAGTACGACGTGCCCGACTCGTCCCTGGGCACGGCGACCTTCGCCGCGGGCCTCGTCTCGTCGCTGCTCAACCTCGCGTCGTCGCCCCTGGCGCGCGCCATCGGGCAGGTCCAGACCATGGTCGCGTGCCACGCCGTCAACTCGGCCTCGCTGCTCATGGTCTCGGTCCCCGGCGACAGGGACCTGGCGCTGGCCATCTTCATTTTCCGGATCCTGACTCGGGAGATGGACAACGCACCGAGGCAGGCGTTCATCGCGCGGGGCGTGGAGGTCGATGAGAGGACTGCGGCTATGGCGGTTGTCAATGTTATCAAGACGGCTGGGAGCTGTATTGGCCTGTATGCCACGGGGTGGTTTGCTGCGTGGGACGCGTTCTGGTGGGCTTTTATTGTAGCGGGCTGTTTGAAGTTGGTGTATAATGTCTTGATCTCGGTCTTCTTTTGGGGGACCTGATAGATAGAAGGTGTATCATCGCATGGGGAAAGCGCACGGATTGAGCTTCTGTCGCTAAGGAGGATGAAGAAGAAAACCTCTTGTTGAACATGCCTGGCTCGGCGGAGAGGTCACTCAGGATAGTATGTCTTTGGTCCAAGGCTGGCAGCCTAGACCCAAACTCCAAACACAACGTTCACCGTGCTATTTACTGGCTGGTCGTACCATTTGTGGTGTCTAAATATGCTTGCCAGTGGATGGGATATCATACATTGCAGGGTTGTCGACTGTTGCCTAAAGAATTAATAGTGTAACACCCTATTCTATTTTTATAATAAAAACGGATATTTATAGGGCAATAAACGAATAGTATAGAGCAATAAGTATCACTAGCTAATTAGAGTACACTATTCACTATATTCTACACCTATACCACGTTAGCTAAGTATATTTAACACTTTATATAACACCCTTACTAACAACACCCTCACTAGCGACAACACCCTTATTAGTAATAATACCTTTAAGTTAATAACTAATTAAAAAGTTAAGGAATTAAGGAAATATATAGTTAATAATTATATTTTTATATTTTATATAATAACGTTATAATATAAGTTAAGGTTAATATATTAAAGATATATATAACTTTATACTATTTAAATTCAACCCTAAATTATTTATTTTTTAACTTATAAATATCCGTTCTCTTTATAATTACTTACATCACAGTCTTCTAACTTTCAAACCTATTGTTTTCAAATAATAGTGGTTGTTCTTGTTTCGGTACTATATGGTAATCATGAATGAGACTTAATTCTGGAGAAATTCGAGGGAGATGATAGGCTACGGCTGAGTCTGTGAGGGCCAAAACTTTCAGCGTCGCTTCCGTCGTCAAGCACGTCAACATCGGTAGCCCGTAAACATCGGTAGCCCGTAGACCTAAGTTGCTCCGTCACCTCACGATACTAGAATCACATACTCGAAATCTTCCTAATGTTGTAAGTCCTTTATTTAATGAGCAGTTCCTTTGACCATGAAAAATGCTGTACGGTAAAACATGCAAACAACCGTTTGCCCTCTTTTCCAACCATGGTCCTCAGTCGGGTACTTGTGTACCTGCCGGGAGACACGTCAACGAGTTTACTCCCCAAAGTATTTGAAATATCAGGGTAAGGTCAGAACCTGGATCGTAAAACCCTTGCCAGTGCTTTGTGGTGCAAATTCCCAAAGCCGTCCAAGCATGGCTGTGTGTAAATGACAGCCGACAAGTACTTGGTTGAAGGAGCAATGACAAGGGCATGGCCGCTGAGCCAACCCTCGATATTGGTGCGCCACAAGAAAGATGATCTTGTTGCGCAGGTTCCCGGATACTCAAATGGGTTTCTGTACAGACGTTGTACAGGACAATATGTCACAATCTCACCGGCACAAAACCCAATGCCGGTCGATTTGTTTCATTAATTATTGGAGTCACATTAGATGATGAATTGGCTACCCGCTGCATGATACAATTCCAAATTGCTGTAGCACTTGAAGTCCGTATTCCGAGACAAGAACCCATATCCATCAGTAGCGCTGGGGGGCAGGGAGGATAAGCTGTAAGCCGAGGTGCGTATATAGTTACAAGGCCGTGAACAGCAATAGGTCAAGATAACCGAGTACTGCCTCCCGCCTCACTTGGAATAGTGGCACTGGAAGCCTGCAAAATTCCGTATTCAGTAATAAGTGTCCTTGACTGCCTGTATTGAGCAGAAAATGTTGACGAGAATTCCCAGAGGTACCGAGACAACCGAGCTATGCCACGACAGCTCGACACACTGAGATCACTGAATAACAAAACAACATCATGGAGAGCCTCATCTATGTCGACACCGATGTCGTCTGTCTCCTCAGCCAGCTGAATGCCTATGACTACATCATAGTAGGCAGTGGCTTCGGCGGCGGGTCTCTCGCAGAGGTCCTTGCGCTCCAGAAGAAGAGGGTCCTCCTGGTCGAGCGGGGAGATGTCATATTCTCCACGCACATCCTCAACACGTCGCGGCCATACTTTGGCCGGGGGGCCAGCAACAACCCCGAAGGCAACGAGAGCGTCTTCGACAGCGTCAAGGCCAAGGTGCAATGCACCGAGGGCTCGGAGAGCTTCATCGGTGGGCCGATCTATTGCCTCGGGGGCCGGAGCAACGTCTGGGGGATCTGGACGCCCCAGATCAGCCAGGACACGCTGGTCGAGTACTTCCCCTACGAGATCAAGCAGTCCCTCCTCGACAAGGGTGGCTACAAGAAGGCGTTCGACTTCATTACCAGCAAGTCACAGACCGACTTCGTGTACCCCATGGGCAGCGGCGCGGAAAACAACCCGGTCAGGATCAGCGAGGCCGAGTTACAGGACACTCAGTGCCTGCTGCAAGCCGCAGTCCCCGAGGCCGGGCCGTCAGGCGGCTTCACGCTCATGCCGGTGGCCGCCGAGTTCAACTCGTCTGCCCCCTACAAGTTTCCCCAGGGTGCTTACAGCACTACCCTGGCGCTCATGAACCGCATGTTTGCGAACGACAAGTACCTGACGGTCCTCATGAGGACAGAGGTGCTCGCTGTCCAGCGCAGCAGCGACGAGAACGGATCGGCTGGGTGAGTGAAAACCTGGTGCAGTCCTGGTGAGCACATGATTAATAACTCTGATGATTTCGCAGCCGAGGATCGTCCATCACATCCCTCAAGGTGCGAAATACAAAAGATGGTACTATCAGGGACCTCGGAGTTGGGTCCGCCAAGGTGATCCTCGCCGCCGGCTCCATCGGCACAGCATCCATCGCCTTGAACAGCGGCCTGCACCAGCTGCCCGCCCCGGCGAGCGGCCTCGTCGGCAAGGGGATCATCGACCACGACATCTGCTACGTGCGCTTCGCCATGGAGAAGGGGCTCGAGCTCAAGAAGCCCCTGAACCTCAAGTCGGTCGTCACAATCGACGGCCGGCGCTGCCTGCTGACGGTGACGGTCAACGCCAACTTCTTCCTCGCGGGCAGCTCGGCCTCGACCGCGCCGGCGCAGTGGTACCGGGACGGCAGGCTGATCAAGTCGCCGCGCAGCCGCGCCGCCCCGGGCGACACGACAGAGTATGACACCATCGCCGTGCTCTTCGAGTTCGTCGGCCCCCTCGAGGACAAGAACGAGGTCCTCAGCCTGCCCGGGAAGGACCCCGTGCTGCACATCATCCGCCCCGCCATCAAGCCCCAGGTCCAGGCGGGCATGGAGGACATCACCAGGCAGATCCGGAACAGGTTCGTGTACAATGACGAGAACTTCAAGACTGACGACCCGCCGCCGCGCCCGGTGCGCATGGGGTTCGGGGTCTTTGCGCACGAGTGTGGGACCATGCGCATGGACGGCCCGAAGGGGCAGGGCGTCGTTGATACGGACCTGAAGGTCAAGGGCCTGGACAACCTTTGGGTGTGTGATTTGTCCGTCTTCCCTGTCAGCCCTGAGGCGAACCCCGGCTTGACGCTGGCGGCGCTGTCGCTGCGTCTGGCTCAGCACCTCGAGGGCAAGCCCCTTGATGATCTTGAGCCATGGTGCCAGGAGACAGCGACGAGGAGCCTGGATTCAGACTTGACAGTTTGTTCTTGTGCAAAAGGAGGAAGAAAGTCATGAACAGGATTGCGTGGGCCTGGGTGCAGATGATTGGCAGACACGTAGAACTGAACAGGGATCGTTTTAAGCGTAGGACGTTATTTACTCCGTAGTACCACTTTCGAGCAGGGCGAGCATGAGGTTGAGCGTTGAAGTGTGAATAAATGTAATGTGTGCGACACGGTCCGCGCTGGCTCTTGTGATTGGGAATGTCAGCTGCGCCGCACTGCTGTGGCAACTTATCTCAGATGTTCAGATGTTCTCGGCCTGGCCGTTATATATCCGGATGTCGTGCACACTCATTTCAAAAACAGGGAACTTTGACTGCCTCTTCTCTGGTTGAGGCAGCCTTGGAACACCTCCAAACATTCCAGCATGGGGTCGGTCATCGAACCTCCGGCCTCCGACTCTCCTGATCTTCTCATTTGTCAGCCCACTCCCGAAGAATGTGTCAAGATCTGGTCCAACACGGCAGCGTCATGGAAAGACTCGCTCACCAAAATCGTGTACCTTGATGAGTCTCAGTACCTTACCACGGTGCCACTTGCCAAGGATGGAGGAATGACCAATTGGGTTCTCGTCGATAGAAACCACCCGCCCAACCAGCGTCAGATCCTGTGCTCATGCGAAAGCTTCCGGAAGCGGTGTCTCACCAGCGATAAGGAGGGAACCATTGAAGAGGGCATCGTTCATGGCGTCGCCAGCGTTTTCTGCCCATCCGAGTACCGCGGCCGCGGCTACGGGGCTCGTCACATGAACGAGCTGGCCAAGGTACTGAGGGAATGGCAGCCCGGATATGGCAACAGCATTGGTAGCATATTGTACTCAGATATTGGGACAGAGTACTACGCTAAGCCTGGCTGGCTACCAAGCCCTGGGAACTGGCACTTTGTCCTCCCATCGGCCCAAACGGAGGTTCCGGTGACGGCACGGTTGATTCTTGAATCGGAGCTGGAAACCCTCTGCGGCAGAGACGAGGCAATGGTGCGGAAGGCTATGGCCACGCCTAGCAGGGCGTCGAAACGTGTGGTGGTCCTTCCTGACCTGAATCATATGCTATGGCATATCCGGAAGGAGGACTTCGCAACCAACCATATCCTCGGAGAGATAGCAGAGGCCAAAGGGGCAATCGCTGGTGCCCCTGGAACACAGGTCTGGATAGTTTGGGTGCGTCGGTATTACGAGCACCCAGATCATCCTGAACAGGAGGACCGCGATGGAGTGAATGTCCTTTACGTTCTCCGTCTTGTGATTGAAGCTGACGAGACCGCCAATAAACCCCACGAGGACTACTTGGAACCCATATCAGCAGATATTTACGTGGAACAGGCAGCGGCTCTAAAGTCCGTGTTACAGGCTGCCCAGGCCGAGGCAGCAAAATGGCGCCTCGACCAGGTGCAAATATGGGACCCGTCCCCCCTAGCACAGAGTCTTCTCGAAAAGAGTGGGATAGACGCAAGTCGAGTTGAGCGGCAGACCGACAGTATTGCGAGTGCCCTGTGGTTCACGAAAGGAAGCGATGTCAGAGAACTCTCTCCGCAATGGATCAATAACGAGTATTATGCATGGTGCTAGAGAGTCGGACTAGGCGGCTCATTGAAGACTTTCGTCCCATGGCTCCTCAGAGCTCATCACAGATTTGTGATGCACTTCCTGTACACTGTATGTGAGCACGGCTACTACTTTTAATCTCTCCGCGCTTTCTGACGATGACTAGTCCCGCGAAATGAGCCCAACCTGACCATTCTCATCTTGAACGCTTTGGTCAGCTCCGGAGTCCAACAGCAGTTTGGCGAAAGAGGCTGACATGCAGGAGGCCATGTGGAGCGCCGTCTTCCCCCAGATGCATTAGTGGCACTTTCTTATAGGCTGATAATCAAACCCGTTGGTTACCCCAGTACTTGCCTGTGGTCGGAATGAGAATCTGCGAAGCTTCCTCTAATGCTGTAACTTACCCTACCTGCCCAGGTATGAATCAACGAAACCTCTGCAGATTCATCATTGGCGCGTAGACCTAAACACCTCCGCCATCTCCTCATCGGAAACAATCGGGGCTCACAAGGTCAGAGGCGTCAAACAGAATGCCGAATACGGCGGCCAAGAACTTTGACTTGCGTTCTGCAACATGTGAGGACGCAACGCGGATCGCGGAGATCCACATGGCAGCTTTCAAGGATAATGCTATGCTCCATGCCCAGTTCCCAACCCCAGCCATCCGCAAGTTGCTGCAGACTTGCAGTGAGGACAAAGCTCTTGCCGACATCAACGACCCGAAGATTACTGTACTCGTGGTAACGACAACGGACAGCAATGACGAAGAGGTTGTCATTGCGTTTGCAAAATGGTCATACCCTATCTTTCCTGGTGATGACTATGTCGAGTCGCCTTGGATATGGCCTGACGGGACTGATCTCGACACCCTCAGAGCGTGGACCGCCAAGGCTGAGGAGGCAGAGAGCCGTTCTGTGGGAGAGACTCCTTGCTACCGTATGCACCAAAGCTCGTCAGAAACTCTTCGTGGAAACTTTGGATGCTGATCAACTGATTCAAAGGTCTTACCTTCATCGGTACTGATCCTGTCTACAGCCGTCGTGGTGCAGGCCAAATTTTGGTGCAATGGGGCATACAGCAGTCCAAGGCAAGAGGTTTGCCATTGTACCTCGAAAGCACGGTGGAAGCAGCCCCATTCTACAAGAAACACGAATTCTCTACCAGAGAGAGTATCCTCCTCCCGATATGTGTTGATGGCGGTGAGAAGACGCAGATTTATGAAGAAATTGTCTTCACATACGGCCGAGTGTAGAAGGGCCTGGGCCTATGTACTTGTGGTGCTGCCACTAGAGATCATAATCCTTTTGGGGATCATTAATCAATGAATACAGATCCGAAATCAGACCGAGATACCAAGTCTCGTTTCTGTTCCATACGAGTGTGAAGCCATACATGGCGCCTTATATGATGGTAACTACCGAGTTTAAACCAGGCATATAATGATATGATACCGAATAGCATACTTCGAAGATGCGTGGTCCATGACTGTAAATTAATGTATTGTGCGGTGAGCCCATGGTGCATGCCGGAATACCCCTGGGGCTCTAGATCGGCCATAATCTCTTGGGAGTCTTCTGCCTCTCAAACGCTTTCACAATTTCGATACAGTGGTTTGGACGCCCAGAACATCATTAATGAAACCAACCTGCTCTCTGAGCAACTGGTCCTTGCCCTTCCCACCCATCAAATTGAGGTGTCCTCTGTCCTTGAGCCACAGAACTTTCTTCATTGGTGATTTTATCTTGTCAAACATCTGTTTCTGCAGCTCTGGGGGATACATCTGGTCGAGTCCCGGTATAATCATCATAACTGGGGTTTCCAGGTTGGCAATAATCTGCTTGGGCCAAAACATGGCGATATTGTGGTACGACTGAATAGCAACATGGTTGCGTGCTGTTGGCCCGGCTTTCTCCACGATCAATTTGTTGAACCTGTAGTATTGAGCGAGGGTCAGCTGCTTTGTACTGTACCGTACTTTTCGTTGGATGGGGGGGAGCGTAAACTCACCGATACGACTCCAGTCCTCCCGGGCCACCAGAATCCAGCATGCCTATGATATTCTCCCCTTTGCTGTCGAACATTGGCATCATTTCTGGCTCGCACCCGTGGAGTAGCTGAGCCTCGCGATCCTTGATTAGCCGAGCGAAAGCATCCTTTCTCTTATCGTCTCGGTAGTAGTTGAAGACCGGTGACGCCATGATCACTGCCCTGTTGAGAAGGCTTGTCAGTTCAACTCACCCTCGTGATATCTATCCTGTACCAGATATGAGGTGCTGAGAATCACGTACTTGACTCGGCTGTCAACCACAGCAGTGCAGCCGCTAACCAGGGCCCCAAGGGAGATACCCCACAAGATGATGCGTTTCGAGTCGACCGATGGCAGGGTGCTAATATGTGTTATGATATCTGAGAGATCCTCGGAATACTGGAGAGGATCAAGTAGATTCCTTGGGGAACCATCGCTACCTCCTACACTTCGAGTGTCGTAAATAAAGACATTAAATCCTTGGGATTGGAAGCCTTTCGCGACTTGGGGAAGAAGTATTTCCTTGACGACATTGATCTACAGATACGCCCAGTAAGCATTCCGTTTCCCTCAGGCTGGAAGAATAACTCACACCAGGTGTCATGATAACGGTCGGTGCAGGCCTCCTGTCGACTAGGAACAGCCATCCTCGGATGGTCGTCCCGTCGAGTGTCTTACATTCATACGCCTCATAGTCGGGAGAAGCCATGGTTTTAGCCCTCGGAGAGATTCAGTCACGGCTATCCTGTCTCAGCCATACTAAAGCTGAGGAACAGATCACGGACAAGACGACTCAGAAACTTTTCTATTGATATCTCGGTCGGTGTTGGGGGCTTCACCGTGGGCCCATTTATTTATGTGGGTTTTGACACCAACAGCCCTTGGCCAACATACACGGAGCCCCGAGTCGTACGGTTACACCAAGTGGGCTCAAATCATAATGAGAGGATAGCTGATATCAGTCTGCACGTTCTTGGAATTTATGACATGTCTATTTTCCTTGCAATCGTGGTCACGGTACATGCAAAATTCTTTCGCGAAGTGGTCACCAAGGGAAATCATTAGGTGGAGAGGGGATAGTGTACAAAGCGAGTTGTGGACTGACATGCCGATACAACGCAATCGAATTTGAGGATTTGGAAAGCGGGGTGCCCTTTCGGGCGCTTTAAAGTCTTGTATTGAAGTCCATGAAAATGACGGTATAGTGTTGTGAGCAGGTGCGAACAATCGATAATGCGTCATGCTCGGGCTCAGATGAAGCAGACCAGAGGCATTTCTTGCCGTGGATGCCATCTGTGCATCATACCGACTGGCACAGGGATTGCTCCTGGCTGAGGGAGGCGCAGGGCGAATGGGAGCTGTCAATGTTTTGGCCAGACGACACGACGACACGAATGGTATTGCGTGGGTACCTAGGTATATCAGGGGCCGTTAAGAGAATATGACTGCTGACACATCAGTAAAGGCAAATCTGTGGAACACATAATGGACCTACCAGAATGTGAAGGTGAACCAGGTTGCCAGCCATACATATAGAGGTAAAGGGACAACAAAGAGAATGGTTTCGAAACATGCTATCACACATCCATGCAGATCCCTCATTAACAATGCCTTTCACCCCTCCCAAGATCTCTCCTCCATTGTATAATGGAATCCACAGATTTGGAAGGACGTGACTGATCAAAAAGCCTTCTGCTGGCTCCCGAAACAGATTCAGAGTGTATGCAGTAAAACGGTTCCAACCGCCTTTAATCATCTCTTGCTTCCCTCAGAGGCGGTCCAAGACCCCACGCCCTTGAGGTAGTATGGTTGTTCGGCGAGTGATGGTGGGCCCTGCGAGGACCGCGAGGTTTCGTTGGCACCTGTTCGATACGGTAGGCCTACCAGGCGGTTGCCGTCCTTGAAGGGTTGTGCCACGTACGCCTCGAGTCGTTGTTGCTGGAGGTAGCTCTGCTGCTCGACGTCTCGGTCTGGGGCAGATCGACTTCCGGATGACGAACTACATTAAACCGCGTGGCATGTAATCAGTAAAGGCTATCGGTTATATGTAGATGGAAACGGTCACGGCCTTGTTGTCTTACCCACTGACGGATTGTGTGGATCTGGAACTCATGATGACTGATCCTGGTCAGACGGCAGTGGCCTGGATAGGGGAACCGACGAGGAGTTCCCGCTTTCAAATGGTACTGGGAATGGGACTCGAGGGTCAAGATTTGGACGGTGGTCCAAAGACGACAAGGTGCTTGTGAGCTTGATGGTTGGCGCGGACGATATAGCCGAAGAGCTGGAACTTTATCTATAGTTTCTGCGACAGGAAAGAGAATACACGCGCGGGAAATATCAGGTCAACACGGAACGTGCAAAGCCTAGTGTATGGCAGTCGACAAAAGCTTGGTGGGGAGCACTCAACAACACCCGAGGATTGGGTAAATGTCTATTAAATAATCCGTAATTCAGTGTCGAGATTCGGTCTCGACGATGACCACAGAGACTGCAGATAACACTCCATGCGAGGCAGCCCGCGGGCTTGCCCATTGCGAACCTTGGAGTGGAAGCCATGGTTCGCACGCCGTTTCCATCTCCCCCCTGAACTTGCCCATTTAGAGAAGCTTCCAACAGTCGGATAACCTCTAATTCGTGCGTTTTCGACAGATGCGAAAGGGTGCCCAGGAAACTCCACATGCAATTGTCCTCTGAACAACCCCGCCCCGACCGGTGTGCCAGAGCCCTGTATAAGTCCCTCGTGCTAGGCCCACCCCCTCCCCCTTCGAGTCAGGCAACGTGATGCCATTGTGTTCGAGCAATACAAGATCGTTGAGCATGTCGTCGTTTCGAAGACCCAGACTCCTCCGGCCCGTCGAGCAGCAGGTGCCAAGTTCGTGTGTCGTCGGAGGTGTGAAGGCGGCGACTTAGTGGTACGGTGCTATTTAATGTGCAGAGGCAAATCGCACTTTGATATGCCTGTATTATCAGGCACGGGTCACAGATCAAACGTTGAAGAGTCGACAGACATCGGAAGAGACGGAGCATTGGAAGAAATGAGATGATATTGCTTGGGCAAGAGACCGAGTCCCGTAGCAAGCTTCAAAACAGGCACATATCCAAATATGCTCCCAACCTCAAACTGGAATGCCTTCTCGGGTATGATGACAATTTCCAAACAGGCCTGTCGGGTTTGCTACTATCTTCAGGATACAGCATCTAGTCCCAGCTTCTGGAATAGTGCCTTGTTGGACATGAGATATTCCGAGAGAAGACTTCTTCCCTGTCTCAATCCGGAGGCCATCTCCCTGCACCAATAGAGTAAAGGCCTCGATTTGAAAGCGGTTTTGTTTGCAAGGGCTTTCACTACTGTGAGAAAGCCCAGGCGCCTTGGGAAACAGAACCTGAGGTTCTGAAGTCTGCGCAGGAATAAAACCACCCTTGGGGGTTCCTGGAGGCGAGGAAAAAAAAGGGGGGGGGTGTGACCGAATGGCGGTGGAAAAAATGAGGCGGACCAGACACGTCACCATCGCCCGACTTGTATGAGATGGACGGTCGTATATGCAGGCTTCGTTGGCAGGACGCGTCCTCGCTTGAGACAAGACCTATGGGCATCGCCGACGGAAGCAGATAACGGAGGGAGGGTGCCGGGGAAGCCTTGGCGTTAGGCAATGAGGCAACCAGGCAACCAGGCGACCAAGCGGGGTGGGTAGCCAGCCAGCCAGCCAGGTTCGGCAGACAGAGACTGTGCCCAGGCACTCCGCTTCGAGGAGGTCAATGTTCGTCCAGCCTGACGCAGTTGTTGGCCTTTGGTGGTCTCGCTAGTCGCTGCTCGCGTTCGTGGCAAGTTGGCAACGTTGCTGACAAAGGTAGCGATCGGGTGTATTGAACTTCCGAACTCCGAGCTGAGCTGAACCGGGCCTAGACGCTTTCCAAAGTCGGATTCCTGTTGTCATGCGTACTCCGTGTTCATGATGCGGTAGGAGGACGAGCTCAGAAGACCAAGGGATATCTGGTGACAAGTAGTGAGAGGAGAGCAAGAGCAAGAGGACAGTGAGAGGGGAGGAAGGAGAAGGGAGGAAGGAGAAGGGAGGAAGGAGAAGGGAGCATGGAGAGAAAACCCAGACGAGGGCGACGAGAAACAGAAAACAGAGCAGATGGAGAAAAGACCAAGGAGACAGGGGAGTGCGAGAGGAACTCTCGTCCAAGGCTGTTCTGATAATGGGCACAGGACGGAAGAAGTAGCAGCCATGTTCTCAAGGGGGAAGGGAGGCTCATCTCTGCCTCACGCATTCATGTGCCGACCGAAGGCGGGCGCGCAGCTGCTGGTGTCCCGGGTTCTCGATTCCTGGCACGATGATGGAAGCACAAAGAGCTTGCAGAGACGGTCTGGCGGCTGTGGGAGGACGAAGATGAGAATGGGGAGATTTCGATCTGAAAACAAGACACGTAAAACACCACGGGGAAGAGAGAAGATATATAGAATGGGGTGGGCCTCATGCCGGATACAAAACGGGGGTGGGCCTCAGGCGGGATGAAATACAGGGGGGGGGCAGAAACAAGTCGGCGTGAAGCCTCCTGATTTGGCTACGGACAACACGCAGGAAAGGAAAGCAGGGGGGTCGGTGCTCAGAAGCACCACACTGCATGCTAGTGCAGGTGCCAGGGTGGCAGGGTGGGATGACGCAGCCTGCATCTGCTTGCAATTGGGCCGCACAGAAACCTCGCTACTCCCAAAGAGGAAAGACCGCCCCACCTTTCTCAGAATCAATGGCGGTCACTGCCTACTGCGGCACGGGAGGATAGGGCTACTGTGGTAGACGTGAAGGATTCTGACCCCAGCAACTTCTCTCTACCGCAGTGCGGAGCATGTGGTGGCTAACACAGTACGGAGTACAGAGGCACGTCACTTTCCGCCGATCTGAAATGTTGTGTATAAAACAGACAGCTACCTACAGTACTGTGTTAATTTTGCGATGAGTGGCTCAGGATCATGGTCAGTCATGTGTGACTTTCAGGTTCGAAAGTTGAGAGGGCGCCTTAATCCATCCGTGAAACTCAGATCGAGAGGATCAAAACGTTGCAGTGTGGCAGGCCTACCTTACCTATTCACGGTTAAAATAGTGCCTACGTCGCCCCGACTAGGGCGGCCACCATCGACCAGCTCTGTCTGACTCGGCCATCAAGCCTAGGGACTTCTCCTCTCATCCTGAGGAGCCCTCTTCCGGCAATGTCATCGACTGTTTCAAGGCAAACACTTGGCTAAAAGTAGGTCGCATGCATGTGGCAGGCCGGCAGGCTGGCGGAGCGAGCTGTCCAAGAAACGGCTGCAAAGGACTCGGAGTCTCGAACCCTGTGCTTCGTCATCTGACGGCAACCACATCTTGAACTGTGGGAGCAGACGGGACTGGTAATCTGTATTGCGGTGAGGTTACACGAGGCACCTGGGCGTATTTGACAGGGTTGCATGCAGGTGTCGACCCGATAGCCTTGAGCCTCCGAGGATGGGAGGTTCGGAGTTGGCCGGGCGATGGGGGGAGATGGGAGATCATTGGCTGTCAATTTGGGGCAGGGCTCTCACAGGTGCTCAAAGGAAGTTGGAAGGTTCAAGTTGTGCAGGGATGGGGGGCGGGTTGGAGAGACGTTGACCCACATTTTGTACACTATTCGCACATTTGGGGGGTCTTACTGAAGTAGTACTCCTACCTACACCTAAACGTACCTACCTAGGTATGTACTCCGTACTCTTCCCTTCAATTCTTACCTCTGTGCTCTGCAATATACCACCCATCCATTACTAGATATACACCTGTGCTTTCCCAGCACACAAAGACGAAACAGCACAAGGCCCATTGAAACCCAGATTCACCGCCACGTTGATGGGCGCACGCCCAACAGCCAGTAATGGTATAGAACACAACTCTGTGTTGAGGCGGATCTGCTCGGGGCACCTGGGCCTCACGGCTTGAGCAACTCACCTACGGGGCATAGTACTCTGTCCGACACTCAAACCCCCCTTCAACAATTGGTCATGTCCACGGTGGATTTTAGCAGACCACTCTGCAAAGGCACACAGTACACATATTACTTGCTCTGTCCATACTCCCGAACACTACTCAACAGTTGGGCAGAGTGTGACCGCGCCTGGCGGATGAAAATGTTATCATTTACCTCGCCGGGACAGCAAGCCTCGTAGTGTTATCAGAATGACTGAACATGCATCTGGTCTTGGGCTGAACTTAACAAATCTCACGACTGTGGCACTTCCTAGGTACGTAGGTAGTCCCGTACCATTCCCAGTGCTTGTCGAAAGAAGACATCACGACCTGGGCCATGCATTTGATGCGCATGATAAGCTCTGAGACTATTATACACATCACATGAAGTGATTTCTATGGTTCGCGTCGACTATGGAATCATCTTCGCCTGTCTCATCCTATCAAACACAAGCGTATATCCTCTGGTAGTGTCGACTGTCTCCTTGAAACCCACCTCCCTCGCACTACTCAGGTCGAACTGCCGATCAAATGGAATCTGGAGGATACGCTCCACAAACCACCAGTTGTGCGCCACGATATCCATACCCTCCAGCCCTTCCCGCTCGACCAAACCAGGCCACCGGTCCGCATGCTTGACGACAAACGCACCCGCCGTCTCCGTCCCCTCGCTCGGGGGCAACCCCTCGAGGCCGAAATACGCGCAGATGCCGCCCCACACGTCGCCCCAGGTCACCACCTCACCATCAGCGACGTTGAAGGCGCGGCCGCCGCCGCACTTCTCCGGCTCCAGCGCGGCGAAGATCTCCATCCTGGCGATGATGTCCTGGCTGGAGTCGGTGTGCAGCGACCGGTAGCCCGCAGCGGTGCCGGGGTAGGGACACTTGGCCCCCGCGCCGTGCACCTCGCGGAACAGGCTGAGGTAGAACCCGAGCCCCTGGGCGACGTTCATGGCGTTCGTGCCGGGGACGAAGCCGATGATGGTGTCCGGGCGGACCTCGGTGAACGTCCACGAGTTGCCGGCCTCGGCGGACAGGCGCCTCAGGATGTCGACCTGCGAGTAGTAGAAGATCTCCTGGCCCCACGGGTCTGGGACCCTCGGCTGGGACTCGTGGAAGGGGGGCGCCAGCTTGATGTGCTGCGAGAACAGGAGGCCGTAGGCCTTGCCGCCGGTCTGGAGGACCACGGAGCGTATCCGCGGCGCCAGGGCTGTGATGGCTGTGATCGAGGTCTCCAGGAGTGAGTCGTTTGCAGCCCTGAGGGGCATCGGCCCCTTCTCTGAGGGGACTCTGTATGCTGAACGACTGTCAGCCAGCCATACTTTGGACGTGAGGTTCTTCTGGGGAGCTGAAATTACCGGCATAAATGACGTGCGTGACGCTGTCAATGTCCGGGATCTTCTCGGTCAACAGGGTTTTGACCTCATCCACGGGCCTCGTAAAGTCGATACCGCTGACAAGTCTGACCCGGTCCTCATTTGCTGGCAGTAGGGCCTTCTCCTTCGTCACTGGCCTATTTGTCGTTCCAGTAACCTTTGCAAAAGTTGTCGGTGTTGGATATATCAGGGCCTGGTGCATGGCAGCCCACCCCGAAACCCCTGACGCGCCAAGAACAAGTAGATGCGCCATTTCGGTAGCTTGTCAAATCGCTCGAGATCGATGAATGCAACGTCGCGTTCCAACGAATAAGTTGAGTTCTCTCGCCTATTCTTATAATGTGGGCGACTGGAATTGACACATGTGCCTTTACCCAGGGCACGGTCGAAGATCTGACACTGAGGCGGCTGGCGTTTCGGTCGCAGATCGCACAGGGGACACACGTTTGACTTTGCAGTGACAGGTGCACTTGCTGACGTCGAACGCATTTGTGCCAAGAAAATGTTACCAGGCAGCAATGGCAGAAACAACAGATTTCGCAGCCTCAGAAGTACATCTCCAGCTAAAGATAGGAATAGAGCCGCCGAAACAGGTCTTGTTTTCTGTTGAAGGTGTATTGAGGTGGTCGAGGCTCAACGACGCGCTTGAGCTGCCTACCTAGGAGTGGTTTCGTTCTTAATCCGTATACACCCCGAAGGCGTATGGTCCCTTCACAAATACTCAAGCAACTATCAAATCCTATGGATCCAATTGCTGAGTACGCATCTTCGCCAATTGATAAACACATAGAGGATGTTCCGAGTGCGCACAGGAAGTTGAGAAAATCCCAGCGGCTCGCATACTAAGCTCGGATAATATCAGAAAGATCAGTGCCGTCCATCCCGTAGGATTTAGCCGTACCGGAAAGGGAGCATACGATCATGTCATCGTTATTGTCAATTTCCCTCACGCGAAAGAGTAGTGCTGGGCATGTCTTGATCATGTTACGAGGATTCGAGGATTCGTTTCAATCTGAACCTCGGAACTCCGACATAACTAGGCAAGTACCCTAGGGTGCCGTACCAGTTGACGTTTCGACATGATGTCTGGCCACAAAAGCTTGTTGGACTGCTTGACCATCAAAAATGCATTCGCGGTAGCTTTTCGAGAGAACCCACTCAGTGTTGCTATCACTTACTCGCTCAATATCCGTCCACCGCGACAATCTCGTTCATCCGAGCCTTACCCACCTGTAACGGAACGCCTTCGTATGACCACATTTTGCATCGATTGAATAGATGAATGCAATTCACAAGACCAAGATTGTGCTCAAAATTGAATCCAAGGATTTGACGGCAAAGTAAAGTGGAACTGGCGGTGTTGTTGTGTGATGTATGGGTATCGCGTGTAATAATACTTACGGGGCACGAGAAAGGAGTCATGATTTCAATCACACACCGCAACGACGACACACCTGGACGAGGATATGATAACTAGAAAAGGGGACAGATTGAGTTTTAGAAACTCTTCAGTGCGCCGAGATTTCTGGAGCTCTATCTTTATTTAGACTTCGGTGCCCCCTGATGACTCGCGATTAGCTCTGTACAGAGTGCGGACTACTCAGCCTCGGCAAGCATCAAGGGCCAGCGTATATTATGGCGAATTACCGGATCTTCCGATATGCATAGTTTTCCGTTGTCTGTCAATCCCCGAAGCCCGGAGCCCCCACTAATTGAGGCTGGCACGCCTGATGGGCAGCCCCAGTGCCCGCCCGGTAGCAAAGTCTAAACACGAAGTCAAGAAGCATAACATCTATTGAATCTAGTATTACGTGCAGATGTGGAATAAGCATATAAGGCCCGGTCAGTCGTGAACTCGTAAACCAGTCAGTCGTCTCATCACCGCAAACCATTTCTCAAGACACTTTACTGCAAATAGACTCTCTTTACCGCCTGTAAATTCTTTTAATCGATATTCTCACAACAAAAATGCGTGCCACCACCGCCGTCGCTTCTCTGCTCGCCGTCTGCCTCCCGGCAGTCAGCGCGGCCACCATTCACAGCCGTCAGGAGGGTATTATCTATGGATGGTGAGTCCGGACCCATGAAGGAAGGAGCCCCAGGAATCACAACAGGTTTTGAAAAAAAAAAAAAAAAAAAAATTCTAACTCAAGAACCATGTATAGCCACTTCACAGGCGACGGCATCTCCGCCGACATCAGCGTCGGCCACGACGCCGGCGCCGACGCGCCCCTCACCGGCACCAGCGGCAAGACGTACGAGCTGGACTGCGGCACCACCTCGACGCAGCCCGTCCCGGGCGTCTTCGCCAAGTGCACCGTCAACAAGGAGAAGCCCGTCATCACCGCCTACAACGCCACGTATGTAACTGCTCGCGCCCGTCCATCCGGAACAACCCAGAGGTCATTGCTTCAATGTTCTCAGTCTAACATCACACCCATTCTGTAGTTTCATCACTTGCGCCATCCCATAAGAGGGTTCTTTTGAGTTGGGCGTGCAAGGGGGTGGACATGGTCTCCGGTCGCATCTTGGAGTTTATAACGGGACTTGTAACTAATGGGAAAAATGATACCGTGCATATAAATCTCGCATGGAACGATATCTTGGTTCTAGTCAAATAAATAATACTAGTTGACACCACAGCTGAAACTACCCTATGTTAGAGTTCTGGATCCAGTCCCCGGCTGAGTTCCTATCTCGCCGAGGAAGGGATAAATGCAGATACGTCATGAGTCTGATGTCTTGAACTGTACAGCATCTGCAACAATAGTTTCCTTAGGTTTGACTTCTCTGTCACTCATCCTCTGCGCGATTCAAATAGGCCATGGAGTCGACATCACGAGCGGGCTACCTGTGGCAGAGTACTTGTAGGGCCCGGGGACGATCGAGTGCCGGTTACAGCAGGCAAGACTTGAATGAATGGATTACTCTAAGGTGGTATACAATCAGAGACCTTGACAGCCGTACCCCCAAGAGGCCGAGATGCTCTTCTGAGCAACCATCAACGATTCAAGTCACAAGCCAGAACACACCCCATTTGCACAAAAGCGCGACAGAGGAGCCTCGATCGCGAGGCTCGGCAGGAGCGGGACGGCCGCTATGCATGCCAGATACCACACGATCGACTGGTGAAACCGCCCCCATCCTAAGCCGTCTCTGTCCCATCTCAGCACACTGCAAAGCAACCGGGCATATCGGGCGGATGGGTGGGTGGATGTTCGTGGGATGCGCCAACCTTTTTGACATGAACCAAACGCCAGTACGCCCGATTATTCTTGTTCTTCCATTTTTCTGTTATAGACCAGACCGCCTTGAACACTTCCAGCATTGGTTGGCCATCTCAGCCCCGTTGTTGCCTCTCGTCGCCGCCGATCCTCTCCAGTGCCTCGAGCATGACCACCGAGTTTCCGCGGATGACCTGTGCGCGCCTCATTAGCTTTGTAGAAGGTACGCGTTGGGGGTGGGGGGGCTGAGGCGCCCGCCAACATACCACCATGCCGAGCTTGACCTTCTCCCCGCCGTCCTTCTCCTCGACTGCCTCGTCCAGGACGATGTTCAGGAAGACGTCGTAGCCGCGGAGGACGCCGATGACCTTGCGGCTGCCGTTTAGTTGGACAAACAGCCTCTTGTCGAGGTACTACAGCGAAAAGGAGTCAGCATTGCGCACATCGAACCGAGAAACGGGGGGAGTCAAGGTGGATTGGAGGGACAAGAGCCACTGAATGATGCAGAGAGGAGCAGCGGATGCGGCAGCGGGCCAGCAACGACCTTGACATCATAATCAATGAGGAGAAGGCTAACGTACCTTCTTGAGTTCTGGCTGAGCGGGCGCCATCTTGTTGAAATGGGTAGGTCTGGGGAGGGAGGGAGTTGGTGGTGGACACTTTCGTCGGTCGTTTTGGTAGGAAGCCTGTTCTGAACGCGCCGCGACTTGGGGGGAACTGAGGACTGACTTGGGAGCTAAGCTCAGGTCAAAACTGCGCTGCGGCAGAAATTCGGCACGGCCGATAAGATAAGCATTTCGCCATAGCTTGTGCACCACCAAAAGGGTACCAAGACCAAGAGTCTTTCTTTCCAACACCACCAACCCCAATTCGTTTGGAGTGTCGCATTCCAATCACCCACTCACAATGTTCGGCGCAAAGAGGAAAGCGCGCAAGATCAGGGTGTCAGAGGGCAACGAGGACCACGACGAGCCCGTCACCTCTGGCACCACCACCGAGGAGCCCATGAACGATGGTAAGTCACACACCCCAGAAAGAAACGTCATCGTCAAGCCCGTCTTTTTTGCTGATGGCCGAGAACAAAGACAACAACAGCTGATGCGCGATCTCTCTCACAGCAGCTGCTCCCGACCCGAGCCCGTCCTCCGTCAAGTTCACCAGGAAACCCTTCAAGGGCTCGTCGCTCCGGAAGAGCATCAACATCAACGATGACAGCGACTCGACCGGGCTCGCGACCTCGGCCGCCGCAGAGGACGACGACGACCACGACGACGGGCCAGCAGTGGTGCGGCCAGCGGTCAGCCGGTCGGGATCCACAAGGGTGAAGAAGAAGGCCTCGTCGTCGCGGCTGTCGTTCGGCGTGGCGGATCCCGCGGGCGGCGACGACGGCCGACAGCAGCCCATCACGCCCAAGAAGACGAGCACGCTCTCGCAGCGGGCCACCGAGAACAGCGCGCTGCGGTCCTCGCTGTCGAGCCGCAAGCTGCCCACGCGCTCCTTCGGGCCCGAGGTTGAGGAGACGTCCTACAGCAAGGAATACCTGCAGGAACTCCAGTCGTCGACGCCAAACACGCCACAAAACATCGCCTCGCTGCGCATACACGATGATGAAGAAGCAGACGCCAGCACAGGCTCAGGCCCGGGCGCAGCAGGCAGCGGCGACGCGATGGACCTCGACCCCTCCGAGCTCGAAGGCGCCGTGGTCGTCCCGCAGGCCGACCTCCCCGTGTCGGCATTCAGCACGACAGGAACAGGGGGCCACATCCCCTCGGCAGTCGAGATCCGCGAGAAGAAGGAACGACGGGCCCGGCTCGCCGCAGAAGGGGGCGCGTACCACTCAGACGAGGACGACGAGGACTACATATCCCTCGCCCCGAGGAAGAAAAAGGACGACACGCGGCTGATCGCCGAGGACGAGGACCTGGGCGAGGGCTACGACGAGTTCGTCGAGGACGCGCGGCTGGAGCTGGGGAAAAAGGGCGAGAAGGAGGCGGCGCGGCGGCACCGGCGCGAGATGGCGGAGCTGATCGACGCGGCCGAGGGGGGCGCGGACGACGGGGACGAGGACGCGGACTCGGACGCCGAGCGCACGGCGGCGTACGAGGCCGCGCAGACGAGGGCCGCCATGGGCGGCCACCACCTCGCCGCCGACGAGAAGGGGGCGGCCGGCGGGGCCGGCACCGGGGTGGCGGGGCTGGTCATCCCGCGGATGAGGGCGCTCCCCGAGCTGGGCGAGTCGCTGGCGCGGATGCGGGAGCTGGTGCGCGGGGTGGAGGAGCAGGCGGCGGCGCGGCGGGCGCGCATCGCGGCGCTGGAGAAGGAGCGGGGTGAGATCGTCGCGCGGGAGGCCGAGGTGCAGGAGGTGCTCAACCAGGCCGGGGTCAGGTACCAGTCGGCCATGGGGGTCAAGCACGAGGGCGGCGGTGGTGGTGGTGGTGTGATGGACCCGCTGAGGCTGGCCGCTGAGTCGCCCCTGCGTGCTGGCTCCGCGATCCCGCCGGCGCAGAGGGGCCTGGAGAGCTTCGGGACGCCCTCGCGGCGGCAGGAGTACGACGACGACGACGGTGATGATGCGATGGCTGGTTGATGTGGTAGATACCCGGGGCTCGAGGCACATGTAAGACAGCAGTGTAGTAGTAATATCAACCGGAACATAAGCCTCGTGCAGTCAGTCAGTCAGTCAGTCAGTCAGTCAGTCAGTCACTTCAAATCGTAGCGTTTTCTTCCTCTAACAGTGGAATGTAGATGACAAATGCCTTTCCCGTTGAACGCCGGAACATCAAATACACAAAATATGCTACACCCCTTCCTTTCCCACCTCTGTCTGTTTCTTCCCCAGCCTGACACCCCTCTCCCCCCATCAATCCTACCCCATGGCACGCTGTCAACCGACCGCCACGCTCACCGCTCTGACGATTCACTAACGAGCCCCCCGTCACCACCTCACTTGGACCTCGAGACACCGGCACCAATGACACCGGGCAGCTTCTCCTCGCCGATGCTGAACAACATGGCGATGCACCCGCCCACGAGGCCGATGAGGACGACCGTGGTGGTGGCGATGAGCCAGAACGGCGAGCTGACGTCGATCTTCTGGCAGTAGGCGCCGCCCCAGTGGACGTGCTTGCTGTCCTCCCGGTCGGGGAACTTCTTGGTGCTGAGGCAGCTGCAGACGAAGCACACCTTCTCGCCGGACCCCTGGCCGGGCACGGCGTACTTGTCGACGCAGGCGCCGTGGCCGGTGCAGTTGCCCGTCGCGGCCGCGCACGAGTTGAGGCTGCTGAAGCAGCCCAGGTTCATCTTGTCGCCCTTCTTGTTGTTGCTGTTGGCGAACGCCCCCAGGTCCACGGCGGCGGCGGCGCCGCTGCCGGGGGACACGCTGACCTTGTCGACCGTCTCGACGGCCTTGGGGCTGTCGCTCATCGGGGCCTCGTCTGAGAAGCGGCGGCGGAGGTCGGTCGGGGCGCCGGTGGTCCAGTAGGAGTGCTTGGAGCCGCGGGAGGATTCGGGGAGGAGCACCAGGGTTGCTTCGATGTTGTTGGAGGCGACGGACTTGGACAGGGCGGGGAGGTTGTCGACGAGGGCCTGGAGGGCCTCGGGGTCCTGGTTGGAAGTTAGTATTTCATGTTCGAGGTGGCTGCTCAGCCCAGTGAGGGCCGGGTTCAGACGGTCCGTACCTTCGCGGCGTCGTACTTGACCACCAGCGACATGCCCTTCCAGCAGCTGTCGTACGGGTTGATGGCAGCTGAAACATCGCACGATCCAGACACGCCGCCGTGGGCAAACTCAACATCGACGAGGTGCTTGTTGGCCTTGGCGGAGGGCGCGTCCTCGATGTTAAAAGCGGGCGAGAAGTCCTCCTTGCGCAGCCCTTCCCTCAGCGGCCTCGCGTTGTCGTCTGTGACACCCTCGAGCAGCACAACCAGCTGCGACGGGGAGATGTCCTCGGTGGATTCCCCGAACAGAGGCCGTGGGCTCCTGCCGTACTGGTCGAAATATGAGAGGACCCTGTCGCCGACGATGGTGCTGGACAGGTCCTTGAGCTGCAGGTCCCCGGCGACACGCTGGAAGAGGATGTCGCGGGCCAGCTGGCGGGGCAGGCTGGGTGTTACTGGTGTGGAGGACGAAGACGATGGCGGGGCTGCGGGCTTGGAGTTGAGGATGTAGACTTCGGCCTGCTCGTGGGTTGCTGCGCTCGAGGCCAGGCCAGCGAGGCCGGCGAGAGCTAGCCCATTGAGTAGCATCATCTCGACGGACGGGGGAGACGAGGCTAGGCTGATCCTGACGATATGTGTTGTTATGCCGCGTGGTAAGGAGGATGCTGTCGACGGCGAGGCAGCTGGCGGCGAGGCGGGTGGTTGATGATGAAGATTGCGGCGTTGGACCGATTAGACTGGAGCTCCATCCAAGCTGCCGCTGATGGCTTTTGGGAGGATGCGTATGACGGCCTTGAATGTGAACGGTAAGAGTAACGGAGCATGTATCCCTGTTTGGCAAGACGGTGGGGAAACGGACATCGATAATCCTTCTCCGTCTCGGTTCCCGTTTCACCTTCCACTTGGCCTTGGCGAGCAGCTGATAGCCGCTTATCGCCGATAAGATCGATCTGGCGGTTGGCGGGCAAGGCAAGGGTCCATCCAGCCTTCCCCCCAAATGTTGCCGCATCCATCGGGCGGGACTCTGACAGCATCTCGAAATCTCCACCCGGGCGTCGCAGTGCCACTCTCTCTCCATCCGTTTCTTTTCATCCATAAAACCCACGGTGCACCTTTACGTCATTGTTTGGTGTCGCTGGGCAAACTATATCAGCACGGACACAGTTCATAACTCCCTCTCTCTGCATCTTGGTCGACTCGCCTGCAACTCTTGGGAACCGTAGCAGCCTGAATCGAGTCGACGAGGGGCGATCCGTCTCCAGCCTCGAGGCTCGGTCTTCCCCCTGCGCGGCCGCCCTCCCTGGCGCGCCATTTCGTTAGCCCACCACCCAGCACAACCTCAGATACCCCGACGACAAGTTCAAGATGTTGCGCCAAGTAGCAGGACGGCGTGCGCTGTCCATGTGGCCACGCAAGACAGCGGCTGCCATCTCCTCCGGGGAACAAGTCGGTATTCACAAGGTCAAGTTTGTACCACGGCGCGATCACTTGAGGTATGTGCTGTGCCTTTGTTTCTATATGATCCTTGCCCAGCCCTTACTGACCACATCACCTCCTCCCACCAGAAAGTTCTTCATATACACGACCACCGGCATCGTCTGCTGGTACACCTGGACAACGATAGCCACCCTGCCGCTGAGGCACCTGGACATGAAAGACCTACCTGACATCGAAGACGACGAGGAAGAAGACCCCTTCTTCATACCATTCCCTTTCACCGACAAGCGGGTCCAACCACCACCATACGCCGGGAAAGAGGAGGAATGGCAGAGCTTTGTCGCCTTCAACAACGACCGTGAGCACAGAGACCGGGCAAAACATGACCTCTCTATGCTGGTGAAGAGGACTGCTGAGAACAACTCCCAGATCAAGAGGTGGGCCAAGCAGGATTTGAAGCTCGAGCTGGGGCCGAATTGGTTGATCGTCACCTACCCGGACAGGCCACCGCCCGAGTTTGTACGGACTGGGTAAGTTTTCTCGCCGCCGTAGTGGCCCTTGATCCCCCGTCTGCGCCAGCCTGTGTTAACCTCGCTTCGATTTAGTATCGAGATCAGCGACGAGGCGATATCGATCAAGACTCAGAAGGTTGACACGAGGACCAAGACTCTGGTCGACCGCGTACTGAAGCCATATCCCTTGGCAACCTCTTCCTACGCATTTATCAAGGCATTCTTCAAACAAAGCACATCCGACGTTGTCAGGCTCTTCGGCTACTCCGAGAACAACGACATCTCGACATCAAATCCCGACCCGGACATCGCAAAAACCCTCAAGCAACTGGAGGCCAGGCAAATCACCGACGGCGGCGCCGCAACAAACTCCCCTTCTTCCGCATCGTCACCTGCATCCAAGACCTCCCCCGAGGCATCAACCTCACAAAAGCCAGCCCTGCCAGGCTCCATGTCCGGCCAGCACCCCGCCACCGCCAAGGACCCCAACCAGCCAGCCCAGGAGCAAGGCAAGACGCCGGTCCTCAAGGCCTCCATCCCGGGCTACGAGGGGCTCTACAACAAGACCCAGGGCCCCTGGACTGCCTTCTCCCAGCAATGGAGGCGATCCTGGCGGCCGCTGAGATATTATCCCCCCCGGGGATGTGTCGCCATTCATGGGATGGTGTCACTTGAATCACCCAAGGGGCGGATATACATCGACGTGTCCGCGTGGTACAACCCCATCAAGAAGGAGTTCCACCAGGAGTCCATGCAGCTGGGCCTCAAGGCCATCAGCCCCACGCATCAGAGCCCAAGGCGGTGAATGAACGTTGAAGAAGTGATAGCGGAAAGGGGGAGCGGGGGCGCATTAAGAGACCGAGCCTCGGGGCTTCTGGGTAGTAGAGCAGACGGAGATCATCAGGCCTGAGTGATTTGATTGCCTGGAATCATTGTTTCGGCGTTTGGGGCGCGCGGGGGGGCAAAGACATGATCCCCACGGGTATCAGGTATCATTATACCTACATGGCCATTAGACACCAGCGACATTTCCTCGTTTTTTTCGTGCTGTTTCTTTCTTTGACCTGGGGTCTCTTGATGAGTGTATTTTTGGATACCAGTGAGCGATTGATGCGACACGGTGCGGTTGACGGGGTGTTGGGGGGATAGCAGGGCGGCATGAGTTTTCCCCAGGAGAATATACGCAGGGCCATGCGCCACCCGCCCGCTAGCGGGCGCAGCTCACATGTTTGGACCCCTCCGAGTCCCATACCGTTAGGGTGATAGAACGTTGGGTTGGGGGGGTTGAAGGACGGCCATGGGATACCCATTGTTCCGATACTTGCCCCTGTCGACCGTACTTGAGCAGTTGGTTCGCATGGAGAGGTCTCGTGGGAGACAGACTCTCTCCAACCCACGAGGCCTCGTCACAGCACGGGATGACGCATGTTCGCACAGGGGCTCGTGTAGCCCCGGCCACCCTGGAGACGAAGTCTCATCTTGGATACTAGGTACTGAAGGAATCGTACGACAGAAGTTTTCTCCTTCGTTCGGTGACACGATAACTTGATATGCACCAGAATACGGTGTCATTCTCAACCTGATCAGGGTGCAAGGATCGTGTAACCAGGAAGAACTCTATGCTGCCCTAAGCCGACGCCTAAACAGCTTTTTCGCACCGGATCAAATACGTAAGAACTCGGGTGGATTTTCCTGAGGATTTGATATGGCAGGCAGAGCACAGTCCCGAAAGATTTGGTACCGTTGCATGGCAACAGGACGATGGAACTCCTCAAGACCAGCTTGACCTTGTCCGTTTCAAATCGTCGGTGGATCAAATATGTCCACCCATCGAACAAGAGTAAATCTAGACAAATTTCTAAAAGAATTACCATGAACTTCATCTCCGCACTAGTTATAAGGTACATACTAGTTACTGGCCGGGAGGACGGTCTACAATATAGGTATATAACTACTATGATACAAGCGCTGGGTCTTGAGTGCTTACTACCGTATGAAGGCGCCATGTATGTCCTCGGACGTATACGGAATAGAAGCGAAACCACATTTAGACTCATATTGGTTGTTATAGGGGAGGTAAGCGACCGATCCGTATTTCTGTTCCTCTCCTAGAGTTCTTTGAAATATTTGTTTATATATATGATTGTATGTTGTAGTTAATTTCTCCGGCCCTGCTTGAGTGCAGGGTTTTACCCTGCTTACAATCGTGATATTGCAGATAAGAGCCCTGAGAACTTTGGAAGTTATCCTGAGGGTATATCCGGATGCACATTGTGCTTGGATTTATGAATGATTGTGATCACCTACGAGTCCTCCCTCGGGTGTTTGTGAATGCTGTCATGATTGTAGAAATGAGAACACTAGTCACTGTATGATGGTTGGCTCGATGGTCAACTGCCAGTGAGCGCAATTATTACTAGTCGCTGAACATAAACGTCTACATTCATTGAATGGGCGGGTTTTTCTCTTTTCAATAGTGTCTGTCGGACCCGCGTCGTCACCTTCAACCCAATTCGGCTCTGCTCTGTTCAGGTAACTCAGCAGGCATATTTGTTGACGGTTTTGCAGGCCACTTCGCCTCCATCGGACGCCAGGCCAGACCCTGCGCTGCCTCCGACTGGGGATTTTGATCAAGCTCGTAGACGAAACCACGTGATCTGGATGAGGTCCTCCTCAGGTGCCACACCAGGGCAGCACATCCAATTATAGCGGCAAGACCAACAAGTGAGACGCCAACACCAATCCCGGCTTCGGCCCCCGCAGATAAACCACCCGCTGACGTGGATCCCGGAATTGCTGATGAAGTAGCCGTCTGTGCCACGCTGACACTGCTTGTGACAGAATTCGTTGTAGGTGTATGAGTAGTTATGGACGTTGTCGGAGATGATGTTGTCTTCTCGCTCGAAGTGGGCATTGAAATCGTGGATGAAATCGTGGACGAGGTCGTGTCACTGCTCGTAAAATTGATGTAATGCGATGTGACTGACAGCTCCTCGCCAGAGCCTTGATCTGAGGCATCTCCTGGGTGAAGCCAGAGGAAGAATACGTTGGATATTTTCAAGTCGAATTCAAATAGCTGGACAGACCAGTCGAATTGCGTCACAGCGCCGGTGCTTGTTTCTGTGGGGCGGGAAGTTTAAGGTCAACAGTCATCCAAGGTTGGGCGCGTGTCTGTTTGACGCACGAAAGATGATAGGCCCTAAAGTAGCAGAGCCTCCTGCCAGTGTCTGTTGCCATAAAGCAATCGTATAATTGCTGTAGGTCGTCGTGAATTGTATGGTTTTCGTTTCGCCAATCGTCCAGACAGGGTCACTCGCATATCCGGGATCAACAGGGTCTGCGTTCGGGGGGTTGAAGAATCGGCCAACCTTGAGAGAATCTTGGGCATTGATAAGTGTAAAAAGCAGAATGAATATGGGTATAAAAAGAAACATTATCGCTTGTGTCGCGGACTGGTATTGCTACAACTTCATGTTCAAGAATGTCGAGACGATGGTCCGGCCTTCCTCCTGCTCCAAGCAAAATGATTCACACAGGGTGGATAACGTTCGACAGAAGATTTGTTGAAATGAGGCCGAGGACTCTCTGCGAGAAGGGCATCTGGGCATGGCGTGGATTTGAGCCGCGCCTGTGCCTCCAACGGTCCCACGCACAAGAGAAGAGCATGCATGTTGGTTCTAGGGAGTACCTAGGTAGCGCTGGGAGCCCCATGATATCAAGGCCTGGGTCTTTTTTCCATCACCTGAGTGCTTATTTCCGTTCGGTTTATTCTGCCCGTGCTACACCTCCCAGGGGCTTCCATATCTGTGGTATGCATTCTACTGCTTGTTCGGACTCGCCACTCGCTGACCTTCGATGATGTGATGCATATACAGATTGAGGATGCTTATGGCCATTAGAAGTCTCGCTCTACTACACAGGACAGCGTTGAGAAATTGACTCGTTGGAGAGGGTCCCAAAGGCAGAGTCCCTCGCACGGCACTGTGGCTGAATCCTGCGGAGCGCTGGGCTTCCAGGGCCTGCCAAAATACGCGCCGAGTCGCCGAGTTCATTGGCTCCACGTTACATCCAGACGCTGCCGTTGGTGATACCGAGAGATTGGTAGTGGGCAAGCTGAGTGCGCTCATTGGGTACCACATGGGGAACAACCAACACAGTATCCACCGGCGCGCCCAGCGACGAAAGATAGGCGCCACCAAAAAGCCAAGGGGGGGGGGGGGGGGGAGAAGCGGCTGGAATCATTTGTTCGCATCTGAAATCCCACCTGAGCGTTCGTTCGCGGCGGGAAAAGATTACCCGAAACATCGCAAAATGCTGCTTCAACAGAATCATCTTCCTCCACTGGCCAGCCACAGCAAGATGGCAGCTAACCTATTGGCTAGGCGGCCGATAATTATCATCATAAGCGCATGTCTTGTCATTACGTTTTTCGTTCTTCAGTCGAGTTTTCGCCTCACTCCTTTGCCCAGTCCGTCTACATATTTTGCTGAAACGTCAGAGCCCTGCTCGATTGACGACACCAAGAACCACACCTTGGGTGTAAGTCCATTCAATGTTGTCACAAAACATCAGATGCTCTGATTCATCACTCACACTCGCACGATGACAGTTCGAGAAGATTTTTGTTGTGGGCTTGCCGTCGCGCACCGATCGTAGAGATGGGATGGTTCTTGGAGCAGCGCTCAGTAACATCGACATCGAATTCATCGATGGTGTTCTTGGCAAAGATGTTATTGACAAGGCTGTTCCCTCCAGCCCAAGCCATGGCCGATTGGGAGACCCTTCGATCGGTAGCTGGCGCGCACACATCAACGCAATCCAAGAGTGAGCAATTTAGTCAATGCCCGTTGGAGCAATGCTGAAATAATTGGTTTAGGATCGTGAAACGGAATTTGTCATCTGCATTGATTCTGGAAGATGACGCAGACTGGGATGTGCGGATCAGAGACCAGCTTAGGGACTTTGCATCTGCAGCTCAAGCTCTCACTCAGCCACTGGAGGGATCCACGGATATCTACGCTGATCCAACCTATCCGGCCCCAAAAGGACAGGCCGCGGTCCGGGAGTTCCAGTTCCATAACCTTCCCAAGACTGTCCCTCCACGGCATTCACCATACGGTGATAACTGGGATCTTCTATGGGTAGGTCACTGCGGAATGCATTTCCCATTCGCAGATGACAAGAATCTGCCCAAGGGCCGAGTCGTCTGGACAGACCATACCGTACCACAGAAACTATACCTCTCGAATATTGACCAGCCTGATGACATCAAAGAGCAATATCCCGACCACATTCGTGTTGTCCACCATGCCCAAGAGGCAGTGTGCAGTCTTGGATATGCTGTTACACAAAAAGCGGCCCGTCAAATACTTTTTGAAATTGGCTTGAAAGATATGGATGCTCCATACGATTTGAACCTCCAAAAGTTCTGTGATGGAGCCAAGGGCCGTGGCAATCATCGATGCCTGACCATGCAGGTACGTGGTATCGGCGGCGTTGTTTCTATGCTCCCTGCTTTACTGAAATGTTCACAGCCAGCTCTTTTTCAACATCACAGGCCGGTGGGGCCCAAGAGCGCCTTGAGTGACATCTCAGATCACGGGGCGGGGTTCCAAACAGCCCCTTTGACCGACATGGTAAGGTGGAGTGTTCGATTGAATGCCGAGGAGATGATGAATGGCGGCCAAAATTTCGTCGACCAATGGCCTGATACATAGCTGTATTCTCTCTAGCTGCGAGTTGGCGGAGGTGGCAAGGCAGGCAAACGTGTCTGATGCGTGAATACAATAGAATTAATCGATATCACAGACCTGCAAGACTAAAGCGCGAATAGAAAAAATCAGAGTGTTGTAGGCCGATTAATTACACTAAGGAATGCGCGACTATAGGTTGATGTCAACTTGTACCAAGGGGCACTGAAATTGGGACCCGAGTTGCCGCTCACTATACTACACGCACTGAGCTCACGAGTGGAATGTAAATGTAATGTAGTGTAAAGACTTTAGTGTAAGTATGTATAATGTAGTAGGATTTAAATGCACCTAGGTAGGTGTGTTTTGGTACACACGAGTCTAGACCCACCAGTTTCTGGTTACGTTGTTGTGGTCCTGAGCACATGCTAACGACGATGGGCACAAAATAGCCACATCTGCGGTGCAGACTGCTTAGTAGACGATGCATCACGCCACCGATTTCACACTCAACAGGCTGTACAAGTAGCTTCGTTTCGAACCATTTGAACGTTTGTGGCGCCTTCATAGTAACAAACGCTCAAGACCTAGTGTTGTTTTTCTTCTTTTTTTTTAAAAAAAAACAAAACAAAAAGAAACACACCATTCTAATAATAGCACGGACAGAATATAATTCGTCTGTGTGCACATGGCCTCAGCCTCCCGCCGCACAGACGAGGCTAAGAGACATCGCCCTCGACGGCGCCACTGCCTAAGATCGTCGACACAAGTAGCCCAAGGGGTAGCATGCGGCGAAGCAGGTACTACTTTATATGGCGAGACTACAATAGTTTCTCAAGATGGCCACCCAGCCAGGCTGTAGTACAAGCTAGCCAAGAATCTCATAATAATCATCCGACGGAAGGACTAGTCATGTAGGGGTATGTGATCAACTCCCGAAAGGGAACCATGATGCGGACATAAACAGACGTCCGGACCATGCCCAGGTGCCCGTATTGCGATCATCAAGAATTGGTACGTGCGAGATGTTCTCGGACGGAATTCACACAACATTCGGTGTCTTCGGGCTGAGTCGAAGTGCGGTAAGCGACATGGCGAATAGGATTGCCACTCGTCACTCTCAAGAAAGACCGCCTGCATTTGCATCTGTGATGCTCATCAGTAGTTGTAGTACATGCAAGCAGTCTTCCAATCATCATCCAGCAAGGATGAACAAGAGCGGCCCGAAGTCCATGTCAATAGGGTAGCGGTCTTGCACGTTCCGAAACTATCGCCTTCAAAGTGATTCAAAACTATGTCCACTTTTCACGTCAGAGGATCAGGTCCATGACCGTGAGATGGCAGGATAAACTCTTTCATCAAGGTTCGTCTCATTTTGAGCAGTTCGCCAAGCGGAAAGGAGGCCCCACATCCCGCAGCTCATGATTCGGAAAGCGGAATCCAAAGTGTCTCCGATGCGATTGCTCGCTTGGGTTGTAGCTCCCGTCGGCCCCAGGAAACTGGTAGCGTGTAATCCGTTCGATGTGTTGCAACTCAAGATACCCAGGGTGCTACGACACATCTGAGTTGGATACTACGTTCTAACGATCCCGAGCAAGCACCTGTGGAAAGGGGTTTGGGATACATTACCCTGGATATTTTGGTCTGGATGGCTCTAAGCGATGGTCTTGGCGACGAGTAAGTTTCCGTCCCTTCTCCTACATAGGTGTCGTAGAAGGTATAGCCCGAGCAACAAAGCGGCCGGGATCATGCGGGTTGCTAAGTTGAACCTTCAATGCGGCTCCAAGACTTGGCCCCACCCAAGGGGTCGGATAGGCCGGGTGGCTTGCTCCTTCTACACGTGTAGCCATGGGCGCATAGCCTCAACCTGCTTGGGATCACTTGAAGATGAGAATAGAGTTCGAAGACTATATTAGAAGATTCGGGAACAGTGGGGCTTTTCATCCCGTTTGTTGTTTCGCCATTTATCCCAGGGAGGAGGGCGCTTGGCGTGAACTGTAACTCAACACGATCTGCGCCAGAGGACGGGGAGAGCTACGGGGAATAGACACGATGAGGCCTGATACAAAAGGTTGCAGTGTCCTCTCGCAGAGTGTGAAGAGATGATGTGGTGAAGTCCATCCGGATTCCCCTCACTGTCATTCATTTTTGTACCAGTGCTTGTAAATCACAATGGTCGACACTCGTTTCCTGGCCGGCGGTAGCCGTGCTTCTATTTTTGCATCTATCCTCGCATTTACCACTTCACTTACCGCTGCCTTCCCTGCGCAGCACGACTACAACAGCGTCGATCTGTTGAGGAGACAGGACGCCTCTGCTGCTCTAGGCGACTGCCTTTCCACCGCCGGCGTCGAGACCTCCCTCCCTTCCGGCGCAAACTGGGCCAACGACACTCAACCATGGAACTCCCGTCTGTCCCCTGTCCCCTCGGCGGTGGTCTTCCCCAAAACCGAGGAGGAAGTCTCGGCTGTGCTGAAGTGTGCCTCGAGCACAGGCACCAAGGTCACCACCCTTGGTGGTAACCGCTCTTTCTCCAGCATGGGCTTCGGACGCAACGATGGTGCCCTCGTCGTCAACCTGAAGAACATGAAGGTGCTCGAATACGATGACAAGACCCAGCTCTTCACTTACGGTGGACCCGTCATGATTTCGGAGGCGGCCGGCTTCATGTGGGAGAATCACAAGCGTGCTCTGCCTCACGGCCGATGCCCTGACGTCGGCATGGCTGGTGTTGCAGCCTCTGGCTTCGGTACACTTTCTCGCGCCTCTGGAACAGTGTTGGACAATGTCGTCGGCGTGCGTGTCGCCCTCGCCAACGGAACCATCGTCGATGCCGACGCCAACGAGAACTCGGACATTTACTGGGCTGTCCGTGGAGCTGCGAGCTCCATCGGAGTCGTGCTGCGTTTCAAGCTGCAGACTCTCGAGCCCCCGTCCCAGACCGTCTTTAACTACACCATCTCCTTCAACAAGAACTACACCGCCACGCAGCAGGATAACGTCGACGCCCTGATCGGCGCCCAGACCTGGGCCCAAAGCGCCGACAACAACGACCTGCTCTCCGTCCGCTTCGGCATCAAGACCAGCTCCCAGCTCCAGGGCTTCTTCTACGGCTCACAGGAGGAGTACGACAAGGTGACCGCGTCGCTGCTGAGCCACCTCCCCTCCACCATGTCCCTCAAGACCACCCAGTCCGAGTTCTGGGACTCGGAGGACTTCTCCACTCCCGGCATAAAAAAGCAGTCCATCACCGGCCGCCGCTACTTCTACATCACCTCCGTGACCATCCCGGGCTCCGCGCCGCTCGACAACTCCACGGCATGGGCGCTCTTCTCCGCCACCGCGTACGAGGAGAAGCTCCCCGACGCGTCGGCCTCGGGCCTCGTCGACATCTGGGGTGGCGCCTACACCAAGGGCGTCAAGGCGGACACCTCGGCGTGGAAGCACGACGACAACCTGCTGCTGGTCCGCTGGGACATCCGCACCTCGGCCCCCGACGTGCCCTTTGCGCAGTCCACCCTTGACACCGTGCACGACCGCTTCTACAAGTTTGTCGACGCCTACAAGGCCGCCGGTGGCTCCCCCGGCGGGTTCACCACGTACCGTGATGAGAAGTGGGACATCAAGGAGACCGCCGAGTACCTGTACGGCGACAACTGGGCCCGCCTGCAGAAGATCAAGACTGCAGTCGACCCTGGCGAGATGTTTAACACTGATCCTCAGGCTGTCCCTGCTTTGAGTGCTTAAGCACTGGGTCTGACTTTCTATGGATATATTTGCCGACGGGTTGTTTGTATATAGTTTGATCAAGGTCATTTAAAACTCTGTCTGGTAACTAGCGAATGCATACTTGAAGAACAATCGTTGCATATGACAGCCTTTCTGTGAATGGGATCAATACGGGTCCACGTCTTTTCTCATGCACAGTGAATCGGCCCCCGTAACATTACTCCGGTGAAGTCTTTCTAAACCGTATCTCCTCATCGTGAACGCTTTCAATTTTAAGGCCTTTTGAAATGGGGTTCAGTGCTCCTTAAATTTCACCTAAGTGAACAATATAATTTCTTTTTTCCATAAGACCAATAGTACAGTCTATAATACTCCTGCTATACTGCCCACGCTATTCAAAATAATCATTATTATTATTCTGGTTTGAATAAATAATAAATGCTTGAAACCCGGCGTTTCCACTTTTCTTGTTGGGCTTTTTCCTTTCTAAAGAAAAGAACATAATGGTAATAAGAAGACTGGGCCCGTGGCCTTAGCCTCGCGACGCCTAAAGAAGCCTAGGAACTATTAAGAAGCATCCAGGGTATCATTGATGCCTACATAAGTAATAAGACTTCCCATCTTTAGAGACCATCACTCTAGATAGTAATCCAGCCGACATGCTACGGAGTTCTATTCGGTTGATTTCCTGCCAGTTTGGTTGACCCTATGGTTGAGGCCGAAAGCTATTCGCAAGTATTGCCTATAGAAGAAGCAGTCAAGCAAAAGCCCACATCTGTCCTCCTTGTACAATATGTCCAAACTAGTAGCGCAATCCCTTCCAATATCCTATTATCATGCAACAAAGTCTGATCAGAGCAGAGCTATACTGTATGAGCACTTGTCATTACAGTAGTTCGGAGTTTACTTTCATCTACTTAGGGTAGTCTACTTGTTGGATTATATACCGGGTCTTGAGGGTTTACCACCGTGTGAAGGCGCCATGTATGTCCTCGGACGTATACGGAATAGGAGCAAACTAGGTACTAGGGCGACAACCTCGTCTGAAGGTTGATCAGAGGTCTTATTGGTTGATCCATACATTCAATGAAGGAAAGCGAGCCTCCTTGAGCCCTGACCAAATACACCACCATATACACCCACGGGCAGCGGAGTCATGGCCGTGAGACCGGGACACGTTTGGCACGGGTGCGGAAATGGATCGGGAATGGAGTCGTGCCACTACCATGAGAGGGAGGATCGGGAGAAACGTGAAAGGCGTCAGTCAGTATTGGATTGATTTACTTGCTGATACCTTGCCTCGAATCTCGAAGCTCCCAATAGTTCACATACCGCCCGGGCGGCCGCTTGCGATGACGCTGTTGCAAATTCATGAGTGTAATAACAGTGTACCATGTGCGACCACAAGATGATGCTTTGGTGTGCTTCGGGTACCTAGGTATTCATGGCTCACCATCCTGGAATCAGATGGACGCGCGGTGCCAACCAAGGTGCATTCCAAAGCTACGAGCACAATTCGGATTCCATCATCCGGTGTTTGTCTGTACCCTGATTCGGAAGCATCGTCGCCGTGGCATATTCCATACCAATAGAAACCTTTCGAATCTTCTTTGGCGCCCACGGAATATCAGCAATACCTAGGTACACGTGTAGTATTTGGAATCATCATCTTGTAAAGCCGACGTTGCCGACCGTTATCACTTGAGATAAAGTACATGGTCCCCTACCAGCCGGAAAAGTTTGACTGGCAGATACGAAATCGGTGTTTCTTTCTGGAAACAATGTCTGGGCGAGCGGGGCCTGCAGGCTGCAGCACAGCATGATGCACCTTTCCCGCGACACTGCTGCCCATGCCAGACTTGCCGAGACGCAGCTTGAGACGAAGAACGGGCTAGCGGCATAAAACAGCGGCGATGGGAGGCAAGTCGAGTCAGGTGCTGGTGACACTGCATGTTCCGCTTCTTCCACCAATGTAACAACTTGGGAAGCCGGGCAACCGCGCTTCTTCTGCGAGAGCATCCGTCGCTTGACGGAAACGAGTGAATTTGGATCCTGTCCGCCACCGGAATATCCGAATGGTGACGATCAAAGCAATCGAGTGTGATTAGAAGTAGGTCTATTCCCATTTTCAACTGGGCAACAATCTTATGAAACTTGAGATCAGAATGATGAAATCGGCTAAATCAGAAAGGCGCGCAGGGGGCGAAGCGTTCGCCACGACACCGTAGATATCTTGACCTGGCGATGCGTCCTCGTGGGCGCAAAGCAGGCTGCATAAAGCAAGGTTCTGTTCTAACAGTAAACTGCGAAGGATCGAAAAGCGTTGGACCTGGTAGACATGTATTACGGAATACGGGCATCCTCTGTGACTCCTCACTCAGGGGAGAGGATAGTTAGCCTATCCCTATCTGTGGAAGCACTTTACGGAATTTTAGGTACGATTTTGATGAAGAAGACACTCGTTTGAAATTCTTTTGATGGCTAACGCTAATATGAATATCCTGAAGGATATGCTCTGTCGGCTCATTTACCGGAGCTCGACAGACCCTCAGGTCCTGAGCAAAGCTCTCTGCTACGGAAATGTGGAGAAAGACCGGCATCTTTTAGAAGTGATTCGTCAGATAAGCAGAAGCATAATCCGTGAAATTGAGTGTACGTGTTATTCATAAGAGACAATGGCCTCCAAAAAGGACAATATTGGCTCATCAACGCCCTCAGCAATGCAAAAACGAGTGCGGGCTGCGAAAGTTCGGCATTTTTCTGCGGGGGTCTGGCGTTTCCAAAGGTTCCGAGCCGGCTGTTCTAGGTCATGATGAATCATTCTTGTGCTCCGCCCGTGTGGATCTCGACACTTCAAGCTGGCCGGGCCAATATTGTCTCTACCCCGGGGACATGACCGGGCCGGGGGAGCTACGAGAGATGGCAAGGATGATACTGCCCAACGAGATGGTTTTAGTTTGCCAAGGATTGGCAGACAACAATTCTGGATCTGGGGAAGGCTCACGGGTATCAAGACATCAGTGGAGAATTTGCAACTCGTTTAGCCATCTCATCTCACATCAGGTGACATCACGATAACATGCCGTCAAACCATTCTGAAGAGCTGTCACATTCGGCCAGTCTTTGTGAGCCCAATTATGCAAGCTAGCATTTTGCCTTTCCATGCACGGCTGTGTCTTTGCATCAAACCCATGCTGGAGTTGGTGGCGGAGTTTGTGGTGGGATTAAAGTGATGACGAACGCACAAGCCCTGCATGTCATCCCCTACGTAGTGTGTGTGGCAAAGGGGTTCCGGCACCGTTGAATTCATTACGGAGGCAAAAACAAGCGCTGGTGGAGCGGGTGGTGGGTCCCTGGTCCCAAATGCCGACACTGTCGGCGATTCACCAGCCCTACTCAAAACAGCCCGGCTCCGAGTCGGTGCCGTGCGGGCCGTTCCACGCAATTGCAAGCCTTTCTTGAACCACCACGATCGATTGGACTCCTATGCAGTACATGACCTGATCATTGCCCCCGCTTTCTGTTTGAGATTGTATTGTTCCATCCTGGATAGGGATGCATGGTCTAGATCTGGCACATATCTCGGGTAGTCGGGTGGCTTTCTTGCGCCGGCACTCGCCACACAATCGGCGCAGGCAGATCCAGTGTTCTGCCAGGAGAGGAGGAAAGAATATGCGAGCATGTTTTGCTTGTGAATTTGGTGCTGTGGACCTGTAGGGGTCTCCAGCCGACTGAAGCTAGTAACCGGGCTGACCAGGATGTGATTCGTCACGAGCACCTACATTCTCTGGCTTTTCACCATCATATTCACATGCAGTGTAGAGGCAGTGTGCTCTGTCAAGAGAGGGGAGAGTCGTATTCATCGTCCAAAACAAAGAACATCGTCAGTGCAGGTATGTACTCCAGCGTGCTGCTTGTCAGCGCAACCCTGCACATGTGAGCCGCCGTCACAACGGCCCCCGGGGGGTATGCACGTCCAGCCTCGTGTCGGCGCCCATCTCAAAGGCCGAATCGAAATTTTGATCCGAACGATAGCGGTTACTTGCACCGCACGGTCATGACGTGCAGGCATGGCGTTCAGAGGTGGGGTGGCTGTGAGTGGCATTGGCATTAGCATTGGCATTCGAACCACAGCAGAAAGGGAGACAAAATCGAAGGACCCGCCTGCTTCCCGGCTCGGGGCCGATGAAGACACCGCTGAACTGTGTTGACATGCACATGTTTCTAGGAGCAAATACGTCAATATGCTATGAAGTCTTTGGACTTGAAATAATATATGGCAGTTCTGCTTCCCACACCTTTGCCATTCATCCATTATCCTACATTCTCATCCGTTATCCTACATCCTCATCTTTCTTTTCCGCACACAGCAAATCGTGAAGTTCTGCAGCACCGTGCGCATACACAACCTCAGACATCATGCCGCCTTCACTACAAATCGATCTGCCTGGCGATGGCAGCACATCAATCGGGGCTTATGAGTTGGGCGTCGCGGCAGGCATAGTGAGTCAACTGAACCTCGCACAAAAAACCCGCGAAAATACCACATCTGCATAGTGGCTTACCAGAAGCTCGACTCTATAGGTCTTCATCCTTTGGCGTGTTGGCACTGTCATCTACCGCCTATACTTTCACCCCTTGGCCAAATACCCAGGCCCGAAGATCTACGCAGCATCCAACATACCTTTCCAATGGGGGACCAACATAGGCGGCAAATTGACGGTCGAATCAAGACACCTGCATGAAAAATACGGCCCAATTGTTCGCGTAGGACCAAACCATCTGTCAGCGGACGGCTCTATTGCCTGGCCACAAATATTCCAACACCGACCTGGCAAGACCGAATGGCCCAAACAAGTAGGGTTCTACCACCCAGGCGACGAGAAGAGCCTAAGTAAGCACGGGCCTTATCCTTTTTGCATCTTCTCCACCTCTGGGGCTTGAAATTCTCCCGATGTCAATCCAGGGCCTGTAAAAAGTCACTAACACGTACGTAGTCGGTGGGACCCATGAGCACCACAAGCGATTGCGGCGCCAGCTCAACCACGCTTTCAGCACTGAGAGCATGTACGAGCAAGAGCCTATCGTAATGAAGTACCTTGATCTATGGACCTCCAAGCTGAGCCAGAAAGCCCAGTCCGGCGAGATCTTCAACATAATCCCATGGTTCAACTTTCTGTCCTTCGACATCATCGGCGATCTCGTGTTCGCGGAGAGTTTTGGATGTATCGAAAAGGGTGATTACCACCCCTGGGTTGCCAACGTCTTCGAGAGTGTCCCGGCCGGAGGCTTCTACCGTGTCACCAAGCAGTTTCCCTGGCTCGGCCCGATCTTGAGGAACCTTGGCAGCTCAGCAGAGTCCTTGAAGAGGGACGCAGAGGGGAGGCAGTTCGCGAGCGAGAAGGCCCTGGCGAGAAAGGCTCAGGGTGAGAGCCCCGGCGGCCGTAGGGACTTTATGACCTACATGCTCCGAAAGAACCGCGACGGGCAGCCGGGTTTCGCGGACCAAGACCTGGCCCTCAACATGCCCACGATTATCACGGCAGGAAGCGAGACCACGGCAACCGCCATGTCAGGACTGACGTGGCACCTTTCACAGCCTCAGTTCCGCCACCACTATGACAGACTGGTTGCCGAGATTCGGGGTGCATTCGCCAGCGAAAGCGAGATCGATATGAAGACCACAGCCCGCCTGCCATACCTGATGGCCACGATTGACGAGATCCTCAGGATGTACCCACCTGCGGCGCAGGTCCCTCCGAGAATCAGCCCTGGCGCGGAGCTCGAGGGCGAGCATATTCCCAAGGGGGTGAGTAGCCACGCAAGCTTCTAGTCCCGAGTCTTGATGCCCTGTCGTTGCATTCACACACTTGGTTCCTTCACCCCTGGGCAACACAGCTCCACGCAGCTTTACTGACAGTACCGTGTGATGTGCAGACTGCTGTCACTGTCTTCCAGTGGGCGACATATCACAACCCGGACAACTTCCACGACCCAGACAACTTCCGCCCTGAGAGATGGTTGCCTGAAAGCCATGAGCTTTACGAATCCGTCTTTGCCAACGACAACAAGAAAGTCTTGCGTAAGTGCTAACCGTCCTTCTCCAAATCCACCCCCACAGCCTGTCCAAACATTCGCTGACCGGGATAACGCGTATAAAGACCCTTTCAGCTTCGGCACCCGAGACTGCGTGGGCAAGAACCTAGCTCTATCTGAGCTCAGGGTCATCATCTCACGACTGCTATACCGCTTTGACGTTGAGCTTCAGCCTGGGCACGAGGACTGGATGAAAAACGCTCGCACCTGCGTCGTCTGGATCAAAGACCCGCTGAATGTCAAACTCACCGAGAGGAAGCTTATCCCGAGCGTTTAGGGGACTGACTGGTGGAAGGGCAACGGGTGGGTGGTAGCTCTGCGATGCCGCTCTCCGCTGCTCTGGGCGCGAGTGTATGAAGGGCAACGATACAGTCCTGTCGGAGATGCACAGAATGGCATTGATTTTTATTCTATACATAGCGATCACACATTTCATAGACTACTAGTAGTACGAGGCTAGTGTAAAGCCTGATTGGATAGATTGGCAATGATAATTCGGTTCCCATGGCACTACTCCATCAAACGTACCAATTACCACCGACACACGCCATTTTCCCCGATCTCACAAAATCCTTCGGATCTCCTCTTCTGGTGGTCAGTCTTCCAATGACGTTGGGAGATTTCAAAGACCAACATACCATCAATATACCATGTGTTCCCGAAGAGTTCACTGACAGAAGCATATCCACCAGTTCCTTTTTTGCCTGTTGCACATCGCGGACATAGTACTGGGATAAAGTTTTGAAGAACAGAGGTAACCAGGCAAAGGTGTGAAGACTACCAACCTCCTCGATCCACTCCTTGACAAAGAAGCGAACTGTCACGACAGGCTTCATCTGCTCAATCCGATACACCCTCGCCAGGGCTTGCTCTTCTAAGGCCGGATTATAATATTTCCCCTTGGCGTGCCATGTTAAGAGCTGTTTAGCTTTAATAGGGCTTCGGCCCGGCACCCTAACAGGTCTCAACAACATCGTTTTCCTTCTAAAGACCTCCTCTCTCTTCATCACTATAAACTTTCCAACACACAATTAAATAACGACGAGACCACCGCCTTGAAGATGTTAGGACTAGGAGTTTGAAGCTGAAGGTCCTCCGATATCCTCCAAAACACCCCTTTTGACGAGCCGCTCTCTCGTCGCGATGTAATACCTAACTTTAGCTGCCTTGGATAAACGGCACGAGAATCCTGGGTGGAAAGGCGGATATATCCACTTTTTAAGGAGCGAACCAGTACTATTTTTATCAAGCGAATCGGAGGTATCGAACCTTCCTGTCAGATTCTGTATGGGCAGCCTGCTAAATACTTGTGAAGGATACGTGAGTATTCGGTAAGTAACTGGACACCTGGGCAGATAGTCACAAGACGTTAAGAACACACACACACACACCACGGTACACTATACGACCCTAGCAACTTATTTCAAAATGCTTCCTTCCAATCTATGAATTCTTATACATCAAAATCAAACAAGTCTACAACAATCCTCAGAAGAATAAGAAGAAAAAAACACGCCTAACTGTAGTACTCCAACAGCCAGCTCCTGAGATCCCCAATCGTCGGGTATTCGAGGAACAGGCTGCCCGACACAGCAATGCCGAGCTCTTCGCGGAACTTCTCCGAAATCACCAGGCTCATCAGACTATCAATACCAAGCTCAGCGAAACTGGCGCCGTCGTCAAAGTCGGCCGTGTCGAGGCCTGCCTCTCTGGCAATCAGAGAGACAGCCTTGGCCGCGACGCTGTCGGTGTCAGCTACTTGGACGGTCACAGCTGGTGCCGGCGCTGCCGGGGCAGGCGCCGGGGTGGAGATGACAACCGCAGGCTGAACATCTTGCTTCTCTGGCAGCACGGGAAGCGTGGTTGTGATGACAGCTGTGGCCTTGCTCGCTGGCGCCACGGCAACCTCTCGGACAACCACAGCCTGTTTCTTCACAGGTGCCGCCGGGGCGGCCGCCGCGGCCTCGTCGGGAGCCGAGAAGAAACGGTTGAGCAGGATGCGCGGGTACTGGCGGAACTGTATGCCCGCCACGAGACCAACGACGGCGTCGTCCTGCAGCACGTACACATCCCCCAGGTAGACGGTCGGGTCCTGGGCCGTGGGGATCATCTTGACGTAGGAGCGGTACGACGCCCCCGCGACGAGCGACTTGGCAAAGCGCATCGACTGCCACCCGGGCGTGACGCTGTACTTGGCCTCCGTGTCCACGGCGTCCGAGACGTTCATCACGAACCCGGCCAGGTGCGCCACCGAGTCGATAAAGTACGGCGGCACCGTCCAGCTGCCCGCGGCCTCGGTGGTGAGCCTGACGTCCGCGAACGCCTCGAGGCCGTCCACGACGACGGACTGCATCCCGCGGTACTTGGGCGCGTAGTCGACCAGGTTCCTGGCGAACAGGCGGTAGGCCATGGTGTGCGAGAAGCGGTTGGTCGTCGCGTGGTGGGCGGCCGCGGCGGCCTCGAGCGCCTGGATGCGCCCGAGCACGAGGTGGGCGTATGGGACCCAGGACTCGAGCCACGCCTTGGAGTCGCCAAAGTGGACTTGGGCAGTGGCGAAGGGCTCCTCATCCTTGGACACGCCTGTAGAGCGGCTTATGTTCTCCCAGGTGAGGGTTGCTTTGCCGGTGCTAATGTCCTCGGTGGAGATGGTGACTTGGAATACCTGCGAGATCTTGGTGTTCTTCTGTGCTACCAGTCCCTTGGTGACCTGCAAATCCGACATGTTGATTGATGCCGGGCTGCATTTGGCACCCGGGACGAGCTTCTCGTATAGATACGATCCCAGCGTGTATGCAATGTCTGCGTGGATCGACTTTGAATGATATTGTGGTCAGCTACTAGTACGGCCGGAAAGCAGAGTAGAGTTATGCGGAATCGATGGGGGAGGGGGGCTTACCGATGTCACGACACCGCATCCGTTCATCTTATGGCCATAGGCTGCGGCCAGGAGGTCCTTCTCCATGAGATCGGACTGCATGACAACCTTGCCAGCGCGGCCATCAAAGCTTTCCTCGACGATCCCCTGCACAGACGAGGTCTTCAAGTCCGAAATGGGCGCGGGAGGAAGAGCAAGCTGAGCCTCCCTGGCAGCGGCGGCCTTCTTCTGCGCATCATAGTACGTGTTTCCCTTGGTCAACGCCCAGTCGCCCTTGTACATGATCCAGTAGTTCTTGTAGTTCCAGGCATAGGTCGGCAGGTCCAACAGGCGCAGACCAGCCTCGAACGGGCGGTGGAACTCCTGCCAGTCGATCGACGCACCGGCACTGTGCAGCGAGGCCAGCGCCTGTGCCATGGTCGCCCAGTTGTCCTCGTCGCGGCGGAGCGAGGGCACGGCGGCGCCCACGGCGGGCAGCGACGCCTTGATGAAGTTGACGCACACGGGGTGCGGGCCGATCTCGACCCAGAGCGTGCCGTTGTCGATGACGGAGAGGCCGGCGGCCTTCTCGAGGGCGCTGACGTAGTCGACGCACTCGCGCGTGGCGCGCCGCATGTACTGCGCGTTGAGCGTCTTCTCGTCGAACACGACCTTGCCCAGCAGGGGCGAGATGACGGGGAGCTTGGGCGCCTGGAAGATGACGCTGGACTCGGCCAGGCCCTCGAACTCGCCGAGGATGGGGTCCGTCTGGGACGAGTGGAAGGCGTAGGGGACGTCCAGCATGATGCCCTTGTGCCCGGCCTCCTGCAGCCGCGTTTGCACTGCCTCCAGGTCTTGCGAGGGCCCGCTCAGCACCGTCTCCTTGGGCCCGTTGATGCAGGCGACCTCGAAGGGCATCCCGTTGGCGATCTTCTTGATCTCGGCCAGCGGTGCCCTCACAGCCATCATCCTGTGTGTGCCCGGCTTGACCTGTGCCTCTAGCAGCTTGGCCCTCTGTCCGGCAAGATAGATGGCATCGCTTGCCGAGAGAACACCCGCCACGTAGAAGGCAGCGTACTCCCCGAGGCTATGGCCGACCACGACATTGGGCTCGACACCGAGAGAGGCCCAGTACTTGGCCAGTGCGATCTCGACTGCGACGAGGGCGATTTGGGTGCTGACGGCAGAATGCGCATGGTCCTTGGGATAGCTGCCATCGATCACTGGCACGAAAGACGGGAAGCCGTGGGCCCGGGCCAGGAAGTCGAGGTGGAGGATCTCCTTGCGGAAGGTGGGCTCATGGTGGAAGAGCTGCATGTTCATAGACTTGTGCGATGCCCCCTGGCCGGTAAAGGCAAAGGCTACCAGAGGCTGGGAGGTGGGGATGGGCTTGTGCGAGTCGGTCGAGCCGAGGAGCTCGGTCAGCTTCCTGCGGATCTGCGTGGTGTCTGAGCCAGTGACCGTGATGCGCTGGTTGTAGTGGCTTCGTCGGGCTGTCGTCGTATATGCCAGATCCGCCAGGGAGATGTCAGGGTGGGTGTCGAGGTAGTCAGCGAGGCGCCGGATGTTGCCCTCGAGCGAGGCCTTGCTCTTGGCCGACACTGCCACAGCATGCACCGGCCTGGGGTCTCTCTCAGACGCAGCAATGGCCTTGGCCACCGGCGGCTCCTCCAGCATGATCGACGTGTTGCCACCGGCTGCGCTAAAGTTGTTCACAACCGCGATACGCTTGCGGTCTTTCTCTGATGGCCACGCCTGCTTTGTCAAGGGGATGCGAACATTGCGCTTCACCAAGTCCTGGGGCAGGGCAGGGTTGAGAGTGCTCTTTATGCCCACGTGCGGTGGGATCATTCCTTTCTGGAACATCAGCAGCACCTTGATCATTGCCGTGACGCCAGCCACGGCTTCGCCATGGCCCACGTTGGACTTGACTGCGCCGACATAGAGAGGCTGCCGGGAGGTGCGCCACTTCGGCCCTGCCGGGGCGAAGGCGGCAGTGACAGACTTCATCTCCTCCTTATCGCCCGCCTGGGTCCCCGTTCCGTGCATCTCGACGTAGCTCACATCAAGAGGGTCGATCCCGGCTGAGCGTGCGACCTGCTTGGTAAGTATGGCTTGCGCGCCGGCGTGAGGGTGTGTGATAGACACTGCATCTGCTGAGTGGTTCGTCGCGGCCCCAAGAACCACGCCCAGGATGTTGTCGTTGTCGGCGATAGCATCTTCCAGACGCTTCATGACAATAGATCCGATCCCGTCAGCACGGCAGTAGCCATCAGCTTCAGCGTCCCACGTCTTACACGCATTCGGCGTTTTAGTAAGAAAGTGGCCATGGCTGAGGCCGGCGAAGGCGTCCGAGTTAGTGAGAATATTCATGCCGCCAGCCACAGCCATATCTGTATCCCCGTTCCACAGCGAGGTGCAGGCTGTTTGAATGGTTGCCAGGCTAGATGAACAGGCAGTATCAATACTGTAGCTAGGACCAGAAAACTTAAAGAAGTAGTTAATACGTCCTGGTCCGAAGGCACGACAACCACCGGGAATAAAATAGGTACTAATTTCCTGTGCCGTATTGACCTCACGGTAATCGTCGCTCGCCTGGCCGTAGAATGTCCCGATGCGGTGGAGGTTGGAAGATGGGGTTCTTCCAGCCACGTAACCCGCCCTCTCCAAGGCTTCAGCAGCAGTCAGAAGCGCAAGCCGCTGCATGGGGTCTACTTGCTCTGCTTCCCGGGGCGACATGTTAAAAAACGGTGCGTCGAACAAGCCGGGCTCATCGATAAAACACCCATAGGGAGTGTGGCTGGCGTTTATCGCTTTCCCGGCTGGATCGTAATGCGAATCAACGTCGAAGCGGTCCGCAGGGATCTTGCGGTGGACGTCCAAGCCGTTCTCGAGAAGCTCCCAAAACTTCTCGGTATCGGTGGCTCCCCCGGGCATTCTGCAGGACATGCCAACGATGGCAATCTTGGCCTTGCTTGTGCCTCCAGGGACGCCGTTGGAGGGATCGACGGTTGCGGTAAGGGAAGGAATGAGCTCTTGCACCGCGACATGCAGGTTGGGCCTGTCAGTGGCAAATCTCGTCATGAGATCATGGATGGGGAGAGAGTTGCGAAATACGAGGACATCAAATTCCGAAGAAAGGTTCTCGTTGACCTGCTGCACGAGGGCCTCCACAGCCGTGTCCCAGAGGATCTTGCCGGTCAGGATCTCGGTCAAAATCTGCTCGAACAACTGGCGCGCACTGGTGGCGGAGAAGGGTTGGCCTGTTGAGGGGGCCAGAGCGCGCATAGTGATTGGGGAGGCTATAGCTCTGGCGTCCAGCTCCTGGAGGGCAGGAGAGTCGCCAACAATCTCGTGCACGTCATCTTGTGTGTAGATGTGTTCCGCATGGCACAGCCCTCCGTAGACGGGCAGGTTGATGATCTTACGGCCACGGAAGAACTCTGAGACACGGAAAAGGCACCTGAGTCTGGATGGGGGCCCGCTGACGGTCACAGAGCTGCGGTTGTAGGCGCTGATGAAGACTTTGCTGGTGCCAGGGGTTTTCTGTGCAAGATGTGTCAGACGGGTTCAAGGCGGCGACTTCTACCAGATTACAACTAACATTCTTGTCGTGAAAGCTGTCAAGCTCACTCTGCACATCGTCGACCGCCACGTCGGCGACGACCGAGGCCCAGGAATCGGGAGGGGATGCTGGGTCTTGAGGCTCAAGGTTCTGTGATTTGCGATTCACCAAGACCCCGAGGCGGAAAGCGAGACGAACAACTTCAGCGCCAGGGACGGCGAGGTCCGAAACGCTGGTAGACAACGACACGGCCGGTGTGGCGAGCAACCCAAGGCCCAGACCTGCGAGAGCCGTATTGGCAGCGTTGAAGTCAAATTTCTCTGGGTGGTCCTCGTAGTGCCTGCAGTTTAAGTCAGCCAAATGCGAAGAAGATAATTGGGGGAGGACGCTGTGTTAAAAGCTGTCGTACTTGATTAGTGTGCCCAGCTGGACCGCAATAAGAAGCACACCATCTATGGATGCCGCAAGGGGTCCTTTGCGGAGGTCGGCATGGTCCACAAAGTCGAGTATGACACTGAATGGCGGTACAACGGAGCGGAGGGATGTTGGAAGGAGTCGTACTTCTGCTCGAATTGCTTCGGTCGCCTCGAAGAGAAATCGAGCAAGTACAGGATACCGGCGCTGCTTGCTGAACTGGTGCAAGTGGCGAGTTAATGAAGCCAAGTCATCGTGAGGAAACTCGTTGCTAAAGTAAAGCAGCTTCATCTTGGAGTACTCGTCCACCGACTCCGTAGTCGTGGGGGTGATTGACCTCTCGGCTGGCATTTCTCACACTGAGAACTGCTTTGAAGATGACTGACTTGATGACACGGAGATCTGGATGAGGAGTGAGGAGCGTGCCTTCAAATATTATTGTCGTCCATGAGGATGTTCAAATCAATTAATTATCTTGGGGTTGTGCACATGTGGAAACAATCGGCTTCATCCTGTTCGGCAGGCCTTCGCTGAGAACCCCGTCTTACTCATCCTCGCGGTGGTGCACATTTTCGCCGACAATATTCTCGGCCTGAACTATCGGTAACCCGGATGCACTTTCCGCTCCATATTCATCTTTTCAGAGAAAATGGCTGTGTGTCGATTGCCTGGCCGCTACGCAACCTGTAAACCCGGATTCCGATGTCAGCGGTAGGATCGTGCGGGCTAAAGAGGAGCGACTAGGGTGGGCGGGTGGAAGCCGCATCTCAGGGATTAGCGAGAGGTTCGGAGTTCTCAAGGATACGTTGGAATCCAGACCCTTACTAACTGAATTCCACAATGCATACTCTTCCGTTGTGCGTTTGTAAGCTTGACAAGTCCGAACCTGCTGATTCGGACTCATACTTTTGGTTCAAGCTTGCGCCTGAAAATGCATTCGCCGAGCCCCCAGCTGTGGATACAGATCAGTGATTTCCCACTCTACTGACTACCAGAAAACCTTTGGTTGCTTCTAGTTGCTTTTCTTGCGTATCTTCCGCAAAAATGGTTGGTGTTGGCGGCTACCAGCAGATCAACAAGGCCTTCAATGTTTGCGCCTTTGACGATTACCTCGCAACCCAGGCAAAAACCCTGCCTCGTCTGCGAAATGTCGAGCAAATCAGCCCCCGAGTGATCCGGATTCTTGGACAGAATCCCGGAAAGGTGAGAAGCAATCGACCAGGAGGCCTTAGACTTTACTGTTTTGACCAAGACAGCGACTGATTAATTCTTTGGGCAGTTCACCCTCCAAGGTACCAACACATACATCATCGGCACCGGTCCCTCAAGGCTGCTCATCGACACGGCACAAGGAATTCCCGAGTGGGCCGAGCTTATCGCTGGCACACTGGAGGAGCTCGGTATCACGCTATCCCACGTCCTCCTCACCCACTGGCACGGCGATCATACAGGCGGAGTGCCGGATCTTCTACGCCTATATCCTTACCTGTCGGATGCTATCTACAAGAACAGCCCTGCCAACGACCAGCTCCCCATCCTCGATGGCCAAATATTCAAGGTCGAGGGTGCTACCATCCGTGCCTTCCACAGCCCCGGGCACTCACATGATCACATGTGCTTCATCCTCGAGGAAGAGAACGCAATGTTCACTGGCGACAACATCCTCGGCCACGGCACCAGCGCGGTGGAGAACCTCGGGCTGCTCATGACGACGTGGCGCAGCATGCTGACGCAGGAGTGCAAATCGGGGTATCCTGCACATGGGGCCGTGGTGCCCAATCTGCCCCTCAAAATCAAGGGGGAACTCGCCGGCAAGACGAGACGGGAGAGGCAAGTGTTGGAGACGCTCCGTTCCCTACGGAAGGGTGATGGCGCGAGAGGCAAGCGCGCCACCATCACTGTCAAGCAGCTCGTCCTCATGATGCACGGCGAAGCAGTGAATGAGGAGGTGAGGATAATGGCCTTGGAGCCCTTTATGGAAGAGGTTTTGCGGAAGTTGGCGGAGGATGGTCAGGTGGGCTTCGAGATGCGCGGCGGGGAGAAGAAGTGGTTTGGGCTGCTGAATTAGATTGTGACAGCAACCGCTGGCATTGCTCTCTTGAGACAATCATTCACCAATTGTTCTTTTAATTTTTCTGCTTTGGATTTCTTTAGGTAGAAATGATCAATATAGAATTCCATTTACCGATTATTTCGTGGCACTGATCACGCCCTGTCGTTGTATGCCTCCAGCCTGCTTTGCTTCCTTACCCTTTTGGTAGCCTCATTTCTCTATCCCGGGCTCCACGCGTAAAGGTCACCAATCGGTCTCCATTCAATACACAAATTCCACAAAGTGATCATGGGCTGTGTTGAGAATACGGAAGTGCATAATGATTGGCCTTGCACCGGCTCGGGGACCCAAAAATTTGAGTCCGGTGCTGTTTACATTGATCAATGCAACCAAATGGGCACAGGCCTGCGCTTGCTGACCATGATTAAGTATAATTGAGCCAAACGTCTTCCTGCATCCATTACCCGACAATAAACTTGAAATAATCACGGGTCATGACGGAGGCTTCTTGTTGTTTACGACACTGATCATATTTAGCTGCACAACCCACTTCGTACTTGATTCAAGCCTTTTTTGTGAAGATCATCGGATGAGTTATACAAACGGCGGCAAGTTCTTCTTGGTAGATAACTTGAGTGAAAACATTCTATTTATGCATAGTCTCTAACTAATCAACCGGGATAGTCTTGGAAGAAATAGGTTTAACTGTTCCGAAGCTACAATTGATTTTGCAATTTAAGATCCACCATCAACACCAATCACCTTGCCATTAACCCATTCGCCCTCCTTGCTGGCCAAAAATACAGCGGTATGGGCCACATCGAGAGGATAACCGTTCCGATGAAGGGGTGATGCATGGGCGGCCATCTAAATTTTATATTAGCAATTATGCAGTAGTGACTTGCACATTTCAGACCTGATCACTTACTTCCTGGAGCTGTGCTGGTGTGTATTTCTCTCCACCGGGGATGTAGTGCTGAGCGACATCATGGAACATATCAGTCACGGTGCCTCCGGGGGCAACGGCGTTGACTGTGATCTTCTTCTTGCCACAGTCGATGGCCAGGACCCTGACGAAAGACTCGATAGCCCCCTTGGAACCCGAGTAGACCGAGTGTCGCGGAACGGCGAATGCACGCGCCGTATTCGAGCTCATGAGGATGATGCGACCGCCCTCGCTCAGGTTCTTGTAGGCCTCTCGAGCTACAAAGAACTGACCACGGGTGTTAATGGTGAAGACTCGATCAAACTCTTCCTGCTCAGGTGTTAGCAAAATTTCCGAATGCCGTCGATATACCCCTGAAGAAACCCCCCGCTCACCTCGGTGACCTCCTCGAGGTGGCCAAATGACACCACACCGGCGTTGGAGCAGACGATGTCCAAGTGACCCCAGACCTTGACGGCCTCTTCGAAGAGCTTGACGGTCTGAGACACCTGGCTCACATCCGCCTGGAGAGCCACTGCCTCGGTTCCCAGCTTCTTGATCTCCTCAACAACCTTTAGTGCCGGGGCCTCAGACTTGGCGTAGTTGACAATGACTTTTGCGCCGGCGCGGCCGAGCTCTGTTGCTATGGCTGCGCCGATGCCGCGGCCGGAGCCGGTCACGAGGGCGACCTTGCCATCGAGGCGGAAGGGAATGTGAGCAGCGGCCGTAGAACCCATTGCAAATTCTTGGTGTAGGATAAGGATGAAGTGAAATGGTGGATATGGTGTTTGATCTCACAAGATCGAAATTACTTGGGCCGTTTTGTGCTGCATATTATATGGTGATTATATTTACATCTTTGAACTTCTTCGAAGCGAGCTGGGGAACTCAATCCGAATTCATGGTCCATGATCAGCCCCGAGACGATTTTCCGGACGAATTCCGGACTTTCGAATTTCTCATCTGTCCGTATCTGTCCGCATCGGCCCGCGTGCAGTCACTAACTGCATTTTGACTGAGTAGGCAGGATTTGCTGTAGGTTTGCATGCTACATACGAGCTTACTACGCATTCTCAGCGTCGGTGTCCGAGGTGGAGCGTACACAGTGAGCCCGACGTCTTTGATCGGGAAGGATTCGCCTAGGCACCTGGGCAGGCTACAGATCGGGGAACAACACAATCCTCAAATAATTAACGAACCAATTGGTTTGGCAAAGATCTGCGTGTTACACCCGAGCCGACTTTTATTGTCGCAATTGAGGCATCCAATAATTCCTGCTTGGTTCCAAGCAGCGCATACCACGATAGCCTCACCGATCGAGCCCCTAACCTTTGCTAAGCATAATGTCGTCGTCGCAGCCAGCACCCGAAGACGTGATCGCATGTCAAGCTGCGCTCTTTGAATGGGCCGAGAGCTTCGACACCAAGGTATGCATGAGAGTCTTTCATTCGGAGTGAGGCGGCAGCTAATATATCAACGGCAGGACTGGGATCGCCTGCGGGCGAATCTCGCGCCCAAGCTCTGGGTAGACTATCGCCACGTCATGGGCAAAATCTGGGAGGAGATGCCAGCAGAAGACTTTATCCCGCTGTCTTCGAACCCGCATTTCCTGGGCAACCCGCTGCTGAAGACACAGCATTTCATCGGCGTGTCCCGCTGGGAGAAGACATCGGAGGACCGCATCACCGGCCGCCACCAGGTGCGCGTGGCGCACCAGCGGTACGCGGATGCCGAGTTGAAAGAGGTTGCTGTGAAGGGCCATGCGCACGGGGGAGCCACGACATTGTATCAGAAGGTGGACGGCGTGTGGAAATTCGCTGGCTTGTGTCCAGATATCAGGTGGTCCGAGTACAACTACGACGAGGTGTTTAAGCACGAGTAGATCGAGTTCCAGATGGAGAGGAATTGATATCTATTACCATAAAATGACATTGGATTCCCAATAAAAATTCCACCTTTGGCTTTCCTGCCGAGAGATGTGGGCGAGTAATATGTATGGTGATTAGAAACGAAACCACCCACCTAGGGCAATAACGTTACCACAATTTTTTAGGATACTATATAAGTTACAACCCGCAATCAAACTCAATCCTGCGGGACACTGATTCGAACCATAACATGGAGTAACCGAGCGCTAGTAAATTCTCTGCACTCTAGCTCTATGAAAACAATATCAAACACCCCAATTCAACAAGTTCCAACTAAGCTGGTCCCGTCGACGGCAAGTAGTTATGAAGCCAGGGGAAGAAATGCCTCAACAAGCCCACAGCAATACACATTGGCGTTCCCGGAGGAAACTTGGCACCCCCATTCGTATTGACCACGCTAACATTCTGCATGTCGTACTCCCCGTCAGGCTGGTCAGCAGCCTCGATCATAGCGGCCGCCAGGTCGAGGTACGAGATGAAGGACTCCTGCCTGTCGAGGCTCAGCTTGTGGCCGCGCTGCACGTCGAGCGACAGCCCGCCGGGCTTGATGAAGATGGTCGTCAGCCACTCCTCCTCGGCCCGCAGCATGCGCTCCGCGGCCTTGAGGTCGTCGTACACGTGCGACGCCGCCGCCTTCATGATGGGCTTGAACCAGCCCGGCATATCGCGGTTGAGCTTCTCGTCGATGGTGGCGGATGACAGCAGCAGGATCTTGGGCGGGCGCGCGGCGCCGGCGCCCTGGGGCTGCCCTTCCCCCCGCAGCTTCTTCAGCGCGCGGATGATGGTCGACACCGATTCCTGCGACATCTGGCAGCCGGGGACGTTGTCGTTGGTTGTGACGACCAGGAAGGCGGCCTTGCAGCCGCGCATACAGTTGGCAAAGAGGTCTTCATCGTGTATGCTGCCCTCGAAGACCGAGACGCGCTTGTTGTCCACCACGATTGGCAGTTGATTTGAGAGCTTGTTCTTGTTGCGGCAGTAGGCGTGGACCTTGCCGTTGGGCTGTTGAAGGATGAGCTCGATGAGAGACCTGCCGGTGTTGCCCGTCGCGCCAAGAACAGCGTATGTCGCCATTTCTTCTAAAGAGGGAGAGTGAGCAGGCTAGTTGAGATTGCTCAATATTTTGAATGTGATTCAGATGATGGCTCACTTAAGCTGTCCAAATTTCTAATAAATTACGCATTTAGTCTATTTGAATAGGAATACAGTGGGCCAATGAGTCGGAGATCGGATGAAATTCTGTCACCGAAGCAATGTTCGACACATCGGTGTCCGATAGGTAGCACCTACGGTCGTAGTGCGCCTCTTAACCTTGCCAAAACATTAGTGCTGACTTCTCCCTGCCGATTTGCTGAGTATTGCGCAGTATTGGAACCCGAGTCGGTACTGCTTCAGAAAGGTTTGCCTGGAGAACCCTACGATACGGGGATGTTTCCAGCAAACGAGTGGAGCTCCTGTACATTAACCTCGTGAGTGCTTCCGGTATCAAGCCGTATACGTGCTCTTTTGAAACCGTAGGCGACCCATTCATACAATAGTAAGCGCTCAAAGACTCGGCGTGAGATAGATATAAAATGTCGATAACAGTAGATTTGTAAATACAACCTAGTGAACAGCCCAATATTTAATGAAAGTTGACACAATCAAACGCGAGAAATACTCCAGGAATTTGTATCTCACAAGCTATCTAGAACGAATTTCCACACCATCCACCCGATCGATACTCGTATTCCAACAAGTTGTAGCTATCATACTTTCTCCGAGGAATTCTCGATTGCTACCACATCTTTCCTTTGTCTACCATCTTGAGTTGGTGACTGCTAGCCATCTTAGGGAATATGGTGCCTCACTTGTGAGACATGTTGTCAGAATATATAGAAACATTCTAATCTGCATACTAGCAATGCTTTTTGTTCCAACACATGTTAATCGATTTTCGTAACTCATCTTCCGCCATGCCATGCACAGGACCGATTTATTCCGCTCCGTTGACATATGACATAGTATATGACAGGACCTCAGTAGAACTCTGTGAGTAGTGCGAGAAAAGAGTACAGCGCAAATGAGAGCCTCGAATTAATTTTAATTGAAACACGTCTTGGTATTTTTAGTTTTAATCTTGGTTCTATACGCTATATTAACCCTTATGCCTGCCAGGGAGCAGTCAGCTCGCCCTTGTGAGCCTTGATGGCCTTTGAGGGCGCAACATAATCAAAGTGGCCCATCGAGGGCAGAATGTTGACATCATGCGGACCAGTGATCATGTTGCCCGTCAAGCTCATGAAGTTGTGCGGGAAGCCAATGTCGAACGCGTAGCCCTTCTCTATCTCCTGCACATCCTCGGGGGTCAACTCCAAGCTCAGTGCCTCCACGTTGGCCTTGAGGTGCTCCACCTTGCGGCCACCCAGGATGGGGAACACATTGGGAGACTGGCAAGAACGGTGTGTCAGTGGGGGCTGCATAGCAGGGTAGCAGACACGAGTGCGGGACTTACCTTTTGCAGCGCGTAGGCCAGGGCAACACTCGTGACGGGCACGCTGTGGCGCTTCGCGACGGCGTCAAGCACCTTTGAGATGGCCTCCTCGCGACCAACCCGCAGCGGCGGGGGCACGTTGCGGCCGCCCTCCTCCGCGATGGCGTCGGGCGACTTGAAGAGGCCGCCGCCGAGGACACCAAACGGCATCAGGGCCATGCCCTCCTCCCTGCACATGGGGATGACCTCGCGCTCCAGGTCACGCTCCTGCGCCGAGTAGCGGCCCTGGTAGACGGAGAAGGGGCGGAGGCCGTTCTGGCGCGCGTACATGTTGGCCTTGGTGACCATCCAGGCCGGCGCGTCGCTGATGCCCAGGTACAGGACCTTGCCCTGGTTGACGAGCGCGTTGAGGGAGTGCATGAGCTCCGGGATCTCGGTGGCGTAGTCCCACGCGTGGACGTACAGCTAGGGGGGAGCTCATGTCAGCCGACCGACAAATGCTGCGCGTTACACTGCATAGGGCAAACAGGATCGGGTATTCCACATCATGGCTGGGTTCTTACAATGTCGACGTAGTCGGTCTGCAGAGCCTCCAAGCTGCTGCGGATGGACAGGTGCAGACTCTTGGAACCGGTGCCGCCGAAGTTGCTCTGCTGAACCGGGTGGCCGCCCTTGTTGCTCATGGTGTACTTGGTGGCGATGACCATCTCCGATCGACGACCGGGGGTCTTCTGCATCCACTCGCCGATCCACTGCTCACTCTGGCCGCTGTGGTAGTTGTTGGCGGTGTCAATGAAGTTGCCGCCCAGGTCGTAGAAGGCATCCAAGAGTTCGAATGCCTTGTCTTTGGTCAGATCGCCCATGATCATGCCCCAAGCATCGCCGATGCCTAATGACAGAGTTAGATGCTTAGCCTGTGACAGCACGCAATCGTGGCAGGATCTGTGGCGTGGAAGGTCTCTACTCACTCATGCCTCCCAGACAGAGCGGGCTCACGCGGATGGAAGCCGACGGTGCCAACAGGCGGTGTCTGCCAAGCAGGCTCTTGGGAGGGGTGGGTGGGAGGAATGCCATGGTATAATGATTTTGACTGATCGATGTGAGACTTCGATGGTTGAGAGTGTGAGAGTGAGTGTGTGAGTGTGTGAGTGTGTGAGTATGTGAGTATGTGTGAGTGTGTCTTGACGCGGAAAGAGTCAATGATATCTAAGCCACCAAGTGTATGCTGCCTGCTTCTGATTATGTATTCGAACCACGAGGTTAAAGCTCACTTTTATCTTGGACGGATAGATGGCGCGCTGACCAAGGCCCTCTGAGAATTCCCATCATGTCCGGAACCGGCATCGGACTTAGGGCCATGACCATAGTTCATCAATGTTGCCTATGAGGATGCCTTTCGCCGGCTGTTTGAAGGCGTCGGAGTCGGAGATGACAAAGAGAGGCACTTTTCCGCGCGCGGTGAAGTCTATTCCCGCGCGCATGCTCCATAGCCTGGGCGGGCAATGAAACTCGGCGGGAAATGCTCAATCCAGGAGCCTGCTTACCTGCCCACCTAATCGGGATAGGCAGGCGGTATTTTGCAGTGGCCAATCGTACTTGACGCTTTTCACAGGGATAATCACGCTTAATCCAGAGTAAGTGTTGCGGCCAATGCAGTGGGCCCCCCTTCGGTCTGTCCCTTTTTTCCGCCACGCAGGTGTCTGATGGGCAGCTGGGGCAACGTCCATTGGGGTGACCACAGTCATGGCGTTTCCTTTTCCGACAGCTGTCTGAAGTCTACACCGCCACCCACCGGCCCAGAAGAGGGCGTCTGCCCAGCTCAGCGCGTTGCTCAGCGCCTGAGGCAAGAGGAAGAGGATCCTTGAGTTGACCAATTCCTTCAGGAAGACTGCAAATCACAGCGAATCAGGCATAGAACATAAGTTGGCGTCCCCATTCCCATCAACCGTCGAGCCAATAACGTGTACGTTGTGCGCATCGGGGCGGGCGACTAGTCCCCCTTTTCCACGGACGCTTGTCAAATGAAGGACTCGACAGCAGTGGCCCTGTTTCGCACATTGGCAGCTGCCCCGCCCCGGCAGGATGCAAGACCCGGCGGCGATGGCTCCTTCGGCGCCGTGGCAGCCTGCCATGTGGGAACTGCGCGGCCCGCCTCCGGGTCCACCCTCGTATCATACAAGGGCAGGCTCAGGTATCCGTACAACTTGAAGTGACAAGTCGGACCCTTACTCAGCGGCGTCAGCGCCAAAACTATTAGCAGACTAGTCTCCTATAACCATCTCCACCAAGTGGCTAGTCCCGTTCAGGGACCAACGGGAGATCAGCCGAGAAAGCGGGTAGATCTGATAGGAGATCTATCCAAATTTCTCGGCTCAAGCTTCCTTCCGCTGCAGCAGGATGAATCCAGTCGGGCAAATCCAACCCCGGATTACCACCTGGAGGGGCCGGAGCCAAGAGGCCAAGTGACCCCCGGAAGGCTTGAATCATACTACCGCGGATCAGGACCGGTACTTCGTTCTTTGAAAAGCTTGCGCAATTTTATGTGAACCGACGATGAGGAGCTAGTGCATCAAACGTCGGAAGTTGGTCTAGCAAATTCTGCGCTAAGTCTTCTTTGTCATTCTATTCTACATCAAATCAACCAGATTGAAATGGTTGGTATCGGACCTCAATGGCTGCTGCGTCACCCGTTGGCGAGCAAGTCTTCTTAACCACGGCCAAGCGCCCCGTGGCATCATGTATGCTGTGGACCAATTCGCTCAGCTCGCTCGTGTGCAGAAGATGCTGGTTGGATAGCTGAAACAGACTCAGGTCGCGCAGCCGGGCCATGATCTCCTCCTCGGGTGGAATAGAACCCCGACCTGGCACAAGATGGCTGAGAATGACGAGGCAGCTGTTGGCGTTGGCACGCAGGATATCCTTGTGTGCGAGAAGCTCCGACACAATCTGCTGCGTGGAGCGGCCCAGCCCGATGGATGAAAGATCTAGAATGTAGATAGATGCGTCCCGGACCAGCTGTGGAGTCCCAATCGCGCGGTAGTAGGCGGTGATGCGGCCATTGGTCTGCAGCTCCATATCATTGGAGGCGGATCCAGACCCCCGAGTATTGCTCAGATGGAAGTTGTCCGCGGCTCCGGCTCTAATCATCTGGACGATGAAGCTGACCTGGGGATACTGTTTCTCCAAGACGGAAGCCCGGTCTGTCGTCTCCGCTCCGATCTGATAATGAGAGATGGTCAGTCTCCACACCATGATTTTCATGCACACACAGACATGGTACTCACCTCCACCACGGACACGGCCGATGAGCTGTCAAGCCGGTCGAAACAGCCGAGCGACTGCAGCAACTCCACGCCAGAGACTTCCCGTCCTGCAATGACATGCTGCAGAAAGGCGGGCCACTGTCGTCTCCAATGCGGCTGCTGCTCGCACATGGCGGCGAACGGCATGCTCGTGCCCTGCCACGCATTGTACGCGCTGTGGGACGGGCTGGACGAGTTCGGGCCAAACAGCCGCATCGCCTTGACCATGTTGATGGCCGCGGGCGCCGCCACGCCCGCCAGGAACATGGCGGCGTCGTGGTACGACGGCTTCATGACGAACTGGCTCGAGAGCGGTGTGTGCGCCACCTGGCCGAGCTGTGGCTCCTGGAGAAAGCCCACCGCGGCGGTCATGGGCACGATGCGCGCGAGGTGGGATTTTGGGACCGACGCGAGCTCCGCAATGTCCTCGAGGGACGCACTGTTGTTGAGTGGGATGTAGGCCAGGACCTGGAACTCGCACAGCCATTGTATACATGCCAGCACCTGGTTCTGTTCATGATAGTGAGCCCCAACCCTTGTCAAACTCGCCGCACAAGTCCCTACCTACCTGGCACGCAATATTCTGCAACAAATCCGCCGGGCTCATCACCATGGCCTGCAGCTTGGCTAGGCTCATGGCCATCGATCGCCTGATATTTTCTTCCTCTTGTGAAAACTTGCCAGCAATAACTGGTGGTGGGACCTGGCCGCCAAGCAATGTATCTGATTCGCCATTGCGGCTAAGGGCTACGAGGGTCTCGGCGTGTGCAACAACCTCGTGGGCACACGCCGTGAGCTGGTTCAAGTTGATGGTCATGGCTGAGTGGATGAGTTTGCCGTGCTACCAATCGTTGCCGACACTCCGAGTCTTCTTTGGGAAGTTCCCTGTGTCTGGTTGACAGTGGCTACTTAGGGAATTGTGTCCTGCCGCCTGCGGCGCCTCTGGCTTGGTCCAGATGTCATCGGGCCTACCCAGAATCAGTATTTCCGAAGAGGATTTCGTCTCTCTTTCCGAATCTCCACCTCGCTCTGGGACATATCACATCTCTGGGTGGCCGACTACGAGAGTGTGCGCGGAGACCCCGTTTTCAGCCTCAAGGGATGCCTAGGTCCCGGGGGAACACGCCGGGTGGGTAAGAAATTCTCTTGGCTTCCTTTGGAGTATTTGTAGAGAAGGCTGTTAGTCAAGGAATTAGATTTGTGTGGCTGTTAGCCCTTCCGTAAGCCCACCATACAGCTTCTTGAATACACGCTCTCCCGCTCCCGCTCCCCCGCTGCGCCACTTCAGCTGCAATCCACGCTGCCACGCAGACACCACATTCCTCCCCACTACCCTGTCAAGTACTAGTATGGAGGGGTGTGCGTGTTGACATCCGGGCAAATAAGTGGGGTATGGAGGGGTGTTCCACCCCACCAACCTCTCGTCAAGAGGGTCTTTCAGCCACTCGTCCTCGAAAAGTCAAGGAGTAGAGAATCTACCTTGTCCGCAGCAACACGCCCTGATGTTGCAGGGCCACGTGTTTGTATATGCAGTGACTCCTGAGAGCGCCCATTTTGGAGACTTGCATTCCCTACCCCGCAACACAGCCCTGTAGCCTGTCGGTTCCTTCTCTCTTCCATAGTCCTGGGTTCCCAGGTACGCAAACTCGGATATCGGGAAAACTCGCCAATGTCACCTACACTTGCGCATACACAAATTCTTACGTTACAGCATGGAACAAGCCCGCAGTGATGGCATGCAAAGAGAATCGTGCTGTTGTACGCCCACATAAATGGCACGATGAGTGTTTGTGTTAATGGTGGCTCCAGACTGCCCAGGTAAACCAGCCCTGGAGGACACTGGCACGGGTTGTGCCCGTGATTCTTCCCATAGAATAGGCCCGAACAAATCACAATTTCCTACCCTGGTAACAAAGCATGTGATCGGATACTCAAGATTCCGGGACGACACTAGCAAATGCCGGCCCGGCGTAAGCATGTTTTTGTGAGCTGTCTATGTGCCACTCACGTTGATAAGCCGTATGCAAACTGCTCAATAAGCAACAAGCAGTTTCTAGGCAGCTAATACCCGCCCGATAAGGCGCTCAAGGAACCGCCCTCTCAGAGGTCTACGCGCCTTACTTGAAAGGGCGCGCCATTTAGTCACCACTTAAATTCGGCTCCCGAAAGTCGCAACCACCACATCCACTCACACTGACACTGCTGTTGTTCTGATATGTGTTCTGGAATTTGGGTACTTTTGAAAGCGCCTCCTTGAGATAGTATCAGCCGAGGCTTATTGTGGCGGACTTGGGCTCCGCTCGTTAAGGTCGTAGAATCCTATAGGAGTGTTTCCTTGAGATAGTATTGGCTCGGTTGCGGCGGTTGCCACTCTGATTTTTAAGGCCGTAAAATCCTATAGGAGCGCCTGTGAGATAGCATGGGATAGGGCTTACTATGATGAGTTCCATTCTTTTATGTAAGATAATATGGGCTAAATTACGGCAGCTTCTGCTCTAGTATTCTGTAAGACCTTGAAATCCCCCAGTAGCGCCTCCTTAAGATAACAGGGATAGGCTAATGCTAGCTGTAAAGTTACCACTCCGGACTTTTCTTTTTCTCTGTGTCTTGCTGCCGGCGAAAGCAGTGTGCTTGCCAATTGGGAGTACCACGTATCTGAAAACTTCATTGTTCCGTGCGAAAAAGAAAGATGGCTTCTACGAATCTTTTGGGCAGTCCTCGTCCAAATGTTCCTACCAATGCCCCCGGCGCGCCGGCGCCCAAGCTGCGAGACAGCTGTCACGCGTGCGCGTCCTCCAAGTTGAAATGTAGCAAGGACAAGCCGACTTGCGAGCGGTGCAAGAAGCGTGGAAAGCCATGTGAATATTTCGTGACGAGAAGAGGCGGACGAAGGCACCATCAGCGCGCGACCTCCGTCCCGAAATCTGCATCCGCCACCGACTCGGACGTGCAACAAGCATCATCTACCATTTCGGTGGCTACGACGACGAAGAAACCACCTCAAGATACCTCAAACACGGCCGTTGGCTCAACAATTGTCTACTTGGACAAGTATGGATCCAACTTGGCAGATATCGAGCCGATGAGCCCCGAACACAGTTTGGAGGGTCGGCATTTTTCCAGTGCCAGCACACCTGATATGGACATGGATATGGATATGGATTTGATGCTAGAGGAATATTCAGCAACGCCGTCACCCCTCTCCTTCGATATCTCAGATCTCACCAGCATCGACACTGGGATGGGCTCTCTGACAAACGACTCGGCGCTGAGCGCCATCACAGACTACTCATTCGACCTCACCAAACCAGTCGACTTTGGCAGTACCATTGGCGGTGCCCCGCTATGCGCCCCTGAAGCTTCCCTTCAGCAACAACCACCGCCTGTTGCTGCTCCTATCAACGATGACTTCTTACTGTCAGCAACGGACTCAGTACACGTCGGAGCTGCTTTTTCGGGTCACCCGTGTAACTGCCATGCCCGAGCGCTCGAGGTTCTCAACCAGCTTTGTTCGCTAGAAGGCGGAACGGCCGACAAAACGCCAGGCGAGATCTCGCCGCAAGCACTCCTCGACGCGAACGAGCGCACGCTCGACGCGGTGGGCAACATACTGCCCTGCTTCTGCTCCAAAGACGGCTTCCTACTGGTGACCATGTCCTTGGTGGCGTTCAAGGTGATGGCCCGCTATGAGGCCGCGGCACGACAGCAGACGCCGTCCTGGTCTTGTGCGGCGCGGGGACCAAGTGGGATCATGGAATCCACGGAAGAATCCCTCGGGCGCGGCAGCGCGAGCAGTCACGGGGAAAACGCTCAAACAGGACGAGCGGACGAGCGGAACGCCGCCCAGGTCGTCCTGAGCGAGCTGTATAGAGTGCAGCGGTTTGTCAGGGGCCTGGCCAAGCAGCTGAAAGATATGGCAGGCTTGGACATGAGCGCAAATATCTGTGCCGAGCGGCTCTTTCTCGGGTCCCCGCAGTACGACTCCCGAGGTGCAGACTCCCTGATGAGTGGGGTCTTTAATGATCCTGCTCTTCCCTTCTCGGCGGCTTTCTTTTGTCAGCTAGAGACAGATCTCCGCAGGCGCCTGCGTGGCCTATCGAAAGAGCTTGCCGACCTTGTGCGGACAATATAGAGGGCTGGTTCCATAGATTACATGCGCATTACCTGCAGACACTACATAGATCTCTGACCTCACGGTTCCAGTCCGGCGTCATCTGGCCGTCCAGATTGTTCAATATTGAATGCTATCATATTTCACCGCAACTTGCTGTTCGACTTACTGTCTCGCATTTCGAAAACCGCTATGAGTTGTCTCTTCTCGGTCTCTCAAGTGGGCACGGCGACTGCGAGTCTGTAAGCCACGATGTGCCATGTGCACTCGCATTGTGAATCACCGTGAGGTTTGAGATGTTGGTTGTCTCCCTAATCTGTGACGTTACGGCTGCCATCCTTTTGCCCGATGTCAGACGTGCATCAAGCTGTAACACGCGCTTATGTGAGATGTCGGGATTGATAATTTCAGCCACAGGGTCCTCGACTCAGCACCTTGTCCACTCCCGCGCGCATGAAAATACCGCGCGGGAAATACGCAACTGCTTCAGAGTGTCGACCCTAGAGCCAGCATGTAATAGCGCGCGGGAAATACAATTGGGGCCCTCACTGTCGATCTAGTACTGTCTCTCCATGCCCATGCCCGAGGTCGTGAAACTAGGGTACACTCGGACAATGACATCTCTTTAAGTCCGGCGTAGTAGTAGAATCACTAGCATGCCAACCAACTCCGTACTTCGAGATAACATCATTACTAATGAGTATGGAGAGCCTCGACAGAGCTACCTGTGTCATTACATAGAAAGATTCCGAACCGAAGGAAAATAAGGAAGCAAAAGATAACAAGACAAGAGGCTTAGGTCTTGCTACCTACCAACTCGTGGTCCTAAAGCTTCTCGAGCTGAGTTGAGGATTTACTTCCACTACTGGTCTTCTGATAAAATTTGTTTCCTCGTCGTGGCAGGCACCGGCTGAGACGAGAACATGAAGAATCAATTGGCGCCCGACCAGGCACAAATGGCAGGTTCCATGAAGACCACTGCGTTTGATTCTGCCGCTCCCACTTCGTCCTCGACGACCTTGTCACCACCACCCAGCACCGACATCCAACTGCATTCGTTCGGTGAGCATGGCCTGGAAAAGGGCGGGCATGCATCTCACGATGCGCTGCGGGCTACAGAGAAGCAAGAGGACCTAGCAGAATATCCAAGCAGTTTCCGTCTGCTGTGTCTCTTTTTGGCCCTCATTCTCTGCATGCTTTTGGCCGTTATCGACATGACCATCACGGCCACGGCGCTCCCGCACATCACTGATGACTTTCACAGCCTGAACGATGTAGGCTGGTATGCGTCAGTATTCTTTATGACGGTCGCCTCTTCCCAGTCAACATGGGGCAAGATCTTCCGGTACTTTGACCTCAAGGCCATGTTCTTGGGGTCCATTGGACTCTTCGAGCTTGGTAATCTGATTTGTGGTGAGTGCCCCTCCCGGTTTCCATAAAAAACCCCCCCCATGATGGCGACAAGACGGCTCACATTCGCAAATGTTATGTGTAGGCGTGGCACCAAATAGCAACGCCTTGATCGTCGGCCGTGCCATCACCGGCCTCGGCGCCTCGGGCGTGATCGCAGGCTGCTACACCGTGGCCGCCTTCGCCGTGCGTCCGGCGCAGCGGCCAGCATTTACGGGCGGGCTGGCCGCCACCTACGGCATCGGGTCCAGCATCGCGCCCGTGATCGGCGGCGTGCTGGCCGACAAGGTCACATGGCGCTGGTGCTTCTATATCAACCTGCCGATCGGGGGCTTCGCCGCCGCGGTGCTGTTTTTCATCTTCAAGACGCCGCCCCAGGCGCGCAGCGAGGCCGACCACAACGCCTCGTGGCGGGAGAAGCTGCTGCAGATGGACCTACCGGGGTTTTTCATCAGCATGGCGGCGGTGACTTGCCTGCTGTTGGCATTGTCGTGGGGAGGCAGCGCCAAAAGCTGGGGCTCGGCGGATGTGATCGGCACGCTTGTGGGCTTTTTCTTGATCGCTATATTCTTTGCTGTCGTTGAGTACTACCAAGGTGAACGCTCCATGGTCGTCCCACGAATCCTGAAACAGCGAATCGTCCTGGTAGGCAGTGTTGTTGGTTTTCTGTAAGTCGCACTTGATCTTACCACACCATCCCCCCCCCCCGGGTTGAAACCGTAACCTGTTTTACTGACACTGGCAATCAGGACTGGCGGTGCTCAATTCGTTCTCGTGTACTACGTTCCAATCTATTTCCAAGCGATCTTAGGCATGAGCGCTCAAGACAGTGGCGTCAGGAATCTGGCGTACATCATCGCCATTTGTAAGTGCCATCTCCTGCCGCGACTGTGGAACTGAGCAGAAGTACCTCCCTGCATACTAAGTTGGACACCTTACTAAAATTATCCACGTAATTAGCGCTCTTCACTGTGGCTTCTGGCGCCGCTATCAGCGTCACAGGTCACTTTACGCCGCTCGTTGTGGGTGGCTGCGCGCTGTGGACCGTCGCAGCGGGGCTTATCACTACGTGGTCCAAGTCGACGACGGTCGCGGAGACCATCGGTTACCAGATCCTCGCCGGTGTAGGCGTCGGGGTAGCCTATCAAGGACCTATTCTGGCGGCTCAGGCGCTCGCCGCGCCCACCGACATTGCCGCCACCAGCGCCATGTTGCTGTTCTTCCAAACCATGGGCGGCGCGTTCACTGTGTCGGCAGCCCAGGCAGGCTTTACGAATCAGATGATGCGGAAACTGCGAGGATATTCACCAGAGACGGACATCATGGCCGTCATTGCTACGGGTGTCACTGAGCTCCCGAAGATCTACAGCGGGCAGGAGCTGGATGCCATCTTGCGCAGCTACAGTGATGGGCTGCAGGTTGCGTTCGCGATTATTGCAGGCCTTACTGGAGCTGCCACGCTTTGCGCGATGTTCCTGCCTTGGAGGTCATTTAAGTCTATTCAGGCACAAAGAAGCGCCAAAATGTAATGCGACCCGTGATCGCCTCTTCCTAGAAAGGGCTACCTGGGCAGATTCGGGGTTACATTAATCATTTGGAAACTGCACAATCTGCGCGTATTTAAGTGTGGGTTTCTTTTTTGTATGGGTCGTTTATAGAGGAAATCAATGCAAAATTGGGCAAAGTGAAAATCAGGTGTCTATTTGGCAGACTTGCGTTGCCGTTCTAAGCATCTTGGACGTAAAGTTTCAAGACAAATGAAGACAAAATGAGGCAAGTAAGCGGCAACTCGATGCCTTGAAAGAGAACAATGTTCATCAATTTCACAATTCAGGTATTGGACTTTCTCTAGAACTAGCACTTGAGGGAATTGTCTCTCAAATCCAAAGGACATTATCTATCCTCCATGCCCAAACTTGAAGTCAGGGATCAAAAACCAAGGAGAAAAAAACCTACGACTCAAATCTGTTTCAGTATCTCAAAATTATTGTACCGAGCATCCAAATGGCTCATCCATCGTGATCATCGTGTGCAGAGAGCCCGCAGGGAGGGGTCGGGAGGTTGCATGGACTCAGACCCCGTTCACCGTGGCAGTCGCGCAAAGAACCTAAATCCTGCACATCCAAAGATCAATCGGACGCCGATGAAAATATTTCGGAAGGATTATCCTGTCCTGTAAGCAGAGTGTTAAATGCAGGAACTGGCCAGGTTCTAATTCCTACCCTAGGGTACCCACCCAGATAGTGAAATGCTGACAGCCTCGGAGTCCGTTCAATGCAGAGGACCACCTTGAAGCGAGCGACGGATGTCCATTTTCGCTGTTAGAACATGATTTGAAAGCTAAAGGGCTTATGTAAGACCAAGACAACGGATATCGGGCAATCGTTCCCTGTGTTTTGAACAGTCTGTAGACCAGGATGCACAGGCGTTGTCTCACTTGAATATAAGCGCACGTATTCTTAATTGTTTTCTGCCCTTTGTGCGCTGTGATGGAATAGGAAAAATCTCATTTTTTGGCACACATTCCCTGAGACTGTGAACATAATCACGATGTTGACTACGTGGGTGAGAGATGCAGCCGCTGCCCTGCTTGGATTTGTATCTTTTCTCGAGCCTACTATTGATCAGCAGCCATTGCTTGCTTCGACACCTTTAAGTTCTGTGAACGACCCCCTGAATCGTCATCTCTGGAAAGACGGATTTGATATCAAAACCGACTATGAAGCCCACATCCCTGAAGGCAAACTCGTCGAGTACCATTTTACTATTTCAGAAGCCGAGATCGCACCGGACGGATATCTGACCAACGTTACTCTCGTGAATGGGCAATTTCCTGGTCCCAAGATCGAAGCGGATTGGGGCGACACCATTCGTGAGTTTTCGTGCCGCACCATTTTAGAACGAAGAAAACGAGCGCTGACCATGTTGGATTCTATTCAGGGGTCACTGTGTACAATAACCTGACCAACTTGAATGGAACCGCTTTTCACTGGCATGGGATTCGCCAGTTCCAGACAAACTACTTGGATGGAGTCCCCGGCGTAACTCAATGCCCATCAAAGGTAAGATGCGACTAGCGAATCCAGTTTGGCTTCCGGACCATGGTCATGTTGGCTGACTTGACCATCGCAGCCGGGCGACACCCAGGTGTACGAGTTCCGAGCCATGCAGTATGGAACAGGATGGTACCACTCACATTATAGTTTGCAATGTGAGTAGATGATATTTGAACTTTGTCCAAACCTGTTGGACGATACTAATCCCTTGTACAGACACAAACGGGGCTCGTGGTCCAGTGGTCATCAACGGTCCGTCCAGCGCGAACTATGACATCGACGTGGAACCTCTTCTCATCACGGACTGGTACCATGCGGATGCCTTCAGCTACTTCCATGAAGAGATCACGGATCACGCACACATACCAACAGGCACTCTGCTAAACGGAAAAGGTGTCTACGACTGCGATCCCGCCGCTGATCCCCGATGTGTCAATCCGCCGGGTCAGCGCCATGAGATCCAATTCGAGAGAGGGCAAAAGCACAAACTACGCATCATCAGTAGCGCAAGCCTTGCTACTTATAAGTTCTGGATTGATGGTCACAATTTTACCGTCGTTTCTGCGGACTTTGTCGCAATTGAACCATATGTAACTGATGTGCTCATTCTCGGCGTCGGTAGGTTTGACTATTCCCGTGGCTCGGAACAGTGCTATAATTTGAGGATGTGACAGGGCTCTTGACTAATTTCTTCACTTGTTATGCAGCACAACGCTACGAGGTTATCATCGAGGCCAATGCTACCATGGAGAATGGCTCCAATTTCTGGATTCACGGAACTCATTGCGACGACATGATGCCCGTTCCTTGGGATACGAGAATCGGCATCATCCGCTATGACCCTAACGACACGAGCGAGCCGTATACGCCGTCAGCAGAGATGGGGCACCCCGGCTATGGTTGTAGAGACCCCCCTCCTTCCAGCCTCGTCCCAATAGTCCCACGTCACGTTGGCAACAATGTGAATGGCTTCAGCCCCGAGGACTACTTGCAGGTCGGGCTCCAGAGCTGGCCGAACATCTCGGACCCCGACTCGACCATCCGGAAATGGGTCCTCGCCAACCGAACCCAGTACGTGGACTGGCGCGAGCCCAGTCTGCGCGAGCTGGTCTACGACGACGGCAAGACCAACCTGACCGACGAGCAAGCCCCCATCGTCCTCGACTACGAGACGGGCGAGTGGGTCTACTTTGTCATCGAGGGCAACTTCACCATGCGCAACCCCTCGGGCGACCCGCGGCCCATCCCGCGCTCGGTGCACCCCATCCACCTCCACGGGCACGACTTCGTGATCCTGGCCCAGGGCGACGGCACGTTCGACCCGGCGACGGTGACGCCGCTGCTCGATAACCCGGCGCGCAGGGACACGGTCAACCTCCCGATCGGCGGCTACGTGTGGATCGCGTTCCAGATCAACAATCCTGGGACCTGGCTTTTGCACTGCCACATAGCGTGGCATGCAAGCGCGGGCTTGTCGCTGCAGTTTGTGGAGCAGCCGAGCAAGATCAAGCCGCTAGTGGAGGAGGCTGGCGTGCTTCCGGAGATGGAGAGTCGCTGTAAAGACTGGACGGAGCACTACAATAGTGTGAACATCCCCGAGGGAGCCTTGCAGGAGGACTCGGGTATTTAGACCACCCAGGATTGTGCTTCAGCGAGTTCGATATAGATAGATTTGCACCTAGCAATAATTTGTGTGTACGCAGACATCTCCAGATTCTGGCAACCTGGCATGGATATTTGTCAGGTGAGAGACTAAACAGATAAAACCAAATAGATCAGTCATTTGTGCCTAGTCCGAGACATTTCACGTTATTCCGCTGACCACCGCTTGGGCATTACCTGGGCAGATTTGACACATGCATTTTTACACGGAGAAAGGACAGGTTTGCCGACCAAAATTGAATATATGCAAGACATTTTACCAGTGGGTACAAAATTGAGTAAATCACGCTGTTCAGAACGCCGAGGCCCCGGCTAAATCCCACTGATCCTGTGAAACCCACTTCAACAGGTCCACCTCGGAGTCCGAAAGCTCTCTTTTCCTTCACAACAGCGCGGCAAGCACGGCCTCGCTGTCAAATGGAACCTAGCCCGGCTTCGATAGAGCGGTTGAGGCGCCTCTGGGCGGGTAGGGCTCATTTGGCCGATGAAGTGCTTAAGGAGGTATGAAAATACGCCTGACACATCACTCAGATCCCGCCAACCCCTCTCCAGGCACTTCTTCGAACACTTGCGTCAAGATCTGCAAACAAATGAACAAACGAAAGCCTTTGTTGCTCCTCACAGGTGAAAAGCCGCAGTCTGCTGGCTCTCTGTCCCGAATAGCCAGACATTGGACTTTCTCCAGAACCAACATTTTGTGCCAAAAAAATGCTGCTCGAAATGGACGGTGCCCGAAGACCCATGGGGCATACGCGGTAGTACATGATAAGTTCCTGCCTCAAGGATGTGGGTGAGTGAGCGCATTTGTCCTGCTCGTCGCCAGATGGGATTGCTGAGTTCGATGGGTGTAATACTGCGCGATTCCAAGAACAGAGTTTTCAAGGCTAGAGTCATGGGTAGTGTCAGATATCAAAGTCCTTCATTGATTACAACGCTGCCTGTCACTAGAATCACGCACCTGGAATGATAAATAGGAAGACACAGATGCATATGAACAAGCTCCAGATACTACTGTTTTTTCTTTTCGCAGGTACATAAATATCTGGGTACCTAGGTACAATGCAAGGTTCTATTTAAATGTTGGTCTATCTCACAGCAAAATGTATCATACAATTAGGAAATGAAATGAAAAAGAAATAAGTATGTGAGACTTGTCAGCAAAAGCTGTGACCACTCATGCCTTCTGGTCATCACTGAGGATATCCTTGGCCGCCCGGTTAGCCAACGCGTAGACCGCTGACTGTGGATGGCAGGCAGTCGGGAAGGGAAACGAGCTAGAGTCGACGACACGGATATTTTCCAGGCCCTTGATACGCCAATGCGCATCAAGGACCTTGCCGAGGGCGACAGAGCCAACAGGGTGCGAGAAGGAGAAGGTTGCGCCCTGGATCGCCCTCCAGACGGCCTCATCCGAGTCGACCGAGAAGCCTGGATACAGCTCACCCACGGTCTTGCTCTTGATGGCGTCGTGTCCGACGATCTCAAGTAGCTTCTTGTACCCGTACTTGATAGCCACCTTATCTGCGTCGGTGCCGTAGTAATTGGTGTTGATGACAGGTTGTTTGGTGTAGTCGTCTGAACTCAGCTCTATGTTTCCGGTGTACTCTGGCTGCACGAGGGCAACAAACACCGTCACTGCGCTTTCATCGGCCGGGATAAAGGGGACGCCGCTGTACTCGATCAACAAGTGCGGGCGATCCGCAGGAAGATCGGTGTAGTGCGTGGCATTCTCGACACTGGCAAACTCCTCGTCAGGCACTCGGAAGGTACCGTAAACAAAGCCGTTGTTCCAGCCCAGAGGCCCGCTGCGGTTGGTGGCATACTCATCTGCAGCGGAAGCAGACACGGTGTTGTTGCTGAGCCACTGATACAAGGTTATGATGTCGGGAGTAACCAGGAGCTCGGCGACGGCGAAGGGGTGGTCGCGCAGGTTGCGGCCAACCTCGGGGCTATCGTGGACCACGTTGATACCAAGTTTGGACAGCTGCGCCTCAGGCCCAACACCAGAGAGCAGCAGCAATTTGGGGGTGTTGACGGCACCGCCACTGACAATGACCTCGTCCGCGTTGATCGTCTGCGTCTGGCCATCCAGCACGTACTCAACACCCGTGGCAGTCTTGCCCTCGAAGTTGACCTTTTTCACCCATGCATTGGGAATGATCTTGACATTGGCTCTTTCCATCGCGGCGGCGCCGAATGTGGTCCGGGCATAAGACCTCCTGCGTTCCAGGGCTAAGATGGATGAAAGACCTCTGTCGAGACCAAGTCCGGAGCCGTCGTTCAAATCGACCTGTTGCAAGCCGAGCTCCGCCTCCAAAGCCGCACTGAAGGGCTCTTCGAAGCCTGTGACGCCGCTGGTGCGGCTAATCTCTATCTCTCCGTTGCCGTAGGCGGTCTTGTTGACCACTTGCTCGTAGTCTGCGCCGAAAGTCTCTGTGTAGTGAGACACCTCGAGGAAGTCCTGGAAGATCGACTCCCAGGCCAACCCTGAGTTGCCAGACGCTTCTGCCCAGCCGTCAAAGACTGAGGAGGCTCCACGGCAGTAAGCCATGCCATTCACCGCGGTTCCGCCTCCAAGACCCCACCCTTGAGCCAGGTTTGTCGTGGCACCGCCCAAATTTGGGTCTGGGGCTGCCGTGTAGTTCCAAGTATTGCCGGCGCCACCAAGGGGGTACTGTGCAGGGACTACAGTTCAAGATATTGTTAGCTTCATGTCGAGTTGCAACGCTGAACGAATCGTTTTCTTACCTTGAAGCAGCTCATTGTTAATCGTGTCTGGACCAGCCTCGAGCAGGGTCACTTGATTCCGTCCACTTTCTGAAAGCCGAGCCGCGAGGACTAGCCCGGCAGGACCACCACCGACGATGACATAGCTAGTCGCAGTCTTGTATTCGGAATCGGAGGCCGCTACTGTTCCGATAATGGTAGCGGTCAAGATTGCTAGGGAGGACCGCATCTTTGCTGTAATTGGGATAATGGGCAAGGAGGAAATGACGGTATAGATGTTTGCCCTCTTCCTCATGTAGCTCAAAGCAAGACCTTATGAGTGAATGGAAGTCGGAGATGGGTTGCGAGAGATTGGCTCCATGAATCACATCTTCGCCATTCCATTATGTATACAGCAACGTCCCCAAAAAGAGCTTGCAACTGCATCTTCAAACCATACCATCGGACGCCGACTCGGATATTCAAAAACTCGTGAGAGTATGATCACCGAACCATCGAGGATGCCTCCGAGTTGGCTCAGCCTCATTCCCTAGGCCATCCTTCGTCTCGTAGGAGGTGATCCTTCGTGGCCCAGGAGGTGGCCCTTCAGCCCCCAGTCAGGCAATGATTCAGCTCCTTCGGCCAGTCTGTACTTCGGGGATCGCGCTGGCTGTATCATAGTAAATATGCTCAATGCCCCGCATATTGTGTCTACCTTTTTCCTGATCTGTTAACAATAGCCTGATCGCCAAGATCTGACCACGTGAATTGAAGGTTCCAAGGTTGTACGACGTCAGCACAGTGTAGCATGCACAGGAGATCATGCAACACTTGCGCAGGAACACGCTGCACGAACCAAGAAACTCTGAAAATCGCACGTGGCATGGGGATGGACCCTGGATGTATTATGTGTGCATGTGCTCTCCTGCAGCAGAAATTAGTCATTGCCAATGCGTGATTAAACATGTTCGTTGCTTCCTCCTTGATTATGAGTTTCTTGTTTCTACATAGCTCTGCCTTCGCTTTGAAAAACTGCAGGTCTCGCAACCAAAGATTGTAGTTATCCAGGCCCTCTCGTGAAGACCTGAAGCCTGCAAGGTGTGCTTGCCAGCCTTCAAAACTTCGAGATGTGCGAGAGAACGCCTTTCACCTAGATTGTATTCCAAAACAGCTGATGCGCTATCGTCTATGTCTTCTATGATGCTTCAGCCGAGTGAAAGCCTCCTTCATCCTGAAATTCCATGCCGCAATCATGATGAGAACGCATCTCAACCAATCCAGCGCTGGGTTCTCCTCACTACATGTACCCTGATTCTCTGTGGAGTTACTCAGAAAGTACAGCCAACCTCACAAATACTTGCTGTGCACTGTGTGATGCTGAGTCCTTTGCGGCTGTCCCTGACAGCTCCTCAGGGATTTCTTGCAGGTCGAAATTCCACACAACAAGAGTGACCAACGTCTTGAGAACTAAGGTGGCCCATTTGAGACCTGATCAATGTCAGAACTTTGTCGGTCACGGATTTGAATAGTCAATCGGGGGAGCAAGCTGTCTCAAGCACTCACCAAAACAGCCACGTGGACCCACGCCAAATGGTATCGATGGTCCAGCCAGGGCATTGTATCGCACCTCGCCGTTCTCAGTCCTCTCAAGCCACCTCTCGGGGCGGAATTCACCCATGTTAGATTCATCCCACATGCCATACTTATCCTTGGCGTCCTGGCTGGTTCTACTCCGCGTCGCCTCGTCCACAGGTAACGCGGGCATTTTATAGCTAGGGCCGTTTGTGAGCATGAAGACGTCAACGCCCTTGGGGATACGGTTGCCGAGGACCGTGGTCTCTTTGGTGGTGTGCCGGATCATGCAGCTGATGGTGACTGCAAAGCGGTGGCTCTCGGCGAGGAATGCGTCCAGGTACGGCAAGTTGGCCTGGGCAATCTCCTGCGAGGTGGGCATCTCTCCAGCCTCGGTGGCACGTTTGTGGGAGGCCCGCAACTCGGCCCTCAGTTGCTTCTGTACCTCCTGGTGCATGGTAAGGTATTTGAGCGCCCAGCCCAGTGCTGCACCCGTTGTCACCTGACCGGCAAACAGAAACGCCAGAAGCTCGTCCCGCACGATGGGCAGGTCAAACTTCCTCTCCCGGTTTTCTTTCCTGGCCATTTGTGATTCCCGCTGGACGAGGAGTTCCAGGGCGGATCTGACCTCTTGCTCATCGGCACGTTTCTCACCGACATTCTTGCTGGAAAACCGGGTCCACGCTGCGTTGACCTGATTCGAGATCATGTCGTATGTATACCGCTTAGCTTCCGAGTAGGATGGCAAGAATCGATATGCCAGAGGAACGAGGATCTTTGGGAAGGGGGACCGCACCGCCATTGCGACGCCGTCTGTCATTTTGATCAGGGCTGCGCAGGCCTCGCTTTCCATGCCGTTCTTGAATGACATGGGCACGTCCCGGTTCACACCGGAAGTGCCAACTGGCACGTCTCCATGAAGGGTGGCATGGTGCGTTTCGAGCGCCTTGACATCGTAGCCAAAGTTTGCCGAGGTGATGAAGTCGATCAGACATCTCGCCACGTCTGACTCCGCGTCAAAGGGCCGCCCCTGTGCCAAACGTGCCTTGTCCCGCCACAGAGAGACGAGCTCGGCAACATATTTGTAGATTCTGGGCGTAATGACCTCGGACACAAAGCTATTCGACATTACGTCACGCATCAGGTTCCTGTGCGATCGCCAGCGGTCGTCTGTCAGAAATGAGATGTGGCTCTCCGGCACGATGGGTCCAAAGACCTCGCCGGTAAATGCCGACCGGTCGAATTCGTCTTTGCGCGTCGCGCAAATGTCGAAGGCTTCGCGGAAATCCGTCAGGATCACCCATGGCTTGCCAAATGGCCGCATGAACATCTGAAATACGGGCGCTTTGAGATCCAGGGCGAGCTTCCTCATGTAGCTGAAGACCTCTTTCGTCTCCTTCTGCCATTCTATAATCTGATGATAGGACATGTCAGCATGATTTCTCGTGGAGTGGTCTTTCTCTTGCTTACATCAGGCGCGTCCCCGAGCAAACGCTTCTCGCTGCCTTTTTTGTACGGTAGCCCAGGTATCGGCTTGGGAAGTGCTGCTCGATAGAGCCACAGGCACCCCAGGAGCAGCAAAGCGCCTACTACTCCCAGGCCAGAAATCGGCATCGCCGTAGACATTGCGAATGACTCTTCTCTTTTTGCTTGACTTCGTCTCAAACACACGAGTCGTAATCTGCCACGGTAATATGCGAGAAGAGAAAACAGACTTTCTTGTACAGTTGATTAGCCAAAATGATGGGCTGCTGAGTCGCACTGTCAGCATGCAAATTCGAGAGGTGATTAGGTATCCGAATGCCCAGACGTCGGCCGTCTTAGAGCTTACATGTCGGCCACCGATCCCGTAGGATCATGTATCCACATATTTACACAATTACCGATGCCCGATATACGGTGTTTGCACCCAGCTACTGTGAATAGCCAAGCGCAATGGTGGCAGATGTGCATGTGCCGCTGTAGGAGAGACAGGAACATGTACATTCAAGTTTGGCGATGCATCGTAAGCCTCAAACCCAAAGGCACATGCCACAAGGCACAACAAGAAAAGATATGTAATTCGACAAAATCATCGAGCCTTCGCCAACCAAAGGGAACTACCTGCCATACTATATCATGGGAGGTGGACCGCTTCCGAACCACTCCCCCCTGTTCCGCCCCAATCAAACAAAGCTTGAGCAAGGGTCCCGGTATTCACAGTTGTCATGCACGCAAGAGTCTGCGATACATCTGAAAGTTCTGCCCAGAGTTGTGGATCAGGAGGCTGGGTAATACACGAGACTTAACTGCCTAAGCTTGGAATATATTCAGCTGCGTCGCAATGAGATTTGGCCCCAGCCTAGTTTTGGAACGACATTAATTATGTGGTTTTGCCAATTCCCTAAGGAAAACGAATGTGAGAGTTTCCTGTTGTGGGACGTGCAGTCCTGCTGGAAGACAGACATGGACTCCCATAAATTTCTGTCGTGATAAGGACTACGTGCCTATGCCAAAGTGGCGGCGTCGCTTTTTGTACGAATAGTGCAGTGGCTGTTATTCGTCACAATTTCGGCACTTCTGACTCGTAAGGTCGAGAAAACGCGGATCAAAAGGGTAGTAATCAATTATTTATGTAAAGACGCCCTAGTTACATCGATGCCAATCCCCGCTCGCTCAATAGCTTTCAAGCCGCCTGCAATCATACTTTGCTGATATGACCACTCAAGCTTGGCCCGGAACAGAGGCCCATGCGGAATCCATGCCCGCCATGAGCACCCACTTAGCCGGAGCAGGAAGCCCAAGTGTGGTGTCGTAGGCCATACGGGCAATCTTCAACCACATGTCTCCATGAACCGCTGAAGTGAACTCATCTCCAAGCTTCCGATCCAGATCTTCTCCATTCTTCAAGGCACGCACGAACTTGGCAACATGGCCGTCATCATGCTGCTCATTGACCAGCTGGTAAAGCTGGTCCCAGTCGCGCTCGGGCCCGACGTTGTATCCGGTGATGCTCTCCGTGCTCAACTCCGGAAGACCGCAGGTAATGTACCAGATCAGGTCCAATCTGCCCTTCCACTCGACCAGCCGCACCTTGTCCTCGGTGCTGATCCAGTCTTGGTCAACAAGGACGCTGATAAAGAGGGAGCTCGTGACACAGTGCATGAAGAAGAAGTCGATCTTGGTCGCTTTGCCCGGGCGCTGCGCAGCACCCGCCAGGTATGCGCAGAAGGCGATCATCTCGGCCGTCTTCTCCTCGAGCTCCTCCGGCCGGACGCGGAACTGCGCGGCCAAGGTCACAATTTTGTCTCCTGCCTTGGGGTAGATGGCCCTCTTCTGCTTCATGGTGCCGATCAGGTCAGGGGTGCGCGCCGCCTCGCGGATGGCAGGGTGAGCGGCGGCCTCCCGCGCGAGCTGCAAGAGGGACTTGCCGACCCCATCGTCCGCATTGTGCTGGGCCAGCTTCTCCGAGATGTGGAAGAACCAGTTGGTGTCGAACGAGTCGTGGGCTGCGGCCTGCGCGAGGGCCTCGGCGATGACGGCAGGCTGCGCGAACTCGGCCCCCAGCCCGAGGTGGATGATGGAGTGGTACGCGCCATCGTACATCAGGGGGAGGATGGCCTCGGCGATGGGCGACTTGCTGAAGACATAGTCGTTGACGACTTGTTGCCAGCCCTTCTTGTCGATCTGTTGCTCGAAGAAGACGCGGAAGTTGTTGTAGTGGGTGATTTTGGTGATGCGCTCCGCGAAGTAGTCGTCGTCGGCCAGACGTTCGACCACCTTTTCATCCAGTCTCGGTATCTCACGCTGAAGAGGGGCGTCGTCGTCGTATGCAGTCTGCAGCTGGTCTGGGGTTGCTCCCAGAGACAATCTTGTGAAGAGATTGTGTACGAGGTGGTTGTGACCGTTCATGTCACGGAAAAAGATGTGGAGCTCGTCGTGATTTTTCTGTAGCAGGCGGTTGGTGATCTCGAGAGACTCGGCTGTTACTGACGGACCTCCTTTGATGTAGCCAAGATGATCCGCCGACATGGAAATTCTTGAAGCCTCCGACATATTGGGCGTATTTGTTTTCGTGCTTCGAAGGGCGACGGTGGTTTGATGTTTGGGAGGCAAAGTTGGGAATGTGCCCAATGAAAAATCTTGACTAATTGTAATGTTTGCCAGACTCTTGAAGTCATATGCACATTTATAAAATGTAGGTTATGGCACAGACACACATTGCAAAATTATACTCCGAATACCTACATATGTAGGTACTTACTCCGAAGATTATTTCTCGGAGACCGAGGACTAATTATTAGTCCTCTTGACTATGGATTTCTGGTAGTAATAGTGGATTGATAAAGGTCTCTACTGCCGCACCCACAATACTCTAAGGTAGCATTAGGAAGAGAGACGACTGAATTAGGTAACCCGCTCATATTCGGGCCACCCCCCGATTCGGACCACTTTTTCCACTAAAACACACCATTTTCAAATACTTATTTTCCAATAACTAACTTTTTAAAAACTATAAATATTAATATATGTATAAAGTCTAATGTATTAATATTAATAAAAATATTATTAAAATAATCCTGATTTATATAGTATTCGTCTTTCTTTTCCTACACCCATAGACCCTTGCACCATTGTCATGACAGATCTTACGATCTAGATCGGAGAACACAGACCAATCACTGCTGACTTGAGACGCCGAAAGCAGAATCCTGCTCACGGAGGCCGACAATTGCAGGAACAGGCCCATGCGGGTGTGGACCACCATGAGAGCAGCTTTAGTGGCATGTTTAGTGGTACCTTCGCTGTTATTTTAAGACGCGATTTTCTCTGGTCTTCATGGCGACTGGCTTGCTTCTGTATTCTCGTTCCACACCCTGCCATCTAATAGGTCACCTACATCGAAGTCATCACCCCGCCAAAATGGCCGCCGAAACCCCAGCTCTTTCGGTGCACGTCACAATCACTGTTGATCCAGCCAAAACGGATGACTTTTTGAAGGCGCTGCGTCCTACCTACGAGGCCGTTGTCGCCGAGCCTAAGAACACCTTCTTCGAGCTTTACCGAAACGACAAGACACCGGGTGTCTTCGTCATTGTGGAGAACTGGAACGCCGACCCTGACTACATGTTCAATGTGAGATGACCTTTCCACGCCATGTCCACATTCAGGAGACCGCGTGAAAATTGGTGTTTAATACGCGTGCACAGGTCCAAATCAAGAAGGACTACTACAAACCATACCACGCCGCCTTGCAGGACATGCTTCTGAAACCGATTGAGCATGAGATTTACAGCAGGATGCCCGGAAATGAGTGGTCTAGTGTGAAGCAGGATAGCTGAATTGATAAGACAATGTGGAGTAAAAAAAGTTCGGAGACTGACGAACACGAACGGGTCGAAGTTGGGGCTGGGTTTGGGGACGTTGAAGTGAGCTAGTTTTGAATCAATGAGATGCACCGTGACCGTGTTCCAAATTACTTCCTGAAATGCGGTCCTTGCATTTTGCAGAACGAACATGCTGCAAGTCGTGATGGATTGTGAACTGTGCCCATTCAGGTCTCCATGCACGATAATTCGGACATCGGAAATCGGGGACACGGGGACCTGACGGAGACCACTGCTTACTGGCCTGGTCCTCCCGACGCACTTGGACTGCATCTCACCTTGCATCGAGGTAGGTATGGAATATGTTATTTATTGAATGAGCCGTATGTCATGGTGCCGAGAATCTGTAGAAGAAGAGTCTGGAGTAATATCATTGTTACGTCGTCCTTGTTGAACACCGTACCTGGTACCATAAGATCCTCCTTTCAAACCATCTCCTTCCCGACAATGAACGGCACAAACGGCACAAACGGCATCAAGAAAGGCTCTGCCTCACCTTCTGAGGCATGGACGCAGCTTTCCAAATATCTACCACCTGTGAATGCAGACCAGGACTTCTGGTGGAAGCTTACCGGCCGCCATGTTGCTTCTCTGGTCGAGGCAGCCGGGTACTCTAGGGAAAAGCAGTATGAGGCGCTTGTGTTCCACTACCATTGGACCGTGAGTCAGCTCATCAAAGACCTTTGAACTTGGTCCACGCCTCGTCACACGGATACTGACCTTCGACACGAAATATAGGTACCATACATGGGCCCTGCCCCAAAGGCCGACGGCACGCCTGCAAAGTGGAGTTCCCTGCTGGGTCTCGATGGTAGCCCGATCGAGTACTCGTGGAAATGGGAGACCAAGACCAGTGAGCCTGACGTGCGCTATGTGACGGAGCCCATTGGGGCTCACCCCGGCACGCACATTGATCCGCTCAACCAGCTGGCTCTGCGAGAGCAGCTTCAACGCCTCGCGGAAGCCACGGGTGCCGATATGAACCTTGGCTGGGTGAACCACTTCTTCGCGCGGTACTACGACCATGATAGCTCGAAATACGTGCAGGAGGCCGCGGCGGGCTCGGCCAGGAGCACGGCCACCAGCGTGCAGCTGGGCACAGAGTTCCTGCGCAACAAGGGCATCGGCTTCAAGACGTACTTCTTCCCCCGCAAGCTCGGGCGGGTCGATGACATCTCCATCGGCCAATACGATCTGGCCATGGCGGAGCTCCAAGTGCCCGGCGAGAACGACGAGACATGGGCCGCTCGCAAGGCCCTCGTCGACTTCCTGGCCCACAACGCCGAAGGCAAGGCGCTTAAGCCCTTCTCCATAGCCGTGGACAACGTGGCGCCCACCAAGTCGCGGCTCAAGTGGTACTTCCACACGCCCCACACCAGCCTCCGCTCGGTGCGCGAGGTCATGACCCTGGGCGGGCTCATCGCCAACGACAGGATCGAGGCGCAGCTCGCCGACCTCTACGCGCTCGTCCGCGCCGTGGCGGGCCTGCCCGACGACTTCCCCCACGACGCCGAGATCCCGCTGCCCGCCAGGTCCGACGTCTACGACCAGGCGGCGCGGGACAACTTTGGGGAGCTGGACGAGGTGCTGACGGGCTACCTGTACTATTTTGACGTGGCGCCCGGCGGGAAGGGGGTGCCCGAGATCAAGTGGTTCATCCCGTCGCGCCACTACGCTCCCAACGACCTTGCGCATGCTAATGCCGTGGCGGCGTGGATGGAGGCGCGCGGGCGGGGGTCGCACAACCAGCAGTACATGAAGATGCTCGGCGACCTGTCGCAGCACCGGGGGCTGGAGACGGCGAAGGGCCTGCAGACGTTCGTCTCGTGCCTGTTCAAGGCTGACGGTGAACTGGATATCACAACGTATCTGGGTGCTGAAGCATATCATCCTGCACGGGCTGCTCAGGGTGCCAGGTTTCGGTCTACTCTGCGTCGCGGCGACTCCTTTTAGTGGGCTCCCCCCGCTAAGACAGGTAGTATGTATCTAGAGCTGATGTACAGGCAAGGCGGAGGCATGTGGATGTAGAGACGGTCCTTTAGATGTCGAGGCAAATGACAAAATAACTGGGTATATTCTAGACAGCGGTATATTCTAGACAGCCGCTACGCATTCGCAAACTTGTTACTTTCCAGAGCAACTAAGTGATTGCATAAAGACTATATAAGTAAAGCAGAAGACCCGAGAACATTTAAAGCCGAAGCCAAATCACATGCATCCCCATCCGCCGTCTCTCTCGAACGCCAAACTTCTTCCATTATACGGAGCGTTGTGCCAATGGTACCGAAATCAGCCAGCTCGCCTACCTCTCCGACGATGCGGCGGAACTCTGGCTCCTGGACAGGCAGCGCGAGACACCCCGCCACGCAGATGGGCCACGACAGACTCCGCAGCTGGGCGGGCGACTCGATGGTCTGCAACAGACCGACGACCTTGGAAACGTTGTCGTATACCTCGGCAGAGTTTGGCTGCCACCCCGACACAATGACCGAGAGGTAAATCTTGGCCGCATAGGCCCAGATGCGCGTGACGGTGGCGATTGCATTGTGATCGATGCTTCGGTCATGCCGGCTGTAGTATCCCTCGAGCCGACGGCCGGGCCCCTTCCCGCTGGGTGCAGCACGAGGTGGGTTGCGCTCCAGGCTCAGGAGCCCGTCGTCGAGCGCCTGGGAGATCGGGTCGGCCAGCTTGACCAGCTGGAAGACGGAGAAGGTCCCGGTCTGTTTGACTTCGCGCCTCCAGGCACAGAGTGCCGAGATGTTGCCGATGGCGACGAGCGGCCAGTTCTGACAGCCAACTACCTGATCTATGCGAAGCTGACAAGCTTGCTCGCTCTGAGAAGACAGCAGGCTGGGGTGGTATCGGTGCAAATGGGGGGCTCTACCCAAGGACGTGCTTGCTACGATGTCAACATAGAGCAGAAGCGATAGGAAGAAGGCCAACGCGGACTGATCAGGTGTGTTCGGAAGAGGCTTCTGGTGTGTCGTCGGTACCGGGAACATCATGGGCGGCAATGCATTCATAAGGTTTGTGACACTGGGTTCCGAGGCCCCGTCTAGGCCGTAGGCCGTGAATATGTCGTCGAAGAGGGCCAAGGCCGGGGTCAAGTGGATCGTCCAGTCCACATCCCTGCGCACTGTGACCTCAACGATGAGCAGCTGCGCTATCTCCTGCATGATGCGCGCCTTGCCCGTCAGCGAGCCTCCATGCACTCCTTGGTGACTCAGCACGGCGACGCTGCTCTGGATCGTCTTGACCGCAAGATCCATCTGCCCGATGAGCCGCTCCCAGACGAGGGCTTTGCACTCATCATGCATCTGGCGCTCCTCGTCCTGTGGAACCAGGCTGAAGAAGTAAGAGCTGAGGCTAGCCGCCGTGTGGAACGAGACCTCGTTCTGGCACAGCATGCCAAGCAGCCACTGCCTCCCTGTTTCCAGCAGCGACGGCCGGTAGAAGGGGAACAGGAACGGGAACACGTAGTCGAGGTAGATCATGACAGACGCGAGCTGGGCCTGGGCAGGGGCCTGAATCGGGATGCCCAGGCCGGCAGACCAGGATGAAGAGGAGGAGGGGGCCGGCGAAGAGATGGTCGGCAGCGTGTGGGCCCCGTCTGACAGGAGCCCAGTCGTGGACGGAGACCGAGACTCGAAGGGCGACTGGGACTGGGACTGGGACTGGAAACCATCATCAGAGCCACTCGCCAGGGACAAGGAGGCGGCCGTCTGCGTGGTGGAGACGACTGCAGCGTCGAGCACATCATGATCTAGCGGCTCATGGCCAGCAGCGGCCAATAGACGCCTTTCTCTGCGCAGAAGCGCGTTGTACTTGATCCTCCGCTTGATGGCCTCGGACATGTTGCTCTGGGCGGGCCCCCCATCCATCCATGATGGCCGAGTCTCTCCGGCATGGCAGGAAATGTCCAGGGCTTGACAGCTCCCGCAAATAGGTCGGACTGCGTCGCAGCGCTTGCGACGCAGGCGGCAGGTCCAGCAGCTTTCGCCTAATTTCCGACCGGGCGCCATTCTTGCAGCTGTCGGTAGTGACACCACGGGGGTCAGGGGTGGTCGAGGAGTGTACGCGCGCGCGGAGAATGAAGTGAGGAGAATCAATGTGTTTGAGGCCCACGTGGAGGTCGTGAGAGAACTTGTGCAGGCATCAGTCGGGAGTTGAGCTGACACGGGATGAGCAATTCCAAGCTTATGCGCCCTGGTACCTTAACTCCGAGATAAAACCCGCGCGGTATTTCTCTTTCGGCGCGCGGGAAATGGCGGGAATATTGAAAGGACGGGGAATGTATGTAAGCACGCTTTTATTAGTGGACCGCATTCGGTCAGCATGCAATGGGTACGGAGTACGAGTAAACAGAGGGAGATGCATATCTACATATGTAGGTCGGTATGGACGCAGAACTTTAGAACAGCCAGACCAACAGAATAACAGAATAACAGAGCAAAACTTCCCACCAGCCCCAGCCAGTCTTTGGTGACCGTGACACTCTCTATTCAAATTATCACAATGGCCGTTCCCAAGAAAACAGTCCTCATCACCGGCTGCTCAGAGGGTGGCATGGGTGCCGCCCTCGCAGAAGCATTCCACCAAGCCGGCTACCACGTGTACGCAACTGCTCGAGATCTCTCCAAGATGGCGGGTCTGTCCAAGCAGGGCATCGAGACTCTCCCGCTCGACATCATGTCCCAACAGTCTATTACGGCGTGTGTCGCCCGGGTCCCCAGCCTCGACGTCCTCGTCAACAACGCCGGCCTCAGCTACAGCATGCCCATGTCGGACGTCGACATCGACGAGGCCAGGAAGATCTTCGACCTGAACGTCTTCGCGCAGATCGCCGTGACCCAGGCCTTCCTCCCGCTGCTGCTCCAGTCCAAGGGCATGCTCGTCAACCAGACCTCGGTCGTCGGCTGCGTCGTCGGCCCCTTCCAGGCCATCTACAACGCGTCCAAGGCCGCCATGTCCATGATCTCGGACTGCCAGCGCCTGGAGCTCGAGCCATTTGGCGTCAAGGTCATCGACCTCAAGACGGGCGCCATCAAGACCAACCTGAGCAAGAACCAGGCACAGCTCACCACCATGAAGATCCCCAAGGGCTCCATCTACGAGCCCGCGAGGGACGCGGTCGAGTCTGCCATGCGCCACGACAGCATGGCTGATGTGGGTACGCCGGCAGACCAGTGGGCCAAGGAGGTCGTTGGCGACCTGACCAAGAAGAACCCTCCTCTCATCGTCTGGCGAGGCGCGAACGCGCGCATGGGGCGCATCGGGACTATCATGCCCCACGGAGCCCTGGATTCCACTATCAAGAAGATGACGGGTCTTGATGTGGTTGCGCAAAAGGTCAAAGTGTAATGGAAGGTGGCTTGAGGTTACTTAGTCGTCCCTGTGGTCGGGATCTTGCGTATTATGGCTGTGGAGTAGCCGGTGCCGTGTAGTGGCAGAAATTCGTTCTTTTAGATTTGTTCTTTTTTGGAGTCAAAGATATCCGCGTCACATTCTTAGTTGTGCAATACACATCGGAAATACCATTTATTTGCAAAATTCATTGCTCTTTGATATCAGTCAATCACTACAAATATTAGTCTAGATGGGCTTGTTTGGTAAGTACTAACTAGTAGTCGCGAGAACTCGATCCTCATTGACAGGACACCAAGTCTCAAAATGAAGGGCTGCTTACTGTTCGAACAAGAATATGATCGTGAGACTGTTTCTGATATGGTCAAAGGCCTCGTGACGATCGCTGCAGCTGTCTTTAGGAAATTTGACATGTGTCATATTTTCAGAAGACCGGCGCTTCGACAAGACACTCGGGGAAGTTTGGGATGATACAATTCAATTCTATAATTGATTGGCACTAACCCGGCACCTATGCGCCGACTTTCTCGTCCCTCTCAATCTCCTCCTTGCTCGGAGACCACGTCTCCTGCAACGCCCTGTCCAGGCTCAAGCTGATCTCCTCCTTGGGCCACCACTCACCCCAGCTCGTCAAGAAGATCCGCTCCGGGTCTTCCGGGAAATCATCCTTCGTCAAGGCGGCCAAGATGCTCTGCGCACCCTCCTGGATGCTCTTGGCGCCTGGCATCGTCGGCAGTGGCACAGGGTCGCCGGGCTTCGCGTAGCGGGGCAGTCCGGTGCCCGGGATCAAGCCCGGAGACACGGCCACGACCCTGCACGTCCCTTGGAGCTCACGACGCCACCAGTGTGCGCCGAGGAGCTGGATGAACTTGGTCATCGGGTAGAGCTGCAAGTGGTACGTTTCAGCTTTGGCTTTGACGCTGTCTTCAAGCCCAGCTGCAACAAAGATAACGAGCATGATCAGTATTTTTCATATAATCAGTGTCAGGATACATGTTCTGTACTTACCTGTGTCCTTGACCATTTTGATAGCGCCTGAGGACACCACAACTATGCGGGTTCGCGCTTCCTCGAGCTTCGGCCGCAGTAAATGCGTCAAGTAGTGCTGAGCTATAAAAAAAAATTCAAAATTAAGACCAGTGTTAAGGACCAAGGCTCCAGATGGCAGTACTGACAGAGATGGTTGACAATATATGAGTGGCTCCACTGAGAATCATTTGGGCCGGGACTGCCATCAGCACTGCGAGCAATGGCGGCATTCAGCAGCAGGTAATCCAGGGGCTCTTGTCCGAGCTTCTTCAGCGTCTGATGAGCGAACGACTTGACCGTTTGTAGATCGGTCAATTCCAGCGGCAGAATGGTCAAGCTGTGCCTGCTGTTGTCGTATTGCAGCTTGTCATAAGCGGCCTGTGCAGTCTCGACGTCCCGCGCGCCGAGGATGAGCTTGTATGCCTGAGTCTGCCCAAGCAGTTGCTTCACAGCCTCGAAGCCCTGCACGACGTTGTATCAAGTTAGCGAGGTTGGGAATCGACAGAATGGCAGAGGGTCGTTTTACCAAGCCAGAGGTGCAACCAGTCGCCACGATTGTTTTCATTACGGCGGTCATTGTGTGAGGGTCATATGCTTCAATGGGATGTGCGGACTTGAGGAATCCTTGCATCGGACAAACAAAGTAATGACTAAGTACTGATATATGTACCTCGACGTGTACAAGCTGAAAGTGTCTTTCGGTGTCTCACTTCGGACATAAGACTCGGCCAATGTCCGATTTAGCCGGCTGCAGAAGGAATGGGTTATACCGGCTTTAGGCCTAGCGCCCTCTGACATACATATGCCCAACTCCTTCGGAGGCCTAGGTAAGTGCCTAGGGTCTTTCCGAGGTCGGGCTATCTTGCGTTGCCGAACTAGAATTGCATAGAATAAAATCGAGGACTTTTTGGTACAACTTGCGTTTTCGTGACCAGGCTTGATACAGTTCATTGATATCTTGATTCCAACGTCTCGAAGCAACGCGGACCGCGCACAATGCAACGTCGCAACAATGCCACATGTGCTAGATGTGATAATACTATGCGACTTTGGAAATGGGAGTAGCAATCGGAATTCGGCTATGCATGAAGAAGTGGGCGAAGCCCGCCCTAATTTCAAGGTCTCAGTTCCCGTGGGCGTGATATGATCTAGGGATGTTGGCATTTACACAGATACGCATGCCAAGCCTCTTCTCGCCTTGACGAGAGCGTTAGGCAGCCTAAGAGTACGTTCAGATTGTCACGGGTAAAGAGCTAAGCGTAAATAAATTTTATATATGAAAGATTGCCTTCATACTCTGCTAATCTTATCAAAGGAATGAAGCATCGATCTTTTATGAAGCCGCTCGCACATTGGATTCATTCGATCCAATGAATCAAGGTCTATCTTAATTCGGGTTCCTCCTCAGCGCCATGCCCCCCAGAATTGCTCCGGCCAGTGGAAATAATGACCTCGCAACATGCAACAGACTCCATTTTGTCACAATTTCCTGCGCCTCAGCTAGACCCCCCGCGGGAAGCACCCCGGCTTTCGCCTGCGCTTCCAAAGCGAACAGCTTGTTATTGGTGGGCACCATGACAACCCAGGTGAACGGTACCATCAAGACGGTGACTATACCGGAAAGGAGCTGTGACCGCCACCGCGAGTTACCAGCACTCCTCTTCCGCTGGGCCGTATACAGATAGAGAAGGAGTGTTGAGACGGACAAGGCCGGAAGTCCAAGGTGGCCGTAGTGGTACGTACGAGCCCATTGGATGTACAGCTGGCTCGCCGTCTGGGTCGTGTCCAGGAAGACGGGCACCGCCACCAGAGACAACGCCATCATGGCACCTGTTGATTTGTTACCTTGATCATCTTCTCATGTATCTTCTGTGAATGGATTGCCGAGGTCAGTGCTTACCGGATAGGAAGGAACCTGTAACCAATGCCGCGGTCTGGTAACCAGCAACCGACTTTGCCGGGTCCTCCAGTCCATCCACAACGACGCCGCCGTCAATGAACTGTGTGATCTCGCCAATAGTCATCCTGCCGCATAGGACGAGTCCTCGTTAGCCCGAGTACTTCCCCTGTGAAAATGACTTGGTGGACACCATGCTCACATGCTCCTTTTCGTATCTGCGAATTTCTCATGGTCACCCATCAATCGCCGCTTGTACTCCGGATCCTGTTTGAAGCGCTTATAGTCCTCTAAAGACTTGAAAACCACTTGACTGAAGCAGTCAAAATCGGCCGTCTTCGCCATCTGCGGGTCATAAAGCTGGCTCATCATGGCGCGCGTCGCCGACTTGTTGTGGATCTTTTCGCGGATGGATTAACAATCAGCACAGTTAAAAGCCACTAAGATGTTGTGGAATCATTGATCACTTACCTGCGTCCATCTTACGATGCCGTACTTGACCATCAAATCTTTGGTCATGGGCGCCGAGACTTGGGTCATATGATGCTGGTAGTCGTCCTCATGCATCCCAGCTTTTTTGTAGCCCAATATGGTGAGGCAGAGGAACTTGCCCTCGCCTTCATTGCTTCCCACTGAAACCCCAAGTGCTGTAGTTTTCGACATGATGTTGTTCTCTGTTCAGTCAGAAACACCCGAAATTCCGCTGCCACTAGGTATTCGTATTCTGCTTGAACTTTGGACTGGTTTTAGTAAAAAGTCCGATTAAAATGGGAATGTGGATGCCCCTAGGCTAGTTATGCTGACAACCGGATCCCGATGCGGCCTTCGAGACCCGATGAATAGGTCCCCGATGCACCTCAGGTGTTCCTTCCGAAGCATTCGGACACCGCCAGACCAGCCAATCCCAGCTCTGAACGTACGCCCGCGCATAACCTAAATTCAGTACTAACCGCTGCCAACGATATGTACCTACTAACAATTTAGTAGAAGAAGACGTGACAAGTCGGGTCGGCCGACCTTAGCTGCGCCGTACCCACTTCTGCTGACAGATTGTACTTACCTAGGTACTTAAGTACTTAAGTAGGTAAGTATCAAGTCAGAGCCTCCGAGACACGAAACCCCTCGACACCCTACAGCTTAATCCTTCGGAAGCTGGATATACTATGTATGCTTATTATTAATCCGTACCACCGCGAGTGTCGCGTGCATGATGCCTGCAGTGCCGAGTCGACAGACTGGGAGATTTTCTAGGTACTTGATTTGTTTCAGTAGTCGATGGGGGGGGGGGGGGTTATTATCCTCTTGGTCTGCCCATTGTTGGTGGAAATCGATCAGGGTCACAATTTAATAGCCACTAGCCCCGGCTTTAGTGGAGCTGGCATGTATCATGTGCTTAAATTCATTACTTTCATCACCCTATAATACAAATAACAGCGCGCTCTGACAAAAGTGATGTCGTTCCCTCCGCATTCATAGCCTCCAAAATGTCTCCTCAAACGACGATCAGTATCAAAGAAAGCGAAACTCCTGACTCCAATAACCCCAAAACTTTGATGGCTCCCGCGGCAGACCCGAATTACGACCACCTGTCTCGTCTTGAAAATGATCCGAACCGCCCTAGTGCTCCTCGCCATACCTCATCTCGCATTCTCGTAGTGGCGTTGAAATGCCTGCGCCTCATTTAGAAACGAGGCGACTTGCTCCTCTACATCCCGGACCCAGCGTCTCATGTCACCTGTCAGGTCTGCTCGCTCACGGCCGGCGTTGAAAGTGGTCATGAATTGTCGTGCAGCTTGAGCATCAGCGCGGCGCCGTCCCTCCCTATCACGCGTGGTAATTTCGCACCTCGTGATGAACATTTGTATTCTGTCGTAGAAGTTGTTTCCCTCCCGGAGAAACCCCGTGAATACATTCAGAAGCTCGCTCCACTCATCTGACCGATCGTGACGGAGACACAAATCTGCGCCGGTCCAGCTATCAGCAAAGACCTTTTTTAGATCTTTGAGCTGGCGCGTGAATGCCTCAACGTAGATCAACTCAGCAGCATCGGCTGGGTATGATTGGTCAGCGTAGGCTTGAAGTGTGCGCCTGAGATCATTCACGCTCTGGCTCTCCCCTAGGTGCTCGAACGGCATCATTCTTTCGGTATCGACATCCCGGAAATAACCGAATCTTCGACCCCGTGCTATTGCGCGCTGGAACTCGGCGTTGTACTCTGCAATGCGTCTTGCCTGTCGCTGGGCTCGGACATTTCGTCGCTCATACTCATCTGCGTAGTGGTATTGCACTTGGGCACCAGCCCTAGAACTCTCGTATTCTAGGTATTCTCTGGTCCCAGCGTGTCCTGCCCGTTGATCGTTCGACATGCTCAGAGTTGTTGCTCTGTAAATTGATCTTTTGGAAGGGTTTGACTTGAGATGACCGTGATTGCTGTGACAACTGCTGGAGAGCAAGACGATACTCATTTGGTTTCCGGAAAATGGTGTTGGCGGATGAAGGGTGTCGCAATTTATACTGCAGTGTCGGAGCTGATCCGTCACACGCGACTGCTATGTGGTATTTTGAGTCCATCTTGTATTGCTACAAGACCGCTTGAAGCTGTGACTGGGCGCCTGCGATGACCAGCATACTCTTGTGAGGTCTCCTGTAAACTGCTCTTTTGCACCCGGTACATGATGACTTGGGTCAATACGGTCCAAAAAACGGTTGTCAATCTGTATTTGATGGATGCTCGCTGCACTCAGTTGCTTTCTCGATGTTCTAAATTTTGTAAGGACGCCAGGGGACCGTGAGCCGATCGGAATCTGGTTTCGGTGCAGCGACCTTTGCAGTGATGGCCGGTCAGTGTGATGATTCCTGGTTGACAAGTGCTGTCACTGGCCGACCATATCAAGAGACTGTAGGGTTACACGTGTGTGTCAACAGAGCAGCCCTATCACTTAACCCTGCACCTCTGCCCATGTGGGCGGACAGATGCTAAGGCTTACTACAGGACTTGATGGGTATACATGTGTAGGGAAGCAACGGAATCATGTGATGGAGAGTGCGCAGGATAATCGGGTAGATGTTCTGTGTACTTGAGTACTTAGATACTCGGGTCCCCTGGCCAAATTATCATCCACTGCCTGCTCATTTAGGTCAAAAGAAAAGATTGATGTCAAGCTATACACCTTACGGATTTGGATATGGGCCAGCAACGTGAAAAATAAAAGGAAAAGGTTCAATTGAGTGGCTGCTCAATTGGAGACTTGGATGATTTCATGATCTGGGCAGGTGTTCGTTGACTTGTCACAGGCACCTGGAGTCTTTGTTTCTCCTTGTGACTCGTGTATGTATGGCCATCTTGACGTTGTGACTTACAACCTTCAGACTGCATTTAGTCCACGAGCCTGAGATACACCCCTCTCTGCAGAATTACGCCCTTTGTGGTGACCAATGTCATGTGGTGACCAATGTCATGAACTGTTCGATGTGCTGGGCGAGCCTCACGATCTCTCGGGTGAATTGCAGATCGTGTACATCCTCAGAAAGTTGTAGGGACTTAGGTCGCTTCCAGGACTCGCTACGCAAGGACTTACTACACGGTTCGTTCCATCGTAGCTTAAGTCCCACTCCTTCCATACTGGCACTCAGCCGCGCAGTCTACCTAACAAGCCGCCAGAAACGCTCAGGATATTCTCCGGTACCATTCTTCTCACCATCTAAAGCGCAGTCCACTATATGAAGGCGCCACATACATTTTATATGTATGGGAATTAAAAACGAAATTACCTTTAAAAACGAAATTACCTACAGCGCAGTCCTCCGGATTAAGCTGCACGACGACCGGCAAACCAGGTCGCATTATGCCGCCACGCCGTCAAAGACGACTCGCAGCGACGTCAGGGAGAATTCCGCGGCCGTGGCTATGATCAGCTCTGGCGCGGCGTCTCGCTTCTTCTCGCCCGTCGACATAGTCCTCAAATCACCTGTCTATGAGCCCAGAAGACGTCCGTTGTCTTCTGGCCTTTGAGGTTATCTCCTGACCCTTGTCACCAAGAGTGCAACCTGGGCGACGAGCATGCTTACAAGGATGTTAACTGATTTCGCTTCTATTGCGTATACATCCGAGGACATACATGGAGTCTTCATACGGTGGTAAGCGCTCAAGACCCAGCGTTTGAAAAGGACACGGTGTTGATAACTATAGTTATAATACCATAGGTGCTTCTGGCCTCAGTCTTGCGACGCACTTTAATATAGTTGTAAAAGTTGAAACATGGTGAGGATTTGGGATCCTATACATATTTGTGTAGGATTAGGTGTTTTATACAAGGGGAGGAACCATCCGTGAGTTGCGACGCCGCCAATTGAGAACTGGCGAATGGTCACGCGAAGATCCTGAAGCGACAAGCCACAATCAAGTTGAGCCTAGCGGTCATGCAAGTCAGATCACTTCAGCTCAAGCTGAGCCCCGCTCTGAAGATAGAGAGATTCTCAGGCAGCCTGATTCAACCCTCCCGTCGTTTGGCATCTGGAATGACTTTTCCCATTCTTCTCTCTTAAGGCTGTCTTTTGAATACCGCACCCGAGCTACAGATTCCACTAATACTTCGCCGCCGATTCGCAAGCCAAGAATCCGCAGACGACCGATTTGTCAAAATACTCGTCGTGCAAGGTCAACCTCAGGAACAGTAGCGGAAGAAACGCGGAAAAGGAACAAACCATCGAAAATGGCCACCAACAGCCCGGAGGATCGTGAGGAAGCGTCCTCTACTCTCCCTCGTCTTCGTAATGAGCCATTAAGATTTGACGAGGATCGAGTCTATCGCACGACACCGCCTGACTCTCCAAAGATACACGCCTCGCCACAATTTTTCAAGTGTTGGCAGGAGGGTGTCGAAAGTTCAGAAGTTGAGGACTTCGTCCATGGTAAGCCAGCTTATGTCCAGAATCAGTGGCGCAGAAACTTATATCCTTTCAGAACCACAGCCATTATCGCGTCTGCGATCACGGTTTTTCAGATCCGTAGATGCAGAATGCGGAGCCTGGACGTCCCCTTCTGGTCCCAAATGTCCTGCATCATTCGGTGACCATGGGACCACAGCCACCGCTGGGGCGTTTGGACAGCTCGTACAATTCAGTACCCATCTCGGTGCTGGAAATTCTGGCATGTTTTCTGCAGGCCATAGCTATACCAGGTGGCCCTACTCGATTACCGGCAGAGCAGAAGACCTTCTCTTCCTTGCATCGGAGTCTTTTGAAAACGCCCAGAGGGAGTTATACGGCAATGTCTTCGGGCTCAAATTCCTGAACTTGATGCCAACACGGGCAGGCTATCCTCCACCGAGGCTGAAATGGTTCAGGTACCGGTGGCCACGATATGTGTACAGAAGATTAAATCCCAACGGGACAGGAAATGTCCAGTTGACGATACAATTCATTATCCGCGACAACACTGTGTTGCAACAATGCATCCTGGAGAACCAAGGGCCGGCCGTTACTCTTGGACTGGCGTTTTCCAAAGGAATGCGCATATCCGATCTAGACCACGTGACGGACGACTATGAATTCAACAAGGCGGTTCCGAATCGACAGAACGCAGGTCCAGGCCCGGGGGGATTCGGCTGGGTTCAAGTGAATCGTTTCTTGGAAGAATCGTCGGACACTCAAACCGAGTCTCAACACCCAAGCCACGAGGAAATTTCAGACAGCAATAGTTCCAATAGCAACAATGGTGAAACCGATTTCGGGGTTGTAGTCGTCACTTCCATGGCTGTGAATGGGAGGATGATGAGATTCTGCCCGGGAGAGTCCCCACACATCTGGCATGAAGTACTCAGGGCCAGATCCAAGTTGGAGATAGTCACAGCATACAAATTAGTCCGACTCGAGAGTCCTTCATACGACTGGAAAACGTTCGTCATTCCATTCAGAGGGATGAATGTGAACCGTTTCTTATGGGAAGCAGATGCAGTACTCATGTTCCGCAAACCTATTACCAGAATCAATCGGAAAGACGGTCTACATTCAGAGCATCATAAGCGGGGCTCCGAATCGCTGCAACGGGAGCAAAGAAAAAACAGTGTGGACACAGTGAATGCCTCACAAGACCGGATAGCTACTGCTGAGAGCCAGCCGCAGACCAATCTCTTCGTGTCACGAGCTGTTGGCTATGGCTCAACGCTGAAAAGGACCTCGCCAACCATGGACCGCATCGAGTTCACAGTTCGGCGAAATTTGCAGCACATTCTGGACGTCTGCGCCATACCAGTCGCAGTAAGCTTATCTCGAACAGATCCTGGGGACTTGATCTGGCAGAACCTACGTGGTGTGCAGGCTGTAGCTCTAAGTTGCGGAGATTTGTCAGGTCATCGGATATGCACTACGTCCAGCTTGTAGTTATTACCCCTGCCATTTATGCCTTGTCACTTTGTAACTACATGAAATACTGACAGAAGTATCACAGCTTTGCGTTTCAATTCCTCACAGAAGTAGCCAAGCGCTTAAACTCTCTTCCTCAGCGTGATAGGGATGACATTGAAGTCCGGGCCCTTCTGTCTCGAATCAAAGACGTTTGTTTGGGTCATATCAAATGGCTGTATGCTACAGAGAAGAATGATGAGCAACCTGGATTTGGATCGGTCTACTGGGTGAGCGGTGAGGCAGCAATATTGTCAGAATCAAGTGACTCCTGGGCCCCAGATGACCATGTTCGGGATACAGCACTCCACATACTCCAGGCCACGGAATTTGCAAACACTTTTGCTGAAGTCAAGGACGGCGAACCAGGGATAGTCAGCCAACTGATTCGCCGCTGGGGACGCGTGTGGGTGCGATGGCTTGTAAGAGAAGACAGGCGGGAAAGCCTTGCGTGGTGTCACAAGGAGGATCAAGACCTCCAAGTCTTTAGGCTGGATGATCATGTCTGGATTTGGAGGGCTTTGAAGGCAGTCGAAGACGAGAAATATGGGACATGGGCAATGTCGGATGACGAGATGCAGCAGAGAGACAGACGACCATCAGCAGACCCAGCAGCATTTCCAGTTGAGGCCCACAGGAAGTTACGAACCAGTCAAAAACTTTCATCTTGGATGATTCAAAGGGAAGCACTACTAAAGTTCACAACGAATCATGAGATCATGCGGAAGAAGATGGTCGCTCTCACGAGGTCGCCCCGAGAAACACGATTCTTGTTTCACGCCCGCGATACCGCACTCTTCTACGGCGAGGACATGGGATTCTTTCCTGAGGATGGGGCAGGTCAACAGGCTTGGAAAAAAACCATTGATGCCCAGCGACTCCATGAACGCAACCAGGAGGCTCGGTGGGACAATGCTCTTCGATACGCCTTATCAATCATGCTTGGCACAAGAGGACATCAGATTAACGATAGAAAGCCAGGACACATGGTGCGAGTAGCCACCGAAGTACTGCTTCGAAGCAGCAGTGAGAACGGGCTATTTCCTGGAAAGCTCGACATCGTGGCGAAGAGCCCGCTGGATGGTGTTTTCCGCCGGGAAGAGGATGCTCACTCTTGTTACGATGCCAGTTTCGAAATCCCTTACATTTTCCTCACTCATTTTGACGCGATAGAGGCTGAGATTTTGTCCAAGTCGTTCTATCCTGGTCCGGCAAAGGAAGATTTATCAGTGAATGCGAGTTTCAGCGTCGGCCCAACTCTTCCAAGTCCCACCTCACTTGAAACGGTGGCAGCATACCAGGCCAGGAACCCGCAGGCTCAGGGGAACCAAAAGGAAGATGACGACTTACGGGAAATAGTCAAAACTCTAGCGGAAGTTGTGAACACACTCCCCTTACTCGCAAAATCCACTCCACCAAGTAATTTCAGAAGACCGGACGAACTTTCGGGGGATGCTCGGCCTGTACTCAAGAAGTCCATGCCTCTCAGCAACATTATCGAATCACACAATGTTGTCGAGATAGAAGATGAGTGGCTCTTTAACTATCCGGACTTTTTTGGCTCTGAAAAGGACGACCATATCTCTATTGACGACACCTTGGACTCGGTGGATGATTTGGATGCAAGATGGCTCCGAATTATCGATGTCGTGGAAATGAGGCGGAAGTATTCTCCATACGACAGCGAGGACGACAGAGAAGATTACGAGAGCACAGTTCCCAGTCAAGGTACCTCTTCTGCCTCCTCTTACTCCAACGCACCAAGTTCCAGCCAAACCTCGGTAGAGGAGGGAGGCCCCGATGACTGTGGACTCCATGTTCTGGATATTGGTAGCCGGAAGCGTCTCCAAAGGAAAGGGCGCAAAGACGTGTTCCACCGGATCGTGGGGTCTTTTGAATACATCTGGTTTGAGATAAGCAGGCCCAGGACTGTGGCCAGAGCGAAGAAGCGTGTGATCGTCTGGGAGCGCTCTGACCCCAAATTGGAGCTGGAAGCAGCGCTGCTATGCTATTCCGCGAGCAAGGGCAAGGAGAAGGCGGACATGCTAGAATTCTTTGAGCGGCATTTCCGGTGTGAGAACTTCATGTTCGACCATTGTAACCTGGCATACAACACCTGGGAGACCGAGGTACACTTGAGCTTCTTCATCCTCGAAGACGCGTCCGGGCCACTCACCGCTGATGCGCCTCTAATCGCGCAGAGGTTTCCAGGGCTTCAAGGTAAGCGCATTTGCCGTGGGTCCATGGGAATGCGCTTCTATGGGGACGCATTTGATCGCTATTGGACGCTTCACATGTTTTCCAACGTGGACCCAGAGGAAACAGATGAGAGAGGAGGCAAGGTTATCTCAGCACTTAACACGGTCAACAAAGACATGCAATCATCTGTTCAAAGAAAGGTCCTTGAACTGCATGTTATCGCTAACATGCTATCCTACGTCGAAGCTTGGACGCAGATGATCCTCGCAGAGGTCAAGTCCGAAATTGGAATCAAATCTGGGGCATTTTCGTGGTCAATTCCCAGCATGGACACATATTCTTCATGGCACAGAAAATGGGAAGGCTTCGCGCCACTTCTACAAGCTCTTGCCGACGACCTCGTCTCGGCCCAGGATATAGTTGGCCAATGGGACGCGCGCGAGGGCGGTCGGGGACAAGAGAGGCCGCGCTGGACTCACAACGACGAGAGGAAGTATCGCGCCGCCATCACGAGGGCTCAGAGGGTGGTTGACTGGCACAAGAAGAAGATCAAAGACGCGCTAAACGATGTCGAGTCGCTACGGGAAGCCTGCACCACCAGGCTGGCGAATGCCCGGGAGGAGCTGGCGTTTCGGAGCAGCCAGAACATCGCCTCGTTCACCTACGTCACCATCGTATTCCTCCCGCTCGGGTTCGCGGCCAGCGTCTTCAGCATGAACGGGTACCCAGACGCTGGCTGGGTGGCCAGCATGACCGTGATCGCCGTCGTCACCCTGGCAATCACGACAATCGCACTGGCCAACGCGAAGATGCTACTCGGCGTGGCCGAGCAGGTTTCAAAGGATGCCCGGAGATTTACGGGGACTGTGTTCCGGTCCAGCCTTATAGGCCAGCAGCAGCAACAGCGCCGACGGGGCGAGCGGGTGTCGGACTCCCCAGAGCCGAATGAGTCCTCGAATGATGACCCGAAGGCCGGCGAGCCTCTGGACGGCCGTACAATACGACATGTCCTGTTCTGGATGGCGTATCTCCTCATTGAGCTCCCGGGAAAAAGAGTCGCACTCGCCTGTCGAGAGCTTCCGGCATCCTTGAAGCAGACTCTAGGCTCGCCACGCCCTGATGATGGACCAGCAGGGACAGGTGGAGTCGGCTCGACTGACGGAGACTCCGAAGTCTTATTGTCAGCTGCTTCGATTTTCCGCAAGAGCATGCGGATCGTGGGGGGTGTATTGCTTCTGCCGCTATTGTTCATCTCTTGGACGATGCAACTCCTCTTTTATAATATTCTTGACATCCTGGTCTTCCTCGGTCATTTAATGAGAAGGACTTTCTATGGTCTGGTCACTTTTGGCGATTCCAATGGACCAGCGACGAACACTAAAGTATTAAAGTGGTTGATAGACCCGCCATCCTCATTAAGACCGATGAGGAATGTCATGAGCAGGGACGAAGTGGGCCAGGACTCCCTGGCCTCTACGCAAAGCGCTACATCAGTGGAATCGGACCAGAGCGATCCTGACCCGCGTGAAGAGGTATAAAGGAGGCATGTCTTCTCGGCAGTTTTATGCCTAATGACGGTTTTTTTTAATCATTACACACGGGACATGTTTTTCGTAAACTCATAGTACAGTCGATTAGTATTTAGTAGTTCTGTAAATATATATAGTGGTAGATGACATGACTCTAATTACTGCTTGTGAGAAGGGCCGCTCGGCCAAAGGATCATATGCATGATTTCAAGTCAAAGACCTGAACATCCAAGCAGCATATAAACACTCACCACATCGTGTGACAGCAGACGGAATGTGGCAAGTTTAATTAGCCTGTGCCTGAATATGAACAGCAAGAAACCAACACAGCTTTCCTGATCACGGCCGCGTATTCTCTCTGTACTGTTATTGGCATTTTGCTTTTTGAAACGCTGATTCTTGAGCACTTGAGCGTCTAATTAACACTATGCGAAGGTGCCAAGCATGTTCAATGTGTATGAGGATTAGAAACGAAACCCCTACAGAAAACGGATCCTCTGCCTCATTTGTATTCAAATCCAGGCACATTCTCATTCGAATTTCTCGGCAGGCTTGTTTTATGGCTTAATTTCCCGAGGGCAGCCCATGCTAACAATCCTGGAGAAAATGTGTGCTCGGGCACCCACAGGATTGCACACTGTTCAAAGCCACAACATCTTGGATCATCTCTTGAATGAGTCTTCGGGGATTTGAAAGTGGAGGGGATGAGATGGCGATAAGAGCTGAGCCAAGGCCTCAACCACCTGAACAAGTGATGTTCGGGGAAGTTACCATCTTGCGAATCAGACTCGATCGGCCTTCAGGCCCAAGACGGACTTGGCCTCACACAGGCTGGCCTATCACCATCCAAGCTTCCTGAAAAGAATTTCTGAGGTCTCAAGCTTGAATTCCAAACTTGTCTTGCGAGTGTCGATGGCGCGACCACCCACTCAGGTACGTACCTAGGTAGGTACGTAGGTACCGCGGTACATCGGTACCTCGGTACCTAGGTACTTAGATACTTGGGTTCTCCCCCCCCCCTCTCGTGGACTGAACTCAGGGTCAGGGTCCAGGATCAGGCCACACCCTGCCACCACATTTTCCAAAGCGGTGCTCTGTCGCGCTTGGCGTGTCGGAACATTTCCCTCTGACGGGCATCGAGTGCCCCATTTCCAGACCACTCTGTCATCCATCCTCCCCCCTGAGACCTGGGCTGAAGACAGGCACAGGGGACGAGCACAGACAGGAGCTGACAGGCCAGACCTGGCAGGCGTGACGGGTAGTGGTTCTCTTCCCCACGCCGCGGGCGGGCACTAAGAAAAACTGGATTCGCCCCAGAAAGTGCTGAAGGCCTGGCGAAGGGACCAGCCTGCCACCAGCCTGCCCCAACGACATCCAAGATGAGATGACCGTGCCACTCATGCCATGCCCCTTGTGCTAAAAGCGTCCGTCGTCAACATGTTGACTGACGTTTTCGACGGCTGCTGGCTGGCGCCTCGTCTAGACCACAAGTACTTCGTACCTAGGCTAGATTACGCCGCCGCCCAGTTCTTACCAACAAACCCAAAAGTCACTTGCTGGTTGATCTCTGCCTTCCTCTCTCTCCTGATCTCACTTGCTCCCTTTCCCTTTCTTTCTCTCTCTTTCAACTCTTGCCCCCTCTCCACACCAACAATTTTCTTGTTTCCTTCAATCATGTGATCGAGTCACTCCACGTGTCATCAGACAAACAGCCAAACAGACTGTCCAGCAAAACCTCGCCCAACCCTTTTGAGAGGTCTTGCCCGTCTGTCTTTGTCGATGCTATCGATCGATCAGCCCGTCAGCTCACTTTTGACCCCATTTCAGCCCTGCTAGGCTCGGCTCACGTCCATTCTGGGGCCCCGCCCGCCCTCGACTCTCCTCGACTTTACCTCGGGGATTTGTCACCCTTTTTCTGATTACTTCTTCTCTTTTCTTTTCTTCTCTTCTTGTGGTCATGAATACGTTTTTTGTCTCTACCTTCCACCACGCCCTCGCCTCTTACGTCGCCCCGTGGACCGCCGCTTTCCTGCCCACTCGGCTGTCGCATCTCTACTACGCGCCCCCTCCCCCTCCCACCTCGTCGCCGTCGTCGTCCGAGTCGTCACCAACAACGTCTCCCTCAATCGAGTCGACAATGTCGCGCGACGTGGTGGAGAATGGCGCCCCCACCACCCCGTCGTCATCATCCCAGGCGCGCCCAGAGTCGCAGTCGCAGTCGCAGTCGCAGTCGCAGTCGCAGTCGCAGGCCGACCGACTCGCGCGGCTGCCCGACAAGCTGATCCTGCTCATCTTCGACATGCTGGCCCACGAGTCGAGGCACGCCATCTGCAACGTCTCCATCCTCAGCCGCAAGTACCACGCCCTGGCCGACCGCATCCTGTACCGCAGCATCCTCTTCGAGTCGCCCGAGCACCACCTCATCTTCAGCGAGTCGCTCGACCGCCGCCCCCGCCGCGGCTCCATGATCGAGAACATCAAGCTCGAGTACCCGGGCTCCGAGCTGTCGCACCTGATCCTCGACAGCGCCCTGGACAAGCAGTCGCCCACCAGCTCAAACACCTTCCGCAAGGGCGTCGACGGCCTCTCGCGCGCCCTGGCCTCCATGTCCAACCTCGAGACCCTCGACATCGCCGTCCCCGAGAAGCTGCTGCACGGCATCGGCGCCCTCTTCAACGGGCCCTTCGACCTCGCCGGCCTCAAGACCTGCTCCCTCTTCTACCAGTGCCCCGACGGCGCCTACTGGGACCTGCGCGAGAACATCCACATCTTCACCCACCCCACCCTCGAGACCCTGACCATCCGCCGCGCCCGCCTCGACGAGCGCGGCTTCGACTTCATGGAGCGGCCCCACAGCACCGCCCTCAAGTCCCTGCGCCTGCTCGAGTGCGACATCAACGACGACTCCCTCGCCGACATCATGGAGTTCCCCGAGGGCCTGCGCGAGTTCTACCTCTACCACACGGCCGAGCCCACCCCCGAGCTCGAGGAGGGCTCCGACGAGGTCTGCGAGCACGTCATGGCCCTGCGCGACCAGGCCGAGACCCTCGAGTCCGTCACCATCGACCACCCCACCCTGGGCGGCCGCAAGGTCCTGCGCCTGCGCGACTTCCAGAGCTGCAGGTACCTGCGCCTCAACCGCGACACCCAGCTCTTCGGCAGGACGGGCCGCAAGCCCCGCATGCACTCGGCGGGCCTCCCGCCGCGCCTCGAGGTCCTCGAGTTCACCGAGCCCCTCGGGTCCGACGACACCGTCACCGAGCTGTTCGCCATGATGCTGCAGAACATCGAGTTCATGGCGCGCGACCTGCGCGCGCTGGTCGTCGTCGCGGGGCCCGAGGGGGTGCCGGAGCAGATCCTCGAGGCGTGCAAGGGGAAGAAGTTCGAGCTGGACATCAGGCCGGTGGAGGAGGCGGGGGAGACAAACGGACACCCGCGGCCGCCGCCGCCGCTGAAGAAGACCGATGACGATAATAGACCTGGATACCCCAAGAAGAAGCGGACGACGCAGGCCCCAGCATGCGATAATAAGATGTTGACCACGGACAGGGTGCGGTGGAACGCGCTCAGCGAGGAGGCGTGGTCCAAGCGGGGCGACACCGAGAGGAAGCCCTTTGACCCGGCCTGAACAGGGGGATTTTTAGAAGCCATAGATGTGGACCCCCGCCGAAGAGAGAAAAGAAGGTTGATGGTGGATAGAGAAAGACAGAAAGAACGAACGTACAGGAATAAATTACGCCGAATACAGTGTAGACAGGATAGAGAACAGGAGGGAAAGAAAAACACCGAAATAGATATTACTACTACTACTACTACAACAATAAACTCATGATACCCACGCCTTGCATGGTTCCCCGAGGGGCAAGGTGTCTCACACTGTGTGTGTGTTCTACGCGAGACTGGGTGACGGGTGGGTGGGTCTGTTCACCTGGGCATGCTTGTTGTCTTTTGGAACTAGACTAGCATGGGGTCCAGCCTGAGAGGCTCCAGATATCACATGTGCTCCAGTTATCACATATTCCTGTCTAGGCTAGCGATGGCGAAATTTCAGGCCCACCGACTATTATAAAAGAAATATAAAATTTTATACCCTTTAGTAAAAGAAATTAAAATTTATATACTTAACTTAATTAGATAATATAAATAGGTACTAACCCTTACTCTATCTTTTTAGATTTATATTAAAGTTAAATAAAAGATTTTTAAGTTTATTTAATTATATTTATTAGTTTTAAGTTTTTATATAATAATAATAAAAAGGAATAAATTAAATATTTAAATTAAAAAAATAACTTTTAAAAATATATTTAAATTTAATTAAAGATAATTAATAATATTTTAAATTTAAATAAAGTTATAATAATATTTTATATTTATATTTTTATTTATATTTATATTTATATTTATATTTATATTTATATTTATATTTATATTTATATTTATATTTATATTTATATTTATATTTATATTTATATTTATATTTATATTTATATTTATATTTATATTTATATTTATATTTATATTTATATTTATATTTATATTTATATTTATATTTATATTTATATTTAATTTTATAAAATATATTAAATTTATAAACTTTAATTATAAAATATAATCATTTATTTAAAAGTTATATTTTAATTAAATTAAAGGATTACTTTTAAGTTATTTTATTTATAAAATAAATAAATAAATATTTATTTAAATAAAATTAAAACTTTTAAAAATAATAATTTTACTTTTATTTATTTTAATTAATTTATTTAAGTTATATAATTATTTTATATAGTTTTACTTTTATTTTATATATATTTAAAAATAAATATAATACTTTATATAATAATAAATATTTAAAATTTAATATTTAAAGAAATATAATATTAATAATAATAGTTATAATAAAATAAATATTTATAGTTTTAATTTTATAATATATAAATAAAGTTAAAGAGTATTATTTTAAAAATAGTATTAATTAAAATAATAAATAAAAGTTATTAATAAATTAATTATTATAAAAAGTTATATAATAAAATTAAATTTTTAAAAATAATTATTATATAAATAAATTATATTAAAAAGTTTAATTAAAAGTTATTTCTTTAAATATATATATATATATATTTACTAATAAAACCTTTATTAAATAAATATTATAACTTTTATTTAAATATATAATTAACTTTAAAAGATTTAAAATAAATAAATAATTTATAATATATTACTTTTAAAGAGAATTTTAAAAGTAATTTATAAAAATAAAAGAAGTTTATAATAAGCTTATCCTCCTTTAAATCTATACTTTTATTATTAATAACTATTACCTTTTTAATAATATAAAAAGATAAAAAATATAAACAAAGTTTAAAGTTCCTTTATAAAAGAATTATAAGGATATATATAAAGTTATTAAAAACTTTATATATAAGCTTTAAATTACGGAAGAAATAAGTAATTATATAATAAAAAAGAAAAATATAATATAGCTAAAGCTATAGTAATTTCATGTAGTATTAAATAATATTAAAGGTAAATACCTAAGTAATTTGTCATTTATAATGGTTTTAATTCTTCTCTTTTTCCTTAGGCAACCCTACTCTTTAAATCCACTCTATTTGGTGCAAACTTCGAGCCCTCGTGCCGTGAAGCCCAAGGGACGTCTCATCCAGCATAGATGGTGGTGGCCTGAAGCCCACGGCCAAGTGAACCATTCTTGAGATCACCCTCCATTGCCCTTTATTCAAGTCCCAAACATCACACAATCTATTCGGCTCGCTCTGCCACATAACCTTCCGCAATGCCCAACGCAAACAACACGGGCCCCGGTTACCCGGAGGGCTATCAGCCCGCGAGTGGACACCTCGCAAACATCATCGACAACAGCGTCGCGACAGGCCTTGACAAGTGGGGTTTCGTGATTCTGCGAGGCGTGTACGACAACGATGACGAGTGGCAGACTTTTCTCAGTCTCTACAAGGCAGCGGTCGCTGACGAGCTCCACGACGCGAAGCTGGAAGACCAGCTCGGCCAGCAGCTCGAATGGACAGTCATCGAGGATCCCGCAATTCTGGATGGTGCGTCCAAGGGTGCTGTGCGGGGTCGATTCCTCACGTGGGTGGAGGAACAGAAACGCGATGGCGAAATAGCCGACAGGCCTTGGGCTGCGGGTTATCTCCCTCGATACAAGTTCTGTCTGTACGTCGACGAGGTCTGCATGAAGAGTATCGTAGCGAGACAACAGGGGGGAAAGTTGGTAGGCTTCCAGTGGTGTTTGGGCAGTACGGGAAGTGTCGTTATCGTCAATGGCTTGCATCAGGATTACACGCTAGATGAAGAGGACGAAGAAGACGCCGACGAAGGGTGGGGGGAGCTCGATGGCACGACTAATTACGACGTGGGCTGGGCGTATATCGACGTCCTTGGCTACGCGGCGCTCTACTCGAACCTGGGTTCCGGCGGATCGCACGATCAGATATGGGATGGTATGGTTTATCGCGGTCGTCGTCCTGAACGAGATCCCAAGCCCGATTATAACTACGGCTGCTCACTGGCTGATGTCGAACGTGGCGTGCCATATGGGCAACGCATTTCAAGGTAAGGCAAAAGAAGCAGGTGTTATATTAATTGGGTTGTTTGCATTCAGACCGTTTCTTTCTCCATTTCCCTTGCATAACTGTTTATAATTTCTTATGCTCCGGCTGCTCAGGGCACGTGCTATTGACTGAAGCGAGCCTAAATAAAAGCGGCATCGGCGCTAGGCCCGATGTGGCCGAAAAAAGCTCCCATGGACATCTATCCCACTATCTATCACATGCACTCAACCTCCATCACTTGCACCACATCAACTTTTCACGAGTCGATCAGACCAAATAGAGCGTCGTGTATCTTGCGGATGTAGTGATATTAGGCTTTACACAGGCTCTTTGCTCTTCTGAACCATCTCCATGTAACGCACTGTTCCTTTGCTCTTCAATCGTCGCACTAATCCAGCAAACATATCTTTCCAGTGTGCTGTGATATGATCCTGTCCTGCTAGTTTCGGGCTGAGCGCGTCTGTCGTTGGTTCCGAGATCAAATAGGGCAGCACAGTGGCTCCCTGGGTACGTGCTTCTACCGTGACCTGGACTTCTCAGACCTTGATACGTGAAGAGGATGTGTGATGTGGACTAGGGTAAGAAGTTCGGTCGTTGTCACAGTGATTCCTTCGAAGTTGCGTGTATGACCTGGAAGCGCCATCTTGAATGGGAAAAAAAGACATATAGAGAATTATCACCTACACCTAGGAGAGACCAATTCCTTGTATGTAAATCAGCGTACGGGTCATGCCTACGACTCGTGAGTGACCATATTGGTCTTGGTATTATTTTGTGATAGCTGATTTCCTGGGCGGGGCACGGACACCGGGTACTTTCCCTAGCGTGGCACGGTAGCTGTTCGCACCAGGATCAAGCAGACCCAGCACTAGACTAATGCCAGGTCCGCCGTAGCAGCATGTCAGTGGAGAGCCTAATCGTCCGACCCCGATCATAGGACTTGAGCTTTGCAGTTCATCTTCGCCGAACAGATTGACGTTGTCCAGCCTCCAACGCGGCTTACCTAACCAGATCTTTGCGGAACATTTAGAGGCTTGAGACATGGACGCAGCTCAACTGTTTGGGGCGGATTTGTATGAGATCAAGGGTTTCGAGAAGGCAAAGAGAGTTGGATCATAGAGTTTGTCGCCGACCAAGCCGTCCTTGTTCTACTTCCAGGTGTCAGTCGACGGCCATATCGGCGTAGCTGAGATTTGTGCCACTCCAGCCAAGGGTGATAATGACGACAATCCTTCTTATAAACCGGCACTCCGACTCAAGGTCTGCTGCACACGAGCAGTTCTAGACCAAATAAAAGGAGAATGCCAGAAAGTCTATGACGATTGTATTCGACCTGTTCAGTGGGTCCTTCGGAGCGATAGGTATGAGATGTTACAGAATACGATGGAGTCTGGCCAAATGTGTTCACAGCTATGACCACTCCTTCTTGGAAGCATTGCCGTTAGCGTGTGCAGATAGAGTGAGGCTAGGCTACTAGGAGCTGTTTATTATTTTTTTTAAAAAAAACTAATGAGTTTATATAAAGGTTTTTAAAAGGATTTACTATCCTTAAAATATTTAAATATAAGAACTAATATATATTCTTTTTAATTTATTATAAATTAATATTTAAGTTTAATAATCAAATTATTTTAATTTAAAAAATATATTTATATTAAAACTTTAATATAATATATAACTTTAAAATTAAAACTATATTAATTATTATAAATATATTAATATTGAAAAAATTAAAAAAGTTATTTAAATAAATTTAATTATAAGTTATTAAGGTTATAAGTTAAACGTTTATAGAATTAACTAATAGGTTTATATACTCTACTTATTTTATTAGCTTAAGTGGCCTCTATACTTCTTATAATATAAGATTGTAGCTTTATTACCTCCTTTATACTATTCCTTAAGTAACTCTAGTTTTAAATTAATAATTCTTTATAGTTCTTTTACTATAAGTTATAAGGATCGTCTTATAAGTCTTATATATAAAAATAAATATTAAATATATAAAAAGAACTACTTATAATAATTTTTAAATATTATTAATTTTAAATTATTTAAAAATAATAGTTTGTTTTAATCCTCTAAGATAGTAATTATTGTTTTCCCTTTCTACCTACTTAAAACTCTAGGAATATTACGGGAATTTATACCTCTATTCTCCGTGGGCATGCATGATTCAGTCGTCCGGCAGCCATAGGTCTTCTCAGATTAAATTCGTCAGCCCGTTTAGCTCATCGGTAGAGCGCATCACTAGTACTTAATAGCGATGATGAGGTGACTGGTTCGATTCCAGTAATGGGCACATGACCTTCTGCTTTCTTTTTCGTCTAATCTTTTACCATCCACCCCCTTTGGCTCTCTTTCTCCCTTTTTAATTTTGGTAAGCTTCGTAAATCTTGAGAATTTACTGGTGTTACTTGGCTGTTTTATGCCGTGTGCAACGCCTCTCTTACGTCACACAACAACTGCATTCCTACGTTTGATGGGGCTCGCAGCTCGACGGCACATGTGACCTGTGTGAGGCCGATGCCTGTTCCTCTGCTTTTTGTTATTAGGGCTGTATGTTGGCATATTTGAGTAGGTACTCTCAACCGAAATTTTGCCAACCGACCAGGGATCTGCAAGAGGAGTGAGCCAACTGTTTATAATCCTACGCAACAGTCTAACCTCTGCCGACCATCATGCAGCCTTTCCACCAAATCAATAGCTGGTGTTCAGCACCCTCTCAGAGCTCCCATATACAGGCCGAGGGATCTCGAGGAGGTCATCTAGCTCGTACTCTTCCAGCGAATCAAAAGACGACAAGGTGAGGTGGCTGGGTCGTCGCGCGGTCGCCGTAAAGTCATGTCTTCTGTCGTGCATAGCAGTCCCGCCCAGTTTCTGATGTCCGCCAAAAGCTGGTTTCTTCTTTTTCGCACCAAGACAGCAGTAAACTGATTTTAGACACTGCAAGCTGGCTAGCGGCCGAAGGACGGGTAGGCAGGCACAGATGACGGCTAGATTGGGCTCCAGCACCGTCCAAAGGACTGGTTGGTATATATCCACTGCCCCAAATGGTTCTTTTTTAGTGGACAATTGTCATTTTGAAACGCCGTGAAAGATACAGGACACTCACATGTGACATCCATTGCGCTTCCCAATGTAGTAAGATGAGTTTGGTAATACAAACGGACCCCACTTGCCGCGGTGACCAGGCCGCCGAGCATGAACACAAGTATAAGAGCGAAGCGTTGTTTCCATGTGATACGAAGATGCTTGATCTCGTAGATCGGTAAGAGGAGGATCAGGATATCCACCACAATGTTGGGGATAATGACCTCTAGGCTGGCAATGATATCCACAAAAGACACGGCATCCTGAATACAGCGCCCTGCAAGACTTGGTTCCCGGGATCTCGCGATGGGGTCACATTGGAAGGCTGATGCAAATAGAACAATGACCCACCACATAGCGGACATGGTAGCCAGGGAAATACACCCGATCTTCATAAAACGGGTCGGGAATATGCGCCAGTACAGAGCCAAGATACTCAACTTGGTTGTTGATATACATGACGCATATATGAATTCTCCAGCGAATAAGATCTGTGGTGGCCTTGGTTAGAGAACGACAAAGCCTAGGTTGAGGTAATTACGAACCTTGCCAACTATGAGTGGGCGACGAGGATCAATAACAACATTGACAGCCATTGGCCTTCCGAGGCCGCCCATCATTACAATGCAGGCACCAATGGTATATACGGCCCAGCTAAGAACCTATTGTGTGATGAGCAATCGCACCGCACCGTGGATCGGACTATTCGAAAGACATCTGCAGTGAGGCAAACACTGCTCTATCTGACGATTTTGAAAGAATACGACGTTGGTGAACGAAGCAGGGCGCATATTTACCAGAGAGACAAAGATGAGCCAGTCATCTAGCCCGATTCCAGCACCCCTATGCTGCCGCATCTTGAAGCGCAGAACGACACACAGGGTAACAAGGACTGAAATTGGTGTGATCGTTCTGAGGAAACGCGGCCCCTCGTTCAATTTCCACTCCAGCTCGGTGATAATCGTGTTCTCGGCCATGGCGGCTTGCACAAATGTGAGGACAACTTAAGGCTAATACCTTAGTTGCTGTGGACAGAGGGATTCTGTTTGACGACGTGAAATCAAAGAAACGATTAGAGTCTGACCTACTGGTTATACTCCCTTATAAATGTGTGAGTCCAGGGCAATGCTGCGGTTTCTAAGTTAGAAGACTACAATTGTATCACGTCGCTCGTCCCGACAAACTTTGCGCATCCAAGAACTGTCTTAAACTAATACCTGTAAGGCGGAGTTTTGTGTCACTAGATGTGTGAACAGACGCCATCGTGAGAACCCATGACCATTGGCCAGCAGAAGTGTTCAGCCCTACCAAGAAAGCAATGAGCTGAAAAGAGATGCTAGCCAGCATCGCCGCCGTGTGTCACATAGAGCTGCCACTCTTTCTGGCGCACCATGATACATGCTTCAACTTGCGCTACAGAAAGAAGGTGTCCACTTGCAACAGGGTTTATAAATCGATCTCTCGCGGAAACACCTTATCAAAGGGTCTTTTCTCTTCCACTCCACGCACGCCTGATGTACCAGAAGATCGTGAGGCCGGACTGTCACCTGGAGTAACGTTGAACGAAAAAAGAGCTCAGTTAATGGCATGTGAATATGCACGGGTTGGAATGGCGCCGCCATCAAACGTCCTCGGTACCCGTGGTCACACTGTCCTTACTAAGTCTCCTCGGGTACTTGCGTCCAGCCGTCCGAAGGCTGTGATAAAAATGGCACGAGGTCCGACGAGCAACCTCCACGGATTGGTTGACGATGTTGCCATGGCTTGCTTGGCTTCGATTGACATATCAGTCAGACATTCATTCGGATCGATTGCTACAGGCCTTGACCTTGAAGTCACTGGCAAGCCCCAACAGGACTGTTCAGCTGCTTGTCTTGTTGTTCATGGTTTCGGCTCCGTGGAATCCCAATTTCTCGGGGTCCTTGGTGTTGTAGCCACCAATGTGAAGCACAGGGACCTCTATTCCCTTCTAGTTCTCTCGTAATACACCCGTCCTACAAGAGGGTCTACCGTCTAATTCTTGAAAGCTTCCCAGTCAGATGTCTCCCCGCCCGTCTTCTTCACACATCGAAAAGAAACTAGGCCCTGGCGTCCAATACTGTCAAGACCACACTCGACTGAACCAGGTCCGCATCCTTGTTGTCGCATCTCCCACTGATTGCCTCTGTCCCTCCAACAAGATGAAGTCGTGCGCCTCTTTCTCGGCAACCTCCAGCTTCACCTCCACATCAGGATTCCTAGCCCGAATGCTCTCAGCAATCTCGATCCCCTGATCCCTCAGAATCTCATGCTTCCCACACGTCACATACACCTTCCTGACAATGCTGCCCATCCCGTCCAGCCACTTCTCATCCACATCCGCCATGAGCGCCCACCCCCTCCCCTCCCGGAACTCCTTGGTCTCGACAAGCCCACCCCACCTGGGGAACAGCACACCCATCAGGCCCGCCGGCCTCTCATGGAACATCTCCCGGCTGGGGCCGTCAAAGATGCCCTCGCTGAGCATATCGCACGGCCGCCCGTCGACAAACGACCGCGCCCGCACGTTCCGGCTCACGAACGGGCTGACCAGAAACGCGCCCGCCAGCGGCTCGTCCAGCACGACCCGCTCGGCCAGCGGGTACGGGTGCAGCAGGTGGCCGAGCAGCTGGGCGGCCAGGTTGCCGCCCGCCGAGTCGCCGCCCACCACGAGCTGCGAGGGCCGGACCCCGGCCCGCAGGAGGTGCGCGAGCCCCGACGCCGCCTGGCACAGCTGGGTCGGGAACCGGGCCTGCGGCGCCAGGGTGTACTGCAGCACGGCGACGGCGACCTTGTCGCGGCTGCTGGTGGTGGTGGTGGTGTTGCCAGCCCGCAGCGGCGCGTGCCTGCTGGCCAGGACGTACGCCTGCAGGCACCACTCCATGTGCCCCGGGATCGCGGGCGCGATGTAGCCGCCGCCGTGGAAGAAGTAGACGAACCTGGTGGCCCTGTGCCGGTCGCCGATCCAGAGGATGTGGGACCTGCCGTCGGGGAGGACCTCGATGTCCTCCTTTAGCTGCTCCATGAGTTCAGAGTCGCCCGACTCGCGGGCGTTGGAGCGGCGCCTGCGGATCCAGGCCTTGTATGTGTCCATTGTGGGCGGCGAGAAGAGCTGGATCTGCGCCGGGGAGAAGGTGTATAGGAACATGCGGATCGCGGCACAGGCTATGTATGGCCTCAGTGGTAGCCTGCGCCATATCGCTGTGAGGATGCCGCGGACGAGGTTGATCGTCAGTTGGATCGGCGCTGTGGTTCGTGGCTGTGGTTAGCTGTACGGAGGCCATTGATTGCACGGTCGGTCTGCGGACTCACCCCATATCAGCAGCCGGAATGGCAGGTCAAGCCACTCTTGTACTGAGAGGGATGGCCGGCTGACATATTGTTGTTTTTGAGTATGCCCCTGTGCAATGTTAGCGGCCGAGCAAATGCAGCCATGGCTCCAGAGACTGTGCATTCCTCACCATCGCGAGAGCAAGGGTCAAAGAGGCGGACGAGCTGTGAGGGCAAATTTGCAGTGGAATCAAGAAAATGTAAAGAAGACGAGATGATTTCCTAGAAGCAAACCGCCGGAATGCAGTAGATATCTCGCACTGCACGTTGAAACCACGAAGCTCGATGCGTGGCAGGCAGCTAGCTCTACTGGTGACGCGCATGCGAACTTCGGACGAAGCGATGCCTCGGCTTCATGAGGTCGGCTACTTCGAAACAAGCTTGTCCTCTCCAGGAGCTATCGCCCATTTGGGAAGTCGATGAAACTCGCTTAGGATTTAAGGTTTTCGTCAATTCAAGGATTATACCACGAAAAGTTCCAGCCACGCTTATCATTATTATCATTCATGCCGCGATAGCTATGATGTTAGCTTACACAACGGCCTATGTTGTCTGACTTATGAGCTTCAGTTTTCTGGAACCGTTTCGTGTGGTTGCAAGGTCCGTTCATAGCTAGGTAGACTTCCTACCCTTATTATAGAAGAATGGAATATCTTTGTCGCTTTTACTTGTCAACACCATTTTAAGAACTCGGAAGGCGATACGAGGATTCATCACCGTGTGCGCAATCGGGCATTTCAATTAGAATAAAATTGATCAATCTTGGGTATTCTGAAGGTAGAGTAGCCCAGAAAAAGAAAAGCCCTTTAGCCAGCACTGGGAGTCGTGGGCCATTGCCCTGGCCGCGCTCACACGGCATACTCGTCATGGAGGATCTCGACCTCCAGTCCGCCCCCGTCCCCGTGCTTCCGCGGCACCTCCCGCCAGGCCTCGAGCACCTCATCGTCCGGCACGAACCCGGAGCTGCTGGTCCAGATCACCCCGGCGGCGGGGTTTCTCCCCCCTGGGTTCCGGTGATACCAGAACTTGTGCCAGTGGCCCTGGCGGCCCAGTTGTGCCACGAGCGTCATGTTCCTGAGCAGGGGCATCTCGAGGGCTGACCGTGCCGCAACGAGGTACCGGCGCTGGACCGAGGGACCCGCGACAATGGGCGCCTGATCCGGATCTGCGGCGCTGGGGTCGGGATAGAATAGCCGCTGCCCCGACGGGGAGACGGGCGGGTAGTGGAGGCCGAGGTTCTCCAGCCGCGCCCAGTGAGGGGGAGGTGACATCTCAGGGGGTAGGTTCTGGTGGAGGAAGAGGTCGTCGCTGACGGCGACCTCGTAAATGTCGAGGTATCTTAGTCGCTGGGAGAGCACGCCGAGGGCCAGAGAAAGCTCGTCCACCTTGACCCCTGGTTCCTGGGGCTCTTGTGCAGGCTGGTGGTGGTCTAGCTGGGAATAGGTGCCGACAATGTGGAATTGGTCCATGGCATGTGTGATCTCTGATAGAGCTTCGGTCAAATCTGCACACAAAGGCTTATTAGCAAGATTCTAGGTACTGGGCGACATATGGAATGGTGACATGACAGGAGAGCAATATGATGACAAGATATAAAAAAGAGGGCATATATGGAATCAACAGAGACATTTACAAAGAAGAAAAGATGCTGGGGGTGGCTCTTACCGGACCGCACCTTAGGGTCACCCCTTCCATCCCACCAGTTGATGGATACTTTCTTGGCCCCCGGCAGCCTCGCCAGCAGGGTGCACATGGCGGCGCCTGAAATACGTCGCCCTATAAGCCTATTCCTCTCCATATCAACCTCGGTGATCCCATCCACAGGCCCACAGCGCAGGACGCCGTCAGAATCCTTGAGCTCGAGCGGCGAGTATTCTCGGGGACCGCGCAGCCGTTCGTGCGGCGCATCTCCCTCGTCACGGTAGCCCCTGTCTGTCGGCGCAAACGCGTCGAGGGTGAGCTTCACCGGGGGCCTGAGTGTCCAGCGGCTCAGCGTCGACACGAAAGCCACCAAGGTATCCTGAAGCAACCTGTCGTTCTGGTCCTTCTCCTCGGCCGCCACTCCCCCGGCTGCCGCAGTCTCGTGGCGGGGAAGCACGATGTTGAGGTGAATGGTGCGCACGCACCGTTGCCGCCGGGGGATCCTGTTCAGAATGGCGCCGGCCTCCTTGAGCCGCCCGAGGTCCAGGCGCAGCTCGGCGAAGGTCTCACGCTCGACAAGCTCCTGCCAGGTCCTGTCGACAGTGGCATAACGAGACGCGCCGCCGATTCGACCCCAGCTTCGGAAGGCCCCGAACAAAGAGGGCTGGTTTTGATCGGGAGCATTTGGACCGATCCAACCGTGGGTGAGATAATGGATGATTGCGTCTACGATTTCGATGGGAAACTGACCTCCCGACGGCATAGTTGACAGATTGTAGCGCCAGGGCTTTTTTAGCAGACAAGCAGTCGCGATGAAGGTTGGAGAAGGTATAAACGTAGGTTGTGATTGCGGGTAAGATGAGCTGAGGGCTACGATAATAAATCGGGCCTGTATCAGCATTGGTCTGCACTGAACAACGACTGGTTGGCTGCAGATATCCGCGTTCAAGCCGCATCTAGGTACCTATAGATGTCTCCAGACCCTAGACGTGAGTTCGTTCTTTTCAACTAAATTCAACTTATCCGCGTTCACTCTTCTTCTTTTTTTCTGGGCATATAGGTCGGAAGCCATGCCAGTGGATAAACATAGCACCCTTATAGCAGTAGGGCTTAGTTAGATGTCACTTTAGATGTATTGAAAATGTACTCGAAACTTGCTCGCAGCTCTTAGTAATGTTGTATGCTTTCGTATTCATAATACAAGGAGAAACCCGTATGATAATTGTCCTCGTTGTGTCGTCGGCCTCAATATCACATTAGCCTGTGTCTAGCAGTTAGGCTCGTCGCTGAATCAGATCGGCAGCCTATCTCGTGTCAGCATCATCTAATACTACATATTGAGACTGGAATGCCTTACCTTCTCACCAACAGCGTACGCCAGCGCACTGGTATGCGACCCAGGTACCATGGGCACGATCGAGTTATCCGCCACGCTGAGCGCCCTGGTCCCATGAACCCTCAGGTCCGGGCCAACGACACCGCCCAGCTCCCTGGGCCCGAGCGAGGCGGTGCCGACCTGGTGCGCGACGTCCGGGTTGACGTTGCGCCGCATCCACGCCCGCATCCCGGCGTCGTCAAAGACGGCGGGGCTCGTCTCGCGCGGCTGCAGCGCGGCCACCATGGCCTCGTGGCCCATGTACCAGCGCATGCCCCGCAGCAGCTCGACGTTGAGGTCCTCGTCGACGGGGTTGCTGAAGGCGCGGTAGTCGATGACGGGGTCGGTGTCGAGGCCGTCGTCCCGCGGCGAGATGTGCACCGTGCCGCGGGAGAAGGTGTGCTGCAGGATCGCGCCGCCGCCCGCCGCGCCCGAGAAGAGGTTCTCGAGCCAGGCTGACCGGAGGGAGCGCAGCTGCTGGACCAGGACCTCCTTCTGGACCGCGTAGCCCGCGACGAGGGTCGGGTCCCAGTCGCCGGGGAGGTGCTGGCCGGGGGCCTGTGCCTGGACCTTGGCGACGAACTCCTCCGTCCTGTTCGAGAAGACGGGGAACGGCAGCCACACCCCGCTGTTGACATATGCCGTGTAGGGCCCCTTCTTCCCCGTGTCCCACTCCCTCTGCGCCTCCGCCGCAAACGTGCTGTTGCGCGTGAGGTCGGCCGACGTCGGGAACACGGGCACGCCGAAGCTGTACGCGACGCCGAAGCTCGTGTGGCTCTGGAAGTTGTTGCCCACCCCCGGCAGGGCCACGTTGACCGGGACGCCCGCGGCCCTCAGGACGTTCTCCGGCCCGATGCCGCTGCGCTCCACGATCTGCGGCGTGTGGAACGTGCCCGCCGACACGATGACCTCCTTGCGCGCCCTGGCTTCCGAGACGGCCTTGGAGCTGCCCCGGGGCTTGTAGCGCACCCCGTCGGCGACCCAGGCCCCGTCGCCTTCGGAGAGGCTGCCCGTGACCTGTACCACCCGGTAGGCAGGCAGGAGGTGGAAGTTGTCTCGTCGTGCGGGACCGCTGTCGTAGTGGCCTGTCTTGGAGTAGGACCGTCTCTCGGTTGCTGGATCGATCGAGTTGGGTGCCCAGACGACCCCGTACTTGCTGCCGTCGTTCGCCTCCTTGGGCGAGGCGATTCCTGGGATCTTCTTAAAGGCATTGAACATGCGCTCTACTCATAATTCAGCTCAGAAATCCGTGCCACGTGAGGTGTCACTGTGACTTGCGTTGAATCGGCCATTGGAACGGCCGGTAGCTCGAATGAACAGGAGGCGTGCCGCCCGTCTGGTATGCTGCATCCACGTCGTACGTAATGCCGAACTTCTCCTGCATCTCCAGCGTTGGCGTGTGAAACGTCACACTCTTCCTGAACGCCGGTAGAAAGTTGTCCCAGCCCCACTCGGCAGCGTAGTCCGCCTTGTAGTCGCCGGCGATCAGCACCCAGGAGTCGTAGTCTTCTGCGGAGCCCCGGTCGAGCAACATCCCGTTGATGGTGGAGCTGCCGCCGACTGCGCAGCCCGCCCTGACGGTATGTCTCCGGCCATCTAGATTTACCTGTGGCTCAGTTGTATCGTTGAACCAACGTGTGGCAACCGAGTATTGATCCGGGCGTGCGCCTCGGATATCTGGCGTCGTCAGCGCCGTGATGGAGTCAGAGGAGTCCAGATACCCGTATTCAATGACCAGAACAGTATCTGCGGCTAGGTTAGTTCTCGGTTACCCGGGATAATGAACATGTATACAATTGCCGCTTTCCGTCAAACGATCTGCCACTGTAAGACCTGCAGTGCCACCTCCTGCAATGATATAGTCGTACTCGTCCAGCAGGTCATCCTGCCTCTCGATAATGGTAGCGGACGCAGCATGCGCGGGTAGACCCGCAGCTTTGCTGGCGCCAAGTAGAAGAATCACACTGTAGAACAACATGGTCCGCGTGTTTGACGTTGTCTTCACAGCAGAATTCAGTTACGGTACCAAGTTTTAGACCGTTGCAGTTGCACTGAACCAGCATCCAAGACGAGCATGCCGATCCTGAGCACAAGATGCGGTCGAGATCTCGTTATTATATTAATGAAGAGGATAAAGTCCCGGCAGAATACGATTGACGAAAGTGGAAGTCGATTTTCTATTAGCTATATCGGATGCCTCACAGCTTAGACGCATGTCTGGTGCGAGCAATTCTCTTGACTTTAACCGAGCAGCGCGTTAGCATACTGCTGTACTACTCAATAGTGTGTGGGATGAGATCGTCTCTTGAAGATCAGGTCGGAAGAAATGCCCCTCCTTCACGTTGCATCTCGGGTTCAGTAATGCAACATCTTCTGCCGACATATTGGTTAGAAGATGACCGCCAAGACACTCCCAGAGGACGAGGTACAAGGCGAACTGCCTGTCAAGGAGAAGTATCCTAGGTACTCTTTACTTCAATATACCACGGCCTCTCCAGCCTTACTATAGGGTGATTACACCCAAGACATGTGGCGCAGCTGGTTCCCCACACGCATACTAGCAGCACGAATGGAAGCTGTATGCCGTGAGTATCAAAGCTTGGCTGAGGGTGAGTAAGACGGCAATTGTAATCCTGGGCAACTCGAAGCTTTGAAAACAGACCTGATTTCCTTCCTTTTGAACAAGGAGATAGACCAGGATATTCCAACGTCATCGAGCGAAGTATTTGTGATTCTTGTATCATGGCTCAAATGAGCCCAGAAGACCAGACGGCTGCATATGTGTGCCAGGCGCTCGTCGTTTGTCGCACGTCAAACAGGTCCAACGTCCCACAGCTGACAAACACGACTAGAGTGACCTTTTTCAGCTGATCCTTCGTGGTAAAGGTTCATACTGTTCGAATCACGGTAGACGCCATGAGTTCACGTCAGTGATTGGAGTCGTGTTGAGACAGCGCTGAGTCGCTGAAGCCAGAAGCTTCATCCGGTCGGGCGGGTGAATAATTGAAGACGAGGCTCTCGGAAACATGCAGGACTTTGTCGAAGTTGATAGCAATGGATCTGACCAAGGATCTCAGTTTCATATAGGTGACACAAATCAGACACTATATATTCTCGTAGTAGCAAAATATGCAACCATCATCAATGGGCAAATGTAGATATTACTTCATCCCACACTTATTCTCTAATCCTCTTCCGTGTACTCGGTCATAGCCCGAGTGAATTCGTCTCCCCTCATCCCTGCTAGGACTCGCAAGATCCACAGCTCGGAGACCCTGTACTAGCAACGGGCGCTGAAGATTGCTGGCACTCAGGGAAGCCCAAGTCAGCCTGGAACGCGGCCGTGTTGAACTCGGAGTAGACGGTGTCGATCTGAACGGTGTCAGGGTTGGTGTCAAAGTTGATTATGCCATTTATCTCAAATTGGTCGCTGCCGACTCCCGTGGCCCTCCACCGCCAGCTGATCTTGTCACAGCTGTTGAACACACCCAGGGTCTCCACATTAGGTAGCGGGGGAGTCTGGGCCTGGCTGTCGATGTATGCCTGCTTGCTTGGGTAGGCCGGTTGACCCAGCTTGACAAGAGGAAAGAGCGTCAGTATAGAGTTCAACTTGACTTGGAACACGCGTTGAACTCACCGGTCGCTGAGACAGTGTCAGGATGGAGTCAGATCGCACTTGGAACTTGTCGGACAAGATTTTGTTGGCGGTGCTGTTGAAGTCTGGACCGAGGGGCTTCTCCAAGAGATAAGTATAGCCGTCGACAAGAGTGTTGACAGCTGTCGGAGTTAGGCAATGCCTTGGGGGTCCATATGGGCCAGCGAGGGCACCCGAGACAATGGTCAGGATGAGTGGAACTGAGAAGAGCATGGTGCCAGTGGTCTCCGCTGGACGCTATTCGGATAGTCGATTATTTCTTGTTCAAGATTGGTGCACTGCGAACAACACCCTCCGTCCGACGAATTTGAGCTGGTGGGAGGATGTCTTTGCTTTTTGTAGAACTTTAGAAGCTGCAGTGGGACGTCTTGACCTGGCATCAGGTTGCACGAATTGCGGGTGGCAGCCTGGTTGTATGACATTGTACGTGTTTGCCATTTATATATACCTGATCTTGCTCGCAACAGTGACGCATGAAAATGTTCAATGTAGGATTCACTCCCACCTACTTAGACATAGTCACCTGGCTATCCAGCCACTACCGCAGCCCCCTCGCATCATGATGCTGTGATGCAGTGGCGGGTGAGACCTTGCGTGCTTATTTTCCTGCAAGGACTGCCAGCCGCACGTTTTCCAGCGAGGATGTTCCCGGCTGCCACTCATGACCCTCGCTGTCAACAAACGCCAAGGATGGTGATTCGGCCGGAAAGCATGAGCCGCCAGAAATGATAGCCAGCCACTAGGCCGAGCTTGTCGCCAAGCTTACCACCAAGCTGAAGGTAAATCAAATCACCCGCCCTGGTCTGGGAGTCTGGTATGTCTGGTCTGACTGTGCCTGAATGACCGGCGCCAGAAAAGCCGTAAGCAGACGGTAGCGCCCAAACGGTCCCATATCAACAGGATCATCATGCATGCAAGTTTCCTTTTGGGCTCGGGTCTCGTGTGCTAGCAGCTGCATGTCTCGGGCCGCATGAGGCGCCTTGGGGCACCTAGCGCAGCCACCGAGTTCTTAGCCTCAACAACTAGAGTGGCCGGCCGGCCTGGGCTGCCTGGACGTGTACGAGGCTGGTATAATCAGGTGCCGGAAACATAGTGCGTGAGCGGGAGCGAGGCCTCATAGTAATATTAGGCATATGTGCTACCGTCCCAAAAGTGTGGAGGTCAGCCCAGGCTGCTCAAGTGGGCCAAGTGGGCGCTGTGTAGCCCTCGTGACCGACATTGCGACGTTGGGAACGCCAGCTACAATCAAGAATTCCAGGGTTGATATAAATGTGGCAACACCACCCGAAGAATCCGTTCCGACATTTATGGTGGCTTTTGGTAGTCATCACAGCGTGCGATCCCGAGGTCTTATCATAGGATCATCCGAGGCGGCACGAATTTCACTGGCTGAGAACTATTGGATGAGGGACTCGCCATCGACGAAAATGCTTCATGACCCTATTTTATCCCGAACCACTGTGGTGCCAAAACGGGGTGAGTCGCGATTCTGACGGTATATTCTGGTTGATGGCTTCAGCTCCGGCGGGCTAATAGGCCCAGTCTGAGCAGTGTCCCGATGCCATTAATCCACGCAAGCTTGAGCATTCGCAAAGAAGGATTACACACCACCTAGGTAGCCATCCTCCCACCTAGGCCGCCTCGTTATTCCATCAAAAATAGCGACGAAGTACACATTTATCTGCATTCGTAGGGCGATGATTCAACAGCCGAAACGGAAGCGTGATGGTCATTAAAAACAAAGGAAACGGTGAAATCTCCCGGATGGTCTATCCCTTTCGGTATCGGTTGTCGTCTACGGCTTGCCCAAGACACCATATTTTCGTGCTATCCTGTCAAAGTGCCAGTTTCTGGACTCTTTGATTGACCTAATGGAATGATTCGCAAGACTTTTGATAGCTGCACAAAATCCAAAAAATACAAAGGACTGTCTGTTATCCACCTGCTTGTGGGCCAATCCTCATATGCCAAAATACTCTCTACAGTATAAGCCAAGCGACTTCCGCACAGGCGGGATTTTACTCATGCCGACACTCACAGCCGAGCCCTCTCCCCATCCCTCGCAAGATCGCCCGCCACATTCCTCGAGATCCAGTCCGAAATAGCCATATTCGTCACCATGGGGTTAACACCACTGGCGCTAGGGAACACGCTCGCGTCGCTCACGTACAGGCCCTCGGTGCCCCAGACCCTGCCACGCGGGTCGACCACCCCGGTCTTCTCGGAAGTGCTCATCCGGTTCGTCCCCATCTGGTGCGCGGTGCAGAAGGTCGCGGCGGGCGGCTTGTTGCCGTGCTTCTCGAGCTCGGCGAGCCAGGCCTGGAAGCGGGGGTCGGCGATGCCGGCGTCGGATACCGTGCTGACGAGGTCGTCCGTCGGCTTTGTGGACGGGGCGGCTGATGCATCCTCGCGGATGAAGGGCCTCATGCCTGGCAGGCCGGCGTGGATCTCCACCGCGCCCTGGAGGTAGAGGATCTTGGCCAGGGCGACGAGGCCGATCATGGCATGGGCGCGATCAAATGCAGATGGTGTGTATATGATCCTAGGCTGGCCGGATACCGGGTCTGGGTATACGGTGCCGGTGTCGCGGTCGCGCACGATGGAGATGTAGCTGTTCATGTGGCGGTACTTGAGGGCGAGGAGCTTGAAGTCGACGCCGTCTGTCCAGTTCAGGAACTGCATCGAGAAGCACGGCATCATGGAGAGGGCCTCGAGCTTTGGGCCGTGGCCTTTGCCATCGCTGTTCTCGAAGGTGTTGACGACTGTGGTCAGGATGCCACCCTCCCACGGCCGGACATCTTCTTTGAAGAAGCCGTGCAAAACGTTGACTGGGTGTAGGTAAAGGTTGCGGCCGATCTGGGAGTTCTGTTCACGTTGTCAGTACGTCTGGAGAAGCGCAGGGACGTTTACAGAAGAGCCACTCACCTTGAGGCCACTGTTCTTCAATATGATCGGGCTCCATAGAGTGCCACTGCTGATAATGACCTTCTTTGCCTTGACGACCACCTCCCTCACAATCTTGTCCTCATCTGGGCCATCCGTCTTGCCATCCTTGCCACGACTGGTCCACGTACCAACAACCCCCACAGCCCTCTTCCTCCCGCTCTCATCAAAGAGCACCTTCTTTACCTTGAACCCCTCGGCGAACTTCGCCCCGTGCCTCGCAGCATCGGGGTACCAGCCATTCACAGGGCCGTTCTTCTCGCCAGTGGAGCAGCCCATCGCACAGTGGCCATCATCATGAGCACAGCTGCCCGTGTTCTGCGGGACCTTCTTGGCAGACCAGCCCAGCTTCCTCGCGCCATCGAGCAGGATCGCGTTGCCGTGGTTCGGCTCAAAGTCCTCGTGCACGCCCATCTGGCCACAGACGCGGTCCAGGCAGTTCTGGAACTCCTGCGTGCCGAAGAAGGCGAGGCCCCGCTCGCGCACCCACTCGTCGCGCACGAAGCCCTGCGGCTGCAGGCTGGCGCTCCAGTTGATGGTGCCGCCGCCGCCGAAGCACGAGCCCGCCACGATGGAGATGCTGTTGTCGTCGCTGCCCGTGGTGCAGCCGCCCTCGAACAGGTGGAAGAAGGCCTCGCCCGAGGCCATGGGGAACGACGACGCGTCGAAGTAGTAGCTCTTGTCGACGACCAGGACCCGGTGGCCCGCCTCGGCGAGGTTCTTGGCGCAGACGCCAGCCCCGCAGCCCGAGCCTACTATCACCACGTCGGTTTCGATCTCGACCGGTGGAGGCTGTGACGACGTCTTGGCCCCGGGAGCCGGGGCGGAGGCAGGTGGGAACTGGATGAACTCGTAAGGGTAACCCGTCGGGGGTTTCCACCCTACAGGTGTCGTGGGGAAGCCAGATAGTTTGAAGAAGGCTGGGTTCGTGGCGCTGAAGACGACCTTGGCCAGCGTGGTGACCTGCCTGTAGAGACCACGGATTTTATACAGGCTACTGTTGGCCCACTTATGGAGGATCTTGGTGCGGTCCTCCAGCGGCAGCTTGGCGATAGGCGTGGCATACCCAGTGAGAATGAGACTACCGGCCTGCGTGCTATATGCATGTCAGTCTTCTCACAAGGAACATTGGGACGGGTGAGAGGCCTACTTCAGTAAGTACAGAACACGGGAGAGCAACGTTTGCAGCTCGGGGGGGACATGGTGCAGCATGCCCTTCAGAACCTGTTGGAACATGAGATCGTCGGTTGGCCTATCTGAGAGGTACTTGTCCAGCTCATCCTCCGACGCGTTGTCAAGCAGAATCGTGTTACTCTTCAGGTGAGAAACTGCATCTTGGTAACGGCTGTCTGAGATGTAGGCTATTGACCTGGATTTCCGCTTCGGGGCTGTCGACTCCTTCTGAATGCTGGGCACGACTGTGTCCATGAGAGCCATGAGCGTCCGCCACTGCTCGTGGGGCATGAGCTCTGCCGTCTTGAGACGCCATGGTATGCCCGCTGGCTTTTGGACCGTCAGCATATCGGCTATTGAGTCCGTCATCTTCTCCGATATCAGCAGTTATAGATGATGTGTCTTGAGTGAATGGTATGCTAAACCGAATTATGGAAGAAACGTATGGAAGCGGACATGAGCCGTGGAGAAGGTTACGGCGAAGAAACCACAGAGCCTCCAAATATCCTGGCGGAAAACAGTTCCATTCACTTTTGAAACGTTGGAGACGCCGCCCGGTGGCGCGTTCACTACCCCAGATCTGACGAGACCCCCGCACCGATTCGCTTCTGGATGATACCCTGGGCCCTTGGCTGAACGGCGCGGACTTTTTAGCCACTCGACAGGCCACTCGACCGGCCCCTCAGTTGGCATGAGTACAGATTACTAGCAGCAGGCCCACATTGACCCGCAAGAGCTAGGCAAAGCTGCCCAGGTAGGTATTTTGCTGAATCATTGCCGGGGCAGCGAAACTTTGCCGAGTGGAACTTGAGATCGGCTACCCAGCCCGAAAACATATCGTGCAGATGCGATTCCAGGCACGCGTCCAGCTGCCTGGGTGCCTGGGTGCTCAGCTCCAAACAGCAGTGCCTCGGCAGACCCATTTGGACCAAGCATTCACAAGGGACCGAGCTATCCGCAGGGAGGGGGAGACAGCACATGTCCCCGTTTCAGCTGGATATAGTGTAGTCTATCCGCCAAGGCTAGACAGATGTGGATCCCTGGCCGCGGCAAATGGGCATGGCTCCGCCAGCTCGGGAGGACCCTGAGCTCCGGCTCCGCCTTGCACTCCCGGTGCTCGCATCCGAAGCGTCGGCAAGTTCCTGGAGCAGGTATCTATCGGACGATAAGGGCCTAGATTGCACAAATAGCTGGCGTTGATGGTGCTTTGAACTGGTACTCCGTACCTCGCAAGTTTGACGGGATATAGTACCTGATAAACACTTGTCTATCTGCCGTGATGACTGGCTAATAGAAGCGAAAGCATCACATGCAGCATCTATACAAATGCCGAACGTATGACCTGACCTCTTTCTATCCATGCCCTTCTAACAAGCTCGTTCCCGAGGTCAAACCTTCTTCAGCCGAAACCCTCCAACCTGGAAGTATCTTGCCGACAAAAACACCACCGCCGATGCAAAAATGGAGAACCCGCAAAACAACTTCAAGCCCAGGTAATCTCCACCCCTGGCATCAACGATGGCACTCGCTATAGGGCTGCCAGTGAGGGCGCCGAAAGACTGAAAAGCGAACGCTGTACCTGTCCGGGCCCCGATCTCCCTGATGTCTGAGATCTGTGCGATCAAAGTCGGCCCGATGGAAGTCAGGCCAGAAGACAGAAACCCAAAGGCCGCTGTGAAGACCAGAATGCCGGCGTCGTTGCTAATCGGGATCCAGAGAGCAAAGCAGGCGATGCCTGTCAGAGTCGCGAGTGTGATCATGATGTTGTACCGCCCGACCTTGTCCGCCACAAGCCCTGGTATGATACGTCCGACTATGCTGTTCGCCCCTTCATCAGTACATCGAGCAACACAAAAGTAAGGTCGGCGTCATGGACGTACCCGCAAGCATGCAATATCGGGAGCAAGTAGATGACGAGGTTGGCGTCCATCCCCTGCGCTCTGGCTTGTAGGATGACGAAATTGTAGGGTAGGAAGAGACCCCAGAAGACCAAGAACAGCCCGAAGGCCGTCGACATCATTGTCGGCTCTCTGATCCCCCGGATGTACTCCCTCATATCAACCGGCCTCTTGTCCAGCGCCAGTCGGGACCTGACGGTCACGCACGCGATGGTCAGGAGCACCAGGAACATCAACCCGACGGCACGCATCGCCCAAGGGAAGCCAACACGGTCTATCAACTTTGGGATCATGATAGGCAAGACGATACCGCCGACAGATGACCCAGACATCATGATTCCAAACGCTAAACCACGCCGGCGATGGAACCAGGTGACCAGACACGACATGCCGGCGCTGGTCACGGCGCTGGCGCCGATGGGGCAGACGATGCTTTGGGCCAGGAAGAAATGATAGTATTGCGACCCCAAGGAGATCATCATTATCCCAAACACATAGATCAGGGTTCCGCTGACGAGTAGCCACTTCGGGCCGAACTTGTCGAAAACAAAACCCCACTGCATGCTCTTGTCAGACGCACTATTCCCAAAGGATGGACAAGGCCAGGGGCGCACTCACAACAATAGGCAAAAAGTTCAGCACCCACTGCATGAAGCTGGTGATCCACGAGATGGTGGACGAGGAGTACTGGCGGAGCGCGTAGTTGACATAGTACGCCTGGAAGACGCCGATGCTGTTGCCCAGCCCGTACGTGCAGAACAGGACGCACCACGTCCCAGCCAGCACAGTCCAGGCCTTCTTGCCGCCCTCGGGAAACCCATCTGCGTTCACATCGACCTCTTGCGCCGTGGGTACATGCTGTTCGCCCGCCGACGGCTCGATGTGGGCCTCGGGGCCTGCGGCGTGTCCCGGCTCCAACTGCGTGGTCCGGCGGCCGCCGGTGTCGGTGTGGGTTTCGGCCTTCTCCATTTTTTTTTGTTTGCGTGGGAGCAAAGGGTCCAAATTATTCCCGGATTATACGCGGGAGGTGCTAAGTAGTCTGGGAGAGGAAGTGCAGCGAAGGGTTCTTGGAATAAATACCCCCGATGCCCTCGAAAAAAGGATGGGGTGTGGGACGTGGGGACCCACGGGGTATTGATCCTCATCTGCATTCTGTTACCTAATTGACAGCAACTGGGGGTATGGGGTGATTTGCTTCAACTCGACCAACGGGTGAATTATTACCAGGCACGGGTAAGCCTGAGTCTCGCACCAATTTTTCCGGAAAGATTATCCCTATTTTCACGGTCACACGGCCCCTTCGATTGAGTTTGGAGGCGTCAAAGAGCATAACTATGGTGTGAGCAAGACTGACAGATACTACTAGTACCTACCGCTACAGGAGGGTATCCTAGGGTATTTGTTCTGTTGAACACGTTGATTCTATTTGCAGGTCGACGTTAGTGCGCGATGATCTCATTGTTACTTCTAGTTTGGTGTGGCTGAGAGCTGGGGGAAGAGCATATTTCATAACTATGTAGGTTGGTTGGTTGGTTGGTTGCTAGCTACGGATGGAGTGCCTAATGATGTCTCCTAAGCGATGAGCCCGAGACCTGTTCAAGTTGATTGGAAGCAAAATAGCTCGATACCCGGGCATTTCGCTCAACTTCCTCTTCCTTCACAATGATACCCTTGCCTGTACTGTCCCGGCGGGTGATCGAGAATTCCTGGCGAGCATACTCAGACCCGCCACGAAGAGCCATCTCTGCCAGGGCTCTGCCAAGTAATGGTACAAACTTCATCGCCCAACCCGCCGTGAATACCATGACGCTGTCTTTGGGCCCGCCATGAAGATACTCCTGCGGGATACAGTCCAATACGAACATATTGTCTGCGTTGCATCAGGTCAGGGGTGTTTCGTTTTCAAGTCTCACATGGCGAGGAGTACATACCAAAAACATTGGTTTGCAGACAAGTAGAAGTTAGAGCTGGCACTGTTGAGTCCACACCAACGAGATGATCTTTGATGAAGTCCTGCGTGTCGCGAATATCTTCAGGGTTGACAACGTTTGTTCTTCGTTCGCTGGGGTCACTGATGCGGGAACTAGCGGCGTCAACGGCGATCCGAGCAATGTTGGGCGGGCCCCAGGGTAAAGTCGGAAAGCCGTAGAAGAGTTGAGATCTTCCATTCTTGTCTGGGGCAAATTGAAACCACATGCCTGTACACCTCAATGTCAAATAATGCTCCAGATGCCTAGGTGATCACGGAGAGGCCGCGGTCCGAGATACGTACTAGGAAAGATTGTGCCTCGAGGTCCGGCGTTGACATTGAAGTAGTTAAAGACCATCTCCCAGATATCAAGGTCGAGGGATATACCGAAGCTTGGTTTCAGGACATGGTTGACGTAAGCCCCTGATGTGATGATGATCTTCTTCGCCTTGAAGACAACATTCTCCGTGTCGTGGTGGGTTGTAGATACTTCCCAGGTGCTCTTGTCGTCCTTACAAGGATTAATGTTTTCGACGCGCGTGTGTTGCTTGGTCTCAGCGCCATAGTCCTTTGCCAGACTCAGCAAGGTGCGTAAAAGTAGTTGCACATTAATGACGCCGTTATCAGGTGCATAGAGGCCCTCCCAATCGCCGGGCAGGTTTTTGAATGGGTAGCGCTCCTCAATGTCTCCAGCTTTTACTACAACGACACTCAGCTTCATGCCACGTAATTAAGATGGGCCGAATTTCCTTGCCAGTATTCGAGACTTACATTTTTTGTAGGCCATACCAAGTCTGTCTAGGTTCTTGATTGGGCCATTCAACGTTCCTGTCAGTTGTGAGCAATGCACGCAGCAGCGAAGAGGATCATGAGCAGGATCAAGTAACCTTCTGGAGTGCTGCCCCCGAAGTTTGGGTCTCCAAAGTTCAACAAGCCACTCATCAATCTGAGGGATGTACCTGAGTCTTTCTCGAGGTCATCCCAAAGGTCCATTGCCTTTTTGGCAAGGTCCGCCATAAAGTCCTCGGTATACCTATTGATGCGATTTCAGTGAGCATACTGCCATTTGTTTTCCTGTCAAGAGCACAACTGACATCGTTCGGAACATGCGAGCGAGGTCGTTGGAGCTTCCTGCGTGGTTGAAGAAGTTGTTCTGCTCGAGGACGATGGCACTAGCGCCCGCCTTTGCTACCTCGTAGGCGGTTGCCAGTCCAATTGGACCGCCGCCGATGATGATTGCATCGTACGTCTTGTCCGGCATATTGAGTACAGGCTCTGGGTCAAATGAGTATGAAGAATTGGCATCTCAAGACAGAAACTGTGGTTATTTCGGTCTTTAAGTCGTTTTTCGGTAACGACTATTTCCTGAGGAAACCTGTAACCACCAACTTTCCGCAGATACCTAGGTAGTCAGCACTCTAGAACTATTGACTTTTCTTTGTCATGAGCAAGCTGGCAAGTTCCTCTTTCCCATTCGCTGTTTTGCGAGACTCTGTGGGGTGAGAGGTCTGTGGCTAGCTGAAAGACAAGTTCGACCAATCATCATTGAAGATGTGACAGTAGAAAAGCCCCTAGTAGAGTCCCACAAATCAGTCAGACAAAGCGAGCTGAATGCCTTGACGGTTAGGCTTAGCTGCCAAGATCTTCAAAGCATTTTCGGGCTTTCAGCTTGGAGGAATACGAGTTCATCAAAGAATCTGTCAGTTCATCCTAAGCCATGGCTGAGATGGTGTTCCGACGGGCGGAAGATCCCGTATTCATGAGGTCAGCTCTGAATCACTTTCAGCGTTCAGCTGCAGGCTGCAGCGCGGTAGAATGATAATACCTGTATGTATATTAGAATGAATGAGTGCAGGAAAAAGCTTTTCTGTAATCGAAGTACTCGCCGTTCTACTATCACCACAACCGATATAGATTATCTGCCGACCTCACATATTATCATACCAAATCTTTGCGATCATGACCAGCGTGACAGCTTCCAATGCGAAATTCAGCAAGGCTCGCTTCGCAAGGAGGCTAGTTCGTCACAAAATCGCTGCAGAGCTCAATGCTCTTGAACGGAGGAATGAACAATCACCGCTTGGCTTCCAAAGCTCGAAGCCATACACTCACAACACGCTGCCTCCCGACCCAAACTACCAAGGTCACAAGAGAGTTGCGCATGGTGGTGATGGAGAACAACCCCCTCGCAAGGTGTGCATCGTGGGCGCAGGAGTTGCAGGGCTTTACATTGCCATGATCTTGGATAGTCTGGAAATTCCCAACCTCACTTACGACATCCTCGAGGCTGATTCCAGGGTCGGCGGTCGCGTCTACACTCATTACTTCAGCAAAGAGCCACATGACTATTACGATATCGGCGCTATGCGGTTTCCTGAGATCCCGATTATGAACCGTACATTGAAGCTCTTCGATCTTCTGAATGTGCCCACCATGGACTACGTACTGAAAAATGACCGGGCGCCCAACTTATTCAATGATCGTCTCTTGTCTGGAGGTCCCGATCCCTATCATGTCAGCATCAAAAACGGTGGCTCTGTTCCTGATGAAGTGGTCGACGACGTGGACAAAATCATTGGAGATATCTTCGGCGTCTTTAAGAAGAGAATGGCCGAAAACTTTGATTCAGGATTTAAGAAACTCATGGAATACGACGAGTTCAGCACACGAGAGTTCCTGAAGAGAATGGTGTCTGGCCCATTGCAAGAGAAACTCTACAATTTCTTTGCTATCCAGTGGATGGAGACACAGGGTACTTCGACCAATCTCTTCGACCAGGCGTTTTCGGAAAGCGTGATGGACTCATTCGACTTCGACTACCCAACAAAGGACCCAAACACACCGGTGAAATGGCTCTGCATTGACGGTGGGACTTCTGTCCTTACCAACGCCATGCAGAAAGCCCTGAAATCGCAGCCTGAAGTCAAGAAAAGAGTGGAGGCCATCTCGATCAACCGGAAGTCCACAGAAGATGGGAACATGTCCATCAAATGCGCCGATGAGACTGAGCCCCGTGCAGGTTACAGCACTGTTTTCAACACCACGACTCTAGGCTGCCTTGGCCGTATGGATCTTCGTGGCCTCGACTTACACCCTTCCCAGAAGGATGCCATCCGAAGTCTGCACTACGACGAATCAGTGAAGGTGGCCCTGAAGTTCAAGTATCCTTGGTGGATTGTGAAGTGTGGCATCAAAGGCGGAGTCGGCTCTACCGACTTGCCCCTACGCACTTGCGTATACCCGTCGTACAACATCCATGACGACCCAACAAAGCCCGCAGTCCTCCTGGCCTCATACACATGGGCACAAGATGCGACGCGCATGGGGTCTCTGGTCGACCGACAGAAACCACCGCAGAACGAGGGCGAGCTCATCGAGCTGATCTTGCGGAACCTTGCCCGCCTGCACGCTGAACACATCAGCTATGACGAGATCAAGGAGGCATATGCGGGGCAGTACCATGCGTACGCCTGGTCTCATGACCCGAACACTGCGGGTGCTTTTGCTCTCTTCGGCCCGGGCCAATTCAGCAACTTATACCCGTACTTGTCACGGCCGGCGGCTGATAGCAAATTCCACATTGTGGGCGAAGCGTCAAGCGCCCATCATGCTTGGATTGTTGGGGCTCTCGATAGTGCTTATATGGCTGTGTATCGGTTCCTTTATCGGTACCAGATGTGGGACGAAATCGAAAAATTGAAGGAGAAGTGGGATTTGGTGGAAGAGTTGGAGGTGGGAGAGGAGGGAACGGTGCATCTGCAAGTCATGCTTGGCCAACTCCGAAAGAAATTCCAGTACAGGGTTTGAAAGCTCGAGTAATATGTTATTGTTGGTTTAGCTATCTCTTTATGGGGCCTTTCGGAGTAATGCATCGGAGTCCAGACAACTATATACAACCAATGGTTAATGTCATGATGACATGTTTGCGAAATATCCCTGTTATTTTACCTACCCAGGTACGTAGAGATGTGGCTGATGAAAGCTGAGCAGACCTTAGGTACATAAATAGGTAGCCATATAGCCAATTAATTCACCCATATGGTGCTAACATGTACCAGCCCAATCGAGGGCTTGCGAACGTGGAACTTGGACAATTGTGTTCGCCGTCTCCGATGAAGACCACTCTCCTTTTCTCGGCCTAGGCCAATCTCCATAGCACAAATAAGGTTGCGAAAGTGCTCTTCTCTTGAATGGCGAAGTTAGGATTTCAAGGGAACACAATTGGGGAAATTGGGCTCGTATTACGGTTGTACCGTTCTCGTCAGACATTGACACTGGCGATTCCAATATTAGATCGATCCCATGCACGCTTTTGAAGTGACTTTGTGCCATATGTCTAAGTGCCAGTGTCCAATGACACTTATAAGATTCTATAGACCGGATATTCATCACCTATCTCCATCGGCACAATGTTGAAGCTAACATAGCTGTCGATATTCTCCGGCTCCAACGCGTTGAAGGCAATACCCGCATTCCTCTGATTTGTCCTCACCAGAAAGCTACCAGGCAGAAGCGAGACGGTCTTGTCCACGGGCTCAGCCGTGACAGAGCTGAGGACCGCGCCTTCGTAGTAGGACCGAGACAGCGAGGCAGAGGTAATGTTGTATGCCTGTACGTTTCCGGAATACGCCTCTGTCAGCTTTTCGACATCAAGTCCAGACACAGTCAGACGCTCAGCAAGGTCGGCCCATGCAGGAGGGATGAGGTAGGCCTTTGGGCGAGAACGCGTGAGGTTGGCAGTGGCGGGGGTATTGCTCTCGAACTCGACGGGCAGTTGAACGACGTCGCCTGTGTTGCTATTCACCATCGTCCATGTCTGCTCTTGCAGCGTCGTATAGTCTGTGATGACAATGTCTTCTTCACTGTCAATAAAATCCCGGATGCCACTCTCCAGCGTCGCGTAGACCTCATCAAAGTTGTCTGCCGCAGTCTGCAGGATTGACGAGACCATCGTGAGCCCTGCATAAGTGCGGCGCTTGAACTCCTGGTTTGCGAGCGCGATACCTCGTGTTTCGAAGAGGAATGTCACCGTCTGCGTGAGACCCATCGCATTGCGGCCGATCTTGGCGTCGCTCCCTGCCTCCGCCAGACGGATGGGGTTTGAGGAGGAGCTGGCGGTCACGTATGGCTCACCGCGCAGTCCGGCGGCCTGGAGGTCATTACCCACGTTCACAGCGAACAGCTGCTCCGAAATATTTCGGATTGAGGGATGGATGTTAAGATTCTGCCAGCACGTCAGAAGTTTTTAGCATGTAATTCACTACAGAAGGAGACTCAGCGGGGAACGCACCTTGGCAGCTGAAAACATCCCATCAGCTGCGTTGCTGTAGTTTGTAGCATATCGGGTTGCAGCACCATACTCGTGCATATCGACAGCTATATGTGGAGCAACCTCGCTGAAGAGCTCCTTGATCTGCCGCGTCTGCTCGCGGGCGAGCTTGATGTGATCGCGGTTCGGGTCGTAATTGGTAGCCAGCGTTCGTTGAAAATAGGAAATTCCGTCCGGGTTATACCGAGGAAGGACGACGATGTCTTGCGTGTCCAAGATGCTCGCCGTCCAGTCTTGATCCGCGTCCATCTTCCCGAGCAGGGCAAGTAGAGCTTCATCTCCTGCAGGCTCGTTACCGTGCACACCACCCTGTAGCCAGACCTTTAGCTTGCCGTCGCCGAGGGAAGATAGGCTTGAGTTGGCGCTGCTGCTGCTGAGGATCACATAGGGAAAGGCTCGCCCTTCTTCCGACTCGAAGTCGGTTATCTGGTAAGTCATCCATGATGGATTTCTCTCTGCCAAGGACTGGAGAAAAGTGTCTGAGGAGTTATTGGTCAGCCTTACTTTTATCAATCGTTCCCGTTTATGCGACTTTGTCCACGGGTTCTTTTAACTCACGTAAATTAAATTCGCTTGTGGCACCGGATGTGCCCTCTGTCCATCCACTGGGAAAAGAAGAGTTGATGACAAAAGCCGGACTGTAGAGAGTCACATTGGGAGCGGGAAACGCGCGCGACTCTACTGTCGCTGGATCAGGAACCACGCGTACAGAATTGCCACCGTACTGTGTTTGTGAAGCTACTCCCTGCAGCAACACTATCACCATGCCAAGATGTTGCAGGGATACCATCTTGTTTTGATTCGCGACGCGTAGAGCAGAGCACTGAAGCAAAGCAGAACCGTAGGACCGAGCATTGCACACCAATGGGAATTAGCAGAGGGAACAAAAAAAGCCATCTCCGTCTTTATACGTACATCAAGCTTATCATTGACCCAGTAACTCGGCAGCCAGAGCGGGGATATTGAAGGTTACGCTGCAATTTGCACGTCCCGCCAAGGCTCGATTAACTCTGCCGGCAAACGGGCTTCCTTTCGCGGCCTCGTAAAGTCTTGGAAGCATTTCTTGGCTTTTGAAGAAGTGGAGAGATGCAACTCCGCGTGCGAATCAAATTCTCATGTGTGGTTCTTATTATCGTATTATTCTGGACTCGCCCTCATACACTCGACATCATAGTGTCGTTGTGGAGCCTCCTTCAGGCACTGAGACTTCTATCAAGTGAAGTCTTTGATAAGACGTAATTCACGATGGTTTATTAACTTACTTTAAATCCCACGGTTAAAAACTTTGATGCAGTGATACAAGACGGCACCCACACTTTTGATGGCCCGCGAAAGTGAGACGGGAAAACTTCGAACAGGAAAAAAGGCCTTTCAACCAGTGTGATCACCTGCAACGTGGTAAATGAGGGGCAGCCACCAAAGCTCCATATGAGGGTCTCGTCAGACGTCCACAGGGCTTATGTTTCAAGCAATGTTGGAGGACTCGAAGCAGTCTGTAAGAAAGAAATCGAACTCGTCATTTTGGAAGCCCAAGTCATGACCCTGGTGAGTCAATTGAGGGACCTTCACCATAGATTTTTCACACATCAAAATCCCCATACTCAAGCTGAGCCTTGAGACTGGCATCCGTGTTGCCCTTTGTTCGCGGCTGGCACTGACAGAAGCTAATTTACCCCAGGGCAGAACAGCCTTTCAAGACCACGGATTATGTGAACGTGTAGTCCACGGGCAGCTGTCATCCCCACGATTTGAATAAACTGCGCCTTTGGGACTGATTCTCGCCGCATCGGAACGAGGTCCTTTCCCTCGTCCCACTTAATTTGGACGGTCGCATGACCGACGTCATCCGTGTGACACGTACGAGTCGGGCACGATCTAACTAGCATTGAATCCCTCCCTCTACATCCAGAGATCTTCAGGATCAGATTCATATCTCCTACGCCCGAGGGCAGCCAAACTATCGTCTAGAATTTGCATAGCTTATGTGGTTCAATTGGATTATTCTGAGGGCATCTTGCGAGTTTGCATAGCTTGTAGAGGTGCGTTTGCCCTGGTTGCGTGCTTTCAAAACCAAATGTTGGGAGCATACTGCTGTCCTGCCTCAAAGGACGGAGCCTTCCCGGATTCGACGGGCGATGAAATTTCTGCTGTTGATTGCAGGTCTGAGTTAGCCACTAGTATGTTCAGTATAAAGAAATGCGACAATTTGCAAGAAGTATTCCATTCGAACTTCGCTCCATGACCCTTTATATCAAGAGAAAAAACAACATGAAATACGAGCGCTTCATGCTCAAATTTTAACATGGTCAAATCATTTGAACTTGATCATGCCGAACACTGCGAATATCATCAATTGTTGACGTAGGTGCGATCATTTACCACCAATATATTGGTCGTATCGAGAGGAGACTTCTCATTTAGTCTGGACTACCGGTAAACGAAAGTCCATTTAGCGAAGAAAGCTCGAATTTGTGCCTATATGCACTGGAGGAATTGTTGTTGTAGTCGAGCAGGGGATGTAACCGGGAGTTATGCTTGGGGATCTGTCGGCGTACCATCCCATCATTTATATGGTGGTTTTCCGGGGCTGCCGTTCATCTTTTGTAGACATAATTCGGCTAAAACTGCATAAAGACCTTCGCAGAAAGACTCCTTGGAACGGGGAGGGGGGCGTCAGGACTGTCAAAAAGTACCTCGCATGAGACCTCGAGAAGTGACACACATTATTGTAACAATATCAGGAACCTGTTGAACCTGGGATACCAAACGTAATCAGAGTGCAACCCAGGTAGCTGGCCAGAACTGTTAAACCCGCCAGTACTTGACGTGTTCACACCCAGACTGCACGATTCGCACTGGTTCGGGGGGTGTTCCAGACATTCTTGGCGTAGCTGGAGTGTCGAGCGTGGCCAATTAAAGTAACCGGTAAGTCTGAGCCCGGGAGCCGCTCTCTCGTCACCTCATCGGTGGGTTTACTGCTTAGCATGCCTGACTAGCCACCAGCTGGGGACGAGTGGCAGTCATGCTGGGAAGGCATGTGAGGTCGCGATGCCAGTGGCCTGTTTCAGGGCCCAAGGAAGAGCAGTGGCTTGATCTTATCCTGCCCAACCGGTCCCTCAATTGCCAATTTCTCTTCAAGTGTTCAGCGCGAGCCAATCTTCATGCCCGAGAGTAAGACCGGAGGGACCCAGCGAGGCATGGACAAGCTTTCGGTTCCCGGAGCCAACGGAGGCACACCTGCACTCAGCGTTCAACATATTATTAGCAAATGTAACCCCTTGGTGCGCTAAGTTCGACGTGCAACATCTTTCCTCCGCTAGCTGTAGTCCTCTGGTAACATGGCCATTTCGGAGTGAATCATTGGCTCTTTTCCCCGAGACGGCGAAGTCTGTACTTTGCCCCGTGAACGGCTGTGTTCGGCCGAGTGAACAGTCAGTGGCCGTATGGCGTGCATGACCAGCTCGAGGCATTGTCTCACGGCATTAAAGGCGAGTCAGTCACCGTGGCGCCTCACACGAGCGGTTGCGCTGGCTTTCGAACGATGGCTGAGGCACTGTCGTCACTGGACAGAAGCAAAGGCTTTTCGGTCAAGGGCAACCCCAGCCAGCCCCTGACGGATGCTGGTCCTGAAGTCTGCATCGACGTTGATGGACCTGTAGACTGCAATCCGCAATCTGCAAATCCCATGGCGCCATGCCCATGCAGGACCCATCCAAGATGCGTCAAATGACGACGGGTGTGCCGGAGTTTAAGATTGACAGCGGGAACAAACGTCCGTGTGAACCCAGCCCGCCCGGCCGGCCATCGCCATGTCACACGCAGGTGTCGCCTTCAGTGCGGCCAAGTCCAACATTCCCAGTCAGCCTCCCTGGCTCGTCATGGCCGTACACTTGGCATTACCCCATACTTAGTGGGTATTACCCCATACTTTGGCGGCTTGTGCCCCGAGGCCCCAGGAGTATTACCCCATAATTACCTAAAAAGGGGCGGGCCGCAACGAGCCGCGCCTAACCTTGGAGCAGCTGCGGTAACATGTAAGACCACCTCGCAGGTCATGGGATGACCACGACGAAACGTTGGACATGGAGCAATGTCTCTGTTCACGGACCCGGGTCCCCATGCCCGTCCGACATGGTATAAAAGGCTGAGGGCCCGGGGCTTTTATGTTGGTCACGGTCAGCAGTGACTGTTGGTGGTAAACGGGCAACTATATTCCATCGGTCTTCTCTCACCTAAGACATTGCTCGAAATAAAACATTCTTTCAGGAATATTCTGAAACAAGTCAAATCGAAACACTTCAAAACTCGATCCAGATCCAGATCCGTTTTCACTTCACCATGCCGCGAGCACCAAGAGATACCTACAAAGCCCACCAGCACTGGGTATATGAGGCACACCAGCAGGCAGAGGCACGGGCACTGGGAGATAAGCTCGGTCTGTCGTTCCCTAATGGCAGTGCCGGTGGTCCCGAGAGCGACTTTATGTAGGTGTTTCCCATACCCGACCGTTCCTCGTCCTTGGATCCTCATCCACCGTCGAACGGAGAGTCATGTCCCTGCAGCAAATATTCTAACAATGCACAGGTACCCCATTCGACGTCTTGTAGTAACAGGACAAGACACACCATCCAATATGCGCCTGCTATTCGGAACGTCATCGACAAAGAACCTGACCCCATATCACGAGGCACGACGATTAGTCCTCATCGACGAGCTGTCCGGCGTCTCCTCCTCTGCCGCGGGCCACCTGGACGAAGGGTGCCCGTACTGGTCACCCCGGCCCGCCAGCCGCGAAGAGTCCGAGGAGATAGAGAAGCTGCTTCGTTTCGAGAGAAGGTACAAAGACATGCTACCCTGCGCACTAGGCGGGGCAAAGCATCAACATGGCCGCAAGATCAGCGTGGAGTCAGACGAGGGTTACGGAAGAGGCGAGTCGGCATCGCCCAGGCGGCGCTACTCGTAGTTCTTTTTCTTTCTGGGACGGGGCGCAGGATACGGAACCATGGGCTGCGGGCGATTTTTTGATTGATTTATGACAAAATTTGGATTGGTGACAATACCCGAAAACCAAAAGCTTAGGAAGCGAATGCAAGTGGCAAATAGCCCTATCGGACTTCAGGACGGACCCAGGTTGGGCAACCGGTATTTATGTCATGCCTTCTGAGGCATCTAACACTACATTTCATCAATGACTCTGTGTATCAGTCCTTGAAGTATGTTTTAATGTCAGAGCAAAGATCCACGACACTACTATAACCATGCATCAGAGTATGGGTCGAGCCTGGGGTGAAATACTATTCCGGCCCCGAAATCACCGGCTCACCCAAGCGGTAAGTCCTGACAACTCTCACACGGCGGTCATCGTTCAGATCATAACAGATCATCATCTCGTTCCAAATACGCTGGCCAGTCTTGATACCTCCTGCAGCCGTGCCCATTCCCGCATATCCCTGTGTCGAGATATACGTTAGCAAGGTATGCACACTTGTACGTCCTGTGCAGGCAAAGCTCCCCGCGACAACATTCTATACGTACCTCTGGGAAGTCTTTTCGTGCGGTGAAGATAACTGCAGCGTGGAGAACGCAACAGCTATCGTCCAAGGTGATCTGCTTTGGGACGAAATTTTCGTCCATGCCGGCACGGCGCTGCTCAGAAAAGAACTGGACGTTCTCCTCCCGTCCTTGGATGACCTGGATCTTCCCAAGGTGCACTTCAAGGTCCGTCGCCCAGAACTCGGATGCTTTGCCAAAGTCGTTGCTGCTGAAGAGGCCGATATACGTCTTAACGTCATCCTTGGTTCGGAAGGATGCTTGATCAGTTGCTTTTGCCTTGCTCAGTAGACTTGTGGCTCCAGGCTCAAGGTGAAGCACCCGCCCTTCCTCGTCGAGGTGGTAGAACACAATCATTTTGACGTCAGGGCCAGTCCCCTCGGACACAGGGCCCCATCCGAAAAAGTCGTCCATCTCTACTCCCTTCTGTCCTCTGAACTCCGCTCGTACTTCTACCACGACCAGTGCGCCATCTCGGTCGAAGATGATCTTCTGCGGGATGAGAGTCTCAGAGGCTATCTGGTGATGTCCTTTCGCCCATTGATGATAGCCGCTGATGTTCTTGGGCCCCGGAATGAGGGGAATGTCGATCTAATTGTACCCGAAGTCGAGTGAATCAGGTTGAGAACATTCATAATTTTGGCATCTCCAGATGAATCATCATGGTTCACGCAATCCCACTCACATGAATGTCTGGATGATAATATTGAAAATAGGTGTCGAACTCGTCGGCACTAAAAGCCGTGAGATACGCCTCAACGTCTGCATTAGATCTAAAGCCCTTCAGCCCAACAGTAGGATAAAGTTGGCTCGTCATGGTGGTTAAACAGATAATAACCAGTTCAGAAATAACCGTTCCACAGAATGAAAGAAATTTCAAAGCTAGTGTTGGAGTTGAATTAATAAAACCTCCTTGCCCTTGTGTGCATCGAAGCAATTCTATCCAGAATTGGAGATCGAGGAACCCGGGTCATAGTAGCTCCTCACAGGCAAACCTCGGGGTCCTAACAATGCCCGCATGGCGGAGATGTATGATGTACCGTAACATTTGCGACATAGAATTGAGGGGCGAGTAGGATGTCAATCTGCATAATCTCGGCACATGCCATACTTCAAATGGCATAAAAACTTATCAATGCGGCTACAAAACACTGCAGTAAAAGGGGCCCTGTCAATCAAGGAGTTACAGAACTATCACAAAAGCTATCAGAAGTCAGTACAAGACACCAACGTTCAAGTCCCGATCCAGTTACATTTCAGAAGAACTCCATCTTGGATCATAGTCAAGAGGCAGCCCGACCACCATGGCAGGACACGCATTCGAGAACTGTCCCCCGGCCTACACCAACGGCATCAAGGCTGGCGATCGCACTGAGTTCCCCAACACGCCCGCGTTCACTAACGGAGTCGCTCCGTGCCGCTTCCAGGGCGACATCGAAGAGCTCGAGGTGTTTGGGAACATGCCCAAGTCTATTCACGGCACATACTACAGCATGGGGGTGGATAAGAGATTCCCCCCGATCCACGAAGACGACATCCTGTTCAACGGTGACGGCGTAGTGGGGGCGTACTATATCGCCAACGGCCATGTTGACTGGAAGCGTCGCTACGTGAAGAACGATCACTACATAGCCGAGTCTAAGGCTCGCAGGAGCTTGTTTGGAAGGTATCGTAACCCTCACACGGACGACCCGTCGGTGAAGGGAATGATCCGGACAACCTCAAACACAAATATTGTCTTTTGGCGAGGCGTCATACTCGCATGCAAGGAGGACGGGCCGCCGTACGCGCTCGATCCAGAAACGCTAGAGACCATTGGGCGATATGACTTTGACGGCCAGGTCGTCTCACCGACCTTTACGGCTCACCCTAAGATCGACCCAGAGACCGGCAACATGCTATGCTTCGGGTACGAGGCTGGCGGGAACGGCAACGACTGCTCGAGAGAGATCGTCTTTTACGAGATTGGGGCTGATGGCAAGAAGCTCACCGAGGTATGGTTCGAAGCGCCATTTTGCGGTTATATCCATGACTTCGGCTTCACCGAAAATCACATTATCCTCCCCATGACACCGCTGAAGGCGGATCTGCAGCGCCTCCAGAAGAGCAAGGTCCACTGGGCCTGGGACCCCAACGAGGATCACTTCTTTGGAGTGGCGCCGCGCAGGAACCCCAAGAGGGAGGACATGGTCTGGCTGCGCTCCGACAACTGCTTCCAGGGCCACGTCGCCGGGGCATACGAGAGTAAGGAAGGCGACCTGGTCTTTGATCTGTCGATGGCCGACGGGAATGTCTTCTTCTGGTTCCCCGAGGACGGCAAACCGCCGATGCCGCCTGGGCCGGGCTCCCAGCTCAGGTCACCAATGACACGGTACAGATTTCCACTCGCAGGTGACGGCCGCCTGCTCTCGCCAGAGAAGAGGATCGCGCCGGCTTTGTCGTGCCAGACGTCCGTCGAGTTCTCCCGCATCGACGACCGCTTCCAGGGCAAGGAGTACAACCAGTTCTGGTCTCTCGGGATGGACGGCGCCCGGCCATACGACATTGCGCGGTGTGGCCCGCCAGTTGGCGGGCTCTTCAACCTACTGGTGCACTACAATTGGAGCACGGGGACGGAGGAAACATGGTGGCCGGGCGCGACGACGACGCTTCAGGAACCTTGTTTTGTGCCGCGCGACGTGGACGGGTCGCCTGAGGGGGATGGGCACATTGTCGTGGTCCTGAACCGACTCGACCGCGGCATAAATGAGCTCGCTGTCCTCGATGCACAGAAGGTTGGGGAAGGCCCTGTTGCATTGGTGCGGCTGCCTCTCAGGCCGAGGCTAGCGTTCCATGGGAACTTTGTAGACCATAGGGACATTGAACGATTTGAGGTGGAGAAGGAGAGACAAAAGGCGAAAGGGCCACCGGCTCCATTACCTTGGCAGCAGAAGGGACTGTGATATCAATGAATATCAGAGGGTAAGTCTCCAAGATCACAGCACCATGATCACAGGTGCATGGACGTACTTTTTTCAAACCTAACTAGTTATAGCCGCGCAGTCGTATCTACTGCCACTAGAGATATAAACCTTGCGAAGCATGTTGAGCCGGGCGATCCGTTGATCAATAACACATCAATTACGTATGCCTGTCACATCTTAAATTGACACCAACGCACTTCCCAAGGTACCTACTGGGGGGAGGGGGGTAAATTGAGTGAATAGTACTATTATTTTAGAATAATATTAATATTCTTTTAAAATATAAATATATTATTAATACAACTATATAATATTTAAATAATATAATATTTAAATAATATAATATTTAAATAATATAATGCATTTTAGTTTAATATAATTTTATAATTAATAGTATGTAATATACTATTAGAGGTTTAATATATAAGTAAAAAAAGGGGTTTAATTCCTATTAGAATTAATTTTTTTTTCCTTTTTAACTCATCCCCTACCTAACTACCTATTAACTATTATCTAACTTAACTATATATAATCTATTAGAAGCTTTAAAAATATAGGAATATAGATACTTAATTCGTTAGCTAACTTATAAAATTTAATATTAGTAGATTTAAGGATTCTAAGGATTTTTAATATATATTAATATAATACTAAAATTTAATATATAATGAACCTTTTAATAGATTTTACCTATAATAGTATTTTATTAACTTTTTATTAGTATTTAGTTATAATATTTAGATTTTATTTAAATGTTAATTTTTAATATAATTATACGCCTATGTTAGGGACCCCCCCTCCCCCCGGTAGGTACAGAGAAGCTTTATTCGCTGAAGCCATACCGAGTCTGAGGTGCAACACTCCTGCAAAAGGTTTGGCAGAAATTCGGAGCCCGATCTCTCGTGATCGACCAAGTCTAGCGTCCTGTATCGCCTTGAATCTCATTTTCACCCCACAGCCCCCTACCCATATAGATATCTACACAAGTGGCTCTCAAATATACTAGTAATGTAGAGACAATTAGACAAGCACGGGTCGGTCTTTGGGGAAAGCGTTGTAGGAGCAACAAAAGCATTTTGTACCGTTCGAGTAAGGCGGTGGCGTCAGGTAGTACCGGGTTCATGCAACGGGCAATAATACCATCGGTGGAAGATTACGGGTCCGGCGGGTCTTACCTAGGTACTTCAGTAGTTTGGATGGAAGTTGCACTGCAGTATGAGCAAGCTTGGCATTTGTAACTGGATCCCCGAACAAACATGGAGATGACAACTTGGAACCTGTAGACGGCTACTATATTGTCGGAGAAAATTGGGCTGTCTCTGAGGTGAAAGCGTCTTTAGAACCTGGGAATTCGAGCGATCCGGTTTCGTCATAATTGTGGCTGTATTGGAATGCGCTCAGGGCTAACAAGTTAGTCATAATGGAACAAAGTTTAAGATTCCTTACTCACAGCACACCGAGACTTAAAGTTTTGACTCGTTCAAAAGACGAGAGGCTTAGCTCACTATATACGAGGAGATGACGGCTGATCATTCGGTGGAGCCACGCATGATCATGGTGGGAAAGGGGAGAGTGGGCCCACTAATCGGAGTACCCTACCGTAGAGTTCGTCCCGATTTAGATCGCGTTTGGTTTCGTTTTCTTGGCAGGGGAATCGGGCAATTCTGCCTCCCGCACATCCTGAGAATAAATGAACCCCGGAAGCACCGGTTAAATATAAATGTGTTGTACGTCCCGTGAACGTCCATGCTAGCAGCAACTCGTCTAACCTACTCGACTGACAAGCAAAAGAGTGCATGATGTTCACCTCCACAGTCTTGACTACGCTCATCGCCGCAGGTAGCGCTCACGCTGCTGTGATTCCAGGATGGGGCGTCAGGGCAGATTTCACGAGTAAGTTGATCCAGTCCCTCCTCGCGGCGCATAGGGAGAGATTGCTCCGTTCACTCAATGATGTGTGTTAACCCAACTTCAGGCTGCGACAGCGCCACACCTTTAGAAGTTGTCCTTGACGGTGCGACCAACCAGCTCTCCCCAGCTGCCAATATCACCGACTTCAAAATCCCGATACCCTTCGATGGGACCCTCGTCATCAAGGCTGCCGGCGCAGTGGGATATGGCTCGCCCTACCCTCCACAGCAGATTCAGATTGAGATCTTCTCCGAGGGAAAGCCAGGCGACCCACCCATCTGGGGCAACGCCACGGTGAAGCCCGGCACCGGACAACCTGCTTCCATTGTCCAGATCGGTTGGAACACGGGGGGCAACTTGACCATTGCGCCAGACCAGAATGAAGAAGTCTTTCTTCAATCTTGGTCTCATGGAGGCAGCTTGGTCGTTGACTATGTGAGTTGAAGAATGCCGTGTCTGGTGATTGATAGTATTTACTGACGTGCTATTGGTTGACAGTGTGGTGTTCCCGCGTCTCAGCCTCCCTACACATAGAATAGCCAAACGTCACTTAGTACCTCGGATCTATGGTTGTGATTATGGCATACAAATGTTCATAGCATGGCTCATGTAAATATTACTAAAGTCGGACTGATACTTCTTTTCTTGGCACGTGGTCAGCGATCAAGGGAAGCCAAGCCAATTGCACCATTAACAACCAGATATGTTCCATGACTTGGCCAACAGACTTGAAGTGTTCCGTTCAAGATTGACAACAGAAGCTTCACCTGACTACCTACCTAGGTACCTAGGTGGACTGTGTCGACCCGAGCCCCGACAAGTCTTCTTGGCTGGTTCCATTCCTTGTTGTAGATGCCTGTTATTCGGAGAGACTAAATGACTCTGTTCAAATTGCACTACTCAACAGATTACGGAGTTATAAGTGGTTTCGTTTTTAATCCCCATGCATGTAAAATGTACGTGGCGCCTTCATACAGTGGTAAACGCTCAAGACACGGAGTTACAAATCACTTCAACTTCCATGTTGACAGTCGCTCTGTTCTCAACAATGTAGTAGAACCTTCCCTGTTGGAAACCTGACATCGTGGATTCAGACCTTGTCGGTGCCTCAGCTCAACGAGCACATGATACAACGCAAGCTGGTCTCATATCTCAGACTGGAAATGCCGGTCATCCGGCATTCTTTTTCCATCCCAGTTGAGCTCCTCTCAATTGTCACCCTCACATGACCGGTTCGGACTTTTTCTCTTCATCCCTGCGTCGACGCGCATCTTCGGCTTGCCCCCTCGCGTTGGCACGGCTAATCGCCATGTCGCGCTGTCTCTTTGCCCAGTCTAGTGCGTTACGGTATGCCCGCAGACCCTCTCGGTAATGATCCTCTCTGTCGGTCATGATCCACGATCCTATCAGGGTGGAGACATATCTTGGGGCGCCGGCCGCCTGTCTTCCCTCAATAATATCTCCTTCACGGATACCTGGACTTGGCTCACAATGAACAGCATAAATCTTCAGAACCCCATAAACCCAGGTACATGTGATGGTGCGAGCTACCCGGGAAACCTGAGCATCGACTACAAGCCCTGGACCGGGTTCTGTGGACCTATGCGAACGCGGTCGAAGGATAGCCCTGCTACCGCCAAGTTTACTGGCCCCGCGAGCAGGGTCTTGAGTGACAATGCCATCAGGCCCGTCTCCAAACTCCCACAGAGCTTGCATTCCACGCGCTGCGAGCGCGCCGTCGTAGACAGCCTGCACACTCGCCACTGCCGCAGTACCCCTTAAGCCCTTAGCGTGAACCACAAAGTTAGGGCAGATGAAGTCCTGCTCAGGAGTAGGGACGATCAAGTCTTTGAGCCGCTCGCGGGTGAACAAGGCGAGCTCAGCGGCGCGCGACCCGTAGACACGGTCTGGGTTCCCATGTGCAATACTGCCGTCTGTCAGGGGAGCCAGTTGATTCATCTTCTTCTTCTGTCGGATGGCATGGGACCGCATTAGAGCTGTCTTGTCGCCCTGGAGGGAATCTATCTGATTCAGAGCGTCTTCCTCGTTTGAAGCTTGTCTATAGGCTCTCTGGAAGCTTCGAAAGTCCTCGACCGGCTCGGAACCTCGCTTAGCGCATATCTCAGCAGTGATCTCACGCATGTTGTCCGGGGGCGCAGGATGCTGATCATCCGGCACTTCATATTCCAGGGGCAGTATGTTGTATTCAAGGAGATGCTGCATGAATGCAGGATCGTATGGGCCGGCTCTGGTACTTGTGGGCGTCGTCGACCTCTCACATGACCCCGTTCCAAAGTTTTGTGATACACCGATCCGATTTACTCCACGTGTGTGTCGCCCAAGCCCGGTAGACCTATCTTCCGGACTTTGGGATCCGCCAGTAGCCCTGGAAGAAGATGCGCGGCCAGAACGGGTCCAGCCACGTTGGCGCATGCTGTGTGCGTTAAGACGTGGTGGATGTTGTTGTTTAGGGCTGTGTGCGTACTTTGAGAAAGTTAGATGGTTGGCAAAATGGACCTGTGTGAAGAGGAAAAAGAAAGAAATGAATAAACAGACTGGTCATCAAAAGAGGAGTCACTGTAAGGGTGTTCAAGTGGGCGGTGGGTATCGGGACAGGAAGCTGGGAGATGGAACAGCGCACCCCTCTGAATTCCGACAGGTCAGGTCCACCGTTGCGCGAGAATCGATGTATGTCCTGGGATATGATGCCAACTTCAAGCCACTGAGCATCACTAGGTAATTGACGAGCGTCTTCCAAGCCTTCTTCCCATAGTCGAGTCTCGCTGTTGCGTCGGTCGAGCTCACGTAGAGCGCTTTCAACAAGAGGAATGCGTGAAAGATTATCCCAAAACTGTGGCGGATACATATGTCGGTCGGTTCTCCAAGCTTGCTGATCAATGCTATATGTATCCCGATGTTGTGATGCTTGTCGTTGACCATGCGCATTGTTCACACGTGATGTGTTTGAGCGCAACTATGTTCAATGGTATCAGATCTTGGACTAAACTTGACTTGAAGATGCGAACAAGTCTCAAACCACATTTACTGTTCATTGCCATTATGCGAGTTGGTATAGGTGAGACAATGTCTGGTATTCTACTCTGCCTGCAACCGGATGTGGTGAAGATGACGGCATGGGACAAAGAAACTAAACGTCACGTTTAGTCTTTGTCCCAACAGAAGGGATCGGGGAAGATGCTTCTCTGGACGAACTTTTCTCACGAGCTGCAGTACATTGGCATTAACCAAAACAGCTTTTATGAAGGGTGGTAATGTCATAGGTCTTCAGTTAGCTATATTGTACCAGGCTACCTATTACTAGAGCTACCGTATACTACACTACACACACTAAGCTTATTAGTAAAATATAAATATAAATACTTTAACTTTTAATATAAATATAATATAATATAAAGACTTTTAATATAAATATATATAATATAAATAGTTAAAAATTAAAATATAAATATAAAAAAAGTAATAATATATTTTATAAAGTATATATTTAATTTAAATATATATTTTATAAAGTATAAATAATATAAAAAAGGAATTATTAATTTATAAATTATTTTTATAATTAATTATAAATTAAATAATAATATAATATAATAAAAACTTTTAATAATAAACTTATAATAATTAAAAGTTTTTATAATAATATAAATAAAATTAAAAATAAATTAAATAAATTATTTTATATTTTATAAAATATATACTTTAATTATATATATATTTTATTAAATATATTTTTAACTTTATTATATATTTATTTTTATTTTTAATTATTTTTATTAATAATAATATATTATAATTTTTATAATTTATTATATATTTTATTAAAATTATTATTAATAAAGTATATTTTTATTATTAATATTAATATTTATTTATTAAATTTATATAATTTATAATTTTAAGTATTTAATTTATTAAAATAATATTAAAATAAAAGTTTAATAAAAGTATTATTTAATTAAATATATAAATTATTTTAATATTTATTAAATATATATTAAAAGAACTTTAATTACTTAATTATAAATTTCTTTAAATAAAAATAATATTTTTATTTTTATATGTTTACTTTTAAATTATTTATATTATAACTTTAATATTAAATATTTACTTTTTTATTTTATATACTTTTAAAGAATATTTATTAATATATTAAATAAAAATTATTAAATATAATAAATAAATAATTTATTAAATATAATATAATAGAAGTTTAATTTTTTATATATAGTTTATATTAATTATAAAGTATTTAATTTTAAAACTCTTTAATAACTTTCTTTTATATTTTAAAATATTTTTAAAAGAATTTAAAATTTATAATAATACTTTAAATATTATTATATATTTTTAAAATTATATTTTAATTTTAAATTTAATTATTACTTTTAAATATTTTAAGTATATTATTAATATATTTAAAATTTTATTTATAATTATAATTATATTTTAATTTTTATTAACTTTATTTTTATTAAAATAAAAACTATTTTTAAATTAAAATATATAATAATAAATAATATATTATTAATAATTATTTTATTTTATTATAATATTAAAAATAAATAAAGTTTAATAATTTAATAAATAATAATAAATATAAATACTTAATATATTAAAATATATATAATTATTTTAATATTATTTAATATATAAAGTTTATTTTTATTACTTTATATATTATAATTTAATATTTAAATTATTTAAATTAAAAAAGTTTTAAATAATATAATATTATTTTAAATAATAAAATATTTATAATTAAATTTATAATATATTTAAAATAATAAATATAATATTTAAAGTTATTAATATTAAAAGTTAACTTAATTTTTATTATTATATTATTATTATTTATATTATTTAAAATAAAGTATTTAATTTTATTTATAATTTTAAATATTTTATAAAACTTTAAATATATATAATATAATATTTTATTTAATATAATTATTAATAAATTTTAATATATAAAAATAAAATTTTATAAAATATATAAATTTATTAAAATAAAATATTATAATATTATATATTAATTATTAATTATTTAAATATTAATTATTAAATATTAATTATGAAATATAATATAAATTATACTTTAAATATTTTATAAAATTTTAATTCTTATAAATTTAAATTTATTATATATAATAATAAACTTTAATTATTATAAAGTTTATTTAAAATTATATTTATTTTTATAATTAAAAGGTTTAAATATTTAAATATAATATATAAGACTTAAAATTTAATAAAATAAAAAAGGTTTTAATAATAATAAAATATTAAAGTTTTATTAAAAATATTTTTATTAAAATAATTAATTAAATTATTTATAATTATTTAATTTTTAAATTAATAATATTTAATTATTAAAATTTAATAATATTTTATATTTTAAATATAAATTAATTTTAAACTTTAATTTTTATAAAATTTTAATATATTTTAAAATTAATTTTATATTTTATAATTAAATTAAAAATAAAATTTAATACTTTAAAAATCTTTTAATATAATTATAAAATACTTTAAGTAACTTTTTATATATAATAATAATAAATTTATTTATACTTTTAATTTATAAAATACTTAATATTAAAGTTATATTTTAAAATTAATTTTAAGGCTTTTAAAGTATTAAAATTTAATAAATTTTAAAAATATATTTTAAAAAATATTTTAAAATAATTTTAATATAAATTATTCTTTTAATAATATACTATTAATAATAACTTATATTATTTATAAAATTAAATATCTATTAAATAATATATAAAGAATATTTTATAATTTATTTAAAGAAATTACTTTTAAACTTTAAATTAATATATATATAATTTAATTTATTATTATACTTTATAAAATATAAAAGTAATTTAAATATATATTTAATAGAATATAATAATTTTATAATATAAGTAGAATAAGTATATATAAGTTTAATTAAATTTTAATAATTTTATTTTATATTATTTTATAATTAATTCTTTATATATTTAATATATTAATACTTTTATACTTTATAAAGTATATATATATATAATTTATAATTTATTATATAATTTATATATAAAATTATATAATAAAATATTAATAATAAATAAATTTTATAAATATAATTTTAATTTTATAACTTTAATATTTAATATATTATTATTTTTATACTTTATTAAGTATATATATATAGTTTATAATTTATAATATATTTTATATATAGAATTATTTAATAAAGTATTAATAATAAATAAATTATATTATATATTAATATAATTTTAACTTTTAAAATTCTTATTTTATATTTTATAAATATAATATATTAATTTTATTCTTTATATATTTTATAAATAATATAATATAATAAACTATTATTTAATAAATTAAAATAAAACTTTTAATTAAATTATTAAATATTAATTATTAATTATTATTTAAAAGTAATATAATATATTATATATATTAATTATATAGTTATTAAAAATATAATATATTATATATATTAATTATAAAACTATTATTAATTATATTATATATTTTAATTAAAAGGTTAATTAAATTATTATTAATAAAATATTAAAACCTTTATTAAATTAAATTTATATTTAATAAAACTTTATTTATTTATATTATTTAAATTAATTAACTTTTTTATTAAAGTTTATTAAAAGAAATAATAATCAATACTTTTAATTAAAAAGTTAAAGTTTTAATTATTTAAATTTAATTTCATTTACTTTATTTATATAATGAAATAATTATATTACGTTTAAATATTATTTTTAAAGGTTTATTTTTAACTTTCTTTTTTAAAAACCTTTAAATTTAAACTTATATTTACTTAAAGAAAATATAATAGTACTATATTTATATTAATAAAAGTTATTAATAAAATAATTTTTTAAATAAAAGTTTATTTAATAAATTTAAAAACTTAAATTTATTAACTTTTATATTATTTATTTTAATATTATTAAAAATTTATTTTTATAAAATCTTAACTTTTATAAAATTTTAACTTTATTATTAATTATAAAAATATAATTTAAAAATATTTAAATTAAATAAATATTATTAATATTAATATATATAAAGTCTTTTAAAAATATTTTTATAATTAAATAAATGTTAATATAAAAACGGAAGAAAGATAAAAAATAAATAAAGGAAGAGAAAGAAAGGAGAGAGATTATTAAAGGGTTAGAAATTATAATATTAAAAGGTATATTATTTAAATAATTAAACCTATTAAAGTAAGAATTAAATTAATAAATTATTAATAACTAATAAACTTATAATTATATATATAATTAATATAATAATATATTAAAACTTTATATAAAGGATTTATTTAAATAAAATAAATTATATAATTTAATTATAAATTAAAAGTATTAATATATTTTAATATAAAAATATTTTAATATAATTAATAATTTAAATTATAATTATAATAAGATTTTTAACTATAAGAAAAACTTATATATATTTATTTAATAAAATAAATTAATTAATAAATAAATTTTAAATATATTTAATATTTATATTATTAAATAATATATTATTAAAATAAATTTATTATACTTTAAATATAATAACTTAAATAATATTCTAAATTATTTAAAAATTAAAAGACTTATTAATAATAATTTATAAAATATATATATAAAATAAACCTTATATATAATATTAAAAGTTTTAATAATTATATTTTAAATAATAATATATTAAAATATAAAATAAATTAAAAATAATAATTATATTTAATTTTTTATTTTAATAATATATAAATATAATAATAAAATATTTAAATATAATAATATTTAATATTTATAAAAGTTATAATATAATATAATATAATATAATATAGTATTAATTTTATAAATAAAATTTAAAACAATAAATTATAAATTATAACTTTATTTTAAATTAAAATAATTTATATTTATATTTAAAAGGTATATACTTTAATTAATTTTATACTTTTAAGTATAAACTTTAATAAATTATTTAAATAATATTTTAAAGTTTTAATATTTTAAAGCTTTTAATATTTTAAAGTTATATTTATACTTTAAAGTTTATTTAAAGCTTTTATATAATAGTTAATAAATTCTATTAAAGTAAATAATACTTATATATATATAAATATATACTTTATAAAGTATATTAATAATTTAAATATATACTTTATAAAGTATAAAGTAAGGTTTATAATTAATCTTTATAAATTTAATTATAGTTATTTAAAAGTTTAAAAATTTAATAACTATATATTAAAACTTATTATATTATATATATTAAATTCTTTAATATAATATAATAGATTTTAAAATACTTTTAATATAATAGAGTGTAATAGATTTATTTATATATACTATACTATACTAATTACACTAAGTGTAGTGAGTGGTAGCCCTACCTATTACTTTAGTAAGAGGCCGGCAGTAATAACCCTAGATCTAGCTTGAGTATGTAGTTAAAGGAGGGTTAGCTGTCGTCATCAGCTTTGTATGAAGAACTTTATGTGATTGCTTTGAAGAAGCAACTCGCTCTCTCAAACAAGTATCGAAACAAGCATACCGGTAGCGAAAATCAGGGCATACAGGACCACCGCAAAGAAATGTTAAGTGTCTTGCAACGATCAATCCCATTAGTCTGACTTCGTTTCCAATCCCCACACGTATCAAACGTATGCGGCGCCTTCATACACTAGTAAACGCTCAGGACCCAGTGTTTAAAACAATAGTACAGAGAGAATTCAATATGGTCGACTCTGTATTGTCCAGGGGATCATAAGGGTCCGGCCTGGGAATAGGAATTGGATCAAAGTGGTAGAAGGATCTCTATCAAGACCATAGACTGCGAACGAGGTACGGGAGTAGGTCACAATACTGGCGCCGTTAATGGGCCATATGTACAACTGGATTACTCATATGACACGGCCTATGATTCCGATGAACTTACAAAGTACCTCTTCATGGAAGGTTTATGAGATTATACATATGTAACTGAACATTGCGGGATGTGTCTTGGCTTTCACTTTGGCAGCTACAATACTAAGAGCCGTCAGCGAAGATGGGTTGCCCCTACCAATAGACAAGCGTTTGGAGAGAAATGCAACCGGGACTGGCCAGCATTGACATGTTGTAAGTACCTTGGCACTGCTTCTTTTGTGCTGTTTTCATGACTGAGAATGACGTCCGGCTTTGCTTACACAATCCATTCCTGGCTCCCAGAGGTTGACGACAAGAGGGATTGTATGAAGGCTCCGTGTATCGCTTCAAACGTTTACAGAGTAGAAGCTAAACCAGCTAAATATCGAACATACAGATATGATGACTCCTTCGCGGCGACTAGACCGTGGGCTACTTCTGTCCACGATTCTAGTCAACGCCGTCGTCAAGACGGTGCCCCTTAGCCTTGTCTGTATGTCGCAAGGCTGAGGCTACAAGCACCTATCGTATTATAACTATTGTTATTGGGATCGTATTCTTTTTAAGCGCTAGGTCTTGAGTGCTTACTACTGTATGAAGGCGCTATGTATGTCCTCGGACGTATACGGATTAGAAGCGAAACCACACTGGAGCTGGGGAAGCTGTCTTCTCCTTATATAAGGATGTGCTGGTGCTAAGCTGTGTTCTAGTCCTTCCCTATCACTCAAGTCTTCGAACCAGTCTCTTCTTGAAAAGGATGCTGTTGGAGGTGTTGGTAAAAGGCTATTTTTGATGAAACCACCAACTGCGTACCAGCACTTTGCGTTCCTGGCCATTGGAAATTCAGCTCTCGGCCCATACTTCGTCCCTTGGTTGCCCACAACTGTCTTCAGCCGGCCTGGAGGTCGAGGCGACCATACCCAGGAAGAAACCAACGGGAGACAATGTCTATACATAGCCAGTCTAATAGGGAGAAGGTCACTCTCTCGACCTCGCCCCCTTCCCTTTCCCCCGGCCCGGCAGGATTGTTGTTGGCGCCAGCAGCCGGGTCGCCTGCACCGCCACGAGGCTGGCGGTTCTGCAGCCCAGATGCAGGAGTTCAGGAGGCCAATGAAGGGCAAATATGATACACCTGCGAAGATGGCTATCTTTGGTCTTTTGTTAGGTGACTCCTGTTTGATGATATCCGTTGGTTGGCGACTTGCAATCTGATTGGCCAGTAGCGCTGGAAGGAATTGGGTTACCAACCTTGGAGCCAGCTGTGCCGCTGGGTGTACGGAGTACATCAGCTGAATCGACCCACGGGTTCCTGGGGTAGATGACATCATGCCGGCCCAGGCCCATAAGTATAATTCACACGCGCCTTCTCAGTTGGCACGGCTCGTCCCTCACGCCGCGTGTCCCACTCAAAACACCAGGTCTTGCACAACCCGCGCCCTCAGTTTCCTCTCCCAATCTTTGACCTTTTCTTTATCCAAGACTGTCGCTCAAACACAAAATGGGAGACAAACCAAAGGACCCAGTTGCTGAAGAGATACGTTCAATCCTGAGCCGCCGAGTTTCAGGATACGAGTTACTTCTGCTAGACTACGTGACACCTCTCCTCCACAAAGAGCTACTAGATGCGACTAAGCAGAACGAAGAAATCCTTCAGCGGCCTGATCCCACTACCCCACAACAGCAACGTGCTGCCCTCCAACAACTCGGACATCTCGACAACCTAGATGAGCAGATTTCGGAACATTGGAAGGATCTGCACAGGGGCATTGTCCCCCGGACCGCCCTTTTTGGCAATCTCATAGGATACCAATGGTTCTTGGCAAAATCAATCATACTAGATTACGCAGGACACTCACAGCGAGAGATTAATATGGACTCTTGGGTATCTAGGAGGATTGAGGAGCTGGATCTTCCCCAGAAAACCGGGGGGGAGAGCAAGAACGACAGGGATTCCCGAATATATCAACAAACAATCGCTACTCCTATCAAGGAGCTGATGCTAGACCAAGGGCACGTCGAGAAAAGAATCAGGCTCGCCGCAGCTGAGCCATATCCAACCGGCCAGATCTACCGCCTGATTGACGAATGTGACTGGTCGACACTGGCAATGATGCTGTCTCGCGACCGGGAGCTTGCCGTCACCCTGTACAGCGGGAAACCGCTGGACCCGAAGTCATATGACGACAACATCGCTAAGATTGTCCTCCGGGAAATGGACGAAGTAAGGGACAGGTATTTCACAGAACTCTCCAGCCCGTCCACCTATACCACGAGCAAGCACGCACAAGAACGATCGGCCAGGAAGGAAGCCGGTCTGCCACTCGAGCCGGTAACAAGGAGGCGCCAAGAGGGGGACTGGGTCTCGGCGGCTGCCAAGGGTATCTTCAACAAGGTCGTCAGCAGCCTTGGGCTTGGGGCGGGCGCGAGGCCCGGACCGAGCGTCTACCCCAGCCCCTCAGGTGATTCTTCCAGACCGAGCATCGATTCGACAACTCATCTGCTTTCTTCGAAGGACCGGCAAGACTGAACGCACGTTTCTTCTCCGGGGATATGGTCTTTGACTTGCTCAAGGCTAAAGATTAAGCCGCCGTGACTCCAGATTATAAAGGGTGTCAACTCAGTCGTACTGATGATGATGATCGCGAGCAGGTGGGCTTGATCAGTGGTTTTGTTTCTGATACCCATACCTATAGTACATACATGACGCTTTCATACAATGGTAAACGCTCATGACACCGCCTTTAAAAAATATATGGTGTCTATAAGAATGATTAAATTCGATGGGTGAAACCCATTATTGACTTCTACTTTTTGAAGAGCAACCTACATACCTAACTACTTCTCACTCTTCTGTCTCATTAGCACCTCGCTAAACAGAGACCCGTCTATTATCGGCAACTTTGGCTTTGGCCGCATCCAGTAATCTCGTCCCGGTTTGACATTGGGAGGACTTGGTGGAGGACTCGGTGATTCGTCTGTCTCGGCTGACGGATCGGATCTACTTGAACCTGTTTCGGGTGCTGCCTTTTCCTTTCCAGGCGACGAGGTACTATGGACAGTTGCATGACCATGAAGAGTTGCTGGTCGAGCACCGCACATCGGTTCCTTTGATATGTCGGCCGCGGTGGGAGGGGACAAAGTTCTGGTCGTTGACAAAACGGAACCATGAGCTCGAGGTCGTGCGTCCACCGCCGCGGCCCTTCCAGATGATGCAGTATGATGGCCATTGTCACCTCCCGGGACTGATTGAGAATGTGTAGCGGCACGGGATAGGGTCTGGACAACCTCTGAGAGTGGCGTGTCCCCATCTGACTGAGGCTTGATAGTCGTGCCCTCGACCGAGCGGCCATCTCTCAGAACCCCACTTAGGCAGTCCCGCTGCTTCACCAAGCAGCTGATGTGCGCTGGAACCGGGTGATACAGATCCCGCTGGTCATCGCCGCAAAATCTCTTTAGCAGCCACTCCTCCTGGCCGTCACCTTTCTCCCATGTGCTCGGAACCCAGCCGGCTATATCAGACCAGAGATATGGTGTCCAGAAAGTCTGTACTGGATTCATGGGCCGTGAATCGGTGTCGTCGGGTGGCCTCTCCTCCAGATCCGCGTTATCGTAGTCGATGAGTACAATTCGAGGAAGGTAGAGACCGCCGAACATTTCTGACTCTGCAGTGGGACGCTGGATCGGAACAAGGACGATGTTGCACCCCGCGAAATCGCCCTGTCTGACACCTGCCTGCATTTGCCTGACGTACCCATCCATAGCCCGTGCAAGCACCTCGAGTCGGTATTCTTCGGGATAGTGGAATGTGTGTGTAGCCGCCTCCCTGTTATAGCTGTTTTGCATGCAGGACGCTTGAATGCTAACACCGTTAAGGTGCTCCATTAGAATCATGCGAACTGGTCTTTCCGTGGTCACCCCTTTCAGAACGATAGGCAGAGTGAATGTCCACGATCCATAGTATATGGGGGTAAAATCCCCCGTCTGACCAGCCTTTTGAAGGGCTTCATAAGCCCATGTCTCAACCATAAAATCTTCATCCGCTTCGAAGACAGTGTCACGTGGATAGTGGCCGAAACTGTGCTCGAAGCTATAGTAAAGTGGGTCATATATCTTCGCGACCGCAGTAAATGGCTCCCCGTCCCGCAACACGACTCTGCACGCCACAATTTGCGGCCCTCGAGCAGAGCCAACAGCGATGGGGGAGGTAATAACCAGGTCAGCAGTTTCCGCCTGCGGAGAAGCAAGCGGGATTCCCTGCTCAGGAGGGTTGGCAACGACTGCTTGACTATGAGACACTTTCTCCAGGTATTCCTGCGAGAGCCGCGGCCTCTCTTCAAGTCCCAGGTGCTCAAGCTCCTCCGCCGTGGAAAACGCGGGCGGCGGTGCGTGTCGGGAGACCTGGATAGAGAAGCCCGGACGATAGGGTAAGTTTGGCTTGTCAGGGTCCTCTGGGGCCTGCCAGAAGGTGATGTGGCTGAGACGAGCAGACCACCTGTCAGCTTTTGGCAGTGTGTCTCCTGAAGTGTCCGGCACGGGCTCCATGTCTTCGTGTTCGGGGATGACACAATAGCGGAGGATTGGTTTGAAAATATATGATGTTGGAAAGTTGGCGAGAATGGCGATGCGTAGATGAAAGTGGGTCAATTGCTGCCTAGTCGGTCTTGAGCGTCAACGGTTTAGCACTGTACGAAGGCGCCGCATACGGTTTATATGTATAGGGGTTAGAAACGAAACCACCCTATGGCAATTAGAAGCAAAATCACATGTTAGAATGTATAGCCATTGATGACATGAAGTGGAACAACAGCAGAATTCATGTTTTCTTCCGTACCAGCTCTCAAGGTTGAGCATTGGGGTCTCCACAATGCACGCCCGGCTGCCCCGAGGAAACCAGGACGAAACGAGCGTGAATTGAAAACGGTGCACTTGTAACTATGAGGAAAAGTTCTTCAGCCGTGCTTATGATAAGTGGGTGCTTCATGACAGGGTCCTTCTGACAGGTTGCTTCGCAGATAATGCCAGCACACCATACCAAGTATGCAAGAGGTGTTGATACCTAGGTATCGCCTTGCAACTTGCAGAGACTATTCAAAACTACGTCACGAATTAATAAACGCTGGGCCAGATATGAATTATCCTGAAATCCAAGCATTCCTGACACACGCAAACCCAGTCCCAGACATGGCATTATCAAATCGCCATGTCAGCGGGCCCATGCCAACATGCCAACCAACCGAATCCTTCGCCGGTTAAACCCGGGGACCCAAACATGAATACGGTAAGGGGCGAGCGTGAGAAATCCGGGGCATTGCCAATTCCTCATCTCTCACTCGCACACTTATTACTCACTTCACTCACTCACCTCTAGTCCTTTTTGTAGTCGCCCATCTCTCTCTCTCACACATACACACACACACACACACCATCACGATGGCCGCCACCCCCGCAAAGGTGCCCGAGGGCATCGACCTGTACTCCCGCTTCGCCCTCGCCGGCGCCCTGGGCTGCTCCGTGACGCACGGCGCCTTCACCCCAGTCGACGTGTCCGTTCAGTCCAGATGTCCCCATCCGCCCCCCCCCCCCCAGCCCCTACCCAGCCTTGACCACACACGCTGACACCCCAAAACCAGCGTCAAGACCCGCATCCAGCTAGACCCAAAGACCTACAACCGCGGCATGGTGGGCGGCTTCCGGCAGGTGATGCAGCACGAGGGCGCCGCCGCCCTGCTGACGGGGTTCGGCCCCACCTTCACGGGCTACTTTGTCCAGGGCGCCTTCAAGTTCGGCGGCTACGAGTTCTTCAAGAAGCAGGCCATCGACCTGCTGGGGATCGACGCCGCGCGCCGGAACCGCGCCGCCGTGTACTCCGTCTCGGCGGCCAGCGCAGAGTTCTTTGCGAGCATCGCCCTGTGCCCGCTCGAGGCCACGCGCATCCGGCTCGTGTCGACGCCCGGGTTCGCCAGGGGGCTCGTGGGCGGGTTCGGCAGGATCCTGAGGCAGGAGGGCGTGGGGGCTTTTTATTCTGGGTTTGGGCCTATTCTGTTCAAGCAGTACGTTTTCTGCTTTCTTTTTTTTGTGTGGAAATCCCGGATGATGAACGGGAACCCTTGGATGCTGGAAGGGGGTGTATTGTGGACCAGACTGGGCTGACATATACATCAGGGTCCCCTACACGGTAACAAAATTCGTGGCCTTCGAGAAGATCTCCGAGGCCATCTTCGTGCAGGTCGACAAGTCCACCCTGTCCAGCGGCGGCCAGACGGCCGTCAACCTGGGCTCGGGCCTCCTCGCGGGCTTCGCGGCGGCGATCGTCTCCCAGCCCGCCGACACGATGCTGTCCAAGATCAACAAGACGAAGGGCCTGCCCGGCGAGAGCACCGCGTCGCGCCTCGTCAAGATCGGCCGCGAGCTCGGCGTCCGGGGCTCCTTCGCGGGCCTGCCCACGCGCCTGTTCATGGTCGGCGGGCTGACTGCGGGCCAGTTCGCCATCTACGGCGACATCAAGAAGGCCCTTGGTAAGTTTGACCGCCTGCCCCCTCCTGTTTTCCCGGGGGGCGTCCCTGGCCTCCGGGGCCGGCAGCTTTGTACTGACTGTGCGTGTGTGTTTCCCTAGGCGCTACGAATGGTGTTGAGATTGCCAAGTAGGCGGACGATACGGCCTGGATAGAATACACGGACGGCGTTGATGCATGGGGGACTAACTAGACGGCTCAGCAGAGAGATCCGACGAGTGGGGATCAGCATTGACGGCGTCAACATTGGCCAATGCGTACCCTCTCGCGCTTTTGAGAGGGGGCGGTACTGTAGACCACCCGTGGCCCTTGCATTTGCATTAGATTATTACCTGTAGACATGTTTCTCATTACGGACGGACGAGTACATTGGTGGCATGCGCAAGTCCGTGGACTGGAATATGCGTTGATGGATCAATAATTAACCCACAATACTGCGAGGTCAATGGACAATATCTAATGGTCCTTCCCTTCCTGGCTGATGTTCACAGCATGTGTCCTGTGAACCGCTTCATTTCTAACATGTGTTCTACACATCAAGATGGTGGAAAGAGAGAGCAGCACTCAGCTACATGCTATTGCGGCACCCAGCAGCACTGTCTTGTCAGGATATCCTCAAATTCGTACACGGCCGACCATATCGGCCCATCATCTATGGAGCAAAGTAGTCTACATATTTTTGATCCGTTCAGAACCCCCCCCCACCTCACGGCATATGAAAAACCACCTATGTGGAAGATGGGTTTACCTCATTATGTGTGAAACAGAAACACGCGAAAGCCTCACTGAAAACGAGGCCGCCCAGTCAGTACAGTACTCCTATGCAGATGCCGCCGCCAGCAAACGATAAAGACCAAGTACGTGTGTGACGCGAACCTATCTAGGTAGAGAAGAGAGTTAGGGGCAGCGGGCGGGACGGGACTAGAGCGGTGAGAGCCACACCCCAAAGGCTGTATGTAATATCACAGCCCAGAGGTCAGGGGATTATGAACGTCATCATATCACGGCTTCTTGTCCGACCCGTCGCCGCCCGCGCCGCCGGGGCCGGGCGTGAACCAGCCCGTGAAGGAGGACTTCATGCTGTTCATGGCCTCCTTCTGCGCGGCCTCCTGCAGCGCGGCCTCCTCCTTGAGCCACTTCTCGCCGTTCTCGCGGATCATCTTCTCCATCTCCTCGTAGTTCTTCTGCCCGCGCTCGCGCGCAATGTCCTGCAGCATCTTGCCCTGCGCGAACGCGGTCGCCGGGTCCTGCTCGCCCTCGGGCAGCACCATGACGCTCAGGTTCTGCGGCTTCAGGCCGAACAGCCCCCCCAGCGCCGCCATGCCGCTCTGGCCCCGGTGCGGGTGCCTCCGGCGCTCGGCCTCGAGCTGCTTGTTGAACTCGGCGCGCGCGATGGCCTCGCGGCGCGCGAACTCGGTCGGGATGTGCTTGCCCTCGAACGACTTGAGCACCTTGCGCACGTCGCTGTACTGCATCGTGTGGATGTACTCGAGGAAGGGGATCAGCGACACCAGCTCCGTGTCCTTGGGGTCGCCGGTCCACTTGGGGAGCACGATCGCGTTCTCGGGCTGGGCCTTGACGTGCTGTGGGTTCGTGTCGATCATGATGACCTTGGAGAGGTCTCGGTTCAGGTAGGCGAGATCCTGCGGGCGGGGGAGGAGGGTTAGCGAGCTTTGGCTACTGGGAGAAAAGGTCGTGCCGGGGGGGGGGGGCAGAAAGGAGTTTGCTAACCTTTACAATCTCACCATCCTTATACTTGGTGGCCTCTCGGAACAGCGGCCAGACAATAAATCGGTAAGGGTCTAGCTTGCGCACGAGAGGCTCACCCATGGCAAAAGGCACCGAGGTGAAGAGGACAAGCTCATAATACTGGCTGAGGTAGTGCAGGAAGTAGTCGGCGCCAGGGCGCTTGGCCAGCCGCCAGCCGTGCTCACGGGTCCATTCGCTGTGCACAAGCATGTCCTCGAGGCTGATGCACAACGTGTATGGCCGCTCGAACATGGGGTCTGGGTCGGGCAGCAGCTTCTCGAAGGCAGGCTCGTGGTAGTAGGTCAGTACCTCGCTCATGCGCGTCGAGGCGCGGTTCCACCAGAGACCGAGGCCCCAGCCGTTGGGGACCTCTGGGTGCTTGCCCTCTTCCTCGTCGTCCCAGTTCCGGCCGAGATAGACGACGCCGCCCACCATACCGGCGAGGGCGCCGGCAAACATGTAGTTTGCGAACCGTTGGCGGCGCTTCTCGGTGGAGGATATGTATGCTGAGGCAGGCAGCTCGCCCTTGCCACGCCCGCCGCCTGGGCTTGTGGGCGCATCCTCCTCGACCCTCTCCAACGCGGCCTTCTCGTTGGCGGCGGCCTGCTCGAAGGCAAAGGTGGACGGGATACCCTGCGTAAGGTCGGGAAGCTCAGACAGGGGGATCTGCTTCTCGGGGGCCTCGGGGGTCTTGTCGGCGGCTGGCTCGACAGGCTTCGCAGGTTCGGGCTCGACAGCCTTTGGTTGTTCTGGGGCGGGCTGCTGTTCTGGCTTGGCTGGTTTTTGGGGTGTATTTGACGAGGGCCCGAATCGCGAAGATGGTTTGTTGTCCTTGGCCATGCCCCTACTCCATATTATCGACGTCGTTGTCAATGCAGGCAGGGCTCTGCGGGTGGGTGCGGCAGAGACCCATCTTGACGCAGCACCCGACTGGGCCAGGCGCAGGGCTGCCCGTGAGAGCATGATGGATGACCTGTGGATGTGGGGGTGGAGGGGTGTGTTCGACCTGCTCCGAGAAAGAAAGATACAAGGTCCAAGTCGTGGTTGCTGCTGCCAGATTATAGCCCAGACAGGCGCATTGTCGGGGAGAGGCGGGCAGGATTGTCGAGGGTGGAGGGTGGAGTGGAATCGAATCCCAAGTCGAGCCGAGTCGCCAGGTTATTTCGTCACCATAGAAAATTCAGAAGGCGACAAGCTCATCCGCCGGACGGGAAGGGCTGGCCCGAGCTCCTCGAGAGCTGTTATCGGTGGGGTGACGTCCCGGTTATCGCCTCGCACGAGGGTTAGGGGAGGCTCTGTGGGGCAGGTGTGGAGTCAAACGGCTGAACGCTAGTGTTCACGTGTGCCGTCCATTACGGCAGTGACGGTACGGAGTACGGAGTACGGAGTGCTACTTTGCAGTCTTGGCACTTTATTAGTCCGTCTCCCGTCAATCCCATGCGATGCGACTCGACTTGACGATGCTCCCCTCTTGACTTGGTTCCCCGCAAAGCATATGCAACCTCTCTCCGTCTCTCTCCCCCGCCTCACACGACACAACCTAATCTGAACTTGCCTTGGTGATCGATCGAGTTGTCTGTCTTGTCCAGTACATTAACTGTTGCGACCCTCTCCAAGAACCACCTTCTCTGCTTGTTCTTGTCTTCTGCTGCGTCGCCACTTCTGCCACCACTTTCGAACCTGCAGGCCGTCGTCACCTGCAGTCCATGTTCTCCACCAGCACCAAGTCTCCATCCTCCCAAGTCTTCACGATGGCCGGTGCGGATGCTGCTTTCTGAGGGTGGTTCCCAGTCGTCGGTCTGCCTCCCAGTTAGCACTCACGATGGGACCACCCTCTGAGTCCTGCAAATCATCGTCATCATCAATTGGATCCACCTTCAACAATCACGCATAGGAATCAAACCAACCCCAGTCGGCGTAAACTCGCAGCATTTCGCCCCCGAATCGGGACTTCCGGCCCTTCCACCACGGAGACCCTGAAATCGAGAATACCGAACCCACTCATATCCACCACCACAACAATCACGACGCCATAGTCCCTACCACACGAGTACAATCCAATCGGCCTTGGATTGCATCACGCGACTACGTTTATTCAGCATACAAGATACCCATCGGCGTATTTCATCGACGCCACCAGCACGACCACCACCACGAAGGTTACTGTTGAGCACACCAAGTCGGAGTTTTACGGACATCGCCACCAACAACTGACACCACCAACCCCTCACCCCCTCCACCGACTCCCGCAATGGTTCGCAGGCCGGCCAAGGGGGCCCGAGCCAGGGGCCTCGCCTCCCCCACGCCCATCTCGTCCAGCGTCACCACCCCGATCAGCTCCGCCCTCACCTCCGCCTACACCACCGAGGCCGAGCTCGACCCCGACGACCCCAACAACCTGGCCATCGGCGCCCTGACCCTCGACGTCCCCATCGCCAACAGGAAGCCCAAGAAGGAGGTGGTCCAGCCCTTCCGGTTCATGGACCTGCCCTCGGAGCTGCGGGTCAAGATATACGCCTTCCACTTCGCCGACGTCGGGCCCGTCGTGGACCTCGAGCCGGGCAACTACTTCACCATCCACAAGAAGCTGTGCGTCCTGCGCGTGTGCCGCCAGTTCTACCGCGAGGCGTCGCACGTCTTCTACAGCGCCCGCACCTTCCGCGTGTTCCCCATCGACGGCCGCTACTCGCGCAAGAAGCTGGGCCTGCTCGCCCGCCTCAAGCCCCAGTCGCGCGCCCACCTCACCTCCCTCGAGCTGCGCCTGGGGCCCGGCTTCAACAAGCCCTACCGCAGCTGGGCCGTCAGCGACCTGCTCGGCCTGCGGGACTGCGCCGGCGTCCGCCGCCTGTCCGTCCACGTCGAGATCGACCCCAGCGACAACATCTTCAACGGGTGGCGGCGGTCCACCGGCTTCTACGAGGCCTTCTCGCAGGAGCTGCTGGGCGGCCTGCTGGACGGCCTGCCGGGCGTCGAGTCGGTGCAGTTCGACGCCAACACCGCCGTCAAGAGGGCGGGCGACATGATGCAGGGCCTGCTGGCGGTGGTCGCCGCCAGGGACCTCCCCGTCACCTGGGGCCCCGAGAGGGGCTGGACCGACAACGAGGACGACGAGGTCGACCACGAGCCCCCCATGGGCCCGACCGCGGCGATTGATTGGAGCCTGCCCCCGCACGCCGTCATGGCCGCACTGGCGCAGGAGGTTTTGGCATAGGAGGTTGTGTTTTGGGCGTTGGAGTTTTCTGATTTGGGCTAAGGAGGCGTATATTGGAATTTGGTCCATGGTAGCAGTTTTGAAGCTTTTGTTTACAGTGTGCAGCTTTGCAAGGCAGGATGGTCTGGCTCGGCGAGGACTCTCTGCTCACCACGATTGACGGATGGCGCTCAGTTTTCCGGCTCTTTGAACAGTCATGAATTAACGACTGCTGGTTGCTTTATTGGATGCTTTTGTTTCACGAGGGGATGCAATCATCACCGACTTGCGGACTTTTGGGCGCCTTGGGGGACATGGCATAGCATGGCAGCTGGATCGGCATCAACATGGTGACTACCTAGGTGTCTATATAGCAAATAAATCCTCGTAACCAGTATACACATACTCAAGACCCACCACCACCACCACCACCAACCACAGACACCCCCCCAAAATCAACAAGACTGACAACCTCCCGAATCCTGCCCCCCTCGAACCAATAAAACACAATCTCCCCAATGTCCACGCGCCCCCCACCCCCACCACCCGCAGGCGCCGCCGCCGCCGCCAGCGTCCCCCGGAACCGCAGCCGCGCCGCGACCAGCCCCCTCGCCCCGTCGGCCAGCAGCCCCTCCACCTCGACGTCGACGTCGGGCACGGCGGCGCGCACGGCCTGCCCGAGGCCGTGGTACGCTGGTATGCCGAGGGGGCGGCGGTTGTGTGTTACCGTGGGCTGGTGGAGGAAGGCCGGCAGGGCGGGGAGGGCGGTGGTGGGGGGCGACATGAAGGTTTTGAGGTAGGTTTTGTAGGTCTGCTTGAGGGAGGGGTGTGGGTGTGGATGTGTTGGGATTGTGGATGTGCGGTGGGGTGGGGGTGGTGTTTGGGGCTGGGGCTGGGACTGGGACTGGGATGCGCCGCCGTGGGTGTCGTCGAGGATCACTGAGGTGGAGGAGGGGTCTGCGCCGGCGGCGGAGGTTGTGGTGGTGAAGATGTGTGCTGCCAGCTCTGTGGGCGGCTTTGGGCTGGGTGTGATGTCCCGCAGCGTGAGGATGAGCCTGGCCGCGACGAGGGGGGACTCTGGGTCCCTGACGAGGAGGTCGAGCTCCGAGGCGAGGATCTCGTGCCTGGCCTCGTTGATGGTTATCTCTGCGCGCTCGTGTTCTTCGCCCCTGAGGTGCCGGCTGAGCGCTTTGAGGATGGCGGCGGTGGTTGCTGCGTTTGGGGGCATCGTGATTACATGTATGCTTCGTTCTTGTGAGTAGACAACAATCAGTTAGGTCTTTGGGCCGGTTGGGCGAAGGCCTCGAGCCGGTCTGGAATTGTTGGTTCGAGGGCAGGGAGCATGAGCAAACTGCTTTGTGAATCTAGAGTAGCTACTTAAGTAGCTACCTAAGTAGTAACACATCCACGCCCTGTGAGCGCGCCCTGCGTGATGTCATTCCCAGCACTGACGGGCCAGGGGGTCAGCATTGTAGCTTAGCGACCATGTCAATCCAAAGAATTTGTGGCCTGAGATTCATTAATGTCACCAATTCGCAGTCCAATTCTGCAACCGCCTCCTTTTTTACCCGGGCACCTAGCTCTGCAGACCATCTAACAGGAGTGTGTTTGGGGACCGAAAAGCTTGTAGAATTAGTTGTGTGAACTAGCTTTGTTGTCAGTGTGTCTATCCGGGCACAGTTAGATTTAGAGAATGGATATTCATGTAGGAAAAAACAAATGGTATATAAGTATAGTATTTCCTTTTAAATAATATAATGCTAGCTTATAAGTAGATTAATTTAGAATACTACCTTATATACTTTTAGTATTTTATTTAAAAGTTATTAAATAATTAACTTTATTATTTTATATTTTTTAAATTTAATTAAAATATTATAAATCTTAAAACTATATTTAAATAAAGTTTTTATATTATTTTTAATTATATTTAATTCTTTTATTTTTATAAAATATTAAAGTTTATATAATATTAATATCTTTAATATTATAAGATTTAATATATACTTATTAAAACTAATTTCTATAATATTATATTAAGATATTTTAATTAAAAATTATAATTTTAGATTATTTTATAATTTAAAATTTAATACTTATAAATTAATACTTTTATACTTATAATAATTAATAAAGAAAATATTATTTATAAAATAATATATTCATTTTTATAATATTAATATTTTAATTAAAAACTAATTTTAAAAAACTTTAAAGGAAGTATAATATTTTATAAATTATTTATTTTATTATTTTTATAATTTTAATTAAAAGCTTAAAACCCTTAGATTTTCTTAATAAATACTTAACTAATATAAGTTAATAAAGTCCTATATTTACTACTAATAATACTATAGATACTTATTCCCTATATATTTTAATCCGCTCTACTATCACTACTTTAAAGGCCGCGCATTTAGAGGCGATCGTGAGTGATCTAACCTCTAGGAATGAGCCTAACAAGATAGAGTGTATTTCCACACACCAAGCGCTTAATATCAAGTCTAGGCCTATCTCTAAAAACGGCTTGAGTTTTGGAGTTGAGATAAGGTTAGTAAGGGATGTGCGCAAAGCATATAATTTGTGGTGAGAAATCTAGTTCGTCGTGGAAAGAGGGCTACTTAAGCCTGACGGAACACGAAAAGGGCACTAAGGAACGGTGTTAGAGAATTTTAACAAGTTAAAAACGAGACGACGTACCACTGTCGTGCCAGGTAAATCGCAAGGTGTAGCCTAGATAGACTCTATCCCTAGTCAGGAAACAAGACACGCTGTAAAGACGGACCATTGATGGCGCATCTTGTAAGCAATTTGTGACTAAATCACATCACATCGGTACTAAACACTAGGCAGAATGGAAGAATATACTGGAGTATCCTGGCGATATTGCAGTCTGAGCATTGACGAGGAATCCGTACATGACCGCCGGTCTTTTGGAAAAGAAAGCGGGACGAGGACAGTCAACTATTAATCTCAGACATGGGATTCTCTAATATAGAGTCGTGCCACTACCAGAGGTGGCTCTTCCAGCTACCTAGGTACACGCCTGGCTCGCGGCCGCTGGCTCAAGCAATCAGGAGGTTTTCGCACTTGTGCAAATCGAACATGTCTCCTTCCATCGCGCCATGCACATATGCCTCGCCAACAAATTGATACGGACCACTATCCCCGTCCCTCCGCAACAACACCGGCACCTTGCCGCCGCGGAGGACGAATATCTCGTCCCCGAGCGCAGACCACCGGGGAGCCAGCCCAACCAGGCCGTTTGTCCCGCAGAAGAGCTCCCGCTCGGCTGAGATCTGCCTGCGCGCGTGGTACTCCCAGTTCCTCATAATGTACCGGTACCCGCACCGGCGCAGAAGCGGCTCGGCGGCGAGCGGTCCTATGAACGCCACGGCCATGATTGCGTAGCCCAGGAGCAACCTGGAGCACCCCCGGCCAAGCGTGAGGAGCCGCCAGACCCTGAGCTGGAGCTGATCGTTCTCGTACAACGGCCGCATCTTCTCTATGGTCTCGTGGGTCTCGCCCAGGAGGCAGGTACGCATAACCGCGTCTCCCATGCTCTCCCCCGTGTGCGTGTAGTGACCACTGCTCCTGGCTATTAGTTCTCCTGCCATCTTCTGCCATTCCATCTTGGTGTTCAGCATACGCAAACCGTCGCGGACTATACTGCTCACGTGCAGTGTGTTGGATTCGATTTGAGCCGTGGCGCGCATCCTGTAGGCGTCTAGCATGTCTCTGCCAGGGGCAACTCCAGCAGTCACCTCCCGGACCCTCCCGATGAGCTGCCCTGTTATCTCCATGACGCCGTCATCCCGAATCCTCGGCGCAGCAACAGGACCGCCGCCTGCTCGGAATTGTTTCAAGGAGCTGACCTCAAAGTGCGGGAGCATCCCCATGCCTGTCAGGCTGTGCGGTCCGTTGGCGTCGCTGAAGTCCGGAGCCCAAGACGGTAGACCTTTGGGACGATCCGGGCTCGAGGGGTCCCCACCCAGACCAAGAATGTCCAGGCAGCCATCACGGACCGCCCACCTGGTCGCCTCCAGGAACACAGAACTCGCACTGGCCCCGTAATCCGGTTCCAGGGGCGGGGGCTGTTCCGACGCCAAGCCCATGAGACCGTAGATGTGATCCCGGGGATCTGTCGCCGCGGCCACACGGTGCTGAGACAGGACCTGGTCCAGGGGCTTGGGACTGCCGGCTCGTATGTTCATGCGGCACGCCTGCAGGGCTCTGAGGCGCGAGAAAAAGTGACACACGGCCCGGCGGCGCGGGTCGAAAATTTCAATCTCGAGTGACTCGACAAAGGCCATGACCCTGGTGAACTGCTCCCATGACGTCTCCATGTTTGTGTAGTGGACCTTGACCTCCCTCGGCCACGCGACCTCTTGCACGACCCAGACGCGGCTGAACCAGGGCGAGTCGAAGAGCCCGTAGAAGAGGCTCCAGCGTCCGCCATTCTCGCTGGGAAGGCCGTACCTCACGAGCTCGGCCTTGGTCATGTTTCGGAGAGGTCTTTTGCTCCGTACCTTGGGCCCAAAAACCGGGTCACTCTCCAGCCCATCGTCTTCAGCCAGCTTTGCTATGGTTTTTTCAATCCTCTGATAGAGTCCGGGCAACTCGGACCTCTGAGCGACGAGAGATTCTGGGAGTGCAGGCAGCCCCACCCTGAGCCAGACGATGGCACACCTGGTGGAAGAATAGATCTTCTGCATCAGTTTGACTTGTGCAGACCTCTCTTCGTTGTCCTTCTGGTTGATGCATATCTGGTCGACCCAAAGGACTCGCTCATCTTTCGTATGTCTGAGGTACACCAGGGCATCGTGCAGTGTATCTGTGATAGCAAGAGCCGCCGCCGGAGCCAGGCCGTCGTTTGTTGCCGCCGGCGATGATGATGAATGGCATTCTATGTGATTGTTGCTCGCGCGCCGGCCCCAGCAATACGATAGAGCTTCGTATGTGGGGTTTTCTTCCAGTTTAACGGCGGCAAGAGTGCATTGCAGTTTGTCCCCGGGCGAGCCTGGATGCAGGCGAATGACACGGATGCTATCTGGCGCCGTGAGCGGGCAATCAGGATAACATGAACCGGTATTCCCGGTTCCGGCTTCGCTCGGATATTCTCCAGGTGCCGCTGAGCGGAGCTTGGGGCGAACCACGAATGTGTTTACCAGCTGTACGGACAGGCCAAGCATCGCCATATTGACCAGGAACCTGGCAAGAACGGCTCCCCCGGTGCAGATTTGCAGGACGATGATCTGCTCTATTGTCGACATATCTTCTTGCCCTTCTAGTGCGTAAAAGCACAGGTAAAGAAGCGAAACGTATGATATAGGAGCCGGGTAAGACCTGAGGGCATTAACGCAAGCCCGAAGAGCCTGCGCCGGGAGTCTATGCTGCCGCACCAGCCCTCGATCTTCCATCACTATTGGATCCTCTTCCACAAGTCCCTCATTTTTTGTGCTGCTGGACATATTGAAACAGGCAATGACGCTAATGAGTGCCATCGGCAGTATCGTGCTTTGTGGTTGCGACATGTGTGTGTACACGCTAGACGACTTAGCAAACCTTGCGTTCCGAAAAGAGATTTTAGCAAGACTCACACAACGACAAAGGACACTGCTCCAACGCCAACTGCAACCATGATTCGGTTCATCAAATCAAAGTGTGTAAAATTCTCCAAAGTCTCGGCCGTTTTCCGCGATTCTGAGTCTTCGGGGAGAGCGATAATGGACAATATGAGTAGAACCGCGTTCATAATGGCAAGAACGGAGGAACTCTGTTGCCACGAGGATACATGGCTCAATAAGAAGCCAAGAAAGCTCGCGTACAAGGGACCAGTAGCCAGTGCTGGAAAGAAACGAGTATATCTTATCGGCCCGGGGCGATGCCACGACCAGCCCACGTAGTCCAGGGACGCCGTCTGCGTCACGGCCACAAGGAACCCTATAAGTATGCGTAGGATCAAGAATTGGTTGTCAGTGCGGGCAAACCCGCATGCAAACGTCAAGGAGCACAAAGTGCCGCTCGCGAGCAACCACATTTGCTTGGAGCTAATGTGGCCGAATCTGGGCAGTAGTGCAATCCCGATTAAGAGAACGGGAGCATATTGGGGAATGCGCTCGAGTACAGGCCTCATGGGGGACGTGGTAAGGCCAAGTATATCGTTCAGAACTCCTACTGCTGCGAAGCCGTTCAAAGGGATGCCAACCGCGGCTATGATAGTAAGCACGGTCTTGAAGTTGATTTTCTCGTCATCTTCCTCATCGCGGCTGTCAGCCGATGTTTGGACCCGGCCTAGACCAGGCGAGGCGCTGTTCGCCGGTGTCGATCCAGTTGAAGACATTGGAGCCACCGATGCCGCCATGGGGCCGCAGTGTGGGGGGTTGGATTGAACGAAATCGTTGCTCCTAGTGCAATATGTGGCAGCCGTAGGGCGATAGCCCTGGCGGAATGGATGGGAAGATGTCTGGACGACGGGGAAGTGTCTGTTATCTGTCTAGACTGTTATTCCTTCGAAGGCATCAAGTACTAGTAGGCACCCATCAGGCCAGTAGCCACATCAGGAAGCAGATACGTCAGTGTAAGGCGCAGCAGACCAGGGCCCCTGCGGGTGCCGCGCAGTGGACAACCAGCGTGCAAAAGTTCTAACCGTCAACTGGTTGGCGGTCTCTACTCTGGTGGGGCCGATTGCTTGAACCCAGAGCCCCGTAAGATCACTCACCGCAGTGTCGACAATACAAAATTGCAGAGAGCGCCAAAGGCTCTATACGCTCTGGAGCAAGATGACCGAGGGAAGATAAGGAAGACCGAGTGCCTCGCCACCAAAGGATACCCCTATAGGGTGGAGACCATATTGTAGCTTCAGCGGTGCCCACTGCGCGCAGGATTCAGCTGAAACGGCTCTTATCGAGCGGTGGGTGACCAGTGGGATCCACCCATTGTATCCTTGGAACGCTCCATTGTCTATAAATACCGGCTTCCTCCGCTCACTAGTATTGATAGTTGAGAAACCAGTCAATTTGCTCTATTCGATATGCCCTGCTCGGAATCGTGACAGCTTTACTGCCCTACGCCTAGAGAAATGGGACCCATAGAGCTCGTGAGGATTCCAAACTTGGACCATCCATCTACACTCGGTTCTTCTCCCAGTTGAGCGGGCTGTTATCAGTGCCTAATTAGAAGGCAACGTTTAGTGCTTGAACTTATCTATAGGGGATCTAGAATGACGATTAAGTATTAGAGTTACCGCTCACTACACTACATTTAGATATAAATAAGCCTACTAGACTTATTATATTAAAATCTTTTTTTAAATCGAAATATATTATATTAGAAGGCTTTTATAATTTAATAATTTTAAAAATTAATATAAAGCGTAGAGGGTAACTAAGTGGATGAAAAAAGAAAATAAAATTAAGTTAGAGATTATATTAGATAAGTTTTAGTGGTTAACTCTTCTCTCTGCCCTCCCCCTTTTGTCCCCCGTCTTTACCTACTACATTACCACCACACATATAGACCCTATGAGCGTGCCCTGCGTAATGTCATTCCCAGTATTAACGGGCCGGGGGGTTAGCATTGTAGCTTGGTGACCATGTCAATCCAGAGCGGTACCTGTTTTTATCAATACGTAGTTAATTGCTGCAAGAGCCTCGTCGTTGACTGGGACGGTCTAACAACAGCCTGTGTTGGATATTGAAAGGCTTCGTGAGCTATGCCAACTCCCAATGTTGTGAGTGTCTTATCCCGACGCTGGTGAAGTGCTCTAAAATTGTATAAAAAAAGTGATGGTGGTGAGCAATGATCAATATAAGGCGACCCGCCCACATCTAGACCAACCCCTAATTCAGACCACCTAGCCACACTATAACATACTTCATTTTCTCCACTAGTTTATACTTTAAAATAATATAACTTATACTAGATTTAAGAACTATTACTTTTATTTTATATAAAAAGTTAGAAATCTAACTATATAAACTTTTAGAATAATTTTATAAATATTAACGTTTTTTATTATATATAATAATAATCTTTAATAAACTTCTAATAGTAATTTTAAAATATTATTTAAAATTAAAAGTTATTAAAATTTATATATTATTTATTTTATTTATAATTAATATATAAAATTATAAATAATATAAAGTCTTTATATTATATAATAATACTTTAATTAAAAATCTTTAATTTTAAATTACTTTAATTAAAAGCTTAATATTAATTAACTTATTTTATTATATTCCTCCTTTAAAGTCTTTTAAAACTATAAATTATAAATAAAAAGTAGTTTTAAAATAATTAAATTTTAATATATAAAGATTAACTACTTATTATTATTATAATATATAATTAATAAAAGATTTTAAACTTTTTAAATAAAATAAAAAGTTTAATATTAAAGATAAAATTGTTTAACTAATTTTAAGATTTTATTAACACTTAATTTATAGTAGATTCTTTAAATTTTAAAGGTTTAAACCTATATCTTTAATTACCTTAAAATTAAAATAAATCCTTATAATACTAAATAAGGACACCTTAACTAAAAGACTATAATTCTAAGTTACTCTAACTTAATATCTAGCACTTATTAACCTATACCGTTCCAATTAGTATCTGGAGAAATAAGTGTTTAACAATAGTGTGTTTTGGTGGAAAACGTGGTCCGAATTAGGGGGTGGTCCGGATGTGGGCAGGTCACCTTATTCCTAAATTATCATTCTACTAGTACTCCGCATAACTTGAATATCACGCCTTCAGCCCCGTCACACCCCGCTGCTTCATATGCGCCGCCCGGGCAACAACAAACAACAGGCCGCCGACCCCCATCATAATCCCCGCAAACACCTTCATGCCCACGTACATCTGCACGATCCCCACCCCCTCGCCGCCGCGCACGAGCGCGCCCCCGATGGGCTGCGCGATCAGGATCGCCGGCGACGCGGCCAGGTACGTCGCGCCCGAGAAGACGCCGACCTGCCGCATGTCCGGGCACACCTCGACCACGAGCGTCGGCATCAGCGACACGAACACGCCCGACGTGATCCCGTAGAGCGCCGCGTAGGCCATGCGCGCCGCGGTGTTGTCCTCCGGCGCCGGGACCCACAGCGCCAGCGTGAAGACCGCTGATAGGAGTGTGAAGAAGATGGTCACGTTGAACCGGCCGAGTCGGTCGCCTGCCCAGGCGGGGACTATGCGGCCGATGATGCTGGGGGGTCTGTCAGTGGCTGACATGGATCCTAGCAGAAGGAAGACGGGGGGCACAGAAGTACGCATCTCGTTCGACACTCACCTTGTCGCGCTTAGAACCACGAGGAGATTGTTTGCTTGGCTTTCGCCCATGCCGCTGTCGACGCCCTCGTCGACGAGGAAATTGTAAGGGAGGAATACCCCGAGGAAGAAGAAGAAGGCCGCGAGGGCAAGTTTGATCAGGTAACCATTCCTCAGAGGGGCGACAACGTCCAGGACCCTGAAAGGCTTGGGCGTATGCACGAGCCGCGACTTGACCGTGACAAGGGCGAAGGCCAGCAGGGCCAGGTAGAGGAATGCCGTTGCCCGTATGGTCTCGGGGAAGCCGATTCTCTCCACCAGGGTGGGTATGGAAGCACTGCGTTGCATGTCAGCCAGCCTGGCGCAAATAACACAAGGGAAATGACAGCCACAAGCACAAGACAAACTTACGTGCCCACCACACCCCCAACCGAGCTCCCAGAACTCACAATCCCCATCGCAAACGCCCTCCTCCTCCGGAACCACGTCCCCACGGCATTATTGCTAGCCCAGAAGATAGCACTGGCCCCCATGGCGCTGAAGACGGCCTGCGCGAGGAACACCTGGTAGTACTCGCGGCAGTAGCTGAGCAGGACCAGCCCGAGGACGTGGAACAGCGTGCCCGCGAGCAGCAGCGGCCGGGGCCCGTAGCTATCGAAGACGCGGCCGAAGACGGGCGCGCCCAGGAAGAGCAGGCACGTCTCGACCGAGGGGATCCACGCGATGGTGCTGGCCGGGTAGGACGAGAGCAGCTGCCGCGAGTAGTAGGACTGGAAGTCGCCGATGCAGGTGATCCACCCGAAGGACACGAAGAGGCAGCACCAGCTGCCCGCCACGACGGTCCAGGCCTCTAGCCCGCCGTCTGGCAGCTCGCTGGGGCTGGGGGGCTGGGCCGCGGGGTGGCCATCGCCAGGCGGTGGTGGTGGTTCCCGGTGTTTTTCTTGGGCGGGGTGGTGTGGTTGGGTTCTTTCCTGTGGGATGGTCACCACGGGCGAGGTGCCTGGCACACGTTGAGGTCCTCGTAGGGTGCTGGGTGGGTGCTCCGGCATCCATAGGTGTGGAGGTTCCGGTGTGATCGCCGGCGTGGTGGGTGAAACGGGTTCATCTCGCTCATTGTTGTTCGATCCCAAGCTTGGGGAGCTTGGGGCATGATACGATTGATTCGAATCATGTGAAGGGTCCCTGATGGTCAGGTCGAGAGTCGAAGTCGACCACAGTTGCAGCCCTTCATCTTGGGCAGGGTCTCTATTTCTCAGCCACGATAGTCGAGACATGGGTGCAATATTGGCAGCGACCGCAAAAGGGAAAGTCGAATTAGGTGTCTGGTTTAGGAAAGACACTAATTTCGCGTCTTCTAGGTTCAGCAGTTTGGATTATGATAAGTTCTCTATGAGATTATGCTGGTCCCCTGTCTTCGAAGACTTATACAGGTGTCGGGTAGAGTCTTCTCCACGTATGTGGTTCGGTGTTAAGGCAAATGTGTGCGGTATGCCAGTTGGTCGCTTACTGCTGACCCTCGCAAAGTCCGTTGTTCGCGACACGAGCAGAGGCGAGGCAAAGCTGAAGCCTCACTGGTCAGATAAGACAATGACACAAGGTCCAAGTGACAAGCCGGATAACCAGCCGCGTCTTTCAGTGCCCAGGTGAGCAGTTGAGGCTAGGAGGCAACAGAACCGCAAAAGTACCGTAATCATGTATATTGGATAAGCTATCAATATCTCCCTCATCTCCGCGCATGCCACTGCTGACTCACCCGGATTCCACATGTCAATGATATTTGCCCTGTCACCTGTCTGCCTCCGATGACGGTGGCACGACAAGTGAGACAAACCCAAGGCTGGGGTGCCTAAGCCATGCCTCCGTTCACCCGCAGAATCTGTCCGCTCGTCCACGTGGACCCTGCCAAAAATAGCACCGCCTCAGCGATCTCCTCGGGGGTGCCAATGCGTGCCTGGGGGTTGAAGTTTGCGATCATGTTGACAAGCTGCTCGCTCTTGCCCTTGTAGAACAATTCGGTTCCCGTGGGGCCGGGGGCGACGCAGTTCACGAGGATGCCACCCGCCTCCGGCCGCCCGAGGTCCTTGGCCAGGACCTTGGTCATCTGCTCGATGGCCCCCTTGGTCGAGTTGTAAAGCAGGTACGGGGGTGTCACGGTGGAGGCTGCACACAGGGTCGTGGATGTCAGGATGATGTGGCTTCCCTTGGGCATGTGCGGGACGGCTTTCTGCATCCCCGACATGTCAGCCAGGTCCCCGTGGTTCCCGAGCGTGTGGACCCGCGGAGCACAAGGAATCGCTTACCTGAGCGAGGAAGTAGGGGCCCTTGACGTTCAGCGCAAAGGTTGAGTCCCAATCCGCCTCGGTCGTGCTCTTGAGATCCTTCATCGGGAGGACTCCGGCGTTGGCAACGAGCACGTCGATCCTCCCGAAATGGGACACGGTCTGGCTGACTAGATCCTCGACGCCCGAAACGGACGACACATCAGCTTTGATCGCCATGGCTTTGCCCGGGCCCGACGAGATGCATTTGACTACCTCCTCGGCGGCGCCGGCGTCGGAGCTGTAGTTGACAGCGACGGATGCGCCGGCCTTAGCAAGTGCAAGGGACACAGCCCTGCCGATTCCTTTGGAGCCGCCTGTGACAAGGGCGACTTTTCCTTGGAAGTTCATGATGGATTGGTTGTAGGTGTGTGCGTGAGGGGTGTGTGTCTATTGGGCTGGATGGGTGTGTTGGGAATCATCACAGATTGAATTGCTCCTAGACTGGATTTTGGGGGGGTTTTATAGGGCTTGTCGAGGTTCGAAACAACCTTGAGACCTTGCTGAGGTCCCTGGTGGACCATATCTAGCGATCATTTTCGCCTCTACTGAATCTGTCGATCCTTTCGCTGTCTGTCTGAACCAGCCAGGGTCACTTTACCACTCACTGGAGGAGACCTGCCGTGTGTTAGGTGCAGTACATTAGATAGGTACTCTTGCGCAATGTGAAGTGGCGGACCATCCTAACCTGTACTTCTGCCTGCGGCTCTTGGTCAAGTGGCGGTCTACCTAACGGGCAAAAGTAAGCTGTGCCTTTGACAATGCCTAAGCCAGGCACCTCTCGGGTAGCACAACCTTAGATGCAAATGTTTTACTGCTAGCACTCCCGCCATTTTGTTTCACAACAGCTGAGGGCTGAATTCGGCAAGTAAGCTGACGTGTGACGGGCAACTTCTGCAAGCATGGGAAAGTGAACTCTTGGGTGTGGGGTACCACAGAGACGTCCCATTCCTTACACGAGGCTGCGGATGACTGTTCACTTGTGCACCGACATCGGTCGGTCCGGACCGGAGTTTCTCAAGTTCTGCTGACAGCAACTTTGAGCCATCAGTGAGGCCGACCTCTGGACTGGGGCGATACTCGGCGACTAGTTACCAGACTTGGGTTGTCGTACGTTGTACCTACCTAGGTAACAGGGCAGCAGCAGATTGTGCAACTGGTCTGGGATGGGCTTAGCGAATCCGATTCTCGCTTCCTCCTCGAACATTACCTCCGAAGAGAGGCGCTGGGCGCTGGCTGAATTCATGGGGCTGTTTGACGGTCCTCGCTTCTAAAAGCTCCATTAGGTGAACTGGTAGCTGTGAGTCTTCGGGGCGTATTAGGTGAGCCGATTCCAAGGTTCGGCTTGACTGCTCCGTATTGTATCTCACATCAATAATCCTTTCGCAGCTTTGCCCCAGCGAAAATGCCGAGGCTCTTCCCCCAAGGCGTGCACTGCCTGCGCTTCACGTATCAGCTAAGCGCCTTTCCGCGCGCCTACCGATGACTCCCGGAAGATTGGAGGCCAATTTGGCTGACCTTCCCAAAGTTAACCTTACACAGAAACTTGTAGGATGGCCACTCGGGTGGATTATGGATGGTTTAGACCTCTAAGTCCAGGTGACTCTCGGCGTCGCCTAGCATTGGCGTCGGAGATTTCAGCCTCACCCTGAGCCATCCTCCTAGGCAGGAATTAGCTCTAAGGAGAGGGGGCTTGATCGTTCGAGGCTGATATTTTCGTGAAGGCATCGCTGAGCCTCCTCACGCTCAAATCAGCCCATAATGTGTTGGATTTGGTCAAGAAAGGCCGAGACGGTGTCTATTTTGGTTTCTGGGGGCGATATCTAGGCATACACTTTGGATAGAATCAATTTCAAAGCATGCAATGGATTCCATTCATTCTGTATAAGAACATCGTGAGAATCCTCGATTGTGAAGTTGAATGTTATCATCATCCACATCGTCCTTGACAACACAGGCACAGTTTTCAGCTACATCTCGGTCTCATACCTAGGTACGGTTGACTAACAGCAACTTCAATTCGTCTTTCGAAATTCATATCATGTTCAACCCGTATTATCTGGCCCCTCTTGGGCTATTGAGCCTGGCGAATGGCGTATTGTCGTCTCCCATCTTCAGGCCAATCGGTGGTGGCAACAGCCTCCTTGGCTCGTCATTCGGAGTGCTTGGTCAAAACCACACTTTCGACTACGTTGTAGTCGGAGGAGGTATGGCCGGCCTGGCTCTGGCGTCCAGATTGGCAGAAGACCCTTCTGTGACTATTGGTGTTGTGGAAGCCGGAACATTCTATGAGATGACCAACGGAAACAACAGTGAAATCCCTGGCCTTGATATCCAGAACGTGGGCAAAGACAAGGATGACTGGGTTCCCGGCAATGATTGGGGATTTGTAACAACCCCACAGCAGGCAAGTGCTATCCACCATCCTTACACCAAAGAATCATCCATGGATATTTCCTAAGAGACACACGGCTAACAGCAATTGCAATGTACAGTCTCTTCTCGGGGTTGAAGCACACTATCCCCGAGGCAAAATGTGGGGTGGCAGTTCCGCACGGAATTACCTGACTTGTACGTTATTACCGCAGAATTCCTTTAAAGATACTTTGACACTGACTATGTCTAGATCACATGGGAACCAAGGGATCCTATGATATGTGGGCGGACTTGGTAGGAGACGACTCGTACAGATACGACGAGTTCCTGCCATACTTCGTGCGCCACCAGAACTTCACATCACCAGATGGCTCCCACCGCTTTGACAATGCCACACCTCAATACGATGACACAGTCCTCGGCACTGGTGGCAAGCTGGACGTTATTTTTCCCAACTATGCCAACGCTTTCGGGACCTGGGTTGAGAAAGGTCTGGCCGCTATTGGCTTGAACCCCATCAACGGCTTCCAGAGTGGAGAGCTCATCGGATCATCGTATTCTCTCGCTACCATCGAGTATGAATCCAACACTCGCGCGTCGTCCGAGACGGAGTTCATGCGCCCAGAGCTGGACAAGGCAGCACCCAACACCATGTTCTACCCAAACACGCTGGGAAAGAAGGTGCTTTTCGACGACAACAACAAAGCCACTGGTGTCCTAGTAGAGACTGATGGCTTCGTGTACCAATTGTCAGCCACGAGAGAGGTCATCCTGTCAGCTGGTGCTTTCCAATCGCCACAGCTTCTCATGGTCTCTGGAATCGGTCCTCGCGAGCTTCTGGAGGAGCACGACATCGAGGTCCTCGTCGACAGCCCCGGCGTAGGTCAGAACATGACTGACCACGTCCTTTTCGGCTCCACATATCGCGTCAACGTCATGACCGGCTCGTCTCTGGCTTACGGTAACAACATGGACATTGCAAATGAACAGTTCAAGGAGGGCACTGGGCCTTTGGTCAACCCCAATGTCGACATGTTTGGCTGGGAGAAGGTCCCTCGAAGCAACTCCACCCGCAGCGGCTCCGGTGCACTGCCAAGCAACGCAACTGATATCTTGACTGACCTTGAGTGGTTCTCTCAAGACTGGCCCGAGGTCGAGTATATCGCGCCGGGTGGCTACTTCGGCTATGCCACCAACTTTGCTCGAGGCAACCCGACTGACGGATACAACTACGCAACCATTGTCGCCGGCATGGTCGCCACCCTTTCAAAGGGCTCTGTGTCGATTTCATCTTCGGACACCTCTGACCTGCCAATTATCGACCCCAACTGGCTCAGCCATCCCGCCGACCAGGCCGTGGCCATTGCGGCGTTCAAGCGCACGCGCGCCATCTGGGAGTCCGATGCTATGGGCGAGGTGCGCATCGGGGACGAGTACTTCCCTGGGAAGAACGACGTGAGCACAGACGAGGAGATCTGGAGGTTCATCCAGGAAAGTTTCAGCACCATCTTCCATGCGTCGTGCACTTGCAGGATGGGCAAGGCGGATGACTCTACCGCCGTCGTTGACTCCAGGGGCCGGGTGTTTGGTGTCCAGGGTCTCCGTGTCGTGGATGCTTCAAGCATGCCTCTCCTCCCGCCGGGTCATCCCATGGCTACGATCTGTAGGTTCTCCATCACACATTCTGATTGGTATCTCTTTCCGAAGTTGCTAACTGGTTTCTTTAGATGCTCTTGCGGAGAAGATCGGCGAGGATATTCTGTCTGGAGACAACACTTACTAAACACAGCCGCCGTGTATAATGCCAACATCTTCTTCAACATGTTTATACTATGGACGGAAGCTTGACATGCAGATTGAGATAAGGGTGGCTAGAGTTGTATTTGGCGTTTCGAGGGATGCTTGTGGAACTTTTTAGACCTTTTCATTTCTTGGAAGAACATTTATTTTGTAGTATAGTATTATAGATAGATCTGACCGCTTGGGTCCAATATGGAGCTCACGTTCCCAAACCCTGGTTGCATTTGGTAACTCAGACATGCCAGTAGTCCAATCTCCTTTCTCCATAGATGCCCAGGTGTTCATTGCGAGTACTCGCACTACATGGTGACGCCTGCATACAGCTCCGTAGATCGCCCCATCCTTTGGTGCTGTTATTAACATAAAGAAATGCTCTGAAAACAATATCAGGGCCGAATGTTTGAACGCACACAGAACCCACTACGTTCAGTCACATATCTTGCTACTCCAATGGTTTCTCCCCCTCCCCCCGCTGCTATCGTCATTGTATGTCTACTTTTGAACCCTGGGCCTTTCAGCGTTTACCACGGTACAAAGCACTATGTCTGGCTGTGGACGTACACAGAATAGAACGAAACCCCGGAACCAGAGAACTTGTCCTATCTGCCCAACTGCCCAGGTGGTTTTGCTTCTATTCCGTATGTGGTTTCGCTTCTATTCCGTATACTTCCGAAGACATATCAGCCCAGCAGGCCTACCGATGCTTCGCAATACCATTTTACAACCCCTGTGCCATTCCGTCTCTTTGATTGAGGTAAGCAAAGTCGAAAGTCAACATTTATCCCACAATCAATATATGCTCTCGTTGTCATTCAGCATCAGGACTGACTCATATGCGTCGCGTCCAACAGCAGGCCAAGGCCCCCGGCCTGCATCATCTCAGCACAGTCAGTGGAAAACAGCCTCCGATATTCGGACCTCCATTTGCAACGTTGGAACGCTCGTACCTCAGGCTTATGTGAGATTCACATTCTGCAAGGCTGTGTAACTGTGCCGAGCACTCGGCGGCAGGCGCCGGCTGAGGTCAGCGAATCGAAACCCGGGTTCCAAGGTTTGCCATGTGCACCACGCATGCGAAGGCGGCGTGGGCCGCTGCTGCAGCGGTTCCCCAGCCCGCAAGCCCCCGGGAATCCCACATGCCCAGGTGCCCCCACCCTGTAGCTCTGGCACAAAAGGACCCCTTCCATGTCAACTGTCATCGGACATCTGATTCCTGCATGGAGTCGGTCAGGATTTCGGCTGAGTAGTACCGGCGTGTTAGACCCTCTGACAGGCAGCCGTTTTAGGCGGTGTCGGGTCTTGAAGTAATCTTGAAGCTCCAGCCGGGCTTGAGCAGCCGGACTCGATCGGGAGGGCCGAAGGGCTGGGGGCTGGACCAAAGGATAGACTCGAGTGGGAAGTAAGAAACACCAAACCTGATCGTAGTTTTGTGTTCCGAGACAGCGGGTGTCCGTCTATCACGCCACTCTGGCCAACTGAGGTCTTATCAAATACAACCAGAAACTTCTCATCCTCCCCAGATACCGTTACACTCTGGCACATCCATACCATCCTGTCGATGCATCACAGCCCAACCAACATGGAATTCACACTGAGCCACGGAATAGCCCTCGGGGCCTTGCTACTCCTTGTTTACTTCGGCCAACAGTGGTCACGGCTAAGGAAGATCCCGGGCCCTTTCCTGGCGAGTCTCACTAACATACCTCGTGCATACTGGGTATGGGCAAGACAAGCTCATGAGACACACATCTCATTGCACCGAAAATATGGAAAGCTGGTCAGGGTCGGGCCCAACATGGTGTCTGTTTCCAACGCGCTGGAAGTCGACCAGATCTACAAGACGCGTGATCCCTTGATCAAGGCAAGTAGTCTGCAAAGGTCACTCGCTGTGTAATAGAATACACTTTGAAGAGGACGTATGATAACCTGTATTCTGAGAAATAGAGTGAATTTTATCCTGTTATCCTGCCCATGTCAAAGGGAAAAATCATTCCTGGCTTGTTTGCAACGAGAGACGAGAATCTTCATCGTATGCTGAAGAAGCCAATAGCTGGGGTTTATTCCATGTCCAACTTGACCTCATTTGAGCCGCTGGTGGACTCAACTATCAAGACTTTCTTGAGCGAGCTCGAGACAAGATTCGTTGCCCCTCGGAAAAGCTGTGACTGGGGAACATGGCTTCAGTACTTTGCTGTGAGTCAAGACATTTGAAGAACTGAATGTGGCGAAGTGCTCACAAGAGAGAGTAGTTCGACGTGGTTGGAGAAATCACTTTCTCAACAAGACTGGGATTCCTCGAATCTGATACCGACGTGGAAGGGATCATGAACGACATCTGGAAATGGTTTGAGTATGTTGCCGTTGTAAGTGAAACAAATGACGCATGCACTGCACCCAGGTTTCGAGCATGGGCTGATGCTGGTGATTGTAAAGGTTGGACAGATCCCTTGGGTCGATCGACTCTGGGTCAAGAACCCTGTTCTGTCCCAGCTCAGGCCAGAAAAATGGTCACCAATGGTCAGATTTGCGGTAAAGCGCCAGGAAGAGCGTCAGCAACAAATCGCTACCGGCAAAGGAACTTACAATGATCGGGACTTCTTGTCACGTTTTCTGGATGCGATGCGGAAAGATCCCTCGATCCCTCCTTGGTATGGTATACCTACTTGTGATTCAATCCAGGCAGTAGACTGACTTCGTTTCAAAGGGCATTGACAGCCTGGACATCTTCCAATGTCCTAGCTGGGAGCGACACCACCGCCATCTTCCTGCGCACCATGTTCAAAAATCTCATAGATTACCCCGAGACCCTTGAACGCCTTCGCCGGGAGCTAGACGATGCCGCCGCAGACGGAAGACTTTCTAATATTGTGACTTGGAAAGAAAGTCGAAACCTGCCGTACTTGGAGGCATGCTTCAAGGAGACTGGCAGGATTCACCCGCCCTTCGGGTTGCAACTGGAACGGATTGCCCCCTCTGGGGGTATAGAACTATCTGGCCAGCATATTCCGGCCGGCACGATCGTCGGCATGAATGCTTGGGCGGTGCATCGCGATACAGACGTCTTTGGTCCCGATGCTGACTGCTGGAGGCCAGAACGATGGCTTGACTGCGATGAGGAAACCAAGTCTCGCATGGAGCGTGGACTGTTGACCGTGAGTGTTGATCCTGTTCAGAGTGCATTAATCTTCTCCGTATATTTAAAGCAGCTGACACGAGGATACAGTTTGGAGCTGGGCACCGATCATGCCTTGGCAAGCACATATCCTACCTGGAGATATACAAACTGGTTCCGACGATTCTCCAAAAGTTTGATGTTAGTCACAGGCCACTTTCACTGAAGCCCTTCGTAAACCTTTAACATTATGGGACTAACACAAACTTAGATTGAATTGGTTAACCCCAAGCAGCCGTGGAAAGTGCAGAACCGGTGGTTTGTAGTCCAGACTGAGTTCGAGGTCTGGCTGAAGAACAGGGAGACTCGCGCTACTTGAAAGTTTCGTGGAAGATTGTTTGACATTTTTGGTCATGTACCCTAGGGTAGGGGTGGATAGTCTTTGTGGGGATATTGAGGCTTTGGACCGATCGTGGGCGCACACTTCAGAGTTGTTCAACGAGACAAGGCAATGTTCTGTTTTTACAATAAAAAGTGTGTAAACCATCTGAATCTTGACTTAGAATGCATTGAGGAGATCCACAAATTTCTTGTCGTTGTTGATTAAATCTACAATTTTCCAAGTGCTGCCAGCAAGAAAGCTTAAGCCAAGTCAGAGTCCCATGATTGTCTGCGATTTCATGATGTTCACTGCCCTTTGTTCCCCTCAATCTACATATACCGGTAGCATCACGACCATTTCTGCTCTAGTAATATGTTGTGGGACGGTTGATCTTATTCAAGTCGAGGTTTCAAGTGTAGCACACAATACATTGGACAGATGACACCGCTACTGACGCTACCAAAGAAAAACGCAAGATCACTTCAACAAGCCCATTTTACGCCACTCAGCCACATACGCCTTTACCAAGTCATCATCCACCGGCCTGCTCACGCGCAAGGTATCACTGCACGCCCTAGAACGGTCCGTGCTCATTATGACCTGTCCACCCGACATGTGCTCGAAATCGCCCTGGAAGAATGTTGCCATCTTCTTCGCGGGGTTCTCCTCTATCTGATCATCAGGATGAGTGAAGACCTTTTCAACCCACTGGCTGTAAGCCACGCGGCTCGTTGATGGTAACGACAGCTCATTCCCTATGACATCCAGGACGTCCTCCCATGACTGCCTGATTGGATTCTCGACATGGAACACGAGAGGCAGCGCCATGTCGTGGTCAGCTGGGGCAGGTGCAAGAGTGAGATCGGCCATGGCGGCCGCTGCATCGTCTACAGGGAGCCATGACAGGGTCTAGCAACGGGTTGTCAGCGTGAGCGGTGCAACCGAGGAGGGTCTGGGGATTACTCACACCACGAATCTTTGGCAGGTAGCCTACCAGCTGAGAGGATTTGACTAGCGCTGGGAAATGCTCTCTGGCGTTCCACCGGGCTGTCTCTCGTGCTCCCGTCATCTGGCCCACTCGCACGTACTTGGCCACAAGCTCCCCCTGGTGCGCCCGGGCGGCTGATTCGACGATGCGCTCGCAGACCAGCTTCGCCTGGGCGTACCCAAACTCATCTGCGCAATCGTTGTCTGGCATCGGCACCTCCGGCACTATGGAGCCTCGGCCAGCTTTCGGGTCGGGATACTGGCCCACGACGGCGATAGATGACACGAACAAGTACGTTGGGGGTGACGACGGGAGACCCTTCTTCGCACTTTCTTGCTCCTTTCCTGACTCTACTGCCAGCTGGATCAGGTCCCGCGTCAGACGGAATTGGCTCTCGAAAGACGCGACGCGGCGGTTGAAATCCATGGGCCAGCCGTTTTGTACAACATGAGTCACCGAGTCTGTCAGTGACTTGTACTCGATCGAGCTCAAGCCAAATTGTGGCTTTGCGAAGTCCACAGCAACTGCCTGCACCTTGGCCCAGCAATGCTTCGGGAGCTCGAGTCCCTGGAATGCCAATGCCTCCCGCACTTTTTCCGACGGGCTGGTGTTTTCCCCCCGGATCAAGCAAATGACTTTCAGGATGTCGTGGCGTTGTGAAAGGCAATGGACGATGTGCGACCCTAGGCCTCCAGTGCTTCCTGTCAACAGGACCACATTCTGCAGCCCTGGCGCGACATTTGAGGACAAGTTGGAATGCGCGAATTTGTCAACCAGTCGCGCGATTACATGAGCATAGTCATCCCCGGAGTCAGCGGAGGCCGTGTCAGCCCGTTTTCGGATGGCAGCAGCCAGCATAGCAACTGAAGGGTTGACATAGACGAAATCACGTCCCAGCTGGATGTCCACATCGCCGAGTTGCGCTAGAGAGGCTGACAGTAGGCGACGGAGCTGGAGAGCTTGGAGGGAGTCCATGCCGAGCTCGAGCAAGTCTTGCTCATCCTCCCACTCCACACTTGGGATCTTCCAGCCCAGCTTTGTCTGGATGAGCTCGCGAATTCCAGCTTCCAGGCGAGACATGTCAAGTTGAAATCCCGGGGTGCCATTTTCACCCGAGTGTTTCTCGAGGGCTTCGTACATCGCGGTGATCTCGGGCTCGAAGACTCTGTAGGTTTCTTGGCGCAGCACCGAGCCCTTGTCTGAGCGAGGGATCCGTTTGTCCCGTGGAAGCACGACAATGATGCCTTGCGGGGACGAGATCCGAGCGTGTGCATCCACCTTCTCGTTCAAACGAGATGCAATTTCCCACATGTGGCTTCTGAACTCCTCGACTTCAGTCACGTCATGGAGATTCTCGTCTCGAGGCTCGACGAGAATGCCAACTTCGAACTGGGATTGTCCGACGACAACGGCAGTCTTGCAGAGAGGATCTTGGCTGAGCTCGAATTCGAAAATTCCTGGTAAGACCTTTTCTCCTGTTGCAAGAACAACCACGTCGTCCGTTCGGCTCATGACACGGAAGTCCGTGGTTGGATGCAGCGGGTCGCGAAGCAGTCTGTCCTGCACCTCGAAAGGGGAGTCCCAGCCAAAAGGATAGAACACCAGCTTGCATGCCCCGTCATCGGCAGAGTTTTTGCCAGCCGCAGGTTCGATGGGAATAACGTCGTACCGGTAGTCCTGTCGCACGCGGATGTACCGGTAATCATACTCCGATCCCTTTGGGACGAAGACGGAGCCGAGGGCGCCGACCTCCGTTGCGCCGAAATGGTTGAGGAGCTTGACGCCGGCACCGACCAGCTTCTCGGCCACGGCTTGGGGTAGAGGACCGCCACCCGTCGCCACGAACTGCAAAGAAAGCAATGCGCGTAGAGCGGCACCGCCGTCGGCATTCTCGCACATATCATCAAGCACAGAAGGAACCGTCATCAACGAGCGGGCATTCGTGGTCTCCAACAGCTCCGCTATGGTGCCTGCGGATGAGATGGAATTTGCGGGCAGGCATAGCTGAAGCCCAATACTGAGGGAGAGACATGGCGCCAAGAGTCCAAATCCCTGATTCCATTCTCAATGAGCTGTGATATTCAAAAATACGGAAGACGTTTTTCGGACTAACTTACGTGGAACAACGGCAAGGTTGACACATTTACACCGTCGGCTTCTTCTGGTGACAAAGAGTGGTTTGCTGCATAGCCGAGCACATACTCTTGGGACTGGTAAATGGCCTTGGGAAGCCCAGTCGTCCCCGAAGAATGCAAGATGATGGCATTTCGGTCCCACTCGTCTGCATGATAGTTCGCATGACACACAGTTGATTTTGAACCGGGCGCGGCAGACTCTGTCCTTTGAGAGAGGAAGACCTCATACGGCTGTCGCTCATAGATGACGGCAGGGGGCGAGCCTCCAGGATTTCCGGGCTGCACTGCAGCTTCGCAGTTTCGAGCTAATCGTGGAGAAGCCAAGATGTCAGAGCAGTGCGTGGTCTTGGTGAGATTTCCGATGGCCAGAGGGCTGAGCCGCGCAGACAAGAGCAAGACTGGGACGCCAAGGCCCAGAAGGGCGACAATATGCACAAAGAGCCCAATGTCGCTCTCCATAAAGAGGGCAACTGGCGTGCTCCTGGAGATGACTCCATTCTCCTGAAGGACTGGAAGCTGAAGATCGTTGATGCTGGATTTGAGCCACTCCTGACAGCGAAGAACAGCGTCCCTGAATTCCGAATGCGTGATGGTTACCAGGCTAGCTTTTCTGGAGTCGTCCTTGCGAGCTTGATAGCAGAATGGGTAGTCTGAGTTGTGGGAGGCGTTGAAGTCCACCAGTTCAGGAACAGTCCGGACGGATTTCGGCCCGTCCTTTTTCTGCGGCTCGCCAGGCAGTTTTGCAGGTAGACTGAGGTCTGCCCTCACAAAAGCTGGTACTTGGGACCCCATTGCCGCGAATTCAAGATAACAGTGTGAAGATGGATGTGGAATAAACCTAATGAGTAGGATAATACGTTCAGTTTGATGGAAAAAGATGTTTATATCGCAGTACCTACTGATTCAGTCGCGATATCAGAGCTCAACATGAGCATTCAATTTTCAAGACACGGCTTTCGGTGAAAAGGAAACAACCACTCCCTCCAGAGCGAATCGATTCATCTCATTCTCACACATTCCTACGATGCTGAGTCCTGCCCGCAGGTACCTAGGTACCCTAGGGTACTGTGCAGCGAAGCCAGTCCGAGTTCTCTCACGGTCGTAACATCACGTGTTAGGTAACATTCGGGACTCGGACCCTTGATTTGCACCATGATCTGCATCGTGGCTTATGTGCACGCCAAGCTATCTCGGTGAGCGAACATGAAGTATAGCAACGTGGTGCTGGATCCGACTTCGGCGGCAGGTCCAAGATGACAGTGTTCTGGGCATGTTCATGGTACCAAAAAGCGGTATGCAGTGATCCGTATTGATACGCCGCCGGAGCCGGGGACCCCGTCCCCTTGTCGAGTTTCACAGACACGCAGCGGCACGCAAGGCTCAGGGCTCAGGGTCCTTTGTGTCACGGTGAGACACTCGTTCAATCTTGCCATGGCGTTGCTGACTGCAGATCACAGCTACTCAGCCAGAGATTTTCAAAAATTGGGACTGGACACCTCCGAGGGATCGATCCTCACATCCTCAGCCTGAAATGGTAATAGCCCAGCTGCAAGTTGTCGCTGTTACACATGCCAACGAATCAACATCGCGTAGCCACGCGGCTGAATTTCACTATCTGTCTCCTCTGAGCTGAACAACGGTAGCCTCTCGGCACCGGGGAAAAAGAACAAGACCGACAATGGATCACATGGACAAAAGGACCCCGACTTTCTCACTTGCATAGCAAAAACTTACACATCAACTTAGCGGAGGCTGCCTATCTACAATCAACTCACCGCTGCCCTTCGTCAGACGGGCAGCTCCTGGTGCAATGTTACCGCTGATGGCCGGAGCAACATGTAGCCAGAGGCTCAACTCCAAGAGATTGGGATGGGCAAAACTCGGGGTTTCAAGAAGATCCATAACCGAGGCTCTATTCAAGGACCTTATAATGATGATAAGAGCCCTCGATACGAAGTGATCATAAGGGAGACTCTGATTCAGAGGCAAGAACTATCAGGAGAGAGTCGAACCACAACAGGCCACATCTTTCCATCAAGAAGCACATGAAACTTGACATACTTTGAGTCGTTGCTTCCTTTCAGTCGTTCAAGATGACTCTGCCTTCAGCAATTCTGTTTGGTCCTCAAACTAAGCTACCCACCCTCCACCACCTTCAACGGCAGAGAGACATACTGCGATCTGATCCACAACTCAAGGTGCTCCTAGAGACCATTCAGAGCCTTCCTTCTCTTTGGAACCTTCTCTTGACACATGAGCCCAGGTTCAGTCGGATTCCAGGCCAAGACCTGGTCTCTCACCTGACAGGCTGGCTTGGGGAGGAACCTGCCCCTTCAGTCACTCCTTCACACAACATCATCTGCACACCCTTGACGGTCATTACCCAGGTGCTTGACTATGTGCAATACCTACACGATAACGAGAGCAACTTTAACCACTCCCAGCTGCTTGGTGGCCTCTCACTTGCTGGTATCCAAGGCTTCTGCACTGGATTCCTCTCCGCTGCTGCGATTGCCTGCTCTGAGAATGTGCAGGACATCGCCAAGTATGCCTCCGTTGCTGTTAAGTTGGCACTGGTACTCGGGGCCTATGTGGACCTTGATGCAGAGCTTAGCAACATTGAGACGACATGCGTCGTTGTCAAGGGGAAGTCGAAGCAGTCTGATGAGAACAAACTGTCTCGCCACCTCGAGACCTTTGCAGGAGTAAGCTGCCATCCAAGAAAGTTCCCACATGCACAAGCTGACTAAAACCATCCAAGGCCTATGTATCAGTGATATTCGATGAGGACAACTTCACGATTACCGTGCCTAAATCAGACGTGGAGTCTCTCACGGAAGCTCTCTCAGCAGATAACTTCATAGTGCGAGACGTCCCTATCCGAGGGCGTTTCCACTCTTCAGTCAATAAGACGGCGTCGGAGAGTATTTCAGATTTAATTCGCCTACATGACTTCCTCAAACTCCCAGAAGCTGGCTCGTTACTGGCACACATGAGACAAAATGTGGATGGTGCGCCGATTCAGGAGCAAGATTCGTTGTCGAGCGTCGCAACCTCGGTGCTTCTCACGGACGTGTCGGATTGGCATGTGACTATGTCAGAGACGTTTCGACATGTTCTTACTGGCGCAGATGTGATCACATTCAGCGTCTCCGACATTATCCCGCCATCGGTACAACGGGCCTCGCCAAGAAAGATTCACAAAATGCCCCAAATGACAACTGAGCAGTCCATGGGGGGACAACTGTCTGAGAAGGCAGCTGAATTCGACTATCCCCAACATTCAGTTGCTATCGTCGGCATGGCGTGCAAATATGCCGGTGTGGACTCGCTGGATGAATTCTGGGAGGTGATATCAAAGGGTGCCTCTATGCACAGCGAGGTGCCAGAAGATCGCTGGGCACGTACGGGGCTCCGAAGAACCAAGGAGGGTTCGCGATACTTCGGCAACTTTGTCCGCGACGCTGACGCCTTTGATCACCGATTCTTCAAGAAGTCCGCACGTGAGGCGGCTGCCATGGACCCTCAGCAACGGATCCTTCTCCAGGCTGCATACCAGGCGGTCGAGTCTTCGGGGTACCTGACCGAAAGAGACGCCCCTGAGGATGTTGGTTGCTATATTGGCGTGGCGACGACGGACTACCACGACAATATCGCCTCCCACGCACCCACGGCCTTCTCAGCTATTGGAGAGTTGCGTGCGTTCCTGTGTGGTAGGATCAGCCACCACTTCGGCTGGACGGGGCCATCCATGACATATGATACAGCTTGCAGTGCTTCCATGGTGGCTATCGATGCCGCATGCCGATCCATCCAGACAGGGCAGTGTTCTCGTGCACTGGCAGGGGGTGTGAGTCTGAACTCTAGCCCAAACCTCTGGGAGAACCTTCGCGCTGCCAATTTCTTGAGCCCTACCGGGCCAACCAAACCGTTCGATGCGGCAGGGGATGGTTACTGTCGTGGTGAAGGTGTCGGGCTCATCTTCCTGAAGAAGCTCTCCGATGCCGTGAAGGACGGCGACTTTATCTACGGAGTGATCGCGGGAACAGGAGTCAACCAGTGCCGCAATGACACTTACATCACGGTTCCCAACGGCTCGTCTCAGGTTGATCTGTACAAGAAGGTTCTTACGGACGCGGGTGTCAAGCCCTATGATGTGAGCTACATCGAGTCCCATGGAACAGGGACAGCCAAGGGCGACCCAACAGAGATGGCCAGTCTTCGCTCCGTCTTTGGTGGGCCATCCCGAGACAGCATTGTGTCCATCGGCTCGGTGAAGGGCAATGTAGGTCATTGCGAAGCATCGTCTGGAGTTGCTTCCGTGATCAAAACCGTGCTCGCGATGAACAACTCTACGATTCCACCGCTGGCGAACCACCAGTCGCTCAACCCAAACATCCAGCCGCTAGCGCTCGACAAGATGAACATCCCCTTGTCTCCCCAGCCTTGGGACATACCTTTCAAAGCCGCACTGGTCAACAACTACGGCGCTGCTGGCAACAATGCAGCAATGGTTCTCTGCCAGCCCCCGTCGAAGCGGTCCAGCGCACGTCGATTCTCAAACGACCACAACTCTGCATTGTCGGTGGTGCCGGTCTGTATCTACGCACACACGGAGCAAAGCGTTAGGTCATATTGCCAAGCACTCTGTGACTCGCTCCCAGCAGAGACTCCCAGCGACGAGGTTGCGTTTCTCCAGAACCTGGCCTTCAACCTGGTCAAGAAGCAGAACAGGACCCTCGCTCACCGCTTCATCACCAGTGTTAGCACAGTAGAAGCCCTAAAGACCGCTCTCAAGGCCCCAGACCAGTTCATCCAGCAACACCAAGACAAGAAGGCAGAGACGAGCTCGGTGGTTCTCTCTTTTGGTGGCCAGACGAACAACCACGTCGGTCTGTCGCAACACCTATACTTCGAATCGGCACTGCTGCGTTTCCATCTTGAGAATTGCAACCGCGCAATTAGGAGGGCGGGATACAAGTCCATCTTCCCAGCAATCTTCCAGACGAAGCAGGTGACAGACGTCGTGAGCCTTCACTGTCTGTTCTTCGCCATCCAATACGCCTCTGCCAATGCCTGGATGGATGCAGGTGTCACCCCAGCCGCAGTGATCGGCCACAGCTTCGGACAGCTGACTGCTATGTGCATCTCTGGTATGCTATCTCTAGATGACGCCGTGAAGCTCGTCGCCGGTCGGGCAAGCCTGATGCAGAAATACTGGGGTGAGGAGTCTGGATCCATGGTATCTGTTGAAGCCGACGCCAACACCGCTGAAGGCGTCATTGCGGAGGTGTCATCACAACACGGACTGCGGGCTGAGATTGCCTGCTACAATGCCCCGACAGGCCATGTCATCGTGGGCACTTCCAAGGCAATGGATGCGGTTGAGCAAATCTGCAAGGCCTCTGCCCAGCCGATCCGCTACAAGAGACTTCAGGTGACCAACGGGTTCCACTCCGAGTTCACCGAGCCTCTTATCCCCCATCTGGAGAAGCTGGCGTCTGGCCTACAGGTTTCTGAGCCGCATATTCACATGGAGTTTTGCACCCAGGAGCAAACAGCCTGGCAGGATATGACGCCAGCTTTCATTGCAAATCACACCCGTGCCCCGGTGTATTTCCATGCCGCTGTCGAGCGACTGGAGGCCAGACTGGGAAGCTGTCTTTGGCTTGAGGCAGGATCAAACTCATCCGTGGCAGCAATGGCACGGCGTGCCTTGGCCGGCTCCTCGGTCCCGCACACATACCACGGGACAAAGTTGGATGGCAAGGAGGCCCTGAACCGCCTTGCGGAGACCATGGTCACTCTTTGGAAGACCATGCCGACCATTGAAGTCGGGCCTTTCTACCGGAAGAAGGGGTCAGCTCGGGCTCCGTTCCGCAGCATCGACCTCCCTCCGTATCAATTCGAGAAACAGCATCATTGGATGACTTGGAGGGACAACGTGGAGGCCAACAAAGACTCCGCGGCCACCAAAGCCCCCAAGGTCGACCAGGACTCCAAGCCGAAGATCCTTCGTCAAGTGAGTGCAGACGGGAAAGGTGGAGCGCATTTCACCATCGACCCAAGGAGCGAGGAATTCCAACACTTCGTCAAGGGTCATGCCGTGCTCGACCAGCCGCTCTGCCCGGCAGATCTATACGTTGAACTGGCTGCCAGGGCTACAAGATGCTTGCAGCCGACTCAAAACTCCATTCCAAGCGTCGAGAAGCTCAGCATCGTGGCTCCGCTTGGCATCGACCCGGCCAAGGAGATTCATTTGTCTATGACCGCGACAGAGCCAACAAACTCGAGCTGGTCCTTCGTCTTCACCAGCGGACCCAGGGGTAGTGCTCAAGTCAAAGATCGAACAAAGCACGCCTCCGGTGTCGTCAAGCTTACAGCTCTGAGCGATATGGGCTTTAAGGCGGAGGTGGCCCGGTACGAGAAGCTCGTGGGGTCCAGCCGCGCAACAGCCTTCCTGAGCGACCACCAGGCTGAGGGCATGAAGGGTGCCCTGGTCTACCAAGTATTCAGCAAGGTTGTCGCCTATGGAGAGTACTACCAAGGTGTAAAGGCGATCGCCTCGAGGGGAGATGAAGTGGGAGCCCAGATTGTCGTTCCCACTCCAGCTGACGTAGCTGATCCCTCTATGATCCTTGACCCTGTTGCCGTCGACAATTTCGTACAGGTTGCCGGTATCAAAGTCAACTGCCTCAACCCGTGCCCAGCGAACCAGGTGTACATTTGCGGGCACATTGAGCGCGTGCAGGCAACCCAGACGTTCCTGGACCTAACTCGACCCGGCCAAGCGCAGCAGACTTGGAGCGTATTTGCTCAGTGCACGCCAGTGACTGAAAAGGTGTACCACAACGACATCTATGTCTTCAGCGAGGACAAGAAGCTGGCCATGATCATTCTCGGTGTGCAGTTCACCCGCGTGTCTATCACGTCCCTGGCCAGTGCCATCTCCCAGTCCAACCGGGCGGGCGCACCCCAGAAGAAGCAGTCTCAAGAGCAAAGCTTCTACGACAAGGCCATCGAGAAGCTGCGAGGCTGCCATGAAGATTCAACAGCCCAACGGTTCGCGGCAGCAGAAACCAAAGAACGGCCGGCAGTCGATCTGTTCTCCAGCTTGACGGACCTTCTCCTCGAGGTCGCCGAAGTGCCCAAGGCCTCGGTCACCAGGACCTCGACCTTCGAGGGCCTTGGCATCGACTCACTCTTGACAACCGAGGTTTTCTCGGCCGTGACGGACAAGTTTGGAGTGCAGATACCACACGACAAGATTTCAGAGCTGCAAGACGTGGAGTCTCTTCTGGCATTCCTCTCTGCCTTGGCTATCAGCTCGCCTTCCGAAATGACAACCCCGGGGCTGTCCACCCCGTTCTCCACGGTGTCCGGTGCTGCCACTCCATTCACTGAAGTCAGCGGACTTAGTACACCCGAAGAGGGCCTACCAAAGAAGGCGGTGGCCCAAGAATCCAAGGACGGAGACGTGGAGGGCCGGCTCATGCAAGTCTTGTGCGAGCTTCTCGACATCAAGCCGTCCGCGCTCAGTCCCAAGAGTAGCCTCGAGGACCAAGGACTGGACTCCTTGCTCACTGTTGAGCTTACCAGTGCGCTGGAAGAGGTGTTCGCTTGCAAGATCGGCGCTGGTTCCGTGCATGGCGATATGACATACAGCGAGCTGAAGGAGGTAGTCACTGGCAAGGTCTCTGGTGGGACTCAGGGAAGCATTGTGAAGACATCGGTGTAAGTACAGACTTGATAATTTAAACTCTTTCGGTTTTATTCCGTACCCTTCCGAAGACATACATTGCGCCTTCATACAGTGAAACTTGAGAATTACTCTGCAGTCGTCATGGTCTTTACTGACGAGACCGGTGACAATCATCTAGGCCGCCCACCTTGCAGGACGTGCCCAATAACGCAAGACGCCTGCCCGGAAGCAATATGAAGACACTCGTATACAAGCAAGCCGGACCAACATCTCTCTATGCCGATGTATATCTTCCCGAGGCGGAAGATGGAGTCCCCAGACATCCAGGTGAGACCCTTGACCAGCCATTGACAGGATCGCCCAGAATAACAACCTTGATACCACAGCTCTCATGATCCACGGCGGCGGGCACTCTATGCTCTCGCGCAAGGATGTGCGTCCAAAGCAGACGGCTCTTCTTTTGGCGAACGGCTTCCTTCCCGTGAGCATAGACTATCGTCTCTGCCCTGAAGTCAACATCATCGACGGTGCCATGACTGATGTTTGTGACGCTCTGGCCTGGGCACGGGCGAATCTTCCCCAAATCTGCAGCACCATGGGGGTACCCGTCAATGGCAAAAAGGTGGCCGTCGTTGGGTGGTCAACGGGAGGCACCCTGTCTTTGCAGCTGGGCTTTGCTGCGCGGAACCGGGGCATCCAGCCACCTGACGCTACACTGGCGTTTTATTGCCCCAGCAACTATGAAGATGAATGTGAGTTGGCAGCTTCTACTACTGTCCCGTCGTCTCAGAGAAAAGCATTAACATAAAATCCTCCTTAGTCTGGAAACAACCAAATTTTCCCGAGAACACCAAGACAGACAGCTTGGAACAATTTGACCTGCTGGAGGGTGTCCAAGACCAGCCTGTAAGCACACATCCCATGTTAACATCCCCACACAAGAAAAACGCAACGGAGAAAAAAAAAAAAGAAACCCCGACTCACACGAAAATCACCCGCAGATCACCTCCTACAACATGGACCCCAAGGCCGGCGCGATCGGCGGCTGGATGTCCCCCACGGACCCGCGCTCCCGCATCGTGCTGCACATGAACTGGATGGGCCAGATGCTCCCCGTGATCCTCAACGGGCTCCCGACGCGCGCGGCGGCGGACCCGGGCGTCGACTACAAGCACATGCCCCAGCCCGGCGCGGACCGCATCGCCGCCATCAGCCCGTGCGCGCAGATCCGCGCCGGCAACTACACCACGCCCACGTACATCGTCCACGGGACCCGCGACGACCTGATCCCCTGGCAGCAGGCGCGGACCACCTACGAGGCGCTGGTGGCGCGCGGGGTGCCCGCGGAGCTCGAGATTGTTGATGGCGCGGAGCACCTGTTTGACTTGTACCGGAGCCGCGGTAAGGATTGGGAGGTTGTGCTGAGGGGTTATGAGTTTCTTTTCCGGCAGTTTCGTTAAACGATAGACTTCGAGTTACTCTAGTGCTGTTGCATTCAGGCTATTAGACTGTGTTCATAGAGTTAATCTGCTGTTGATTGTGTAGTTATATCTATCCATAGACTGAAACTTTCTTTATGTTTATCGATATCTACTACTAGCACTATGTTTTCAATCCTGTACGGAGTAATTTTTGACCCTGTTCTTTTCTAATCCATATGCGTCCAAAGCCATGATACACGGCACCTCCATACCGTGTCAAATGCTCAAATACACAACATTTTGTAGGGGATTTACTCCTACATTTTCAAGTCCAAAATATACATAGGTAATTGTTTGATTCATTAAAGGATTGATCATATTCTATCGAACTAAATTTTTCAATTCTAAATGAGTCATTAAGAAGACAGACACGGAGGCAAGAAAAACGCCAGGCATGTGGCAGAAGGCTACCCCCCGGGGCCATCAACCAAAGACCACAAATTCATCACCAGAGGCTGTGTCATCCTCTCTGGTCGTAGTAATTCCAAGTAGCTCACAAAAAGCCTCGGTCTGCGAGTTCGGAAACTCGCAAGGCTGCTCGTCGCTGTGGGCGGTGTCTGGCCCCTCGTATTTAGGAGCGTGTGCCTTGAAATTGTCCGGTATGCGCAGCAGACCCTTTGCAGTGACATTCTCACGGACATAGGATCGGGCTTCATCTGCGTCGTCTCGGCGCGCCGCATCTGCCGGGCCCATGTGTCCAACCAGGGACGGGCCGCTCATCTCTGCGGTTCCATCTGTTGCGCGCACGATCGCCAGCCACTCCTCATCGTAATGCAGGGAGAACCTTTCGCCCGGCGTCTTCGGCAGGTATGGCGCGACGGCCGGATCGTCCACATCCCAGCAGGATTCTATCTCGAGCAATTCGAGAAACTCGCCGTCGTCGGGACCGGGCTTGTCGAGCGCGAGGAAGTGGGTGGTCGTGTTCGTGATGCCGGGCGGCCGGCCGCGGGGTTTCTTCCAGGTCCTCACAGCCCTTGGCAGCTGTTGCTGCAGCTCCGTGGGCACGGGCAGGCCCTGGAAGAAATCGCCCTTCGCGTCGCGGTCGTGCTCTACCGTGGCACGGAACCTGGCGTGCATGTGGCCAGAGAACCAGAACCGGGGCCGCAGGTGATTTAGGACCTGCTCCGCGGGCTCGCTCCCCAGGTTGTCGGCCATGGCGCTCTTCAGGAAATGGGGCCGCTCGGCGAAGAGCGTCTCGCAGTCGCCGAAGTACTCGACTCTCCGGGGCCAGTCGTGGCTGAGACCGATGTCGACGGCCGAGCGCACGTCCAGCAGCTTGGAGATGTCGCAGCGCCGGACGTGATAAACGGAGCGGATTTCGTCCCTGTCGTAGGGGAGGCTTTCGTGGTGTGGTTTGTCGTAGTGACCGCGGTGGAAGATCCCCGAGAGCCCGGCTATGCGTACGGGCCCGTAGCGGATCACATTCACCGCGCCCAGGTAGTACATATTCGGAGCCAGCCAACCGCCATAGTGCAGCTCGGAGAAGTAGTTTGAAGCCTCGTGGTTGCCCCCGATGACGAGCGTCAACACTGGCGCCCGCTTGTTGCCGCTGTAATATTGGTGAAAGTCACCTAGCTGGCGATATTTGCGTGGCACAGACATGCAGTTCAGGTCGCGTTCATTACGGACTGCCTGGAATGATTATTCAGAAAAGACACAGTAAGCAGTATATCTAGCATTCTTGATTACCTGAAAATCTCCGCAAATGATCAAGAAGTCAATATCCTCGATTGTCCATCCTCGAGATCGGCACTTGGACTCTAATGCAGTGTAGATTTCGTTTAGCGAGCCGTGACACTTTGTCGTCAGCTGCGAGGCAGGCGATTTAGCTGAAACGATGGACTACTTACACAGCCTTCCACGGCGATTTTGAATGAGGTCATGATGAGAGAGACGTGATAAAGCGCACCAGTTGGGTGGATTCCACAACCTGAGCGCCAAAATGAATGGTCCAGTATGGGAGGGTGCACGTGAAGGCCGGTCTTATTAGTACTTAGTCGTCACACAATGAGTTACGGGTGGAAACGTCGACACTTGAAGACACGATGATGACGTGAGAAATATTGAGAGCGAAGCCCATAGTGTGATCCAAATAATTTCGCGTTGATTGGTGAGTCATCCTGGTGCCTGGCTGGCCTGTCTTCATGGATTACCTAAGTTAGAGTCAAGGCTCGCGTGCAGTAGGGCGATCAGAAGCTAACCCCGGTAGGGTTGCCTGCATGCTGTCAACTGAGCGTCCCATGGATAGGCCAAAAGTTGGACCCTGGAGGGGTTGGGTGGAAAGTGGAAAAAGGCTGCACATGACTCACACCAGGCCATATTATCGCAGAAGGCAGGCATAATTATGAGGAATAAAGGACGTCAACTATTGCCTGGATCCCTCATCTTAACAACCTAGGTAGAACGACTTGGATATCTATTAGGCAAGGAGATGTAATTGGTCCAAGCACTGGTACTTGCGCGTCCCCGATGACAGCACGGATGGCTGGCCCACACCCGTCGGCGTCGTGGTGGTCGAAGCGGCCACCGGCGTATAATACCAGCGCAGACGTGCCGGGTTCCGACTGTCGATCCCAGCCCTGGACATAATCCTCCGACCCGAACGTAAGCGGGGCCGTAGCAATTTCAACGACCTAGAGTTTCCAAGGTTGATACTGTATGAAGGCGCCACGTACATTTTACATGTATGGGGATTAAAAACGAAAACCACCTGATACAATGTTTGGCTCCCGAAATCCACTCCGACGGGTATCGTGCCCGCTTCGGCGTCTACAGGTCGCTTCGAGGTTACGTGGCCGGGGCACGCGCATCGAGAAGGCAACTTGATGATGCTGCCTTCAATTCAACAGGCAGTTTCGAGATCTGAAAAATTGGTCGAGAATACTTAACTTGAAGTGGTAGGACCTTCTAGCTCTACCAGGCTCTGTCAAATTCAATGAAGTGACAGTGGCTACGTCAATTTCAGTGTAGCCATCCGGTTTACAAGTCCACTACGATGGCTGTTGACAACAGCTTGAGAGTTATGAGTTTTGAAGACTGCGACGAGGTGCCGTATTTATGGAACAGATCGTCGTAGGATACAGTTAAGTAATATTTATCCCTATAGCTTATGTGATATTTAAATATTATATTAAAATCTTTAAGTATATAAAATCTATATTTAAATGTTACGCTACCTTTTTCTATATTTTAATGTTATATTACCTTTTTATATATTTAAATATATTAGGGTTAGAGGGGGGTTCTAGGGGGAACCCCCTAGGGTTAGTATTAGAGTTAGTAGTTAGTGTTAGGGTTAGTAGTTAAGGTTAGAGTTAGAGGTTAGGGTTTAAGGATATATTTAAACAATTTTAAGGCTTCTATTTAAATGTAGAAAAAGGTGGTGTGATATTTAAATATTATATTTAAATGTCGTGTGAGCTATAGGGATAAATGTTACTTGACTATACCACTCCAGATCGTCGGCCAGTCCGTCGCGCTGGCACATCGTCACCACCTGGGCAACTAGCCGCGTTACAGCTGGCTAACCTTACGACAAGCTCAAGGTGCTACATGACAGTTCTGCGGCAATAGTTGGCGCAATGTGGCAGGAGTACACAAATTTCATATTGCTCGAAAATTGGCCACACTGTTTTCCAGCACTGAAACTCCAAGTTGGCAGTAGAGCAGTTCTCATCGTGTCAACGTTCAAGCGTTGTTATGGGACAGCGCCGGTAAGGCCGTGATTTCTAACCAGTTGCGAATGACGTTGAATTGCCGCAAAGGTTTTGCTTCGTCTGACCTCAAAGTGTCCTCCTCAGTCTGATGATCAAACCCTGGTAACTTTGCCGTTCCATTGCACATCCATCCGCCTTGGCGTGCAATGTTAGATGAGACCATTCCCTACCCAGGTTCCATGCCGTCCATCCGGGAGATCGCCGCGGTCAGGTCGGATGAAAAAGGCGTGAGGGGAAATGAGCGGCAGCTGCAAGAACTTTTCTCTCCGTGATGCGAAGGACTCGACAAAGGGGCCATTTTTGAGGCTCAGCTGTGGCCCTCGACGCCCCACTTGTTCGGGGCTACCTGAAACCGCAGGCGAGGCGTCACAGCGCAGCTGCATGCGTCATCGCCGGGCGTCTAAAACGTCGAATCTCACAGCAGGGGCTCCCTACGGGCGCCTATTCTGCTGCTGGCCTCGGGATCCTTGCCCTTGGCGAGCCCGGGTCACCCCAAATATAGCCTGACACGGGCACGCATGGTCCCACCTGGGCACCCGCCTGCCTTCGGAGCCGAGCAGCTCTGCAAAATGAGTGGTCTCCGCGGTCTCAAACCTCAGACGCCATGGAGCCGAGTGCTCATGACGCGCGGTTCACGTCGGGTTGTAACGCCGCCGGACGTGGGCTGCGCCACCCGTTGGTCTTGTCGTAAACAAAAGTAAATAAACTGTACGGGGCCTATAACGCTGGCAGTGGGGAAGCCCTTCTTCTTCCTGACGGACTCTGTCCTTTTCAGTACTGCCTTCCGGTCGCTTTTGCCTTTCAGTCTTTCTTCCTCAGCGGATGTTGACCATCTCGGCGTCCAAGGCTTTGACAGGAACAAGCCGGCGATTTTCAAATCTTTCAGTTTTTACACAGTGGAGCTGTCGCAGTGCGAAGAATCCCCGATAAAATCCCACACACCTCGACGCATTCTCGAAGAGGCGAAGAGCACCGAGCACCTGAATCGGACACGGACGTCGATAACGTTGTTCTGCCGGACGTCTTCACCCTGCACTCGACCAAATCAAATCATGATACTATGTCACCTCTCAATACGGAATGTTGTCGCCATTATTTACACCATCCTGCTCCAACTCACTCTCGTCGCGGCCTTGCCCACCGGTGACTACAACCAGGCGTCACAGATTGACGCGAGAAGTGGTATCCAGACACTCCATCTACAAACAAAAAGAGAAGAGCAAATCGACAGTTCATCAATACCGAAGATTGCGGGGGGTGCAGTCGGCATTGTGGCACTGGGGCTCATATTCGGCCTCGGCTCGGCATCCATCGCTGTGTATGGGTCTCTGGAGTGGCGGACGCGGCGCGACAGGAAGAAGCAGGAAAAGGGCCAGGTCATCCAAGAAAAGAAGCTGGACGACAGCTCTAGCGAAAACACAACTATTAGATAATGAAAATGTCTTGAAACGTTCATGTTCACTTCAACATGCTGCTTTGCTGCATACTTAAGGACTTAAGTAGGTCTGATGACCACTCCGCTTTGTGGGTATTGTCCGGATCAAAAGTCTTAATTTTTCGGACCGCAGAATAAGTATTCACTCCACTTATTGGTCAAGGAAGACATTCGTGGGATACTGGGTACGAGTTCGGCCAAATCTAACGGCATGACGGCTAATACTCTACCCTAGGGTAGGTCTCGTTGAAAGGTGGTGGGACATCCGCGAAGCACAAATGTACACTGGGGTGATCACCATCATCAGCAAGGTCTAGCGTCAAGTGGAATGGAGTCGATGCATATGGTATGAAGCCAGTGCGGTGACATTTGCCTACAGAGCCAAGTGATGGCCGCGCTTGTCTCTTGGAAAAAGGCTTGCTCTGCTCGGCATGTCAACGCACCCAAGAATGAGGCTCCGCATGCCACGCTGTCGTCTCTACCTTGGCTGCTGACTGGGTTTGCTCTCGGAATATCGAGCCGATCCAGCAAGGGAATCAAGCAAATACCAATGTCTTGGGCTCCCACCCTCCCTTACGGGGAACGCAGCGTCGTGTGGCTCTTGCAGATGCCTGGACCCTTGTCGGTGCAGACGTTCCCGAGCCCTCTGGCTTGGCTGCGTGTTGGTGAGGGGGAAAGGTCGGTCGGGTGGGAAGATGTATCCGAAATGGGTGACCTGGGCAGGGGGTTTGCGGGCGAGACCAGAACACTAAGCCCTGTCAAGAAAAGCTTCATGTGCTCTCCAAGACGGCACCGGTAGTGGGGTCCCTTTCTCCAAGAATTGATTCCCGCTGTTAGCCTATTTTCCGCTGAGCTTTTCACCGAAGTCTTGTCCTGGAGACTCTGCTGGAACACTCCGATACGGGTGGACATATTCAATACTGGAGCGTTTCTGCTAGAATAAGAATCATCCCTTTCTCAATTAGCAGGTATTAGAATGCCCCGTGACTTGTCTTGACACCCGTTACTCAGCAGAACAAAAGACAACTGGCAGCAGCCTCGTCCGAGACGAGCTGCACGCTCCCGTAGGCTTCCCCGGATTCCCCAAGCGGCTGTGGATTCCACATCCCCAAGAAAATGCTACGTTCCCTGGTCTTTGGCCTAGAATCCCCACAAAGAGCCCAGGGGTTTGTTATTCGAATGCAACCTCCACGAGAAGTTCCACCAATCGTCGATATCAACACCCCACGGAAGCTTTCTGCAACGTCCTGCAATGGCCTGCAAGAACTCTCTCAATCCCGACCAGACGGGTCCCCATGTGCACATGGCGCAAATCCTTCTTTGCCTTCTCCTGCTCTAACGGTCTTGACGGGCCGGTGGCCCAGCCACCTGCGTGGTCGACGCCGCAACATGTGCCTAACATCTGATGCCTCCTGTGACCAGAGCCCGGGTGGTCTTATACATGAGGGGAGCTGCATGCAATAATAAGAGGCACGCGGGTCCCCTACTAGAATTAGACGCGGCTGCCACCGTGACATTCTCCCTGCTGCTTTTCTCCTGCGCAGATACCACTCCTCGTGTATTTGTTTGGAGTTGGAAACCACATTCCGGACAGAATCTCCAGGCTTGAGATCTCCTCACGGGTCAGCCAACATGGAGCCCACAGATAGCAAGGAGACTCGGCCCGAGCACATTGACGACAAGGGCACGGCGCCCAACCTCGACAATGTCAAGGTCCTCAACGACGAGGCCGCGCAGGCCACGGCGGCCGAGCATAGCATGACCCTCATGCAGGGTCTAAAGACGCACAAGAAAGCCGCCATCTGGTCCGTCCGTAAGTGAAGTCTGATGTCGGGGTGGTGTGTTGGGGCGCAACCCTGGGCCCGCAGCTGCTGACAAGTCCTGTTCTCGCAGTGATCTCCGCGACAATCATCATGGAGGGTTACGATACGCAACTTCTGGGCAACTTTTGGGGCTACTCGTCGTTCCGAAGAAAGTTCGGCGAGTACAGCGGCGAGGAGCACGGCTACCAGATCAGCTCTGCCTGGCAGGCCGGCCTGAACGATATCAGCGGCGTGGGAAACATCATCGGAGCCATGCTTAACGGGTACCTGACCGCCAAGTACGGACATCGCATGGTGCTGATGGGCAGTCTGGCCTGGCTTGCTGCGGCCATCTTTATGGTGTTCTTCTCGCCCAACATCGAAGTCCTTCTCGTCGGCCAGTTCCTGTGCAACATCCCCTGGGGCGTGTTCGCGACAACTGGCCCGGCCTATGCCGCCGAGGTCGTGCCTCTGGCTCTCCGTGGATACCTCACCGCCTACATCAACCTGTGCTGGTGCATCGGCCAGTTCATCGCAGCCGGTGTTCTCAAGGGCCTGATCAACAACGAGACCGACTGGGGCTACAAGATCCCCATGGCCATCCAGTGGGTGTGGCCCGTCCCGCTCTTCATAATCGCATTCTTGGCCCCCGAGTCCCCTTGGTACCTAGTCCGGACGGGCCAGCTCGAGAAGGCCAAGGCCTCCCTGGTCCGCCTCTCCGAGCCGGAGGTTCACAACGACCACGATGCTACAATCGCCCTGATGGTTCGGACCAACGAGCTGGAGAAGGAAGAGCGATCTGGTACCTCTTACATTGACTGCTTCAGGGGTACCAACCGCCGACGTACGGAGATCGCCGTCATGTGTTTCGTATCCCAGATTACCAATGGTGGCGCTCTCTGCTATACCGGAACTTTCTGTGAGACCCTCCTCGGTTTGTTAACATGAATGACAATTACTAACGCAGTTTCGCTCTAGTCTACGAGCAAGCCGGCCTGAGCGCCGACCTCTCCTACAGCCTGGGTCTCGTCGGTACCGCCATCGCCTTCTGCGGCGTAATAATCTCTTGGCTCTACATCTCCAAGTGGGGCCGAAGGAGCATCTGGCTCTGTGGGTTCTACGGCCTGCTTTGCTGCCTGTGGCTCATCGGCATCCTGGCCTGCATCAAGCCCCAGACCCACACCCTCGGCCTCGTACAGTCGATCCTCTGCATTGTCTGGCTCGGCGTGTACTCCATGTCGGTCGGGCCCATCGTCTACACGATCGTAGCTGAGATCGGCTCCACTCGTCTCCGTACCCAGACCGTCGTCTTGGGTCGCAGCGCGTACTACGTCGCCAACATCATTGGCGGCGTGTTGCAGCCGTACTTCATGTCACCTACTGCATGGAATGCCCAGGGAAAGACTGTAAGCCTCAAGCCTTGATATTCGCTTCATTTGATTGGGTTCACTCCCACTGACTCATACTCTGCAGGCCTTTTTCTGGGGCAGTCTTTCTCTGCTCACCACCATGTGGGGCTTCTTCCGTCTGCCGGAGACCAAGGACCGCACCTTTGAGGAGATGGATATCATGTTCCAGCGCAAGGTGCCCTCAAGGAAGTTCGCCGACTACAATATCAACTCGGACGACAGATATCTTGTTCACTGAGTGAGCAGGTGATATTTTCATGGGGCGCGGATATGTGCAATGTTTAAAGTAGTGCTCAACATTATACACATTATACGCGATGAAATAGATTTTGAAGAAAGCCCTGATATTATCCACCAATATTCTTGTGGACGGTATGATTTCATCCACGTATCGAGTCGCAAATCCTTCTGCGTTCCTCGATTGGGGAGAGCACCTGGGCACGATGATACGGTCATTAATCAGCTTTGTGACGGTGGTGCCATTGCTTGCCCACCAGGTTTGAAAATGCAACTTCTCTCTCGCAAATTCTATTCTTTACATCCTGTCTATTTCTTTGCCCCTTCCCAGCCAAGCATGAATTCCCGCGCGCGTCGGTCTACCTAAGCGATGCCTGCACAACCACTTTCTAGGACTCTCGCGCCGCCTGCTCACTCCTCCATTTCATGCCTTTCTTCTGTATAAGCCATGCCAATGGCAGCTCGATGAGCATCAGTATCGCGTAGATGGCAAAACACCAGCCCAGGCCAATCGAGTCTGCCAGCGGTTGCACGGCGGCAACGGCAGCGCCAGCTCCCAGACACCTGACGATGCTCATCGCTGCTGACGCCGTCGCGGACCGTTGCATGTTCAGATCCGTGAGTAACGTGCCAGTCATCTTGGTAGAGTCAGTCATTTGCTCGTGAGAAGATTTTGGGGTTTTGATCGGTTGACGTACAGCGAACAGGCTCGCAGTTGTGACTCCCGTCAGGAACTGCATGATGATCATGACAGAAATATGCTGTATCGACATTAGTGAGCATGATATTGCTGTATGGAACGTGCAAAGTTGACTTACCGTCCTGGTCATCAAAGCAAGCCCGTAACCCAAAGTGCCCAAGCCACTGACAATGATAAGGATATAGGCTCCCTTCAGACGCGTCTTCTCGATTGGAAAGTCGACCTCGTGCCCATTGAATGATCTCTCATTTCCGTCCGAAAGCTTGTTGACGGTCCGGCGGTAATAGTAGTTCAGAAACCTCCCTACAATGTGTAAGCATGGTATAACCTGGGTTGCTAAATGAAGTGTCTTCACTACTCACCAGTACAAAAGGCTCCAACGCCACCCGAAACTCCCGACGGTAGGTAAATCAGCCCAGCATTGAGATAGTCCAGCTGATAGATTTCGACACACTGTGCTCCGAGGGAAGCCTGCAAGGTCATCTTGACCGCGTAGGTGAGGGAATAGAGCAGGATAACGACCAGGGACTGCTTATTGGCCAAGATCGGCAGACAAGCAAAGGGGTTGGGATAATGCCGCATGGGCTTCATTATATGTGTCGAAGGCCCTTCCTTCTCATGCTTCTGCAAGGCGCTGAAGAAGCTCCAGTACACACCCCTGGCCTTTCCGCTCCCGTCACCGACGATGTTGCGCTGTGTCTCTGGGAGGAACAGAATCACAATCAGAAAATGTGACCCAGTCAGGATGACAAGGAACCAGAAAATCCACCTCCACCCGGCTTCTTGCGCGATGACCCCGCCTATCACCGGCCCCAGGCTGACTGCAAAGTCCGTTCTGTGAGACGTTCCGGTCAGTGATTTGCGCTCGATCACCCGCCACGGATCGAAGGACAAGGCACAGCACTCACGCAACGAGCATGGTCCCAACGAACCCACCCCGCTCTCCAGCCACGGTAATGTCCGCAATGACTCCATATGCGACCGAGGTCAGCCCCGACGAGCCGGCGCTCTGGAGCATCCGCAGCACGAAAAGCGCAGCGTACGAGTCCTGGAGCGCCATGCCGATGTTGGCGCCGATGAGCAGCGTGAACATCAGGATGTAGATGGGGCGTCGCCCCGCCTGGTCGGCCATGTCTCCCATGAACGCCGGGGCGATCGCGGCAACAATCAGGTACGACGTGACCGTCAGGTTGATCAAGGACACCGACACACCGAGGGACCGTGACATCGGCACCAGAGCTGGGTAGTAGATGTAGCTCATCAGCGTCGAGAACATGGCTGCGAAAGAGGCGACTAGGCTGATGAATCGTTTCTGTCCCTTGGTAAACACTGTGTATGGGCGTGTAGTCGTGACAACATTCTGAGCCTCTGTATCCTGTGTGTCATCACCCTGACCAGCCTGACCATTCACAGGATCCAGCGACTTCACATCCGTGGTTGTCGAAACCATGTCGCCCGTAATAAACGACTTGCTAGCGTGTCAGTACTATATTATCTGGTTTTGGGCCAAGTCTACCGGAATGACGGCCTGGAAGATTGCTCCGCAGCGAGTTTAGGTTTTCCCGGTTGAAAGTCGACAATTGGCACCGCTGATGTGTGCTCACAGCTTGAGGCATAGCAGGCAGTCAAGGTAGGGAGATTAAATGGCCATCCAGCCCCTCTGATGGCGCAGTATCGGGCGGGGTTCTCTATCGAGAGCTATTTATAGAGAATGATGCATATGTGTGTTGGTTGCTAGTGCAAAATCTGTTCGCACATCAACCGAAAACAGCAATCTGCGTGATCTGCTGTCCGATTATCACTCAGCACTTTCCTACGCCGTAGAGCGAATTTTATAGGATATATGCTTCACGGAACATCCCTAAAATACGAAGAAAGACGCTTAATAATGTGTATCTATGGCTTTCTTCCACCTATCCTAATTTTTATCACTCATCGAAACTACTAGTATGTATTTTAAACGCTGTGTCTTGAGCCTTTGCCACTGTACGAGGGCATCATGTATCTATGGATGTCTTCAGATGTAATTGATGCGGAACAGGTTCGAAACCACTTATGATTTCTTCACCGCATAACTCGCCGGTCCCGTTTGATATTCCAGCCGACTGCACAAGTAGTCTCATGCTTTGGATGTACCTTGGAAATAATTAGTCATGGCTAAAAAGGCCTGGGTACGGGATTCAAAAACATAAGTCCATGTCACTCACGTATCTCGTAAATTCTGTTCATCCGGATATAGACTCGCCAGACAAACTTGATTTCGAATCAGATAAATCAAGCCCCGCTGTTCAACGTCCTCCACCGGATCGGAAATTGGCACGTGCTTAAAATATTCATCCGTGTAACGCTTCCCCAGAGGGTATCTTGGGTTGTTGTGCACACCCAATTCAACTTGCGCAAAATCGGGATGTTAACAATGGAGGAGATTGTGAGAGGTAGAGATCTTGGGAACTTACATTCATTATGTCCCCAGACAGCGTTCGCATCGAATGTGATCAGGGCATCGTTATCCAGTCGGGACTTGACGTTACCCGGCCACATGTTTGTGTGGCAGAGACACGGCTGGATAGACCTTCCTTCTGATTCCAGTGGCCTTAGATATCTGGGCAAGACCTTGTTGAGAAAGTCCTCCACAACCACTCTCTCCTCGGCAGTGAACTCGCCCCGGATGGTCTCGTCGCGTTCGAGAATGAACTTCATGTGCTTTGTCCACCAGACCTCCCAAGAAGCTTCCCAGTCGTTTGTCTGTGGCAGAAAGCCAAACGTGGTATTCACAGGAAACCCGAATTTCCCTGTGGGTGATTTCCCTAAACTCCGGGCATACAGCTCCACCAGCGGTGCCATGTACATCTCTGGAGGTGCGAGATCATCAACCATTTCGACAAATTCCATCAGTATGAAATGTGTGTCAGGTTCAGAACGGTACTTTTCGAAGGCGATCGGTTTCGGAACATATTCGGGTATGAATTTGTGAATCATAGATTCGGATGCCCAGTGTGACTCGATCTGCTCGAAGCTAGTTGGTCCGCTACCTGTCTACTCCCGTGTATTTCATCAGCTGCAGTCCTCGGGTCCGTGGTGATTGTGATCCATGGTCATATGGGACGTACCTTGGTGAAGAAATGCGCAACACTCCCGTCGGGAAGCTCCACATCTATGCGATGATTGCGACAGTAATCGCTGAGTCCCAATTCTGTTACTTGAATAACTTTGCCCCCGTCCGGGAGATCTAGCACCAAAATCAGCGTCGGCTGTTTCGAGGCTTGCAAAAGGGGACAAAATGGCGCCATCATCTCGGTGACAGAGACACGTGGAAGGGTCAGGAAAGTCAGCACATACGTTCCAAAACCGCCTCGTCCAGCCCATGGTCGATCACACGAGAATTTTCGACCATCTTTGATAGCAAGCTTGAACAATAGCAACTTGAGCTTTGCTTCCAAAAATGATAGACCTATACTGCCGCTCAATATTTCAAAATTTTGAGAGTGAGATCCAATGTCAATGCCTCAATGATAGCATTGAAAATCGGAACTTGAAAGCAGCGGTTGCTCCGGAACACATTTTCCCTGTTTTATATGGATCCACGCTTGCTCCATTCGCGAGCATGCATTTCAAGATCGCAGCGCTTAGCTGCATCGACGAAGTTACCCTGGCATGCAGGAATGCGGCGCAGCCCAATGATAGCGACCAGCTCGCTGATTCTATTGGACCTGATTCATTCACCAACGCTTTAGGGTTCCGCAATTAGACTTGCGACCCAAGGTAGCATTTTGCTGGGGTCGTGCCACTTTCAAGCGCGGGGCAGCCAGGTTTGACGACATGGCCGACAATCGCACATAGGCTTCGGGGTTTAGGCACAGCACATGCTTGGGCAAAGGATTCTGCGCTCCAACTGATACCTTGTCTCATGTCGTGACGGCGGCTCTCTGAACATTGGCAATTATCAGCTTCTCATATGTGATGAGACAATGGTATACTCAGGCTATACCAAGGTAGGAGGTGGCCTAATTGCCTCATATCAACAGCGACTCCACCTATGAAGACCTCGCTGACCATGTGCAGATCTCTGGGTCAACCGATTCAAGGGACTCCGATTCGCTGGCGCCACAGGAGCCTTTGCCCTTGCGTCAGAGACACCATTCTGCTCCGAGCCTCTTTCGAAGAAGGCGCAAATCGAGTTCGTCTGCAGTCGATGCCGCTGACAACTGCAAAGGGAGCCTTGGCTTGGTCACCCTGTATGAGCCATCAGAAGCTCGCGTCGACTTCGTATTTGTAAGTTCACACCTCTTTCTTCACACACTCTGGCTGCTACGATAGAGTAAAGACTCAGACACCATAGGTCCATGGGCTCCATGGCGGCTCGAGGAAAACGTGGAGCCTTCATCCGGAAGACCCGGCGACCTTCTGGCCGGAGCAATGGCTCCCAGCCGAGCTAGGTTTCAAGAATGTCCGGATTCACAGTTTCGGTTACGATTCCGACTGGTCCAAAACCTCCCATAGTACACTGAGAATCAGGGACTTTGCACAAGCATTGGTGGCTAGTATATACAACTCTTCTATATTGAAGAGAACCAAAGACGTGAGACCTCCCAAGCCAAAAGAACGAACTCATTCAGAGATGTTTCCCAGACAGGGGAATGAATGTGCTGATATAGTATAAAGGTGCCACTGGTTTTAGTTGCCCACAGCATGGGTGGCCTCGTTGTCAAGCAGGTAAGCTCTGCGCTGTGGTGTCAGTTAACTTCATACCCGTCCACTAATTGTGAAACTAGGCATACATACTTGCCAGAAACGATCCTGTTTATCATGATGTCGCATCTCGGATACATAGTCTTTACTTCTTGGCCACACCCCATCGAGGGTCCAACTCCGCCGCGTACCTCAAAGCATTTCTTTCTGTTTCGCTCCCCACCGGACCCAAGGCATATGCCAAGGAACTACTCCCTGACTCCCAAACTGTCGCAGTGAGTTACTTTTGCACATTTATGCTTGTCAGTCCCTGGCATACTGAAGTTCAAACAGGACATCAATGAAGACTTCAGACACGTGTGCGGAGATGTCCAACTATGGTCATTCTTCGAAGGCTCCCCTACCGCAGGCTTCATGATTGTTGAGAAAGCCTCTGCCGTGATGAACCTTCCTGGGGAGCACACACAATACTTGTCTGCAGACCATCGTCACGTTTGTAAATTTCGTGACATGAACGATCCAAACTATATTACTCTAAGAGACTGTTTCAAGACAACAATTGAAGAGATCAATGCTCAGTGTATGTCTATGCTCTCTAAGTCTTATAGTGATCTTGACCCAGCTGATCTTGGCAGACACCACGCGTCAAGCCCAACTAATGAAGACCATTGCGGACTTTCTCGATGTCAGCCATCAGCCAAGTAGAGACCTTCTCTCTGTGTCAGAAAAGCTGCATCATGGGACGTGCGAATGGATCACTCAGCATAAGGACTTCCACCGGTGGCTCGACGTTGCCGATTGTTCGTCTTGGGGCACCTCAGAGCATAGACCGTACGCCACACAACCCCGGATACTTTGGTTGTCCGGACCTCCAGGATCTGGGAAGTCAGTGACCACATCGCATGTTATCAGATACTTGAACTCGTTCAACATGGACTGTTGCTATTTCTTCTTCAAAAACGACACCAAATTGGGAATCGCGGCTCTACTACTCAACCTTGCATATCAAATGGCCAGTTTCAGTTTCGAAATACGCCAGGTCTTTCTGTCAATGATTAGCAGTGGTGAGACGGTCAATACCCAAGATCACACACTCATATGGAACAATCTCTTCCAAGGCAGACTATTTCAAGTAGAATTCGCGCAGCCATGCTACTGGGTGATTGATGGGCTCGACGAGTGCCCCAAGAAGTCTTTAATCTCTTTGATACAGGTTCTTTCCAGGTTGGAGGCCCGAGTCCCCGTACGTATTTTCATCACCAGTCGGCCAGACTCCCCGGATGCTCCCGTGGGGCAACTTCTCAATGCGGAAAATGTGGAAAGGGTTGAGTTTCGCACAGGACAAGAAGACTCCCTCCGTGACATCGCGGCATATGTCAGATCGCAACCCCGACTCTCCAGGATACTCGACAATGAGGAGAATGACCATATCGTGTCTGATATTCTTGCAAAGTCTCAAGGGAACTTTCTTTGGGCATCTCTGATTATCGGGCGTCTGGATGAGCTTTACAGTTCCGAGGACATCAAAGCCGCTCTTCGCCAGGTCCCTTCAGAGATGAACGGATTCTACGATAGAATTCTGGACAGTATCTCGACTGCTTCAAATTCTGAGAAAGCGAAATGCATTTTAAAATGGGTAGTGTGCGCTCCAGAGCCTATGTCCGCAGAGGAGTTAACAGAAGCTGTGCATCTCGACATCGGTCACACGCTTCTCACAGCCACAACTGGAGACATCTTCTCTGAGATATGCGGCAGTCTTGTTACTGTCGACAGTGCAAATCGAGTTCAGCTTATGCACCAGACTGTGAGAGAGTACCTTATCTCCTCGGAATCGAACTTTTACGTCAACTATCGTCTGGCTCACGAGCAGCTTGGCAACATATGTCTCTCATTGATGAATGGGCGCAATGGCCTTCGCCGGACATCGCGAAGAACCAAATCGGCACCCGGGAAGTCAGGTCATTCCTTGCTTTTGAACTACTCCTGTCTACATTTCTCATATCACCTGCTACATTCGCACTCGACCTCGGCAACCACTTTCGCCTCTTTGGCAGAGTTCATTGACGCTAAAACGCTCATCTGGATCGAACATATCGCCAGAAGTCAAAAGCTCAAGCCTTTCCTGAAGACAATTGGGAACGTCAAGCCGTATCTGGCCCGTCAACTTGAAAGAAGTCCCCCATTCAGCAAGAGTTACCAGAAGGTCGAGTCTTGGATCAATGATTTGACACACATTGTCAGCATCTTCGGCCAGACACTTTTGGACTCTCCCGAGTCCATCTATGCCTTCATCCCACCATTGTGCCCGTCATCAACACTAGTCAATCGGAACTTTGCGCAGAATTGTTCACAGAAGATTATTACCGACTCGCACAAGGACTGGGAAGAACGCTTGGCCTCTATGAATTTTCAGTCTTACTCAAAGAGCATTGCAGTCACCGACAACCACATTGCTACTGGTCATTCCGATGGAATGGTTCGGATTTTCAGTGCTTCGACATTCGAGGAAGTCGCACTCCTAAAACACGGGTCTCCAGTACGTCAGCTCGCCTTTGGCAATGTTTCCAATGTGCTCGCTTCTTGCAGCCCGAAAGCGGTCTCGCTATGGAGTACAAAGCAGGATCTCGTTTGGAAAGTCGCAGTGCCCGGCATCGCTTCATCGGTTTGCTTTAACGCAGATGACACAAAACTCTTGGTCACTATTAAAAATGACGTGAAGCAAGCCATGCTCGCTTTTGCTTCTGCCGATGGCACTCAGCTTGACCCCATCACCATTCCTGGGGACAGCTCCAGTTCAGACTCTGAGTCCGAGCAGTTGAGCCAGACCACAAAGAAATTCTGCCCAGAGGTGGCTTGTGTCTCCTTTGCTCTTGGTATAACCGCAGTGACCTGGAGAAGTTCACATTTGACGATCTTTCTCATGGATTCTGAAGGCAACCTCGACAGGTTTTGCAGGCTTGAGAAAGAAGGCTATGAAGACGCAGCACGACCTCCTCAGATAAACTGTGTCGAACTCAATCCTGCGCTTGAGTCTGATCTGGTGGCTGTTGCGTACCAAGATGGCGAGATCGCTGTATTCGAAATGGACGAGTGGAACCCGAAGCAGACAAACTCTTACAACATTCATACAAGGACCATGGCGAGCTCACCAGATGGCAGAACCCTTGCTGCTGGCGACAACGATGGAGGAATATATCTCTTCGTGTTTGAGACTCTTCACCTATTGCATAGGATCGAATCATTGGACGAGACTGTCTCGAGGATTGTGTTTTCATCAAGTAGTCTCCGGCTATATGATATCCGAGGACGCTCTTGCAATGTTTGGGAGCCCCCGGTCCTCGTCCGGAAAAGCTCGATGGATGACAATTCCAGCGATCCAGAAGAGCAGAACATGCCAGTGGTTGAAGGCCCTCGTGATCATTTCTCTCGCTCATTATTTAACACAAAGACCATCACCGTCGTTGCACCAGCTCATGATGGCAAATACTTCTTTTGTGGTAGAGAGGATGGGTCGACCACAGTTCATGAAAGCCGCAATGGTGATGTGGTTCTTGAGCTGAAGCTCCACTCAGTCCAGATTCGGCTCTTGCACTTTGAAACTCAGTCAGGCATGCTTCTAAGTGTCGACATATCACGGCGATGCATCCTCACGCGCCTAGAAAAGCCATCTATGAGCAACCCAAGATGGTCGCAAGGAGTTCAAGTCTTGGACCACAGAGCGCCGGCCTTAGTCATTCAGGCAATCATAAAACCAGGTGGTTCGGCGTTCGTGCTCTCTAACCAAACTGGAGAGGAAGTTTGGAATGGAGCTGAGATTTCGCAGAGCAAATTCTCTACTGAAAACTCTCGGTGGATGTGTCATCCCACCGACGCCAATCTACTGCTTCTTGTCGATGGCAACGAAGTGCGCATATACCAATGGGAGAAAATGCAAGAAGTCACCAATGGCCGCGTTCTAGCAATGGAATGCCCGGAGAACTTCGATTGGCAAACGGCTGGTAATGACTGGGTGTCTCATTCAGGATTCAGTATGCTTTGTCAAGCTTTGGCACTTCAAAAGAGTACGGGAACAGCTTTCCTGATGATGGACCTATATCAAGCAAACACCCAGTCTTCTACGGTTGCTGTGTCTTGTACTCTCAGGAACATGACTGCTAGTGTGAAGTCAATACTTGCGGTAACCAAGTCCACCGTCATATTCTTGGATCGCGGGGGGTGGATTTGCTCGTTGAGCATCAAGGACATCTCAGGGGCCAAGCATTACACTCGTCATTTCTTCTTGCCGACGTTTTGGCGCACAAGAGGAGAATTTCTGATGGAGGTAGTGGGGAAGAACACCATTGTGATCGCACACAAGGATGATGCTGTGATCGTTCATGGATTCCTGGATTTCACTCATAAGATGGACTTCCTGGCCTTCCCTGACGATGATGACGAACCCCTTGTTCTGAGGCGGCGGGTAACGAATCTGTAACCTCTTCAAAGGGTAGACTTTCAAGAATACATGACCCAGGATTGCGTGATTTCTCAAAGTGTGATCGGTTTGTCCCCAAAGTGAAAGTGTTGGATGTAGGCAGGCCTTGGTATGTCCCAGACAATTAGACCGAAGCAATTTGAGGGAGGGCAATAAGAGGAAAGCCCTCCGACCTCAGAAATCATTCAACCGGCTCTTAGCGGGTTTTGAGGTGGACATTAAAACAGCTCAAGATTTAATTGGTACCTTGATCCTGCCGCAGCGGAGGTTCTGGTCCATGAGGGTGTGAATGAATGAGCAATACCGGATGACTAAGCAGCCACCAGGGTGCCAGTCACTCAAGCGCACACAGTCACATTTGGCTGTTACTGTGATCACCAACAAACTTGCTAATAATTTTGGATACCGACACACGATCAAAAGCATCTAATTTGAGAATCATCAGTATCAGCAACAGTGACGCAAATAAATGGAGGATAATATGTGGGCTGCTTCAAATGTCTCAGAGGGCCCAAACATCGGTGCTGTTATCGTGTTCACTCAGGAGGGAAACCCTTACACGACTGTGTCGAGAGCAAGAGAGCTACTCGGCTAAGTTTGGAGACAATATCTTTGTGTCTGAGTCGCCCAACATTGAAATTATCTCGATAAGGTTCCAAGGTTCATAATTTGCCTCTGCTTGAAGTCTTCGGCAAGATGCAGCCTCAGCTACAGCAGGCAGCAGCGGGAGTTCGCGCGCTGGGCGGTGCTGAGGTCTGTACCGTCTCCACTGTGACACGTTTCCACGCCCTGTGGTTGGCTTGGCGAGATGGACCAACATCCCTACACGAACGCGGGCCACACACTAAACTTAATAACCGGTAGCACCCCTCGATGGTTGGTTATCCTTGTCTCTTTCGGCGACCTCATCCACAACTTGAAAGGGTCTTTTTGGCATCGGGCAGGTCAACCATGGGTTGCACTACATCAAAAGCCGACCATAAAACAACACGCCTGCCGTCGCTGTCGCACAGCGATGCCGATAAATCTAGACGCTGTGTTCTACTGCAGAGACTCGAAACGTCCGATGGGATCCCGGTGGCCCTGTTTAGGGAGTGCGCGGCCGGCTGTGACACCTGCGGCTTGGTTTTTGAAGCAAGTAAGAAGTGGGGCCTCCCCCAACCGATGGCCGACAAGAAACCGTACAGAGGCGAGCTTCGGGTCTCCTTGATATCCTCAGCCGAGTCTGGAACATCTTTCCTGTCAATTCAGGGGGGGTGGGAAAGGGGAATGAGTCGTGGCCGTCGGGTGCAATTTTATGCCATCGAAGGTCGGTCATGAAGTGTCCTTAGCCACGCGCAGCCTACCTGTCTGTTGACTTTTGAGGACAGGAACTTCAAACCCATGGAGCCTCACAGGCAGCCCTCGATTTCTAGAATCAACCAATTCTCCCTCATCCATCTCTCTTGCTCGTACCTGGTTGGCCGACTGCCTCGAACAGCACAAGGAATGCCCCTCTAATTTGGACTCAAATCTACCAACAAGAGTCCTTGACTTGAGCGATCCCAACATCATCAGGCTTACAGAGGGCAGCAGGGGTCGTTATGCGTGTCTCAGTTACTGCTGGGGCAAAGGACAGTTCGTCATGACAACTACAGAGACGCTGGAATCTCACAGGCGAGGGATTGAAAAACAATCTCTACCACAAACCTTGCAAGACGCTATTACTTTCTGCCAAGAGCTTGGAATACAGTATCTATGGGTCGATGCGTTGTGTATCATCCAAAAAGGAGATGACGGTGCCGATTGGAACAGAGAATCTGTACGCATGGCTGACATTTACTGCAACTCGTTTGTTACTATCGCAGCCTTGTCGGCAGATTCTGTTTACAGCGGCTGCTTCAACACACCCAAGGATGGGGTCAGGATTGGACCCGTCATGACCTATGGGTTGGACCACTTCCCAAGGGACCCGAACATCGAGTTGTATCCTGATTTTCCTTTGCTGACGAGAGGTTGGGTGTATCAGGAGCGTATGTTATCGCCCCGGACGCTCTATCTCGGTAGGCAGGAGCTGTTCTGGGACTGTCAGCACTGCCGCACGTGCGAGTGTGGTGGAGCTGAACATGGAGAGAACGAAGTCCAAAAGGGAAAGTTTTCTCAGATCTGCGAATTCCCTGCGGATCTGGTCCAAATGCAGTGGCGCCAGGTGGTGGAACAATATTCCCACTTGCAGCTCTCGTTCCGCGCCGACAAGCTGCCTGCGCTCTCCGGACTGGCAAACAGGTTCCAGGAAGCAACCCGGCAAAGATACTGGGCAGGTTTATGGGAGAATTCTTTCGTTACCGACATGTGCTGGCATGTATTAGACGAGGGGACCCCCGCCCACGCGGAAGGCCAGAATTGGACGGCCCCTACCTGGTCCTGGGCATCCTTGGACGTGCCTGTTTCTTATGGGGTCGATTTGTGCGAGGTGACACGTGACAGCGAAGAGGGTCTACACACACTAGCGGCAGTGCTGGACGCCCACTGTGCCCTTCGCGGCCCGTCTACGACAGGTCCGATTACTAGTGGCTTCGTGGACTTGAATTGCACCAAAATTCCAGCTGGCTTTGAGGGAAGCTCGGTCGTTGCGGGTTCTCTGAAGCTGTGGTGGCATAACGACGGGAGATACCAAATCAAAGACGGGGGGGAGTACTCTTTGATCCCCCTATTAGCTGTGGTCAAGACCCAGTTTTTGATAGCTGTGGTTGTTACGCCGAAGGACGAAGGTTCTGGGGAGATGGTCAGAGTTGGAACAGCAACCGGTTATCAATGGGACGGACCAGAGCATTTTCCAAAAAGTGATTGGGGTAGAGTACGTATCGTGTAGCCTGTATCGGTTGTATCATCTTTAGAAGCGAAATGTCTTGAGCGTTGACCGCTATATGACAAGGCGATGTATGTCTTCGGATGTAGTTATACGGAATAGAAGCGAAACTAGATACTTGTATATCTAAACCTCATTGGTTCCCAATAGGACTACATTATGGGCCATGCAAAAGTGCTTGCACGTGGCGGCTTAAAATCATCCCAAGATTTTATATCCGCCGGGGACCAGATTTGTGAAGATTCTCTTCGGGTCAACCCTGTCCCTCACTTGCTTCAGTTTACTCAGGCTGGCAGCGCCATAGCTTCCCATGACGTCTTGATCTTTGTAAGCATAATTTGCAAAGATATATGGGTCCAGGGCACCCAGCTCTTCCGCAGCCTTGTTAATAGCCCTGAGCAGGTCATGCAAGGTGCGCTGAACGAGCGCATCGTCGGCGGCATTCGTCCAGGAGGCGAACAACTCAACTATGACGAGTGAGTCCGTGCGGTCACCTAGGCCCAGTGCGTTTTCCGTGGCATGGCGCTTGTAGATCGCTGGTGGAAGGGGTTCCAGGATGAGAGTGAAGACGTTGGTCACATTCGTCACTGCTGGGTAGGATGCCTCCCACTCAGCGTATGCGGCTTTGAGGACCGTCTCAGTGGACACGAGCGTAGTGGCCATAGTCAAAGATCTGCGTTGCCCATATGAGAATCACGTCTGTATCTCTGTGGGAAGAGGATGCAGATAGAACTCACCTAACTCCTGCCGGATTTTGTGTGGCTGTTACATCGGTGGTAGCCCTCATACTCGCAACCTTCGTGTCCTTGAAAATCGTGGGTATAGCCAAGAAGCCTTCAAATGCGGGCGGTGCGTCGTCTGCGACGTCTTTGGTGTACTGGAGCAGATTCACAACAGTGGTCATGTTCGATGCTGCATTGTAGCCGAAAGAGGTAATGACCGAGGCATACTCATCGTAGGACGTAGCGGAGTTGAGGTTCACGAAATTGCGGATGACGTCGTCTGCGTAAGTACCCAGGGAATACAAAGTACCGGACCACACAGGTTCTTGTTGGAAAGTTTGCAGAGTGACTCGGGTGACGACTACACGCTGTCAGTTTCCGTGCAACCTCTTCGTGCTGCAGCTATTCACAGCCGTTGTCGGCATCGAAATCATTCAGAAAGAGGGGGCAAACTGAGTTTACTCACTGCCAAAGTTGTTGACTCCGCCTTTGAGAGCCCAGAACAAATCTTGATTGTTGCTCCCACTTGCCTCGACAATGGACCCATCTGCTAACACCACTTCGAACTTTGTCACTGTGTCACAGGTGAAGCCGTAACGCGGTGAAGTATAAGATACACCACTGCCGAGCGTCAGGCCACCGACCCCTGTGAGAGTCAGAAATCAGTCATGGTGTTATGGTTCGGGATATTTTGCCAGAAACTGCATCGACTAATGTGTCAAGACTCACCAGGTGTAGAGGCTCGGCCACCATTGACACTCAGCCCGACAGGATCGAGAGCCGAGTATACGTCGCCCCAGGTAGCGCCAACTCCAACCTCAACTGTCGACTTATCCGAGGAGAGATGGATGGCATCAAGGGCACGAAGATCGATGACTGGACCGCCCTGGATGTTGGAGGCGCCCGCCCAGCTCGTGTGCCCGCCTGAGCGAATGGCAAACAGGCACGACTGCCCCTGGTCGTGCAGCTCAACCAGTTTCTTCACAGCGATTGAGACGTCTTGGACATTTTGCGGTGACACAATACAGGCTGGTCGCATCGACTCTTGTTGGACCGAGAAATAGGATTCGAGAGCGTCGGTGTATGCAGTGGTTCCCGGAGTGAGCACCTTCTGTTGGCCAAGCACGGTTGTGAGAGCGACAGACTGCCAGATTTCAGCAAGTCAGAACTACTGGGCCGAAAATGACAGGAAAGCATAGTATAAACTGAATTACTCACACAGGCACCGCCCAAACTTTCTAAAGCTACCATATCGCTTTCGTGATCCGCGGATGGATTCATAGTGAACTAGAGGCGGCAACCTTAGAAGGCTCTCAGCTCTGAAGATTGGGAGAGTCTAGTCCAGGGGTATCATCGAGAGAATCCGAATTGTTCGGGGTGACCCTAGTAGAGCTTGGCTGTTGGTGGGTGTTGATGATTTGAGCTACTAGTATTGAATCGATCCTGCTGGTAACATCTGGTTGAGTTTGTTCTAGCAAGCACTGGCAAGGGCTGCAAATGTCGCCAGGATGTGGATTGATAATGAACCTGCGCACCTAGGTACATAAGGTATTTAGGTTCAGTCCAAGAGTGGTGACCTAGGGTGTCATTTCCAAGTGGAGAAACAAAATCCTTCTTGCAACGGACCTCGGGATCATGCTACACTATGAGGTGTTGGGTTGCGGTGCGACAAGCTGTGCCGCGCACACACTTATAAAGTTGGGTCTGCCTAGCCACCCGGACGCTGCACACGACCTGTTGGTTACGCCTCCTGCATGTGCACCTGGGCAGGCTGTGGATCCTACGGAGCACACAGCGAATGCCAAGCTTTTGATTGGATACTCGCAGTATGCGGACCAACTGGACGTCTGATTTCTGGGCCAGGGGCCGACAGGAGCTGGTAGCGCTGCCAATCCTCTTTTGAGATTTCATCGTTCCAGTCCAGTCGCAAGCGGGGCACCTCACTTGCTCAAGTACCTAAGTGGCAGAGTGGTTACGGCGGTTCAGAGCAGTCACATCGACAGAATCCACAAACGGTCAAGCTCTGACAGAACAGAAGATGGTGCCTCCGAAGGGAACGATTCTGGGTGCGTTCAACCTCCCGGGGGGTCATCCTCTGATTGTCATGCTAACATATGGGTGCCTAAATTAGTGACGGGCGCAAACGGTGGTCTGGGCAGCGCCATTGTGAACAAGATAGTCACCTCTACTGAGCTCGCAGGCTACCACGGTCTCTACACCACTCGCTCCTCCACCTCTGGGCTCTCTGCTGTCCTGGCTGCCGCCAATGGAGAACATGCCCACGACATCCTCACTCTCGATCTGGCCTCCTTGTCGAGCGTGCGGCGTACCGCAGAAGACATCAACGCCCGTGTGGCGGCAGGCCAGATCCCCCCCATCCGAGCCCTGGTGCTCAACGCGGGCTTCCAGGACTTCGGAAAACAGCAGTGGACAGATGAAGCCGAGGGCCGGCTGGACATGACGTTCACAGTCAACTATCTGAGCCAGTGGCTGCTGACCCTGTTGCTCGTCGGGAGCATTGACAAGGAGAAGGGGAGGATCGTCCTGATCGGGAGCCAGTCCCACGAGTAAGTGCATCTTGGAGGGCAAGCACCTAGCCTCACTGAAAGAGAAGGATGCAGACGCTGATTTTGCACACAGTCCCTATGACAAGCGCAACGACAGGACCAAGGCTTTTGAGGGCCACGACAAGACCATCATCCACGATAAGAGCAGCATCGAAACCATCGCAAAGGGCAAATGGCCGTCTGGTTCCGACGAGCCTGGCTTCAAGGGCGGCTTCCGACGCTATGGTGCCTCCAAGCTGTTCCTGGTAATGATGATGCACTCTCTCCAGGGCCGCCTCAACCGGGACCCCGCCCTCAATAAGATCTGCATCCTCGGTGTTGACCCCGGCACCATGTCAACGGGGCTCCAGCGGCACTCGTCCTTCTTCATCCGCGTCATCTTATTCGGGTTTATTTTCCCACTCATTGCCTGGCTGAGTCCGCAGGGGGACATCAGGACACCGGAGCGCAGCGCAGGAGATGTGGTGAGGGCCGCGTTTGATAATGGGTCGGGACTCGGCGAGGAGCCGAAAGACGTGTATCTCGACGGATCTGAACCATTGGAGACGGGGGTTGAGTCCAAGGACGCTCGAAAGAGGGAATGGGTCTGGCAGGAGAGTGTTCGCCTGGCCGGGTTGAAAGAGGGCAACACAGCTCTCGTCAACTGGCAGTGATATTGTAGATTGCCATCTGTCAATGCGGTGCGGCTGCCAGAGATAACTGTGTTGAAGCAACCCACATTGAACTTGTTTCTGGATTGATGATCGTGTCGCGTAATTAGTGGGCAGTAAACCCTGTAGCAGCTAGCCTAGTATTGATATATAGTATTGACTGGTCTTATTGACTCAGCTACCGAAAATATTGATTGTAGATACATAATATAAGATAGGATATTAGATACTTAAATATTTTTTGGCATACTGCTTACAAGAATAGGTTCAACTTAGAATAGTGAAGTTTGTAATGGATGCAACGTATGAGTGCCGTTCCGTTTGCAAGCATTGATCTTACTACCCTAAGGTACTGACGCAGATTTTGCCTTGGCAGGATCGTTCTACCAGTTAATGATGATGAATAATATGGAATGGCACTCAAGTCAGGGTTTTAAACAGATCGCAGTCTATGCCGGCATGAATTCGATTGATGAAGTATAGCAAGCCCGGTATCGAGGCTTCAACACTGCCACGTCAGCTTTTGGGGAGCCCTAGGCGCCTCGGAACCGCCATTGCCAAGACAAGATATATCGTTGTGGTGACGTGCTGGGTCATGACCTAACAGGAAGAATTGGTCCCCAATGAGGTAAGATAATGCTGGATCTTGCACTACGCAGTACGGTTGATTATGGGCTCCAGCCAGTGAGGAGCCCCTCAGGCTGTCGATCTCATATGGTAGGATTCACATTAGGTCTGATGGATTCCTTGGCTGCTACTGTGACTACCAACAACACCGCGCTAGTTCCTTTCACTGGTTTCGTTTCTATTGCGTAGACGTCCGGAGCCATACGCGGCGTCTTGCTTAAATACCTTCGCACCAAGGCGACTGTGTGCCTGGCCAGGTTTGCTTAGCCATGATCCTCTTCTGGAGTACTAAAGACCAGCCCCAAAATCGAGACCATCGAGAAATAATTTTGTCACTTTGATCTTCGTAAATCCTAAAGCCCACCTTCAGTCAACATTCTGGCCTAGGGATCATGCTACCAAGACAATCACTTCTGCCAACTCTGGCTGTGCAAGCCAGCCTGGCTTCATTCATATCTGTGGTCGCCGCACAAATCACCTCTTCGGGTACTGTTACCATTGTTACTCCTGAACCACCACTCCCCAGCCTTACCGATGAGCCACCTCTATCGTGTTGGCGCGAGGCCGCAACCATCATCATGCCGCAAGCGCAGGCCGTAGGCGAGCTGAGAACCGCCTTGGAGTCCGCGTCTATCACATACGGCCTCGTCCCAAGCGTACCTTGTAGTGTCCTTGCTGTGCTTCCGTCATCTCTCCAGGATGACTTTGCCGCCTTGGAGACACGATGGTTCAACTGGTGGCAAACTAAGCGGTATGATACTGCCTCCATATTTCACATCCTCACCACTTATCGATCACTCAACACTCCCTTGACCCCAAAACTTTCTGTTCTTGAATACATATTTTTCATTGTACCGCACCTTTTTCGGTGCTGACTGCATAAACCCACCAGGTCCAACTTTTCCTCGTGGGCTTCGACTTGCACGGGCCAGTATACAGGCAACTTTGGTCTCGCCGTATCCGACTTCCTCAACTCCAGCTCGAGTATGGACAACTTTACCCCGCGGGTAACAGACTGCGCAGAATTCACTGGAACGGGCATTGCGACTACCACGGGCAGCACGGCCAGCCCTGGCGGTCCGACGGGGACTGGAAGTGGTGGGGTGGCCGAGACTGCTTCGGCAGAGGGAAATGGGGGAGGTTCGCTTCGGTTGCAACACACGGCCCCTATCTGTGCTACTTGGGCGACTTTGGCCAGTGTAATTGTGCTATTCTAGTAGAAGAAGTCAGTCTTTAGTGACGAGGCTATGTTGGTAGGGGGCCGGCCCCTGGACTCTGCTCGCATCGCGCAGATCCTCCATGCCATGGACAATCAAGGCCGAGTTGACAACAGCGCGCTGTATCCGAGGTATCATAGCATCCGTTCCGCGCTGATGGCACGCCCTTATCAAATTATGGATGGTGTATTTCTTGTTTTCCCCCTCCAAGTTCCGCACGCGGGTCGCATCCTGGTGCTTGCGCTTGCTGTCCGACTTGAAATACTTGGCCTGCATGTCTGCGTGGTGCAGCCTGGTGTCGAAGCCTCGCAGGTGGCGGGCGCAAATACCCAAGTCAGCCCCGCGCAGGTAAATTGATCCGCGGGTCAGCAGTGGAGTCTTTGCCAGTCTCTAGATCAAGACACGCACATCGAAATCCTCGGCGAGACGGTATGCGACGACGAGGCCTGAGGTACTGCCGCCGATGATAATATGGTAGGGTGTAGGTGGAGCAATCGTGTCGTCGTTGGCAGTCTCCACGTCTTGCAGGCCCTGGAGCCACACCAGCGTGATTCAAGTGGAAGACGGTGATGGCATTCAGCGTTTAGGTAGCAAGTGAAGAGCCTTTTGGAGACCTCAGATCCAGTGTTGTCGTGGCTTGCTATATACACATGTATTGGAGTTTCCGAAAGCCGTGCCATGTTCCGCTCCATCACTTGTGCAAATTCCTACATCTGCTGACATGCGTTCTCATGTTGAGTTTCGGCACCATTCAAGTGAGGTTCTTGTCACAATAAAATATGCTCTTTACAGACAACAGTCATATTGGGGCTCGGTCCCGTAAATTCAGATGGTTTACTGAGCAATCATGTGCATTATTCGGCACGTGCGAATCTCTATACATATCTCGGCATTTACACGTCCATGGTTATGTCACACCAGTCGAGAGGTTTGGACAAATGTGAGTCCAATCCTTCCGGGGTGGGGAGGCTCTCTTCGCCGGTAATTAAACTTAACAATAACCTTCATTGGTGGTCCATCATAAGTGTAGCGTGGCGTGGAAGGTGTGCCAGAGCCAGCCATGTTGCTGAGTGCCTCTCAGGTGACCCCAGTCTACGCTACGGTTTGCCAGTCGCCAGCCTGCGTGTCCCCGGGTTTGATACCATTTCATTCGCCTGCGCACCATTATCCGTAGCTATCTCATCTACACGTACATTTACAGGTGCCTAATGAAGTACGTATCCAGCTTTTCTTTGAGCCGTGCGGTGCAGTGGGAAGGCCATCTCGTATGGATGAGGTTAGGAGGCTCTCGTACGAGAGACACCCCGAGAAGAGGTTGTGCTGTAACTTCATATGTACCTAAGTACCTAGGTAGGTAGGTGCGGAGTGGGCAGGAGTGGGCAGAGCTTGTCATAACTACCTGTCCTAAGGTACATATGTGCTTGAGTACCTAGGTAGGCAGGTGCTGGTGGATGTTCCTCCATTCCCGTGCGTGTGTTGAATCTCTCTTCCCGTCACTGCCCAGTACTAGTAGGTTGGTACTTTCGATTGAACAGGTGGCGCTTTCCTACCTAAGGTAAGAAAACACTTCCGTTTGGTACAGAGTCAAGGGTGCCTGAGGTACGTCAACCAAACCATCCCTCTCCCTGCAAAGTTGCCACAGAAACACAGACACATAACCAGACAACTCAGCAATATTCACAAACGTTAGAACCAAAAATATGGCGGACGACTCTGCCGACCAGGGCTCGGAAGACTCGTACTCCCAGGAATACACGCCTCGACCCGGGCCCTGCGCGATCCCCGCTGCCGAGCTCCAGCATACACCAATATGTCAGCTGAAGCTCAATTCCCACAATCCTGGAAAGCGAACGGCCGTTCACGTCACTCGCCCTGCGACGCGCTGCAACGATGTACTGACAGCTTCTGTGGACGATGAGCGGTGGGATCGGGCCCGTGTCTGCCTGGAGGCATTCTGCCAGCCGTCAGAGGAGGTTGTACCTGCGGAGCAAGTCCTTCGGCGTGACAGCTGGTACCTGATCAAGGAACCGTGGGCATTGAGCGGTTCAGATGGTATACCTAAAATACTTGTTGGCCACCCTGGCGACATCTCCTGGCTCCCAGATGACCATGAGCTCATGCCTGATGCATTACGAAACATGGACTGGAAAGCCTCGCTCCCAAAGAGTGGCGAGCTGCGGAGCAAAGGAAATGAGGCTGTTGGCAAGGGTGCTTGGGCAGAGGCTGAACACCTGTGAGTCCTTGCATGATCTACTCTGGCTCGCGTGCGTGCCACAATTTTTATTTCTGACATCACCACTGGCAGGTATTCCAATGCCATCCTTGTTGCTCAGACGGCTGAAGAGACAAGTTTGGCCTACCTCAACCGTTCTTTGGCCAACCTTCGATTAGGACGAACGGCTGCCGCCCTCGCTGACGGGATCAAGTCGAATGAGACGGCGACCTCCGGGCCTACTGAGAGAGGGCTCTTCCGTGAGGCCGCCGCTTTGTACTACCTGGCCAAATTTGAACAGTGCCTTGACAAGCTTCAGGAACTGACGACGTCGTTCTACGCCAAGGATTCCGCGACCTCAATGATCGATCGCGTGCGAAAGCGACTCGACGAGCAACAGACAGGCCAGTATGACTTCAAGCACATGTACAGACAGGCCAAGCTTACACCGCCTTTGATTGACTGCGCCACCTACACCATGCCAGTAGAGATCAAGGAGTCGCCGGGGAAGGGTCGTGGGGTGTTCACCAAGAGGAAGGTCCTTGCTGGTGAGCTTCTCGTCTGCGAAAAGGCTTTTTGTTACGTCTGCAGGGATCGCGATGGCCGCGAACCCTTGACGGACGAGGACGCCGATAAAGAACTATTTACGCAGGTTGTGCAAAAGATTTTCCACAACATTGAAGACGCTCGGATGTTTGCCGACCTTTATAATGGAGACAACGACAGTGTAGTGCCTACCGATAAGGTCGATGGCAAGCCTGTCATCGACTCGTAAGTACTCATGTCGACCATAATACCTGGGAAATCCAGCGATTCTGATCTGACGTGTCGGTGCTACAGATCGATTGTTCGAACAGTCCTGGACCTCACGAAGTTCGTTACACCGAGGACCAGTCGGTCAGGCTTGGTCGAGTACATCTCTGGAGGTCCGGGGGGTGTCGGGCTGGACAGCTCAGCCGTCGGATTGTGGTCATTCACCTCTCACGTCAACCATTCCTGCATCTACAACGCGTGCCCCTGCTACATCGGCGACATGCAAATCCTTCGTGCTACGCAAGACCTCGAAGAAGGGACGGAAATCTTGATTTCATACGAATCTCCAGAGGCCTTTGAAGGATATGATGACACGCAGGAGCGGCTGAGCATTTGGGGATTCGAGTGCAACTGTGCTCTCTGTCGCGACAGACAAGAGACGCCCAAGACGGTTGATATTAACCGTGATTTAATCCGGCAGCAAATTTTACTCCTTCATGCCACGCCTGCCGGACTATTGAACCACGCCAGGGCCCGGCGCTTGCTTGATGAATTGGATCAGACCTATTCGCCCGCAGCAAGACAGCCTGGAGCTGTCAGATTGGAGGTCGCACCTTTTCGCATGTCCCAAGGCAATGTGTTCGCAGCCTCGAAAAAGCTACGTGCAATGGTCGACATGTATCTGGAAGCACTTGAAGCTTACGGTTTTGTGATTTCTGCACGCCCACTCCGTGTCGTACAGTGGGGCTTGGTGCGGATAGATTGCTTCCAGGCGTTTCGAAACCTGTCTATCGCATACAAGTTGGTGGCGCCCGAAAATGTGGGGGCAGCAAGAGGCTACATGAGGCTCGCGTACACTATGGTGGTGGGAGAGGGTGAGTCAATGGACCAAATTGTCAAAGACAAGCCAAAGTGACCGCCTCACACCGAGACTACATCCCGACGTCTTCTGTCTGGTCCTATGGGACGACACACTGGACGCAGGCAAAATGGAGGGCTCCGTTATAGTACATGTTTTTTTTTTTTTTTCGGAAGATGTGGCTGTGGTGTGTTGGGACGGGAGAAAGACTGGATTCGACACCTCGCCTTCCACGACTCTACTGCGACTAGGTACTAATGCCCATACGTTAGATGGCAAGTCCCCGTGACGATTAAAGATTGAATGGAAAGCCGGGGTTTCTACTAGAATAAAATAACAATTGCTCTCAAAACGAGAGGTGCCCAGGTGTCCAGGTGCCCTTGTATATTTGGCTCTGTGAGACCGGGACTTGCATTGACGATGGACACGAGAGCAAGACACCTCAACTGTTATACGAACCTGCAACAACAGAAAGGCTGATTAATATGCGTTGAAGCATTAGGTCTATAATTATCTTCTGGTTGTATATATCAATCATCATTGCTTTCGTGGTCCGTCCCCGAGCGCCTTGCTCACGGGGACCGTCTCTTCTGCGCGAGACACATGTCCAGGCGCCATTGGCGGGTATCTCTCGCCTTGTCGTGCTCCCCCCACTCGGTAAACCAGCACTCGAGGTCGAACATCATCTCCAGCACGGCCGACATGCCGTGGCCGGGCCGGTCCTCGAGCGCGCACAGGCTGTCGATGGCCTCGCGCAGGAAGCGCTCGGCGTTGTGGCGGTCGCCGGCCACGCGGTACTCCTTGGCGAGGAAGTACTGCGCGGCGTACCGGATGAGCAGGTCGAGCTCCGGGCCGCGGCCGAGCAGCTCGCGGAACATGCGCTGCGGCCGCTCGGTGGAGGTGCCGCGGTTCTCGGCGAGCAGGCGCTCGTACTCGGCCTGGAACCACAGCAGCGTGACGACGGGCAGGCTGCCCCGGCCGTACTGCGCCTCGTGCGAGCGGATCGTGTCCTCGAGCCCCTGCCCGAGGCCCGGCGGCAGCTGGTCGAAGCTCCCGGCCGCGTCGGCGAAGGCCAGCCACTCGCCGAGCAGGGGGATGTTCCAGCAGCCGGGCTCCATCATGGCCGTCCACGTGTCGAGCTCGCACCGCCAGGCCTGCACCATGGCGGCGCGGAAGACAGCGTCGTCGACCTCTGCGAGGCGAAGCAAGACGCGCCGCAGGGGCTCGGGCCCGGCGCCCTCGTGCAGCAGCGACGCGGCGTACTTGAGCAGGGCGCGCAGGGTGGCGTTCATGGCCCCGCCGCCCGGCGAGCCCCCGCCCGAGCCCGAGTCGTCCTCCCACCGGACGCACAGGACCGTCATGCACACGCAGCCGAAGGCGTTGCTCGAGGCCGGGCCGAACAGCGAGCTGCGGATCTGGTCGGGCGCCCGCCGCAGCACCAGCAGGGCGTCCTCGATGCGCGCCTCCTGCAGGAGGCGCCGCGTGGCCACGAAGCCCCGGCACAGGTCGCCAAAGTGCAGCGGCAGGATGGCGCGCACGTCCTCGTCGCCCGAGCACCGCGCCGTGTACTCCCTGAGGGTGTACTCGCGGGCGTTGACGAGCATCTCCTCGGATATCCAGAGGCCGTCGGGCGGGCGCAGGGGCCGGCATATTGACGTTGGGGATGACGACGACGACGACGACGATGATGATGATGCCGCGGACCTCTTCCTGTCCAGGTGGTTGATGAGGCTGCTGAGGCTGATCATGGCGCCGTTGCTCAGCCGGACCATCTCGTGGGCGGGCGCCCCCTCGCGCTGGAGGCTGCCGCTCCTCGAGACGACGTGCTGCAGGGCCTCCCTCTCGAGCTTGTTGGTGATGTATTTCGAGAAGCCCCACCGCTTGATGCGGGCCTTGAAGAGTTTTGGCCTGCCGCGTGCAAGTCAGCCACGGTTGACGCTTTCCTTCCAAGCCATCCATCCGGATATATACAAGGACATGCGGGTGTCAACTGGTAACTGGTGCCAGGCTCAGACTCACGATGCTTCGAGGCCGTAGCTGGACCTCATGATCTCCATGACCTCCTTCAAGCTGCGGCCCTGGTCCAGGTAGAGGGCCTTGATGACGGGCCTGTGAGCCTCCCACGTGGCATCGGACCTCCCTCGCCGCTGGGCCGGAGCAGCTGGAGCAGGCCCGGGGTGGTGCGGCAATGCCACTGCTACCACGGGCACGGGGGCGCCCACCTGCATGCTGCCGACCCCCGTGTCAGGGGCCATCCATACGGTACCAACGGCGGCGGCGGCATGGTGTCTGTTGTCGAGTCCGTGTCCTGAGGCTTCCCGCGTCGCCATCATGACCACATGTAGTATATCTCCCTGGTCCCATACTGTAACTGTGATACCGCAGAACCCGGGCCTCAGGCGCAGCTTTGCTTCGTGGTCGGTGGTCCGGCCGGCTAGGGTTTGGTTCAAGAGTCTGCCCTGCGCATGATTAGGCCGTCCAGGTGGGCGAGGACCTCGGCCCCCCCTCGGTGGGGCGTTCTCGCGAGGGAAATTGACATTCCTCGCCGGAAGGGTCGTCACGTGATGCCTCTTGAAAGCGGGACGGCCCACCCTGGCCCCTGTCCGATGCCACCCTCCCTGTGACTTTAATTGTCTGGAAGGATCCGTTGGCAGCGCGGTCCGGACTCCCGCTGCGGACGCCCGTCGGCTGTTGAATTCCTTCGCCGTCTCGTGCCTGTCCCCTGGTGGAGCTCGAGGGGCACGGTATTGCGGGTATTGCGGGTTCTCGGCGCCGCAAAATACGACCAGTCGACGACTCTGCGCGGCTTTTTTGGCCCCCAACTGACGCCTGTCGGAGGAGAGATGGTCAGCACGACTCCAGATTGTCCTGTCGATGGGCTCGGATCAGTCCCACCCCCCGGGGATCGGTCTCCACGGCCCAGATTACAAAAGGCCCAGAGCGTCAACTCGTCGTGACTACATGATTAGTACAAAAGTGGAACAGGAGCAGGTGGGCTTACACGAGAGAAATGTGCAAGTCATTCAACAGGGATTATGCTATGTAGATGCGAGATTAGATGCACCAGCCGGGAATAAAATAATCACCGCTGTGCCCCTCGCAATCGCTTGCTGGCGTGGCACGAGACTTTCCACAAAAATGCAAATTATCAGGTCTAGATGTGTTTGATCTAAGCAAGGAGCGAGCGTCACTGGCAATCTTCAAGTTCAACAAGTTGGGTGCAAAAGTCGACAGATCACATCGACGGAGAATTTTGTGAGGGCTCTGCTCTTGACTGACCCTTTGAGATCGGGTGCAATGACAATTCTCCGTACTTGAGTTAACCGAGATTAGCCCAGATCGTGATTAGAGGGCCTAGATGGTAATGGTATCAGTATCCAGCGTCCGCTCACCCGCTGTCTCGTAAAACATTTGACCCGAAGCTCTGCTGTGGCAGATAAGTGAGGGGAATACGTAAATTAAGGTGTAGTTGGTTGCTACGTTATGGCTGGAGGCGGCTGGGGCGAAGGCCCCAGCCTTGGTGTAAAAACCCGCTGACCAAGCTGATGACTAAGCTAGAATCCAGTTGCTCGCTTGCACCCCTTTGTGCCTTACCAGATCTTCCCCCCCCCCCCTCCTCTAGCTTTGTTAGACAGACACACGTGCCGCAAAAGTCTGGCTCAAAATATGACGGCACGGCCATATAGCTACACTGGAATTACAGAAGGACGTTCTGTAATTCTATACCTTTTAGTAGGAACATAGGTGTAGCTATAGTGTAGCGGTTACGTCCCGTGATAGAGAATAGGCTCTATACTAGAAAGTATTTATAAACACTTATATTTTTATATAAGTAAACCTTATATATATTATTAATAAGAACTATTATATTATAAAATATATAATATTTTAATATTTTTATTTATTTATAAATATACTAATAGTTTTAATTATTTTAAAGTTTTTAATTAATATTTTATATTATAATACTTTTTTATTATTTTTTTATAAATTAAATAAAATATTATATAAAATAGTAATATTACTATTAATAAATTTTATAATATATTATTACTTACTTTATTTATTTTAAAATAAATTTTATTTTTAAATAAAAATATTATTTTAAGCCTTTAAAAGAAGGTATTAGAAAGAATATAAGTGTTAAAAAACTTTATCTAGTATTCAAGGAAGATATAAAAAGTGTATTAGCTGCTACTAGCCTGTAGGAAGTTTGGGACAATTTCGATACATAGGAAATCGTTTAAGGGTCTGTTTTGGAGCTGACGGGATGAACCATTGACGATGTTCAGAAACCCTATAGAAAGCGCTACGGTAGGTCAGCGGACGCTAGGTGAGGGCGGGGCGGCGAGGCCAGAAAGAGGGGATTTCATTTACGTCACCGAGCCAGCAATCAACAGAGAGCCCTCACATATCTGTGTATACCATTTGGATGTATACCTGAGTGCCATGAAAATGAGTTCAGCTCTAGTTCAACGTGTCAAGGATGGCGACAAGCCAATTCTAACTCGTGAGCCTGCGCCAGTACCACAACCTGGCCCTCACGAGCTCCTCATAAAGGTATCCCACGTTGCACAGAATCCAACTGACGGTGAGAGAGTGCTGATGACCTCAATTATGACGGTATCTCGATTACTGATATCAAACAGTACAATCATTCGATACCAATGCGTTCGGCGACGGTACAGTGCTCGGGTGCGATTTTGTGGGCACGATAGAAAAATCGGGCGCGGAGGTTTCGAGGGCCAAAGAAGGCGACATCATCGCTGGTCTCATCTGGGGCGGTAAGACCTGCAGTGTCTGAATTATCACGTGCCTCCAAATGCTGACGACACCTAGGTGAGATAAAGGGGCTCGGGGCTTTCGCCGAACATACTATCGCAGACGAGAGGATCAGCTTCAAGGTTCCAAGCTCAGTCCCGCTCGCAGAGGCGGCAACCGTGCCTCTGGCAGCTGCGACAGCATGGCTCGCTCTGTTTTCCAAAGATTCACTCTATATTCCAAGATCACCTGGCAAAGAATTGGCCGTTCTCATTTGGGGCGGGAGCTGTACGTATGGCGACCCACGCGGATTGTGGTCCCGTTCTAACTAACAAGTTATCTGCCACAGCGTGCGTTGGTCAATTCGCCGTCCAGATTTCTGCAATGCATGGTTTCAAGGTGATCACTACATGTAGTGAACACAATTTCGACCTCGTGAAATCACTGGGCGCTCATCATGTGTTCAACTATCGCGATTCCGACGTTGTGAAGAAGGTTCGTGACGTGGCCCCGGACTTGGAATACGTATTCGACACCATCGGAAATTCCGACTCGTCCACCTTGGCCTCGCAAGGCATCAAGGAGAGCGGAGGCCGGCTTTGCACAGTGCGGCCGGGCAAGGTCAATACAGAATCAGTGAGCAAGCAGACGACGGTCACCGATGTCCTCGTATGGACTGCTTTTCTCAAGGACCATAGATACAAATCTTTCTTTTGGCCGGTGAGTTCTCCATTGATTCAACTTGTATGCTCATCGGTATACGGACCAAGTGCCAACTAAAAGATCCAGGCGAACCAAAGCGACCATGACTTGACCTCGGAGTTATTCGAAAGGCTGCCCGAGTGGCTGGAAAGTGGTAAAATAAGACCCAGCACCGCAAAGGTTTTGAAAGGACTGGATGCTGTTGTCGAAGGGTTCCAAGAGCACAGGGATGGCAAGATCTCAGCCTATAAGATTGTCTACGAGATTTAAGACACACTTGATACTACCATGTTCATCTTGAACACTGACATATCGGTATAATTCTTATCTCATGATCGTTATTTCTCATATTTGGACCGTCCGTTGTTCCCTTTTCGATGGTGACGCGCTTAGGGGCTGGCTGGCTGGCTAGCCGATTTATTAGTGTAACAATAGGCAGCAGATGAACAGTGCTGCCTTGCGTGAGGTACGGTCAGTATATATAAGCGCTTGTGTTGCTCGCAGACCTCTTGTCAAGGATCTTCGTCTATGACCCTTTGACTCGACCAAACATCCTGGAAGTCCTGGAACATCCCTGGTTCAGTCAGTACGGGGTGTTGTTGGAGGACTGGATTAACATCTGACTGCTAATCCGTTTCTATTCAAGGGAAACTAAAAGAATTCATTCAACTTTGTCGTTCGAGCTGAAGACACCCTGCAAAGACTTGACAAAGTCCCAGTGACCCTCCCCTGGTGTAAGACCACCTACAACAATGACACAAAATGCCCCCCCCCGTCCCCCACAGCCTTCACACGGACGGGAAACCCGCCACTATGAATCGCGTCAACTGGTGGTCACCGGCTACCTGGCCAGTTTGAACTGTGTCATGAACAATTCTTCGTTTCCCTTCTCAAAGGCATGGTGGCCGGCCCGTTTGCTCCATCCGGAGCTGAACCTGAAGTCCCTCCTTCGGGCGGCCAAGTTGCCCAGGGGATACATAACTCCATAAAAGAGAAAGTTACAACTTATTTCCAGTCTCAGGCTACTCCTCAAGTCAGCTGGACCGGGTTGCTCTTACAAGTTTATGACTATTACCGATAACACCACTACTCTATTCGTGTAAAAACTACCGCTATCTACCTTAGATACATGACATTTATATCTTGACACTGCCTCTCGCTGAAATTACGCTATTTCCCACGTTGATTCGGGGGACTGATGGGGTATCCAATAGCTTGATCTAGACTTTGTCGATGTGGTCAACGTGATGGGTAGTCTCTGTTGTCTTAGTGTCCTCTTCGTGTTTGTCTTCCTTGGCAACGTCCACATTCTCTCCGTCAAAGACGCGCGCTATTTCCTCCAGGGTATGACCTCGCGTCTCGGGAAATGTGTAATAAATGACGACCCCTCCACCAGCGAGGATAAACACGTAAAGGAGGTAGTATCTCCATTCAATAGCCTCGAGTGCGATAGGGTTGATGAAAATGTTGAAGAACACAGCTGTCGCCGTCGAAATCCACATCACAGACAGGCCACGTGAGCGCAGGCTGTACTGCCAGATTTCGACAGGATATGCTGCCATCAGAGGGGTGAAGGCCAGGGAGTAACAGCCGTACATGAGAAAGAGGAACGGGACAACAGCGGTTCCGACCGCAGCCGAACCCTCGTTGGCAAAGGTAGCGGAAAGTGCAGTGATCAGGATATAAGAGAAAAGCATGCCACCGGTGGCCGCGAGGAAAAGTAAACGACGCCCAAAGCGGTCGACGTTGAACGCACCGACCAGAGCGCACACGAGATTCCAGATTTGCAGGAAACCATTGACGAGCGTCTGCTGGGTGGAGGTCGTGATACCGATGGTGGCGAGAACCGGCGGCAAATAGTATCCTGCGACGTTCTGGCCGGCCCACTGAACAAAGATTCCCAGGAAGACGGTGATGAATGTCCGCTTGCGGTTGGCAGGTGTCGCAACCATGTCTCGGTACGATGTCTGCTTCTGATAATCTGACTCCATCTGGATGCTTCGCGTGATTTCTGCGAGCTCGAACGCAGCCAGTGGGGAAGACTCGTCACCTTCTGCGTGGTACTTAACGAGGAATGCTCGGGTCTCGTGGTCTCGCTTCTTGGAGGCGAAGAAACGGGGTGACTCGGGCATCATGACGAGCCCAGGGAGTGCAAGCACGGGGAGCAGTACTTGGAGGATTGATGGTATCCGCCAAGACCATGAGTTGTCGTAGTTGCGGGTACCGAATGCGGCCCACGCAGCGAGGAACGAGCCTGGTGATTCTCAGCATCAGCCTTAAGTCAAATGCGGCTTGTTGCATGTGTCGTTTCGAGTGAACACTTACCGACGTACCATCCGCACATGTAGAGGCTGGTGATAATACCACGATGGGTGGGATAAGCCGTCTCTGTCATCAAAAGAGGTACGCAACCGCCGAAGAAGGCACTCGCAATACCGACAATGAGCCGCGACACGACAAACATCGGAACGTTGGTAGCCCCGGTCTGCAAACCCGCCCCGAGGCAGAGGAAAAAGTAACCGGCGAAGATGGTGGGTTTCCGGCCAAATCGATTAGACGCCCATGCGACCACGGGATAGAATGCTATGCTGCCGAGGTTTTGTGCCCCGCTGATGAATCCGAGCCAAGCGCCTGTGGGATTTTTCATGAACGATTGCCAAGGTGTGAGAGCGAGCAGGCCGTTCAGCATCGATCCATCGTAGCCGTTCCCTGAGGAGAGCAGGAAAAGGCTCATGATGCAGAAGTTGAGATAAACTTGGTTCCGCTTCTTGTACCATGGTTTGTCGTTTGGGGGTAAAACTGCAGCAAGCTCAGCTCCCACTGAATCGAAAGTCTTGGCAGTCATCTTGAAGACTTAGCAATGACTTTAGGAGTCAGAAGACCAGGACCTTGAATCGGTAACAGGATGGTTCACGCTCGGAGAGATCAGCACGAGAGGTAATTGACTATATGTAGCTAGGTAGCATTGAACAGACCTTCAGCTCGTGGGCCTCTTGACAAGCCAAACTACTCAAGACGGTGGCCGAATGTCAGGGCCAAGACTGCCCCTCCTTGGATCCCTGCTGCCATGCCCATGGGGAACAGCCCTGCATGGTGGAGGTTGCGGGGTGGTGCCATGCTGTTCATCACCTGGGCACCTGGGCACCTGGGCAGGCGTCACCAAATGTCGCCGGATCAGGGGTCGGATAAGGGAAGCAGGAATTGTCATTTCAGCTTCGGTAGCTCATGTCGGCTCAGCTAGCTTCGAGTATGGTGCGACTCACCGCACACCTATAATATTTGGCACCAAGTCTAGTTGGATATATTTAACTGCTAAGCGATGTCAACATCACGACAGCCCTTTCCTTTCCCAATTGAGAGTTCTCGGGGGCTGAACGGTTCAAGAAGGCCAAATCTCCATAAATGTCCTGAATGTCCGCGGTCTTCTCGACAACGATCAAGCAGGTCCTTCTACTCTAGATGCTTTCACATCGTTGCTTGGGCTTCTAAGCCGGGCGCTGTCGGGCGCCTGTCTCGGTGTCATATCTTTATTCCGTACAGTCACGCTAATAAAGATGAAGCCTCTTGTGGGTAACGCGGGGTATACAGATAGTCTCGGTTTCGAAGACTGACCGGGAATGGCGTACGGAGTAGAAGCCAAAAGGATAAGACTTTAACCGGAAACGAAGGACAATACTCAGCTGCCGCCATGGAGCACATCCGTCAAGTCCAAAACTCCCCGTTCGCCTTCAACCCAGACCAGAGATATATTGTGTTGCCTTCAGATGATGCATGTTGTCCTGTAACCCGAAAAGAAAATCCTGTATAACCTCAAATCCACAACCTTAGAATCGACCGGGGCTTGCAAAGCCAAGGACAAGTTTGACGCGCTGTCATCGCCCAGCCTCGTGTAGGATTCGTTACACGTAGGACTAGGTTTCGCGCCATTTCGTTCCCGTGCAAGCGAGCCGTGACCGCCTGCGAAAGTTGCAGGGTCAGGAACATTAAATGTGACAATGAGCAGCCACGTTGCGCGTCATGCGTCAAGAACAATGTGCCCTGCTCGTACGACCCACCCTTTCATCACACCTCCTCGGTTCAGCCTTGGCTTTGGCACATTTGTGAGCAAGAGTTGGCATGAAGCTGCGTTAGCTTCGATTCTGAGAGTCCACAGAGGCAATAATCTTGGACAACTTGAAGCTCAAAGAAGTCTTGATGAGGGTTGACAGCACCGATAACGCGGTCACCACCGGGACAGTGCAATCTGAGTCCCAGCATAATCCAGTCGCCGAGGCTATGGATGATGCCCAGAATTCCCAGACTCCTGACCAAGCCGGTCTTCCTGACACTGAGGCCCAACGATGCTCTCCCGAGTCAGTAGCAGTCCATGCACCATGTGCGGCTACCGATCGCTTTCTGAGTGGCTATACAGCCTGCTCGCGAGAGATTATTAATGGAAGCTTTCACTTTGCCGAACCTTGTAATGAGTGGTTGCCATGTGCAGCCCAGCACAAAAGTCTTAGCATCCGTGAAGAGCATGTTTTCCAACTCATCGAGAGATTCCTGCAGACTGTGCAGCCCAAGAACCCGATTTTCTACATCGAGCAGATCCGTGAGCATGGTGGATGAACTGCAGAGGGCGAATTCAGCTGGCACGCCACTTCCTGTATTATTTTCAACCGAAACCTTCGAATCGCCCATTATGGGAGCGGCTTAGTCCTCTTAACTAGGTACTGAAGTATGCATGGCTAATAACTTGCAAGACCTTTAACCTGCGAGCTTGGATCTGTAGCACTCCCTTCGATCCAGTTGGTGAGACTGAACGACTTCATGGCCGAGTCCGGAGTGATAATTTAGCCAACTGTCTTCAGACGGCAAAAGTCGATTTTGAAGCAACTCGCGAGAAGATAGGGCTTCTCGCCCCTGCTATCACGACAAGTTAGTGTCTTGCGTTCACCGGCCACTGCAAGGCTGGTCAGCAACCCGTCAAGGGGGATGGACGCAATTATCGTGATTGAAGGCGCAGGCCGCCTGAAGAACGCGGATAGATAGCCCGCACCACCCACATGGCTGGGCTGACAGATATCCGGAACAGAGATTTTGCTGGACTGTCTTGAAGTCCAAATGCGAGGTACGAAATAAACTACACCTTCATCATCCTGATTTACCTAGGTATGCCAGCTCAAGAACCCTTACCTATTGTAGCCAGGGCATCCTTGCGCAACATTGCAGGGATTTCTCTGACTTGTAGTGTTCATGGACGGTTGTTAAAGCTTTTTCATCGATTTAGATTACCAAGCTATCAAGGTTGCCTCCACGCCTTCGAGCCTGTGACTTGCATTGTCACGACACCTCATAGTCCATTTCCACCACTTCCCCTGTTGCAAGTAACTTCTTGCCTTCGGGCAGAGGCAGCTCGCAGCTAGGGGGTCGCTGCCATGTCAAGAACTTCATATCGTTTCGGACCAACTCGCGCCTTATTTGTGCACGCACATTCAACATTGTCCCAACAAACAGCACATATGGCAGCTCTGGAAGTGGCGGCCAATCGAGTGCGTTGGGGGGTTGGTTTGGGCCTCCTGGGATCCCTGCCTTCTCCTCCTCTGCCCTTTCGCCTAGATCGGCTTGGCGTGTCGCAATCCATTCATCAAGGTGTCGCCTATATTCCTCCACAGGGGCGTCAAGGACAACATCCTCGTGCTTCTCCCAATCTGGCGTATTGAGAACCATGGGCATGTCTAGCTCTTCGGGGTAGTTCTCTTCGCGTAGGTGTGTGTCCCGGGTAATAATTTCGTATAGCGTAAAGGCAGTAAACTTGATATCATTCCGCGCCGGATCATTGTCCCGGCCCATTCTACCGACGGTATTGAAGTCGAAGATAATGATGTTATCTGTGGTCTCGTCGATAAGAAGGTTGTATAGTGTAATGTCACTATGGGAGATGCCTAGCTCAAGGTTAAGGTAGTCGATAGTCGAGGTCAACTGCCTCAGGTGCTTGAGCTTGAATGGCCTGGAGATATTATCTTCGATAGTCCCCCCAGGTATAAATGGGGTTGTAAAGCCGACGACTTTCTCTTGGCCTTCGATCTGGTCAACCACAAGACTATGGAATTGAATGATGTTAGGGTGCTTGGGCATGTGGAGAAGGCAGTTTCCTTCATCCCAAACAACTGCCATATTGCCCTCGTTGATGTAGTATTTGAATGCAACTTGCTGCGGCGGCAAGCCAGGGGTCGAGGCATACTCGCACAGGTCAACTTGGACGCCCATTCGGCTGATTTCCACGAGCTGCTCGCGCCTGATCTGCGGCACCAGCGCTGGGTAGTCTGACGGAGAGGGATAGAAGGGGATGCTAGTCTGATCCTCCTCTGGGTCAGTGATACACTTTAGTAGTTCCCCATGCTCTCCAACCTCAATACGCGTAACATCTGAGGGGATATCATCAATGTGCTCTGCGAGTGCACAGAGAAAGAAGTCCTCATCCACCTCCTTCCATGCGGTCCCAACAGCAATGAAGCGTCGTTGATCCCAGTCGATAATGACCTTCTTGGTGCCGGTCTCATGCACCATGTCAGGAAAGGTGATGGTGAAACGCTGATCTGGGGTGCAGTGGTCGAAATGCCCCATCTTGCCTTAACGTTGAATGAATTATACACGATTTAGAATGGCAAGCGAGAAAGATCAGTGTTTCCGGGCATGAATGAGTCTGGGAGTTCGCGCTGCTTGGCAGTCAAGACGCAGATGCAGAGTAAGTCAGTACATATGGGGGTGGTTGGGTTTAAGTATTTCTGTCACTTCACTCCAGTCTTCATTAGTGGCTGGGGTGGGCCGGGCCGCGTATGTACCACGATCCAACCAGGTCACGTGCCATTTTGCGGCCAATATCTGGGACCAACAGACCGAGATGCCTCCAAATAGACAGCAGGCTTGAACAATTTTATGACCCACAAAAATTACTGGGCGACTTTCTATGTATAGCAAGTATCAGGAGGAGGTTCCCACTCACCCTGGTTCCAGTGGGGGCGGGCACATCTGTAGCAGTCCTGCGGCCAACAGCCAAAGGCAAACCAACACCTCCCCACTGACCCACTCAGTACCTGTCCATGCTATGGAGATGTTAAAGAAACAAAGTACTGTTTGATAATTCCGATCTAATTTTGGTTTTGTGGATCGCGGCCTCACTGTTTTCCCACGCCTTCCGGCCGCAGGGCAGGCTGCACATTCCGGACCGACTCGGAGGTCTGGCGGCCAGGTCTCGTGCGTACTTGAGCTATTTCGAGCCGTTTGCTCTAGGTTTCTCTCGCGTGTGCCTCCTATGTCGACCCGTTCAAACGGCTGGCGCGAGCGGTCATGGAGGACCCAAAGTTGGAAGGATTATCTGTTTGTCACAAGGTGGCCAGAGGCCGCAGGTTTCAGCCTCGCCTGGCTGGAGCCAGCCGACGGTCCTTCTTCGCATTTTGATATGGATTCGGAACGAGCAGAAAATAGAATTGAAACCATATGATCTGAAATTCTCAAGATGACATAAAAGGCAATGCTGTACCGTCTCTTTCCGAAGTGAACCGCTACTTGAACATAGCATCTTGTGATTTTACTTAATCTACTTACCTGGCACGGTCATCCTAATCGAATACATCCCCAGCACCTGAATTGTAACCTTTTCCTTACACTTTGAGTTTCAGCAGTCATGCCTCAATCCATGGTCAACCCCGATCCAATGAAGAAGTTCCAAGAATGGATGGCAAATACTTTTCGAGCAGTGTGCACGACTGAGAAGAGGGTTAACAAGGACGGGAAAACGGAAACTGTTGTTGTCAATACTGGTAAGCTCATTTCCTCCCTGATCGCCATAACACCACCGTCTTCGTATTTTATCACACACTTTGAAGTCTGCTTACAAAGTCGTGTCGAAATTGTAGTGGGCTACACGGTTGTCGGACCGCAGAGCCGCCGATACAACTGCATTGCGCACGCCATTAACCAGAATGATCTTCGACTTACCCCAATGAATGTTGACGACCTTGTGAGATACTATGGCAGTTACGGCTTTTACCAAATCGATCTTGATGACGACCCCAAGGCCCAAGATGCTGAAGTCTATTCAAGGGATAGCGAGCCTCGGGTCCCCTTGCACGCCCACAAAGTTATTGGCCCCGGCGCCCGCGGGAGCAAGCCTGAGGAATTAATATGCTCTTCTAAGATGGGCGATGATTACCTGATTCGCCATCCTCGAACCTTGCTCCAGTGCCCGCACAATGGTTCCAACCGGTACGAGTATGGTAAAGTGCGTTACAGATTCCGATATGACGAGGCCATCTTTAAGGAGGAGGAGAAATCCGGTAAGTCATTTCCATTTTTGAAAGACTAATGTATGATATGCTTGCCGAGTACCCAAACAGATGACTGACAACATCATCGTTCCAAACAGTACTTACAACAAGAAGTGGACGCCCAATTAAATCAAGAAGCGGGCGCCCAATCAAGAAAGGCGACACAATCCTCACCAAGTCAATGTCACGAATTAGAAAGGCAGATGCAACTCGCACCCGTTCCAACCGAATCACGAGCAAGAATCCAAGGAAGTAGGCCGTACAAAATGAAATTTGGCGGTGCACAACATGCGCAGTTGGTATCGAGGCTGGACCGTAGGAGATGGAAGGAGTGGACACACAGAATGTGGTATTAGATAAAAGAGGAATTCAAAGCTATGATTTTCAGAAACCGATGCTATGCTAGTCCCGTGTAAACATTATTAGTATTAAAAGTGTGGATACTTAAGTAAGTATGATATAATGTGAGGTTATTAGACTATATAAGACTCTAATTAGATAAGTATACTTTAATAGAAAATTATAAATAATTAATTATTTATTTATAAAAAAAGTAATTATAAAGATAGAATTATATAACTTTTTCATACTTTTAATATAATTTTTAAATATAATAAAGTTTAATATAAACTTAATTTAAATATTTAAATAAATATATTTTTAATAATAATTATATTATTAATTACTTTTAATTTTACGTAAAAATTAATATATAAAAAGAAAGTAAAATAGACTTATATTTATTTAAAGGTAATAGTAAAGCTAGATCCACTTAATCTATATTAAAGGAAGATAAGGTAAGTCCTTTCTAAGTTTATTTCTAATGCCTACACCTGTGAAATATATGTGCCGCCTTTGAATAGGGTAATCCCGAAAATCACCGAAAGCGGTTCGAAGCTCCGCTTGTGCAAGAGAAAACCCCGCAACTACCTTGATGTGCGTCTAGGTTGGCTATTTGTCGGATAAATGGTGGGTGCAACCTCACCCAGGCCTTTCGACTGTGGGCAGGTCACGTCATGCATTGGTACTAGTCCTATGGTGGGATTTCAGCACCGCCAGCGATGTACGAGACCCAAGAACAAGAGGTGACGATGACATAAATTCGTCACGGATACCAGTTGAGTCTACGAGATTACAAACTCAAGCTTAGGGTTATGGCTCCTATCAAAGTCGGCATTATCGGCTACGGCTTTTCTGGCAAGAGCTTCCACCTCCCGTTCATCACGGCCATCCCAGACTACGAGGTCATAGCCATCTTCCAGCGAGCTGAGGCTCCCTCAGACCCGGCATCCGCCCCCAAGGGCTCACACTGCACTGTTGACTACCCAAAGGCCAAGCATCACCGCACAGCCGACGACTTTTTTGCCGACACTGAAATCCAATTTGTTGTGGTTGCAACTCACACCGACACGCATTCTTTTTTTACTAAGAAAGCGCTTCTTGCAGGCAAACATGGTACGCCGCGTGAGCATAGAAACGACTTGAAAATCGCTAATCCTCAATGATCAGTGATTGTGGACAAGCCGTTTGCAATGTCTTCAGATGAAGCCGACGAGATGATCAAGTTATCCGCTGAAAAAAGCCTCATCCTCACGTGCTTTCAGAATAGGCGATGGGTGAGTCACATGGTTAGGTGCCGCCGTGGTCGAGTTGATCTGACTTCCTCGACAGGACGGTGATTTCCAAACGCTCCGCCACCTCATCAGTGTTGGCGCGCTGGGCGACATCAAGGAAGCTGAGATTCACTACGACTTTGAATCTCCCCCGTGGTTATCCAAGATGACCGACAAGAAATATACGCCTGGCTCGGGCATGGCTTTTGGTCTCGGTGAGGTTTCAATCGGCAACAGTCTCAGTCCGGGGCCGAATGCTAACCGAATGTCAGGGACCCATAGCATCGACCAGGCTCTGGTCCTCTTCGGCCGGCCGCAGTCTGTGACGGGCTTCTTCCGCACCCAGCGTGACATCGAGAGCGAGGTCGAAGACTCTTTCACGATTATCCTGCAGTACAGCGGGAGCCAGAAAGACCTGCTCGTAACTGTCAAGACATCTGTCACTACCTCTATGGCAAAGCAGCTCAAGCAACTCGTCCGAGGAACAAAGGGGTCTTTCGTCAAGGTGAATAAAATATGACCCCCAAGGCTTTCAAGGGTGTGTCCAGCCAGAAAATACTCGGAAACTGAAAGAGATTGTTACTAGTTCCAACAACGCAGCACCTGCCCTCAAGAGGAGCATATCGAGGCCGGGAAGAAGCCACTCGACGAAGGGTTTGGTCTCGAAGATGAGAAAATGCACGGCATCCTTACCACACGCGAAGAGTTTGACAGCAGTGTCCAGACCTATGATCCGGAGACGAAGAAGTACACGGGCCCGTACCCCAGTATTACTGGGCGCTGGATGGGCTTATACGAGAATGTCGCGGATGCTATCAATGGCAAGGCAGAGTTGGCTGTTAAGCCGACGCAGTCAAGGGATGGGCTGAGGGTGTTAGAGCTTGCAAGAGAGTCGCACGAGAAAGGTGTCACAGTTCAGTGGAAGTGAGGAGCTCCCGGCGCGATGCAGCTAGAAACGAGCTTTCAACCCTGGGAGGTTATGAGTGCGCTTAGGTCAGAGTTAAAGATTTCAGACTTCATACTCTGGCATGTCCGTCCTCCAGGGAAGCCGCAATTCTTTGAATTATTCGCTTTCTTTCCCCAATCCCTGTCAATCATTCTCCAGTCTTGACCTGAGGTAACATATTGCGAGCGTCACCTTTCTTAATTCTGGAAGAGGTTACTGATTTAAATATCGCATTTGCCCCATCTTACTACGGCCAAGAATGTATAAGAGAACAGCCTGAGAGGCCAGGCTGCTACTCCGCCAAGCCCTCCTACCAAGCACTTGAGAGTTTCCACATACCCCTTACAACACACACACACACTTAGCCGCTTGCCCCCGAGCTGCAGGTGACGCCCAAGCTGCCGGGCGTATTCGCGCACAGGTACGTTGCGGTCCCCGAGCCAGCCTTGACCGCCATGCCGCTCATCGCGATGCCGCAGGACCCGGCCTTGGGACAATTGATGTTGGCCACGACAGGCGCGTACCTCGTGCTCGTGGTGCCCGAGAAGCCAGACACCACCACGCCCGATATCTTAGCCGCGCTGGGGTTGCTGGCGCAGTAGGCGGCGTCCGAGTTGTAGCAGCTCTGGACCTGGAAGGCGTAGTCGGTGCCGGGGACGGTGAAGTCCTTGAAGGTGACGTTGGACACGACGGCGGTGCCGTAGGAGGCGCCCCCCGCGTACAGCTTGATGCCCGCGGCCTTTGTGGACGTCGACATCCTGGCCCCGGACACGAAGACGTTGGACACGGTGTCGGTGGTCCCGGGCCTGGAGCCCAGGCTGCCGACGCTGATGCCGTGGCTGCCCGCGCAGCTGATGTCGTAGATCTCGACGTGGTCGGCGCCCGGCTTGAAGGCCACGCAGTCGTCCTGGTTTGCCACCGTGGCCCCGTTGATGGTCACGTGGGTGGAGCTGCCGATGTCCCAGCCGTCCGTGTTCTTGGGCAGGTTGCTGCTCTTGCTCACGGCCGACAGGGAGATCTTGGTGTATGCTACGTTGCTGGAGCCGCCGGTCACGGAGTGGAAGACGTTGGGGGCGTCCTTGAAGCTCAGGTTGGACATCTTCACGTTCTTGGAACCGGTGACGTAGAACAGGGTTGGGCGGCGGAACGAGGTGTCTGTGGCGAACTTGTCCCACGAGGCCTGCCCGTTGCCGTCGAAAACACCCGAGCCGGTGGTGCTCGTCACCGTGAGCCCGTCTATGTTCTGTGCCAGGACGATGGCAGTCTTGCCGTTCCAGTACTCCGTGTCGGAGGAGACCTTAATCACGCCCTCGACCTGAAGGGTGCACCCTTTGCAACCGGCGAGGCTGAGCACAGAGTTGATGTAGTATGTTGTGCCGGCGGGAAACACAATAGTTCCAGACGCGCATTCAGCGATGGCGGACTGGATGGCGGGCACGTCGTCGATGGAGCTGCTCCCACCAGCCTTCGGTGTACAAGCAGCCGCCCGCGGCGCGACCCTGGACGGCGTGGCGCCGACAAGGGCCGCGTTGGCAGCGGCCAGGATGGTGAGGAACAACATGTTCGGCCGGCGGGACGGGAAAGCGGTATGCAGTCGTCGTCCTTCCTTGAAACTGTGTATAGGGCAGGGCAGCAGTACGAGCAGCTAATACTGCACGGTATTGGGTTTCTGTAAGGATGAGGTTGACGGTCGAGTTGGATACGCACTGGATCATTTCCACAAGCCAAGAGCTCGTGTAAGACTGACATACCAGGCCATGCTTGCTACAACATGAATTTATACTTCTTACTCACTCGACAGGCAGCACACTCCCCTCTCGTCGGAGCCAATTTACCGACGCGAAATGACCCCGTGGGCACGAGACGGTCATGTCCTTGTCCTTTTCTGGAAGGCGATTCGTGTGGAAAACAAGGGCTCAAGCTTCTAATTTGTGGGTTCCCCCTCGCGATATTTTCCATGTGGGCGGGCAATTCTCCGAACGAGAGTACCGCCTCCCCGGAAGCTTAGCCGACGGCACGTTCCGCGTTGCTGACGCAGGTTCACCGGATGAACAGTCGTCTGCGACTCGGATATTGGAATAGGGGCCGGGTCAGGCTACCCGCCCAAGTCCGCGCCCTTCCGTCATCCGAACATTGCTGTTGGTGTCGCAGCGCAATGGTGTCTGGCGTCTTGGGCCGGGCGGATCACTTGACGACCTCGGGATGTCTTGACACGACCGATGTGCCGGTGATTACCCAGGTGTCGTACTCGATATGCATCCCACTGTCTGTGTCACCCTGTCTGGAAAACTCTCGTAATCCCCCTTTTCGTGGATGAAAGTGCTTGTGCAGAGATTTAGAGCATTACGCTGTCTTGCTGGGAGTCTCAGGGACGCGGTGACCATTCCGCTGTTTCTTTCGGTGTGTGGAAATTCTGCACCCGTGCAGTGCTCTAAGTCAAGGTACGTTCCTTAGAACTCTGACATCGACATCGGGACTGACGCCGTTTTATTAATAATAAGCTTCTCTCAAATGGTACGCGGATGAGAGATACCATAGCCTTGTAGCGGACACCGAGCCGAGCTCGTTGACGTGAATGGGTTGATGAAATCAATGTTGCCTTAAAGTTTCAGGTCAATCCTGTGAGCTGCTCAAGCATCACTTGCAAAGATCGTAGGTTGCTGTGAAGAAAGGCTCTAACAGGAAGTATTAATAAACACCTGCGCCGGCGAGTCGCAATCGCGACTTCCAGAAAACTCGCACGGCCGCCGTGTTTGTTTTGCCCAGACGACACCCGGCTGAACACAGTGTGGCCAAGCACACACTGTCCTTATCAACCGGCAACGACAGCTAAAAGCCCAAGCCTCCAAGACTTCTAATACGACTCTCCGCCCGGAACAGGAAGGACAACTGCGTCTCCTCTCGACAATGTCTACACAGTAGCGTGTGGCGATCATCGAGTTCTCTTGGCGTCCACATAACTATCTGTGTAGATGCAGATCAACCTCAGCCACATCTAAGACACGCGTGGTCAGCCTCCTTTGCCCCTCAGCATCTCCCAACACCGGGAACGAACATCATCAGCAACTGAAGTGTCCAACCCAAGAGGCATCATGAAGCTCCACCTCGTGCTCGCCTGCCTCCTGCTCAGGGCCACCACGTCAGCCGGGCAGGCATCCCCAGGCCTGCCGATGGTCATCAACACGTGGGGCGGGCCCTTCACAGCAGCCACCGACACGGCCTACCTGTCGCTGGTGGCGACCTCCGCGTCCGCCCTCGACGCCGTGCAGATCGGCTGCGCGACGTGCGAGCGCAACCAGTGCGACGGCAGCGTCGGCTACGGCGGCTCGCCCGACGAGAACTGCGAGACCACCCTCGACGCCATGATCCGTCAGTATCACTTTTCACCTTTTACGGATCCCCGTCTTTCATGTTTTGGAATGTTCTAGAATACAACACTTTAGGACCCGTAGCAGGACTAACTTCACCACCAGAGGACGGCACAACCATGAAGTCCGGCGCTGTGGCGGGGCTCCGGCGCGTCAGGGACGCCATCGCCGTCGCCCGCCTCGTCCTCGACTACACGGACCACACCCTGCTCGCGGGCGACCTGGCGACCGACTTTGCGGTGGGCTTCGGCGGGTTCAAGGAGGAGAACCTGACCACGGCCGACAGCGCGGCGCGGTGCGGCGAGTGGAGGGCCGCCGGGTGCCAGCCCAACTACAGGGCTGGGGTCGTGGTGCCGGACGCGACGACGTCGTGTGGGCCGTATGCGCCTGCTGCGCCGAGCGGCGCCGCCAAGTCGACCGTCGCGACCAGGGAGGTGGAGCTCAAGACGAGGAAGCCGTCGGCCGCGTACGGGACGTCGGCGGGGATGTCGCACGACACCATCTCCATGATCGCGATCCACGTGGACGGGACGATGGCCGCCGGCACGTCGACCAACGGCGCATCGCACAAGGTCCCCGGGCGCGTGGGCGATGGTCCGATCACTGGGAGCGGCTCGTATGTCGATGGTGATGTGGGCGGGTGCGGCGCGACCGGTGACGGCGACATCATGATGCGCTTCCTGCCTTGCTACCAGGCCGTCGAGAGTATGAGGAGGGGCATGACGCCCCAGGAGGCCGCGGAGGATGCTGTGTCGCGCATGATCAGGAAGTACCCCGAGGCGGCTACCGGCATTGTGGTCGTCAACAACCAGGGTGAGCACGGCGGGGCGGCATCTGGGTGGACTTTCACATATGCATACAGAGGGGGAACGATGAATGGCACCGAGGTTGTTACGGTGTCACCGTTGTCCACATAAATACGTGTATATATACAAGTACGCCGATAACATCTTACAAGGCGATTATTTTACGACAATCCCCTGATCGTCTGAGCATGTCCGATACAATACTTTGATTACTCTACGTATCTAGAGACACCCAAACGCAGTCAAAACAGGTGACGTGGATTAATGTTGTCCACCCGCATATTAATAGAATGTAAGGCTTTCATTTGGAGCCAACGTCCACTCACCCAGCAATTATATCCACTTACCCAGTTTTTTACTAACTACTTACTTAATATAAAAATTTATATATAGGGCCTATATAAAACTATATACCTAACTAGGATTCTCTAAATTTTTAAAACTTTTAATATAAACCCCTTTTATATACCTTTTAATATACCTTTTAGCACCCCTTTTAGCACACCTTCTAGCACCCCTTTTAGTATACCTTTTAACACTCCTTCTAGGCCTTCTAGCCTATATATATTTAGGTACTAATTAAGTATTTAGATACTAACTAAACATTAGAGGGCTAGAAGTTAAAAAGGTAAAGGTAAAGATTATATACTTTCTAACCTTCTAGTTTTCCTTCTAGCCTTTTAACCCTTTAGACTTTTAACCTTTTAACGTTTAATTAATATTTAAATACTTAATTAGTATCTAAATATATATAAACTAAATAGTAAAAGTAAAGGTAAAGGTAAAGATATAAGTGAAGGTAAAGAGGTGCTAAAAGGGGTGTTAGAAAGGGTGCTAAAAGGGGTTTATATTAAAAATATTAAAAATTAGAGAAGGAAATCATACTATAGGGTCTCTTAATACTAACTTAAAAGGTATGTATAAATATAAGAGAGTTACTTAGAAAAATTAGTACTAGGTAAGTAGTTAGTAAGAACTAGGTAAGTAGACATAATTACTAGGTGAGTGGACGTTAGCTCTTTTATTTAATGCCCGCCAGGCCCACCGAAGTTACTAAACCAAACAAACTGTTTTACCAAGCCTAGGAGTGCCTGTTACGAGTAAGTTGCAGGCTTAGGAAAGGTGGACTGAGCCACCTCCTCAGGTTCGCATGACTGACTGTGCTAAGAGACTACCTGCTACGCTAGACTAAACGTTATCTCTAATATATAGACCTCCTTAAGCCCATACCTTTAGCTATAAACTCCCTACCTATTCTAAATAGGAAGTCTATACTTAAAAATATTAGTGATTACTAAACTTTATATAAATATAATTAGAAAATAGGGGATAAAAAGTAGGTAATAAAGGTCTATAATTAAAATATAATTATAATTAAAAGGAAGGGATAAAAATTTATTAAATTAAATTTTAATTTATTTATAAAGTTATTATTATTATTATTTATTTATAAATATTATTATTTTTAAAGTTATTAAATTATAATAATTATTTTAATATTATTTTTATTATATATATAACTTTATATATTAAAAGTTATAATTAATTTATATTTTAATAATTACTTTAATAATTTAATATATATAATATTTAATATAAATTAATAATAATTAATAATATCTTTATAATATAATTAGTTATATAATAATATATTTAAATTATTAAATCTTTTATAAATATTTTAAATTTTATAATATTAAGTTAAATAATAAAATAAAGTTATAAAAGTTATAAAATTAATATTAAAGATATTATATAATATAATTTTAAGTTTAATTTTATTATAAAGAGTAACTATTTATTAAATTCTACTAAAAGTAACTTTAATAATAATAAAAGATAATAAAAGAATATATAATTTTATAAAAATATTTTTAATAATATTATTATTTAAATATAAGAGTTTTAAAAGAAATTATATTAAAATATTTATAAATAGAAAGATAAAAGTAATAATTAGATATATAATTTTATAATTTTTTATTAAATAAATATATAATTTAAGTTAAAAATATATTTTAATTAATATATTAAGTAATTTAATTATTTATAATTCTTTTATAATATTAAATATTATTATTTATAAATTTAAAGTTAATATTATTAATAATTTTATTATAGTTATAAAAAGAAATAGTTATTTTAAAAAAGGTTTATTTTTAAAGTTTAATTTATTTAAAGATAATTAACTCTTTTAACTATATAAAGATATAATATAGTTATTAAAGTTAATTATTAATATTAATTATTTATAATAAAATATTAATTATATATAAATAAATTTAAAGAAGAATATATTAATATTTATTATTTTTATTATAACTCCTTTAGAATTAAAAACTAAATATTAAATTATTTAAAATCTAACTATTAATAAAAAGAAGAAGGTATAAATAGTTATAATTATTTTTATTTAATATATAACTTTATATATAAAGATAGTTTATTTATTTAAAAATTATAGAATTATATTTTATATTAAATAATATAAATATATAAATTATTAATATTTTATTAATAAGTTTTTTATATAGACTTTTATTTTATATTAATAGGAAATTTATTATTTTAAAGATTTAATTAATAAATATTAATATAGGTATTTATTTTTATTTTATATTAAAAGTATTATTAGATTATAAATAAAATAGAATATATTTTTAATTTATAATAGACTCTTTATTTAATTTAAATAAGAAGTTTATTATATTTAAATATAATATTTATTATTAATAAAATATTTAATTATTAATATTTTTAAGTTTTAATATTTATTTTTTATTAAATTATATATAGAGTATTAAATTATATTTAAGAAATAATTAAAATATAATCTTTATTATTATATATATAATTTAAAAATAGTTATTTAATATAATAACTTTAATTATTTTAATAAAGTTTAAGATTTTATTAATAATAAATAAAACTATTTTATTAACTTTATAATTACTATTTATTTTAATATATTTAAATAATAGAATAATTATATTTAATAAATAAATTTTAATTTATAATATAAATTTATTATAATTATAATTTAATAATATTTTTATAGTATTTAATTAGTTTTAATTAAGTATTAATATAGCTTATTTTAAACTTTATTTATAAACTTTTATATAAAAGGAAAGAATTTAATATTAAGGTTTTTATTATTAATTATATAAATATATATTTTATTATATATTATTTCTTTAAGTAGGAGTAATCTATAAAGATAAAAATAAAATAATAAGTATATATAATATTTATAATAAATTATTTAAAGAATATTTATATTTTAATAATAAGTTTTTATAAAATATATTTTTAATTTATAATAATTATAAAACTATTAACTATATATATTATATTAAAAATAATTAATAAGAATTATAAAATATATTTTAAAAATATTAATAAATAAAGACCTTTTCTATTAACTTTTATATTAAGTTTAATTATATTAAGTTATTTTTTAAAATTATTATAATATTAAGGATTTAATAGTTAAATTTAAAATTATAATATTTTATAATATTTAAGCTTTAATTTAAGTTAAATTTATTAATAAAAAATATTAAGTATTATAAAGTTATATTACTCTTTTATTATAGTTTAAATATTTAGTTTATTACTTTAGTTATTTATAGTTTATTTATATATAGTTTAATAATTAAAAAAATTTAAATTTAATTATTATAGGTTTTATAAAATTATAAAGAATATTTTAATATTATTTTAAATAAGATTTTAAATAAAGTTTAAAGTCTAATTCTTAATATAAAAATAAATTAATAATTATAAAAATAGAAATATTATTAATATTAAATTTTATAATTAATATTAATATATATAATATATTAAAATACTATTAATTTTAATAAAGTAAATTAATAAGGTAACTATAAGTTAATCTATAATATTATAACTTAACTATTAATATTCTTTTAAAAGTAAGTTATATAATTATAAATTAAAAATACTTAATATAATATAACTTTTAAATAAAAGGTTATACTTAAATAATAAGTTTAAAATAATATTCTTAAAATTAATATAATTAAATATATTATTATTAAATATAAGTTTAAATTTATTAATTAAACTAATAAATATATTAATTATAATTATATTAATAATATTAAATATAATAAAACTTAATATATAATATTTAATTAACTTTTACTTAACTTATATAATATAATTTATAAGTAATAATTATTTAAAGGGTTATTAAATAATCCTTTAATTAATATTATAAAAAACTTATATATTAAATAATTTAATAAATAATATCTTTTAATATAATTAAAAGTTATTTTTAATAGTATATTTAAATAAATATTAAATTATAAGGAGTTTAACTTTTAAATATATAATTAAAAGAATAAAAGATATTATTTAATTAATTAAATAAATAAAATAAAATATATTTAAAGCTAGAGTTAAATAGTATTATATTAAGGATACCTATTTTTAAAGAGGAAGGATTAAATAAAAAAGCTTTTAAATATTTCTAATAATAGTAACTACTTATATATAATAGATAATAATAATATGAAAATATCTATATATATAATCTAATAATAAATAAATAAAGTAGTTTTCTATATTATAATATTTATATAAATTCCTAATAAATTAAAGTATAAACTCCCTATTAAGATTAAATAAGGAGTCTACTATTTAAAATAACTAACTATAAAAATAAATATATATTTAAAAAAATCTCTATATTAAATTAAACTTAAGCTCTTACCTTCTTTAAATATATAATAATATAATAACTCTCTTTACTATAATATTATTAAATAAAGGTATATATTAAAGACTATTAATATTATTAGAGGTATTTAGTTTATATACTCTAAATTAGTTTATTAATTTAATAAGTTAAGATAATTATACTATTTTCCTTATATAAATTTTCTAATTTTAGTAAGATTTTAATTTAAAATTATTAATTTAAATACTTAAACTTTTACTTTTAAATATATATATAGGCTTATATTCTTATTATTTATTAATATATAAATAAATTAAAATACTTTAAACTTTAAATTTAAACTTAAACTTAAACTTAAATATAGTTATAACTTTAAATATTATATATAATATAAATATAATATATACTAATATATAGGTATAGTATAAATTATTAGATAAAGTTTTAAATAAATAT